CAGAACCTCCAGAACCTCCAGAACCTCCAGAACCTCCAGAACCTCCAGAACCTCCAGAACCTCCAGAATCTCCAGACAGTCAGCAAGATTAACCATGGTTACCTGAAAATCTCTGTACATGTGGTGCACGGGCACTATATGAAGGTCACAGACGCGGTTGGCCTGAGGTCTTGTGGAGTGTATTCGTCGCGGCGTTTGTACCCCAAACCATCGGTGCGCTGGTCCTGTCTTCCCAGGAGGGTCAGGTCAAGCCAGAGGAGGGTTCCAATCTGCTTCTCACCGCCCCTGGCATAGGTGCTGTAGGTGTGGTAGATCTTTCCTTCCTCGCCAATCCCAAAACCACCTTTTATGAAGACCGAAGTCCCTGGCTGTTCGCCTTTTCCAAAGAATTGATGAATGTTACGCTGCTTCAGCTGGTCCTCGTCGAGGAAATTGTACGAAACAGGCTTTATAGCAGGGTCAGTGGTGACGTTGAAGTCATAGTTGAAAGAGCTGCCGTGAGAACTTAGCCAGGGGAAGGTGAAGCCAAGGCGATCCTTATAAGACTGAATCTTGTCCATAGGAGCACGAGACACGGCGGCGAAGGATGTGTTGTGAGAATTGAGGTGCTGCAAGGGAGGAATGTGGTCGCCGAAGAGTGTGCAAGAGGGACAAGCCGCATCGGCCTCGGGGTCAAACATGAAGTGATAGATGATGAGTTGAGGACGACCGTCAAATAGGTCATCGAGTGCGACAGTGATTTTGTTGCCTGCACCGTCGAGTGTGGTGAAGGTGTATTGTTCCAGGACCTGGACAACAGGGAGTTCCCTACGAAGCTTTGCAAGCTCGTCGCTTTGCCGGGTGTGAGCTTTTTCCAAGTCTAGTAGACGTAGGCGTTGTGCAAGGTACTCGGTCCTAGATACTACCTGAGAGCTGTGGGTATTCAAGCGAATTGGACCGGTGCCGAGACTTACTTACCTTTGTCTGTGTGGCCATTCTGAATTGGTGGTATCAAAAGAAAGATTCCAAAGGGGTCGATTTGAAATGGAACAATAGTTGCAAGATGAAATGTACGAACCGGTTCTGAGGAACAACTGTTGTACTTATACGCAGGCATTGACCTTGTCTCTGGGCTCTTGAGGTCAGCTCGATCGCATTGAGTTGTGGAATACGAGGACAGTTGAGCCGACCCCGACCCCGAGGGCGGAGGTGATTGCTCATGTTGGTGTAGATCTTGGTGATACCCGGAAGAGTAAAGTTTCCATGCAAAGGGTCCGGGATGGCAAGGCTTATTTAGCAAATCATGTCTAGAGAAAGATCAAGTCGAGAAAGCTATGATGCGCGATGCTGGCAGCGGCATGAAGTCAATGTGATGGCACGTGACATGAATGGTAAGGTCCCTGGTAAGTTCTGCCTGGCATCTGCCTGCAAAATCAGGCATCAGCCAATGGGTGTGCGCGCGAAAGTCGCCTGGCAAAAGCTGCTAAGTACATACTCCTTAGGTACCTTATTTATTTGCACATCAGGCCTATGTTGACCGAGCGGATGTGGCGACAAGATGGATCGAATGAGAAATCCCAAGGCAACAGTAAAATATATGTAGCGAGTAGCAGCTGCAACTAACGCTAAGTCGCCTACAGAGCTCTGGAAATCACTCCTATACACTCTCTCCAGGGCACTCTCCTCTAGGGCACTCTCTCTAGGGCACCCTCCATATAGCACTTCTCTCCAGGGCACTCTCTTAGCACTCCAAGATCACTCGGAAAAACTCGAGGAGGATATTCCGAATACTCAGTCACGGGATCGCAACTCGCGCATATCTAATCATTTCGCGCCAAGGTTCAGTCTCAGCCAATCATTTTCAGCCAATTATATTACGTAGAAGATTTTCCGAAAGACATTTTTTCCTACAGTAGGACACTAAACCTAATGTAGAACCTACGTCGCTTCGCTCCGTAGGACGATAAATAACCACGTGACCTGATATTGTTCGATTCAAGCTTGTCTGCAGTTGTACGAGTATCATTATTAGAAGATGGAATTCCAGTGTGCTAGGGTTGGTTTGAGGGATTTTCTTCAAGTGCTTACCGTATCTCTCGTAGTTGACAAAAAGCTGGAGAAACATAAGGCACACAGTGAGTGCATGAATACGAGACGCGTCTTGAGACGACGACGGCGCGTCTTTGTTTCAAAAGCGCGACTCTCAAACCCCTCAGATTCTGGGATATGTAAGTACAGTACATACTCGTGATACTGTACCTAAAGTACCTTGATACTCACAGGATAGAAGCAATCAGGACGTAATCCAGCTCGTCCGGGATACAGACACCCGTGATACTGAATCTGCTGCAGGCGTTGTCCCATTCCTTTGCGTACTTTGTCAGTGAAGAATGCCCAGAAATCGTCCTCTCGGGCCTCTGCATCCTGACTCAAGGTATGTTTGGTCGACTTGTTGATCCTAGCCAAGTGCCCATCGGATGCAAAGGGCACAAAATCCCTAATCATTTGCCAGAGGGTCGAGGTTTTTGACCCTTGCAAGGTGTTTCACTCTCATGCCTCTCGCTAATTCATCCAATCAAGTATCAGAGTTACCATCAAAATGATGATCCAAGGTACACCACGTTTGTTTCACGGCCAAGTCCCAGTCACGACTCACAACCCTTGACTTGTCATTTTGGTGTACTGCAATTCCGAATCGAGGTCGACCTGTCCCTTGTTTGGGATGAGTCCGGAAACTCACTTTCGAATCAGCCATGTCAGTCCTGCCGTTTCTCAGGCTCGCGGTGTTCAGAAATCGTCTTTGCCTTTTTCTAACTATCTCTACGGGTTTGGTTGGCCAACCATATATGACATCCAGGGTCTATGCGAGCAATGATCAGGGCGGGGAATCTCCCTTCAAAGGATCCCACTCCGCCCAGCTCCGACACCGGTCAAAACATGCCAAAAGCATAAGTAACAAAACGCCAACACCGGGAATGCCATCCCTTCCCCTTCCTCCCAAGGTCCAGAACCCGTTCCTCAAGGAACTCTCGAGGTACCACGCGTCTGCACAAGAAAATTTCCTCGTTGGTGCATCTCCAGATTCTTCGTCCAGGGAATCTAGAGGGAAGGGATTTGCTCCGTGCACCCCTACCATTTCTATGCATGTCGTCATTTGACCATGGTGAAATGTTGGGTCGCATGCTCCCGGGCACGTGTCTCCAATGTCGTGAATGAAACGAAACTAGCGTCTTCTCAGAAGCTCCCCAGCTCATGCAATGATATCTCGGGCACTGAATCTTCCTCGGTTGAAGCGTCCGCGTTTGCCACGTCCACCCCGGCTACCGAAACGTCCAGTGCCACCATTGCCTGTGGCAGGAGCACTGGGCGTAGGAGGCGCAGGGGCATTGCCACCATTGTTGCCGCCGTTGTTGCCGCCATTGTCACCGCCGTTGCCGTTGTTGCCGTTGTTGCCGCCATTGTCGCCGCCGTTGTTGCCACCATTGTCACCGCCGTTGCCGTTGTTGCCGCCATTGTTGCCACCATTGTTGCCACCGTTGTTGCCACCGTTGTTGCCGCCGTTGTTGCCGCCGTTGTTGCCACCGTTGTTGCCACCGTTGTTACCGCCGTTGTTGCCACCATTGTTGCCACCATTGTTGCCACCGCCTTGGCCGACAGTGAACTTGTTGCAATCATCTTGAGCTCCTCGTTGAGCAACCTGACACATGTCAACTCAGACCTTGAACTAGAAGGGGATTCACACTTACAGGCATAAGTACGGGTTGATGGTTAGAGGCCGAGTTCATGGTGCAGACACGATATGTGCCGGCAGGTAGACCATCAGCGACGACGGCTTGCAAGCGGCCGTTCCCATCACCATTGTCGTTGATTCCCTTGAAGAATGCAAACGTCTTTGGGTCCGGAGGCTGGTTGGTTGCGATATTGTTGTTGAGGTCCTGAATGGTTACGTGGCAGTGACCAACAATTCTGCCACCCTGTAAAGCTTGAGGGGAGGCATAATAAGTGTTTACAGGATCGGTGAATGAGCCAGCGACCAGGTTGGTAATCTGCACCTGGACATTGAATTCGGTGTCGGCTGCAATGTCCTCACCCGGGCCAGGGAACACGACAATTGATGAGACCATGTTGTCATTCGAAGGAATTTCACCCATGACGATGCCGTTGCAAGATCCGCCCGTCACTTGTTGACCATTGGTCTTGGTCTTGCCAGTACAGAAATTGATAAAGTTGGCCGGATCACTACCATCATCAGCAATGCGCATAACACGTGACCAAGTCAACTCACGTAGCAGAGTTCGATTGACCAGCAGCAACATCAGGTTCTCCAGGGCTGTTGGAAGCATCTTGCACGTTTTCAGCTAGAAGGAGGAGTTGATTTCCGCCGCCGCCGCCATTGTTGTTGTTATTGTTGTTATTGCCGCCGTTATTGTTATTGTTGTTGTTGTTGTTATTGCCGCCGTTATTATTGTTATTGTTGTTCCCGCGGTTGTTCTGGGCAATGACGGATGAGGCGAAGCCCAAGGTGGCAACCGCAGCCGCCAGGAGTTGAGTGGTCTTCATCTTTGAGGTTGAAAGAGACGGGAGAAGAATTGTCTGACGAAAACAGGCAAGACGACGATGTAGAGGAGTCAACGGTTGACAAATTCAAACCGCCAAAAGACAGGGTTCGAACGAAAGACGATTCTCTCGCGATCAACGCGGGTGAGAATTGGATAAGGAACGTAAGAAGCGCAAGGAAATCAGGGCAAAATACACACTCACACAGTGAGGCAAGAAAAGGAATGTTAGAGGCACTGCCACACGTTGGAGGGAGAAGAACCAGAAGAGATGAGACCTACATATGGACGTAGAAGTTCGGATTCGAAGACTCTTATGTGAGTGACTTGGCACGCGTCGGCGACGTTGCTGGAAAGCCTTGAAGTGGTCCATGGTGATTTCCTTGAGGCTGGAAATGTTTCCAAGTGTGGAGGATGACACAAGCTGACCTCCTGGTGTGTCAGGAACGAGCAACCCCAGAGCAAGGTTGTTTGAGCCACAGGTCGACTGGCATGGACGAGCCCCGTAGGCACAAGCGGTGTCAAGTGTTTGGAAAGGGTTAGCCAGCCAGCCAGAGTCCAGACAGGCGAGGGGGTTCAGCGACAGAGATGAAGCGTAGAGGGTTTCAGAAACTCCAGATTCCAAACCCAGGACGAAACAGAGCGATGGAAAAACGGGGTGCAGGCGGATGCAGGCCAAGCCGGCAGCGCAGGCGAAGTGCGAGCACAGAGAGGAGAGAGAGAGGACCAGCTTTATTAGGTTTAGCGCACCACCAAGATCTGGCATTGGCTGTCCAATCTCGAGTCTGTCCTGCTTGGTGGGTCGCTCTTGCCCTTTTGTCACCGTCACTGCCATTTTTAACTCCAGTTGTGGTTCCTTCCACATGGTGCCTTCCCCTTTAGCTGCCTCAGTCGAGATTATTCATACAATATTCACAAACTGGGCAGGTACTTACGGTCCCTCCCTTACATACTAGTCAGTAGTCGGTAGCCTTGTCCAACGCATCCATGCTCTCAGTCCAAGGTTCCCAAGGCTCCCAGCGCTCCCAGCGCTGCCAAATGCCTCATATCCTCTCTTCTACCGTCTGACCCTCTTTAATCCTGGACGTATACAATCCCAGCCGACAGTACCTTTTGCAAAGTACGGACCACCTACGTTCAACAGCCCTACCCTGCCCTGCCATGGCCCGCCTGACCCTCCCGACCCTCCCACTACCTACGAAGCGAATCCCATGTTCCTCAACCAGTGCCAACCCTGGTGAAGCGAGCTTCCACAAGCACAGGGGATCATACTTTCACTGTGCCGTATAACCCATGGCCGTCTCAGAGCTTCCCTTTCAACCCCTACTGCACGTCCTCAGTTCCTCGCCACCCCAGTCGATGACTCAATTAACCGTTGTTCCATCCTATATTTCTACCACCAAGCTTTCACACAAGCTTTTGATCTCCGATTTCCCTCATTTGTTTGCTTCCAGTCTCAACCTGAAGCACGTCGGTCCCAGAAACCAAGGCTGATTCGACGAGGGTAGTACAAGTATCCAACCGTTGTTGTCAACTCGGCTCACTACTCGCCAGCAATCTACGACTTTAGTATTCTCCGGGAAATCCACCTCCCTCTGGAGAACCAGGCCCACGCCATTAGTTACACACTTTCTCAAACTTGTGCTGGTGGTCACATTGTGGTACCTGATCTGCACTTCCTGCGACAACTTACATGTAGCAGCACAACACCGCGTGTGCCGCCTACTCTATCTCCGGGCGCTACTGCGCCTTGCAAGGATCGACCGTGCCAACCAACTGCACATCAACCCGTGTACGCAACAGGCTCCCTCACTCGATTACAACCCCAGGACATTATTGTCTCTCGGAACGTCTCCAACCCTGCCCAACCATGTCGACTTCCAGTCTGGATGCATATTTCCACACCAATTACCTTATCGACGTCTCTGGCAGAGAACCGTCGTTATGGAGATGCTGGCTTCTCTTGTGCCTTTCCAGCCGCCCTCTCTTGTTGGATCGCCCTGCGGTCTGTCATGAGCCGAACAGTTCGCCACGCGCAAACATGACCCCTCTACCGGATAAAACAATATTGGCCACATGTCTGACACCTGCTGCGTCCGTCTTGACATCGACCTCGACGGCGATTGTGCAAACACGGCCCAACTCAATCCCTTGCTGGATGCCAAAGACCACGCGCTCCGTCTTGTGTTCCAGTGACATCTTACTCGCACCATCGGCAATGCCCTCGACCGTTGTCGCATCCCGTGCACTTGAAATGGCGTCACTCGTGACCTCCCCGTCCTCTTTGCCCTCATTCTCAGTCGATGCCGACTCTTGGTGTTGCAATGCCAGGTAGCAAGACAGAGCACAACAAGCGCTGCCCGTGCCAGGATCCTCCCGGCCCTGGGAGATCATACGTGCTTGAATGTTGTGGATGGTAGGCTCTCCTTCCTTTTCAGCACGACCGAGAATCTTGTAGTACAAGCATCCCACGAAACTAGGACTCCACGGTTGATCTAGCGCGACCTCTGGAGCCTGTGCTGCCTTCAGATCGGCAAACAATTCCGGGCTACCTGTAAGGTCGACAAGTGTAAAGGTCATTCCTTTGACGATTGAGACAACCGGAAACGATTTCCCGCTTTCTCTTTCCACCGACGGAGCGATTTGGAGGTGTGGTTGAGTGGCGATGATGTCATTGAACGGCACCCGATAGCTGTGACTGTGAAACTGAAATGGGACAGCGCAAGCCGCCACGGAACGGTAAGTGTTATAGAATATAGGGATCTTGCCCGCTTTTGTCTGGAGAATGGCGGTTTGACGTTGGCTATCGCGATCATCGGGTCGAACGCTTGCCTTCTCCAGGAAAGAAAATATCTGGGTCAATGAGCGTCTGTCGGGCACAAGAGGAAAGACCGGAGCAAGAGTGAGCAACTAGGTTCGACCTACATAGTGAGCAACTCCAATAACCTGGCACAGTGTCAGTTGCAGGCGTCAACATGTTTTTGCCTTTGCCAGAACCTACCGGATGACCCGCAAACGGCAGTTCTTCCCCTGTTTCGGTGAAAATTTCGCAGAGTCGAGGTTGGCCTGGACCTGGTGCATCATGTAGGAAGACAGTCTCAGAATAGCCAAATTCTTTTGCAATAAGAGACTTGCGTGCCTGGGGTAAGCCATTTCCACGGACCGAGACAATCGCAAGCGGATTGCCTTGGAACTTCTCTGCCGAGAAGACCTGGCCGAGTCAGTAAGGTGTTCAGGAACAGCGATGCAAGGTACAGTTGTCCGGGCGGTGGTTTCCATTCCCATCTCGAGGCAGGGAACAGAAATGCCAGTGGAAAAATTGATGCTGCTTAAGTCGCCGTCCAGCGTCAGAGAGCAGACGGAGTGATCTGGCATCAAACACCATCCTCATCTCCATCGGCTAATCCTTTTGTGTCCAGCAGTTGCCTAAAGGACGGTAGTCACACTCACAACTAGATGTCGAAATACTCGAGGACGAACAGACACAAAATCCAAAGGGCATATTCATTTGTATCCAGCATGGGACAGGCCAAGGCTTACCGACAGGGTCACAAACGTCACCGGGCCCGCTGCCATGATACACCGGGGTTGACTGGCTTGTGGGCCGTATTAGTGGCAGAATTTCGCAGTCAGGCTATTGGAGGCTTCGACCTTCTGAAGCTACTGTTTAACAGCGTGTCGGCCGCTCGTACAGGAGATGATCTCGACTCGGCTGTTGGATGAAATTGGTTCGTGATTGTGATGGGATGAAAGCTCATATGTGTAGACAGACATGAGATGGAGCGGAGTGAGGAGTGTGAGTGGCTGGAAGGAGCGAGAGAGAATGGGAAATGGGAAAGGGCGGGGCGGGGCTGACAATGCTTGGCATCTGAATTCCCTGAAGCCTGGGAAACTCCGCTGACTTCCGTCGACGTTGACGACGCCCGCCTGAGGTCCGCGCGCTCTCTTTGGGCGAACAACTGAAGTTGTACTACGGAGTAGAGTACCAAAGTCTCAAAAGACCCACTGGCAAGCTGCCACAACATCACCGTCTTTTTATACTATTGTACACTGAGTTGATGGATTTCCCTGGAGTTCTGTATCTTGATCCAATATCTGTACAAATGACCCACCCAAAGGTACCAATCAACATGGCACCACAGTGCGCCTTGAACCCCAGCCACCTTCCTTTCGGCTGTCCCATCGCTATGAGTGATACAAGATTGCCACCGGCAGCGGAGCGGTGCAAGATCCATCAGCCCGACCCGGCTTCTTTTTTGCCCTCCCCATCCTTTGACTCGGTCCCCGCCCCCTTTGGATCCTTCTGACCCTGGGAGCTTGAGCTTTTGCCTTCGCCTTCCGCCGTCTCGGGCTCAAGGTTGTCGTGTTGGTGTGTCAGTCGATGCCAGGCTGATTTCAAAAAACCTTCGTTCTTGTGGTCGGCCGCCTTGTTTGCCGTCTTCGACTTGGGCTCTGTGGACGACTCCCTGGTCCAGTGGTTAGTTGGTGTTCGCCTCGCTGCAAATTTCAGGTTGAACTTACTGTTTATACTGGCCAATGTTCATGATTCGCTTGGCCGTCTTGTCGTTCATCTCATCGGCCAGCATTTCCACTAGAGTCCTTTGGTTGGCGCTAAGGTACTTGGGCATATTGACTTTGAACTCCACCCTCAGGTCTCCAGCAGAGTTGCGGCCATTAAGTCTTTTCATGCCCATGCCTCCCAGTGTGATCTTGTCGCCCGTGCCAGTCCCCGTGGCCACGCGAACTTTGACTTCGCCGTCCAGGGTTGGTATCTGAACTTCCCCACCCAAAATCGCCGTGGTTAGAGGAATCGACGCTGTATACAACACATCCGCTCCGTTTCGCTTGAAGCGTGCATCTGGAGCCACCCTGATAAAGATAAAGAGGTCTCCAGCCTGAGACCGAACATTGGGATTTGGAGACAGTCCTGTTGGCGGCGCGTCTCCTTCACCAGAAACCCGCATGCGCATCGAATCTTCCACACCGGCCGGGATCTCGATGGGGATAGTCTTGCGTTGTCGCACCACACCTGAGCCCGAACAGGTGCCGCATTCGGACCCACGTGGGATCGAGGCGCCACTGCCGCTACAACTTCCACACGTCGTAGCCATTTGAAATCCACCCTGTTGAATGACCCTGGTGCCAGTTCCCCCACATGTTTTGCACATCTGTCGAGACGACCCTTTCTTCAGCCCATTGCCTGTACAAGTCCCACATTGTACTTGTGGCGTGATGGTGATGTTTTTGGTCGTTCCATGTGCCGCATCCATAAAGGAAATATTGGTTTGAACTTCAATGTTTTCTCCCACCAAAATTTCCTCCTGCTGGAAACCACGGCTTCTCCCTCCTCGGCGACCGCCTGTAAAGGCCCCGAACAAATCCTCAAAGTTGAATTCCGCTCCAAATCCACCACCAAAGCCTGCAAAAGGATTGCCCCCACCAGCCCCTCCGGCGAAAGGATTACCTCCCGTAGCCCCAGGATTAAAACCTCCATTCTGATCAAAAGCCGCAGCACCAAACTGGTCATATGCCGCCTTCTTCTGCGGATCATTGAGCATTTCATATGCCGACTGGGCGTCTGTAAACTTCTCCTTCGCTTCTGGACTTTTGTTGGTATCGGGATGATATTTCTTAGCTAGCGCATAATACGCCTTTTTAATCTCCGAGGATGAGGCAGACTTGCCAACGCCCAAGGTCGCATACGGGTCTTTGCTCGCGTTGTTGGAGTTCGAGGTAGAAAAGGGTCGATTTGAACGAGGATGAGGTTTACAACCTGCTAAGGCCGTGGCCGATGGTGCGGTCGAGGGTCTCTTGGTCACAACCGTGCTCGTCCGTTGAGCGTCAAGGCCACGGCATCCATGTATCTGTCGTGCATGAGCCTTGTGATTAATGGTGGTGCAATGAAGAGCCGTTTGGGAATGAAGGGCAGAACGTATCAGTCGAGCAGGAATCGGAGTGGTGCCGCCCCATGCGGCGTTGATGACGCTCATGCCTAAAGTAACGGAAAATCAGAAGACAGTCGGACGGTGGTACAGGTGGTACATGAGAAGGTCGACGACGGCAGTCTGGCTGATTTGGAAGGACACGACTAGGACGCGCGCGCGAGAGAGAGAGAGAGAGAGAGAAAGAGAGAGAGACAGAGGAATTGATGAGTGGAAAGATGACTGTTTGCGGGGAGCGAGACTGAGACTGACTGCGCTGGTCCAAAAGTACTTGTACTACTGCTAGAAACTTCTCGGAACAAAACTTTCTCTCTGTCGATTGATTCGCTCCTGCCACCAGAGGAAACTCGCCGCACCTTCCCCTTGTGGAACTGGCATCATATCATCATCCATCCGTCTTTGCTCTTCCAAGTCGCATTTGCCGCTTTGCATCCAACACACGAGCATCTTCGCATCTTCACTGTCATTTCCTCGCTCTTCTCTTCTCGTACCTCCTGCTCTCGACCCCATCTATCAGCCTCTGTGCATCTGGGCTGCTGTTTCCGTCCCTCACCCCGCTGACCTGTTGCCGAACCCACTCTTCCATCCACGCCTAGCACTTGGGCCTCACTCTTGGAGCATGCTCCGAAGCCAGACCGTGCCATGGAGAACAGTACTCCGGACCGGTCATCGCTCCATCTGTAGAGATTGTAGGCGCCAGCTCTCCAAGCGCCCAGCCGTCTCTCAACTACTTCCAGCCACGTCACCTCCCTCCTACACTGGAGGGGTCTCGCTGGCTGGATTACCAATCCGTCAATTTTCTTCCCACCCAGTGCGGAGAAAGGAGAAGCCCCCTGAGGACGACCCAACACATTCAAAAGACGATCAGGAGGCCAAGGTTAAGAAGGTTGACAATGAATCGGACGAGCCCTCCAGAACCCAAGATCCCCCGACGTCCGATAAGGTCGCTTCCAGCCCGGATACCGCAACCCAAACCAATGATGCAAAGGCCACCACGGCCAGTGCCGGTGGGGGAGATTCGTCGCCAACCTCAGGTTCGAGTCCTAGCAGTGGAGGGGATGGCAATAAGCGTGGCAGGAAAAACACCCAAATCTCCAAGCCCACCATTCCAGAGGTATATCCTCAAGTAATGGCAATCCCCATCGCTAAAAGGCCCTTGTTCCCGGGCTTCTACAAGGCCATAACCATTAGAGATCCCAACGTCGTTGCTGCCATACAAGAGATGATGCGAAGAGGCCAACCATACGTTGGAGCATTCCTGTTCAAGGACGACACTGCAGACAAGGACATTATTGAAAAAGTCGACGATGTCCACGAGGTCGGTGTCTTTGCGCAAATCACAAGCGCCTTTCCTGTTCACGGTGACGAACATAGCCTTACCGCAGTCCTCTACCCTCACCGTCGGATCAAAATGTCCTCTCTTCTACCTCCGTCGACCTCTCAACAAGGTGTCCCGATCGCCGATGTGCAGCCAGCAAAAGAGCACAAAGCCAAACCAGACGGAACTGAGGGTCAGGGGGACGTCGTAGCCAGCTTCGAAGAAACCTCCAAGGAGCCCTCATCCTCGCCAGTGTCTGTCTACGAGCCCACCGCATTCCTTCGCAAATATCCCGTCTCCCTTGTCAATGTCGAGAATCTATCTGAACAGCCTCACGACAAGAAGAGCGATGTTATTCGTGCATTGACCTCGGAGATTGTCAATGTCTTCAAAGAGGTAGCAAGCTTGAACCAGATATTCCGAGATCAGATCTCCGATTTCAGTGTTTCTCAGTCTGCTGGAAACGTCATCGAAGAGCCTGCCAAGCTTGCAGACTTTGCCGCTGCTGTTTCTGCCGGTGAAATTGACGAGCTTCAGGATGTCCTGCAGACGATGAATGTCGAAGAACGGTTACACAAAGCTCTTGTCGTGCTCAAGAAGGAGTTGATGAATGCCAAACTTCAAACCAAAATCTCCAAGGACGTCGAAAGCAAAATCCAAAAGAGGCAACGGGAGTATTGGCTGATGGAACAGATGAAAGGTATTCGGCGTGAACTCGGTCTTGAGTCCGATGGCAAGGACAAATTGGTCGAGAAATTCAGGGAACGAGCACAAAAGTTGGCCATGCCCGAAGCCGTCAAGAAGGTTTTTGACGAAGAGCTAAACAAGTTGGCGCATCTCGAACCGGCTGCCTCGGAATTCAACGTCACAAGAAACTATCTCGACTGGATCACTCAGATACCCTGGGGCCAACGCAGCGCAGAGAACTTCGGCATCAAGAATGCCATGACTGTCCTCGACGAAGATCACTATGGGCTCAAGGATGTCAAAGACCGCATTCTAGAGTTTATCGCTGTTGGTAAGCTTCGAGGTACGGTCGAAGGGAAGATTCTTTGCTTCGTTGGCCCGCCTGGTGTTGGCAAGACCTCTATCGGCAAATCAATTGCTCGTGCATTGAATCGGCAGTACTATCGCTTCAGTGTTGGAGGTCTGACCGACGTCGCCGAGATCAAGGGCCATCGCAGAACCTACGTCGGCGCCCTCCCCGGTCGTATCATTCAGGCACTCAAGAAATGTCAGACCGAAAACCCACTCATCTTGATCGACGAAGTCGACAAGATTGGTCGTGGCCATCAGGGTGATCCTGCGTCTGCCTTGCTTGAATTACTCGACCCCGAACAAAACTCCAGCTTTCTCGACCACTACATGGACGTGCCGGTTGATCTATCAAAGGTCCTCTTTGTCTGCACGGCTAATATGACAGACACAATCCCCCGTCCTCTCCTCGATCGAATGGAGATGATTGAGCTAAGTGGATATGTTTCAAATGAGAAGAAAGCCATTGCGGATAGATACCTGGCCCCGCAGGCCAAGGAGCTCTCTGGGTTGAAGGACGTCGATGTCACTCTCGACGAGTCCGCCATCGAGGAGCTGATCAACAAGTACTGCAGAGAATCAGGGGTTCGGAACCTGAAGAAACAAATCGAGAAGGTCTATCGAAAATCTGCACTCAAGATAATTCAAGACCTTGGCGAGGAAGCCTTTCCAGAGTCGGAGGCGTTGACCAAGGAAGGCGGTGCTGCGCTGGAGGAGAGCAAAAAGGACGAGACCGACGTCAAGGATACCCCGGAGAATATCGAGAACCAAACCACTGAAAAACCTCGACTTGCTCTGCAAGTGCCTGACTCTGTCCACGTACACATCACCAAGGACAATCTCAAGGACTACGTCGGTCCTCCGGTCTTTACTGCAGACCGACTCTATGAGACAACCCCGGCTGGGGTGGCCATGGGTTTGGCCTGGACAAGCATGGGGGGAGCGGCACTTTACATTGAATCGATCCTCGAGTCAGCACTCTCATCCCAGAGTCGACCTGGCTTCCAGCAGACGGGCAATCTCAAGGCGGTCATGAAAGAATCAACGGCGATTGCATACTCATTTGCAAAGAATGTTCTTGCGACACGCTTTCCCAAAAACCGATTTTTCGATCATGCAAAGATTCATCTTCATTGTCCTGAAGGCGCAGTGCAGAAAGACGGGCCTTCGGCAGGCATCACCATGGCCACATCATTGCTGAGTTTAGCGATGGACAAGCCGCTCAGTCCTGCATTGGCCATGACGGGTGAGCTGACTGTGACCGGCAAAGTGTTGAGGATTGGTGGCTTGAGGGAAAAGACCGTAGCTGCTAGACGTGCTGGTTGCTCCAAGATCCTGTTCCCCAAAGACAACTGGGGCGACTGGGTCGAGCTACCTGAGGTGAGTCTCGCGAATTTTGACAAGAACCATTAAGACGTTGCTGACCCGCTTTTAGAACATCAAGGAAGGTATTGAAGGCCACGCTGTCGACTGGTACAGCGAGGTGTTTGACATTGTCTTTCCTGATATCAAAAAGGACGAGGTCAACAACCGGTGGAAGTCGGTCTTGAAGGAAGACAAAAGATCCCGCAAGAACAAGGACAAGGACGAAGAGGAGGATGAAGATTCCGACGACGACTGAACATGTCGCGTTGAGGTGATACAACCTGTCTCACATTGGACGCTTTTTTCATTCAACTCGTGCCCCTCTTCACTCCGTCTGGATATTCCAACGCCGTGAGAACAAGGAGTAATGCCTTGGCGTCTGGGGATGTGTGGTGTGCGGCATTTCAAGGCACTGGACACCAGACCCTGGATAGTATTGGCATTCGGAAAAGTGTGTTGGAACGAGGTTTCCACTATCTGGAAAACGCTACAGTCTCCGCCGGGTCCATGTGCATATAAGGTGCATGACGGCGTTACAAGAAGCCAAGCGGCATTTATGTGAGGTGGAAGATAGATTATGGTAGGATAGTGATGTGATCCCCACTCTGGCTTTTCGTGGCGCGGTCGACTACAGGCTGATGACGCTCGAAAATCCTGTGTAAAATAGTACCTAGCCGCAACTCTTCGGTCTTGTGCAATGGCAAGTTTTGGTACATGTTGTCCTTTCACATCTGGAGCAGGGAGTTGGCAAGTCGATTAATCCGAATCTTCGTCTTGACTGTCTGGCACTTCGGCTTCGCGGCGAGGGGCAGGCGACGAGGAGGTTTCCGAGGCTGATGGCGATGATATTACAGGGGCTGCATCTTCGGAGCCCCTAATGACAGCATGGCGGTATCTGCGTAGAATAGCCGTTTCATGAAGATCGAGTATCATTTCGTTGTGAAGGTCACCATTGTCAGTCCCACGTTCCAGGCCCATTTGCTGATCTGACGAGAGGGAAGGGGGAGCAAAACCAAGGGGTTGATGAGCTTGAGCAGCTATTGGGATTGCGACGGATGAAAGATCGAGTTGAATTCTTCCTTCTTGTCTAGGATGATTCTGTAGAGCGGGAAGCTGCCAAGCAGCATGGCTGTCATCCCGGGGATCAGAAGTTTGACCTTGGTCCACTAGCCATGAATTCTCCGTGTGGATGACACGGTCGCCGTCAATCTCACTCTCATGTCCGTTGCTGATATGGCTGATATCGTCGCTGTCGGTCAACTCGTCGAATTTGCGCTTGTCCAGCTGTTGCGAAGGCTCGATCTCTAACGGCAAATAGGCAGGCTGGTCCCGCTCGAGGAGAAGGAGGCCCGAGTTCGAGAGATTTGTCAAAGGCGTCGAAGCATCTGTGTTGTCTTCATATTTGAGATTCGAATCACGGTCTTCGGTGAAGGACGTCATGTCGGGCATTGTAAGCTGCTCCAGGCCCCTCTCTTCGATCAGGAAAGGTACTGCTGGTAGGAAGACATCTTTGCCTGAAAGCCTTTGAACCTCGGCGTATCGCATTAGTGTTAATCCATGAATGCTCCACACGGATTCAGGTAATGACTCCTGAGAGGGCGGGGGAAAGTCGTAGTACAACATAATTCGGGCATGGATGCCGGAATCCCACGCCTGGCTGGCAAGTGCGGGCCGAAGACTTGCTCTTTGACCATTTCTGAGATTTGTTGTGGCATTTGTGAGGACTACGAGCGCGAGGTTTCTCAGAGCAGCTAGTTTTGCCATGGCGCTCGCAAGGGTTTCAATGATGCGAAAACGCCTTGAGGCGGCATTTCGTATCAGCTTCTCTTTCACGACCGGTGGTGGCTCAGGTCCATTGGCGGAGGGTTTTGAGTTTTGGATCAACGACCCTGAGACAATATTGGATACATCATCGACGACAATCAGAGCAGTTCTCGGAGAGGGGAATTCGGCGGTAGGGTGGGCAAAGATGGTGAGCAAACGGGGAAGTGTGTTTACCTCGAGATAGGTCAGGTGTTCGAGTACGAGGTCGATATTTGGGTCGGGTTGTTGCGGAGATGAGGCTGCAGAGTGATCAGACGGCTGACGGGATTGATTGAAGATGGAAACCAGTCGATCTTCTACCAAGGGTGACCCGCCGTTGATCCAGAGGACCTCGGCTCGATCAGGTGACGAACGAAGTACGTTGCAAGCTAGCTGAAGCCCTAAGGTCGTCTTGCCAACTCCTGGCGGCCCATATATCTCAGTCACATGTCCCCTCTGTATCCCAGAGGAGGCTCGGGGGAGTCCATTGGAGGGGAGTAGGTATGAGTCAAGGGTATCGAGTTTTGTGGGAATTGCTCTCGCTTTTACAGTGACAGCTTGGAGCGCTTCGACGCCGGAGATCGTAGGCAGTCTGTGATGAGATGGTGAAGCTGGGAAATTGTGAATATCAGAAAGGGAATCTGGCATTGCGCGAACAAGGTGAAGCTCCAGGGCTGGCAAGCATGGCGACGACACCGATATTCGACTGGAGGACGTGGCTTTGTGGGATGATGGTGGACGGTCGCAGTTCCTTGCCGGCGCTGTGCTCGAATCAGCAATCAATGATTGTGTTTGATGCCATCTGAAACAAACGTGAAGGCAAGATGATTTGTTTGCGGATGTTGTTACGTCACGTGGTGCGAGAATAGGGTGCGTACATCTAGCGGGGGAAGGGGCGGGGGGGGAGTCCTGAAGCACTCCTGCCTTTTTCGTTCTTAGAACGCGTCGTGGGGGATTGCACGCGTTAAGTGGTTTTTGGACGCGACGATGGCAGGAGCGGCAAGAGGTCACCGTTTATAATGCCAGGTACGTTGTTGCAGAGCTTGCCACGTGTTGCCACGTTGCCCACGACCAAGATGATTCCGAGGAGATAGATTGTCAGACACAAAATCGATTTCTTGCTGTCGAACAGGAGATCTGAGCGAATATGGGGACCATGAGGACGCATACAGTGCGTACTTGTCGGCCCCTCGGCCATGGGCCACCGCCACCAACCGAACAATGTCACCTTCTCGGTCTTGGCGGATTGGCCCAGAATAATTCTTCCCAATCGATCGACTATAGAACTGCTATAAATGCTATAAATGCTATCAATGCTATTCAAAATCCTCTCTCAACATGCCTATATCACAATCAATGATAGCAAGAGTACAAGAAGTTGTTGATATGGCTGCGTTCGAGGTTTTTGTTACCACCGTCGTTGCCGGTGCTGTTTTCGCTTTCCTCCTACGCAGGTTCAATGTGACCCGTGTTCACCCATCTTTGAAGGGCTATCAAAAGCTAGGCACTACCGGACCATCCAACCTGTTGGATGAATATGATTCAGGCTATACGATACCTCAGGCCTCGCAGACCATCAAGGATGGTGCGGGTTGGAAGGTCAAAGCTCTTCTGATACACCCCATCAAGTCCTGTGCGCCTGTCGAGTTGAGCTCGGCAGAGGTCAATGGTACAGGATTTGTGTGGGATCGCAAATTTGCATTTGCCGAGTTGCTCACCCCTCAGGCTAGACGAGACGCTGTGGACGAAGCAAAGAAGCCTCAGTGGACATTTCGAACCCAAAGAACTCCTGGCTATGAAAAACTAGCCCATGTTCGTCCCGAGGTTTGGCTTCGCCCTCGGAACAATGACAGCCATGTATCGACGCCCCAAGACGGGATGTTGATTGTCAGCTATCCTTACACCCCCAGTGGGCCATTTGCCAGCTTTGTCAAGTTTTTTCTCCCATCCTTTCTCTTGCCGTCAAAAAGCTCATTCTCGGTTCCTTTGGAGCTCCCAGACAATCATGACTATCCGGTCGAAAGAGTCACCATCTGGAAGGACAGCCCGTTGTGGGTCAATGTCGGTCGGCATGTTCCTGAAAGCTTCCGCCTCTATCTTGGGGCCAAAAACGCACTTACGTTGTTTCGAGTCGACCCAAACAGTCCACGCGAGGTCTTTCGTTGTGCGCCCAGGAAAGAGCAACTCGGATATCAAGCAAATGTCGGGTTTGCGGATGCTTACCCGGTGCATCTCCTAAACATCTCGTCCGTACACGACATTGGAGAGCGGGTCAAAGAAGACATTCCTCGCTTCTCGTCGAGGAGATTTCGCCCCAACATCCTCATCCAAGGCCCAGCGGCATTCAATGAAGACGACTGGAAAATCATTCGAATCGGCACCCACGTTTTCTTCTGCGCGTGCCACACTGTCCGATGTAGGCTGCCGAATGTTGATCCCGACACAGGTGCCAGGCATCCGGTCGAACCTGACAAGACATTGAAGTCTTTCCGATGTATCGACGACGGTGACCCTCTAAATGCATGCCTCGGTCTTCAGCTGGTCCCGGCCGAAGGCCAGGTATTTCAAGTGCATGTGGAAGACGAAGTGGTAGTATTAGAACGAGGAGAACACCATTACATCAAGCAGTGAATGCCATATTCCAGGACTGGCTCAACTTGGGGATACAAATTGAAGTAAAAAACACGTTGAAGCGCCCGGCTGTGGATGACATGCAAAGCACGACATGGTCTGAGTCCGAATAGTCGATCAGCGGATACACGCATATGCGAATGATTACAAGTGGCTCCCTCACAAGACTAACGCCACGGTGCAGAAGAGTTGCCCTGAAGGTTCTTCCCAGGCTTGTTGATATGCAATTATGCCTCGCGCCAACAGACCTCGCCTCGGGATCTTGCCTGATGAGGCAACGTACACGAACCCGTCGGACGAGGGATCATGTGCATGAAGTTACTCGACCAACCGCGCCACCTAGCCTAATCGAGACAAAGACTGCAGATATCACAAGTGATGATGGGAATCGGTCAAGGTCTTGTCTGTGGAGCTGGACTAGAAGCCGAGAAAACTCTCCAGGACCAAGAAGGCCCAAAGTCTTTGCGTTGATGCAGTGTGACCGTGTGAGGTCTTGGAATGACTGGAACAGGCGCGGACCTGGGGCCCTCGGCCCTGTGTTCTTCCTTGGACGATTAGCACAAGGGCTTGGTATCAACTCAGACATTGACGCTGTCCAACGGGAGACGCCCATTGTATGCCATGCCAGTTTCGGGCCTCTCAGGCCTTGGGGTCTAGGCATATCAGTCATAGTACCGGGAACTCTAGGGCTTGGACCAGGCTTGGACCAGGCTTGGATCAGGCTCGGACAAATTCATCCAGGTCCAACGCCGGGAGGGGCCCTAGGACTCAGGAGTACATAATGGAATTAGGCCCAAGGCAGCCAGAGCGGCAGGCTCCAAGCCCCAGGCTCCAGGCTCCAGGCTCCGAGGAGTGAAATGATCATAAGAAGCATAGTAAGAATTCTAACTTGGGCTTGGCCTCCTTGTCCTCCAAGGTCCCGTACAGAGAGAGTGAGAGCTAGTTGTAGAGAGAGGCAAGTTAGAGGGAAGATGGAGAGAGTCACAGGGCAGGGGCTGGGCTTTCCTTCTCCAACTCGCTCCTGCCTATTCCGTTGGGTATCCACCTCGCTCTTGCCCCTCATCACCTTTCGTCCCCCATGCCTGCCGTTGCCGTATCGTATGTCTGTAATGTCTTCCGCCTGCGTCCCTCATCCCTCGTCCGCTCCAACCAACCAGGCACTCAAACCGCTCTTCTCCCGTCTCATGGCTTTGTTTATATTAGCCTTGACTCTCCCACTTGGTTTTGCTTGTTCCTGTCGACCCGCCATTGCCGGACAATAACATTATTGACCTCCGTTGACTCTCCTCGACCTCCCCTCCCCTCTTTGATATAGATATGCATTTCCCACCGACCCGTGCGCTCTATTGCGATCACTCTACTCTATCTCGGCCATTGTCACACTCGGATCAGGCCCTGTCCCCATGCACCAGTGACGAGACACACTTGCCATGGTGAATGGTTCCTGCTCCCGAGCCGCATTCTCCATGAATGAAGCGTCTATTTGGACCTCAACAGACTAAACCATCTCGTCTGGGAGTCTTGCAAACACCAGCAGACAACCGACATGGTGTTTTGCTTCACTCGCCAAACCGGCGAACCTCGCGACGAGTACGATGCGATTCCTCTCCCCTTGCGGTGGCTCATGTATCTTGGCAAAAGCGAAAGGGACCTGGAAACAGGTGACACAATCTTACGCTTGCGCAACAACCGGATCATCAAGACGTCGTGTTGGAGCACCGAATACCAGGCGCTCAAGTTGGTCGATCGCCAGACTTCCATCCCTGCATGGAAGGTGGTCAATGTCTTCAACAGACCTGAAGGGAAGATGGTCGAATATGAGGCTTTCCCGGGCAAGCCACTCCACATAGTCTGGCCGACCATGCCAGCACATCAAAAGAACAAAATCGTCGCCGATCTCGGCCGCTACGTGGAACAGTTGAGAGCAATGAAGCCTCCAAAGTCCTGCGTCGTGGGAGATGCCACTCTCGGTGCTGCGCTCGATCCCCGCTTTGGACACCAAAGGATCGGCCCATTCTTCTCCATCCAAGCATTTCAAGAATTTGAACGCCGCGGTCACTCTCCCTATCATTTCTCCGAAAAGGAAATCCACGCTGTCCATCAACCAGTCAAACCTTACGAGCTGAAATTTACACACGCCAACCTTTGTCCCAAGAACATAATCATCGACAGCTCTGGCCGTATCTGCGCTCTGATAGGATGGGAGTCTGCCGGCTGGTATCCAGAATATTGGGAATATACACAAATGTGTCATGCCACCCCCAAGACCATGGGCGACTGGTTAGTTGCCATGTGCAACAATATGACGAGGTATGACCAGGAATTGTTATGCGAGGAAGCCCTTCGATCGAGGTATCCAAGCTCAGTGTATGACCTCCCGCGAAGTGTTCGATCTCCATCGCCATCCCCATCTGAGAAGAGTGCTGAACAAGATGAGGTCGACAACAATAACACAGATCATACAAGTGGATGATCCGTCTTTCAGCAACCAACCCACTTGCACACCACATACAACGCGAACACAACGCTAAAAGCGCAGTCAAGGGGCAGCAGAGGAGGTCCTCGGTGAAGGATCTTCATGCTGGCCGAGAACCGGACATTTGTATCTGCACATCAATCATGTTATATCACATAGACTTTTTGCTCAGACCCTCGAGGGTTTCCGTCACGATTTGCATGGGACTGGCGGGGCATGGCATGGGCTGCGAGCAAGGAGTTTTTGCAACAATTGATAGAGGTTGAAGCGGGGGGAATACACCTTTGCACCAGGTGGATACACAGAGCGAGTACAGAATCGTCAATCTTGGACCAGAGGTCGAGCAGAGTTCCTCAGGATGCTTTGTTGTTTGTGCCTCGACTGTCCTTTCCATCATTTGCTCCTGACTCTTGACCCATCTATTTTTTGAATTGTCTGTTTGAAATACAGATCATCATTGATTACTTCCCATCAATTGGACCGAAGCTATCGGTGACGCGGGGCAATGACCAGCACGTGGACGCCGGGACAAGGTCATGGCTCCAGACGCATGATCCTTGCACTCTTCTGCCAGTGACCCTCTCGTGCGTTCTTCTCGTACAGGGCTTGTGTAGCAACTGCTGGCCGTGGCCGTGGGTGTAGATCATGTCATTGAGGGGTCAGCCAACGGATTCGACGGCCTCTCGCACGAACGCTGCTCATTGAGGGGTCAGCCAACGGATTCGACGGCCTCTCGCACGAACGCTGCTCTCGAAGAAGACTTCATATGCATGCAGCCATGCAGCCAGGCACGCCGCAGAACCCCAACCATTCCTGTTCCAGATGTCTTTTGCTTGCCACGCTTGCCACGCTTGTACCACTTGTACCACTTGGTTCGGAGGTCAACGTGTGACGATTCAGGTCAGATATACCGGTCTCATGTTACAATCTTGTCAGAGCCATCCTGTGGTTGTAATGTCCAACTTTCAAGTCACTAATGTGAACCCTATCTACAGAGACATCTACCGCCAACCAATTATCGAGCTACATTGTGGAAAATCTCCTCGGGTGATTGTGTAAAATCGACACAATCAGACTGGACTGCATATTTGCCATTCTTCCAAAAGTCCTGCCATGTGAATCCAACACATTTGACCTTCTCACTTGAAAACTAGGCGCTGAAAACCCATCGCAAATGAACCATCTATGTCGGACAACAAGAGAGTAGCCTAGCTGCCATACCTTCTCCTCAACTCAGAGCTTGCTCTCTCCGCCATGGCTTGGAAATCGTGGTGCAATGCAATTCCAAACGCCGTCATGACAGCATTCCCCAGTCCAGCGTTCCAATTGGGGGCTTGTGTGTCGAGTAATTTTGCTTTGCCCTTCCAAATAACGTAGATCGCTAGATTTGGTCTGGCTCTTCTCATTCGCTTGATGATAGCCGCTGGTGGATCCATGTTCGATGCTGGCCATGCTCGAAGTGAGCGAATCCCGTCTTGAATTGGCCATGAGAGTTTTTCGGTGAGGTTGATGCCTGCGCCGTCTCTGAGACCCAAAAGTCGATCTGGAGGCTGGTTTCAAAGGTCTCAGAGTAGTCAAGGATTCTGTCGACTCTCGGTGGTTAGGGGATGTTCGCTGGCACACCCTTGCGATATCTTCTGAATTCTGTAGAAATTCCTTGACACAAATGATAGGAGATGACTAGGTGTGAATGCAGTTCAGCAAGAGTATAGAAACTAGGGGTGAGAAGAGCAGTGCCTCATAAAAGGAAGAGCTTCACGACATAGGATGGATGGCAGGGTTGAGTTGGTGATCCAGGAAATGCTCGCAAAGCAAACCCATACCACCGAACTATGGTGATCGTGTCCCTGCGGTGTGGCTAGATTGAAAGGATATCAAGCCTAACAGGGGAAGTGATTGGTTTGGGCCTTGGAAGAGGATGCAGAGAAATGATGGCGGATATAGCGGTGGCTTGTGTTCCTAGCAACGGCCACGATCTGCCTGCCGACTCGAAATTGCAAGACTTCACATGTCGTAACTAACCTGTGCTGCCACGGAAAGTTTGTCGGCCACAAACGCTCAACATCTCAAAGACTCCAGGCTGGCCGACAGCGCGACAACAGACGCTGCAATGTTTTAGATATGGGTACGTGCCTCTCATCGTTTCTGTCACGATATATTTTTTAGTGCCAAAGGACGAATTCCTCGGGGCAAGCTTTCTTGTACAGGCCTCTCGGATGTAATTGATATAGTTGAGAGTGGTAGATTGCTGCTTGTCGGTGAATGAGATCTGCAAAGCAGGCCGATACAGAGTCTGGAAGCGATGGACACACCCTGCAAGGCATGGTCTGACACTGACGAGCCTGAGTTCTTCGCACGGTGGGCCGAGACTGGCAAAAGGTTTCCAATCAGCTCTTCTAAGACGTGACTGACCAGACTCGAAGACAGGGCGTTTGTACAACAGGGCCAGCTGTGCAACAGGGACATTGGACAATCCTGGGACTCGGATCGGTTGTGGCTGAATGCTAGCGCCAAGGTACAATGCATTTATTAGTACTATACACTGTCCGGTTGGTTGAGACACCGAGCCATTGTTAAAGGAGAAAGAGACAGAGACAGAGACAGACGAGGACGACTGGCAATGTTTCCTGCCTTGAACCACGTTGTGAGTAATAATGAACCAGCGTGGTGGGGAGGGCGATCTCGGTGGCCTAGCACGCTGGTTCCCGTGGAGAGGATCTCGAGAGGTGTACCTAGGTAGTTTGGTATGTTTAAGGGTGTAACTGTACAGCATACAAGCGTCAGGGGGGTCGCGTAGCTGTGGCCATCCGACCTCAAGAGATGATGGGTATGTTTGTGCTTAGCCCATCATTATTCATTTGCCCCGGATCAACCAATGTAATGGTCACTTGGACAAGTTATCCGGGAAGACGTACATGAAGAAGGTGCGAGGTGGGCAATCGATGTCCCCACCGTGGCTGGGACGTGGCTTTCAGGAACCTTGTCACCATGAAACCACATGGGATTGACGGTGCGTGGAGTGAAGGAGAACGCCTGCTCTGACTCTGACAGGGCATTTTCCATGATCATCGAACGGGGCGTAGGCTGTAGGCGTCATGCGCAGTCAAGCGCCCATGCCGAAGAGTCTGCAACTAGATGAGTTTGTGTACTTGCTCGCAAGTGCTTGAGTTGGCTCACCGGTCAGGGACACGTCGGACTTTTGCTACACCAATAAAACGAGAGGAGATCGAGGGGATTCGATGGCCATGGGGTCATGACAGGCCCTGTGATTGTCTCTCGGTCCTGTCGCCTGCGCCTGAAGAGATATCTCAGATCATGCTGCATGTCGCGTCGCATGTGGAAGGATCAAATGCAAGAGTCTTGCAAGAAGGTAAGTGCGATGGGTCTGTGCAAAATGTCGACGACTGTTGTTGATGGCAAGAGCAACCCAGCATATGAGGCATCGGGAAGGTGCAGCAACCATGCATCCTTCCCTTCCTCCTCCCTCCCTTTCGATTTTTCCTCTCATTTCCCTCCCTCGTCCATCTCACTCTCGCAATCTCAATCTCTGTCTGTTTGTCTTTCTGTATGTCTGCATCTGTGCCTGTGCCACACAGAGTCCTCTCGCCATATGACTTGAGCACAACCAAGGAAATTTTTACGGTATTCGACGTTCTTCCTGCACCCTCATTTATTACCCAAAAGTCACGGAACTTTTGTGTCTCCTAAAACCTAGTCTCCTTGCCACTGGTTGCACTCGTCCCAATATCCCACCCACCCACCATAACTCTTCTCCCACGACGCCAGCTCGTCTCTTGATTGGATGTCTAGCCGTACCCCATTTTATCCACCGCTCATCCATGCTGAATCCCGCATTGGGCATCTCCTATCACATCTTGTCATTGGTGATAACCGACCCATCTCGAGGCGAAGTACTCACTCGTATCATTGCAGGTGCTACAGGAACAAAATGACTCAAGGCGACAGGAACACAGGCGACTTCATCCGCGGATTAGTCTGATAATGGAGCCCTACCGGCTGCTTTTCAATCATTGCCCTTCCTGCCTCGTTGCCTAGAGCCTCACTTTGGAGATGCGACCCACCGAACATTTCGCCATGATAAAAGATTCGGGCATCCTTTCATCTCCAACATCTTGCAACTCCAGATCCCAAAAAGGTCAGAAACCACAGTACCATAAACATGCCTTGAGACCGATGCACAATACCACTAACTAGGCTGTGGTGCTGCGTATGCCCACTCCTTCCATCTCCCTACCGTTGCTTTCTTTCCTCTCGTCCCCGGCCCGAATGCCACCTGCGACTCCGCCGAGCCTTCTCCCTCACCTTGTAGTTACCTCGAATTCTCCTTCTCTCCCTCAGCCCCATATCGCGCCGCCTTTTCCACCGACCTCGGATCACACATCATGTCTAGCATGGCATGGGACTCCGTCCTGGTTTTGGCTAGGTCGGACCGAGTCGAATGTAGAGATGACATCTTTGAGCCTTACAAAGATGAGATTCACCGGCTATATGTCAATGAGAGGATTCGCCTTAACGAACTCAGGGAGATGATGAAGCTCAAGTACGGTCTCGATCAAACGTAAGTTACTCCTGCTTGGCCAGAGACGCGCTCATCCCCTGCTCAGGGAGAAGCAATGGAAAACTATGCTTCGCCAGTGGAAATTCAAGCACAATTTGAATCCCAGTGACGCTGCCCACTGCTTGAAATTGCTCAATGAAGCCACCTCTCGGGGCTTGTCCCAAACCGTCATCTTTTCTGGTCAAAAAGTGACCAGGTCTTCTATCCGGAAATATATCCAAAGGTCTAGTCACATCAAGTCCGAGGCCGATTTGTTAGCCAAAATCAACCCCAATGAAACTGCTCCAACTTATATCAGACTTGCAAGTGCCACGCCCATCGTTCCGCATCAGCCTTCTCCTTCAACCTCAACTGTCTCGCCCGCAGTATGTCCGGGACCTTCGCATGTCAACCTGACCAAAGGCGCTCCAACGAATCAAATTGTGCGCTCGACCCAGGGGTATCATCTGCCTTCGGAGCATCGGTTCAGCGCGTCTCACACCCACCTTGGAAGTTTGGAATCGCTCATAGCCCCCTTCCGACCATCAGCTTTGGACGGTCCATCAACAACACCGCCCTCAACCGGTGCCCTGGATCGTATCAATATGGCACTCTCGTGCCACCCCATCGCCCTGGCTGACCCAGTCAGTCTGTCGGAACTCAACGAGCATCATGGCTATGGTTTCGACGAGCACGTGTGGGGCGACTTTAGTAGATGTCCTCAGGTCAACGACGCCACCCAGTTTTCCTCGACTTTCGTGGCCAACTCTTTGCGCTGGTGTATCTGCGACAGTCAAAACAACCGCAAATACGACGAACATGCCAACTATCACTTCCATACGGCCTTATGGTACTTTGCATGCATGCTAAGAGATTGCCCCCAACCCGGGGAAGATTGTATCTCTGCAACGAGCATTGCGATTGCCATACTCGAAAGCGTTGGCCAGTCTCGACGCCTGGCCAAACTGCTGGCGGAGTGTAACCAAGTCTCCACACAAGCACTGGGGTCGTCAAATCCTTTATCTAGGACATTGGGGTTTGCAGAAACGATCCTGCAGCTACGTGGATCTGGAAAACCACCCGCATATGACATCAAGCATCTCAAAAGTGTCCACCAAGAGATCTTGTCTCGTTATCCCCGCAGCCGAGGGCCCGCCTTGGTAGCCGAATTCAATGTGGCATGGGCACAACTCGAGATGAAGCAATATGAAGTCGCGCGCAAGGAGTTGCAAGGCATCTTCGCAGAATGTCAAAGTCATTTTGGTGCCTCTCACATGCACACCATCATGGCCCTTGCTTCTTTGGCTCGTGCTACCATGAAGCTGGGAGACATTCGAGAAGCAAGGCGAATTCTCGTGTCCGAAGTACGCCCCCGGATCAGGAGCAACTTTCCGGAAAATCACCCCTACGTTTGGGAGCTAGATCATCGGCAAGCCTTCATGCTCATGCAACTGGCGAAATTGACAGATGAGCATAATAAAAGTAATTATCTTCACCAGGCTGAGAACTTGTTGCGACATGTTGTCGTCAACCGCCATCACATCTTGGGTTCCAATAATCCCAAGTCCGTCCAGTCTTTCCGACTGTTGAGTGACGTCTTGGAGCAGCAGAATCGACATCAAGAAGCATATCAGATTTGGGAATGGACGCGAACCCAACTTCCACAGAGCAATGCCGGAATGTCTTGATACCCGTGCTGCCGGCAACGACTGTCGAATTGACTGCGAAATGTTCACCGTGCTGCAACAAGACTCATTTCATCTGAGATGTGCATAACGTTCGGGTGTTTGGCTTGGCCTCTGTGGGTGCGAGGAGGGGTCATTACTCCAACCATAACATCCCGAGGTTCCATAGTCACTGGTTGTGCTAGAGACGGACATCGTGCGACTCTTGAGGCCTGTTTCATTTGGATCGCGCGGCCAGTGGGATTTGATACGTTGCTCGCGGCTTGGCTCATTCTGAGGCGGTGAGCTCCCCAAAGCTGCCTCCGTCCCGGAGTCACTACCCATCGAGTCAAAGCGTCTCAATGGATTTATATGCATCGGAGGAATGGAAGACTGCGCTGCCCGGTCTGGGAGTCGATTACTGGCCCTCGCGTCTTCCCGCCGAATGAAGTCTCTGTTGGAATTGGAGCGGCCGTGGCCAGTGCCAGATGGATCCGAATGCAGTCGATCAAAAGATGCACCACGGTGCGTGTCTTCCTAGCGGGTTAGAGACGGCGCAGTAACGAACGACAGAGATGAGGGATATACCAAGCAGCCTCTCCTCGGATCTGCCTTGAATGGCGGGCGACACCGGCTCGGTCATTACAGACGACATCTGTTCTCTGGATTAACGGCGAGTCGGGCATGCTTCATTGCGCAATCCTTACTGAAGATTGGTGACGCATCATGTCGATGGCATACTCATCACCCTTGTCTAAGATTTAGTGACATCGAAACCGGCCGAGTAGTGCTGAGAGAGAAGCGCTCACTCTTCTGTCGACACCATGACCGTCACGTCCAAACCGATCCTTGATCTCTCTTTCAAGACTGTCTGAAGGCATCTCGCGTGGACGACGAATAAAGCCCCGCGGCATATTTCCACAATGTGCCTGATCAGAAGTTCGACACAGTTCAAATTCGGTTCGACCAGACGGTTGGGCTGTGGATGACTTTGACAACAAAGGGCAGGAAAGAAGTTGCGAGGTGGTTATATATTGGACGTGGGTGTGCATGATCGGTGCACGCATCGAGATAACGATAATGGTTCCAATGAGGGGAATGAGAGGGAGCACTGATGGCGGGGTAAGTGAGAAGCTTGGGAAGATTCCAAGTCAGTTGAGCCTCATGTCAACGCATGTCCTGATGACAAGACGTGCAGACACAGCGCAATCGTGACCAGCATGTTGACGGGGCCACGTAGCTGCGATATGCGGGTCGCGCAGCGGCATTGACTAGCATCTGAGCCCTTGATTGGTTTGAATGGCACTGGCAGCCAAAAGGCTCGCCAGTGGTTAGTCCAAATGGGTGTGAGGCACCTGACGGGATATCGCTTGCAGGCCGACCTGCATTACTTTTGCGGAATTAGCATGGGATTGATCAACATGATGCGAAATAACAAGCTGAGGACCGGCGCTGCAAAACCCTTGGACGAGAAAGTCTTGAGCTGATGAGTGGCGCTTCAAGATGTCTCTTGCACCTTGGGCGGCTCGAAGTGAGGCCCAGAGCTGCCATGTGACCCAAAGACTCTGACATGCTGAGATTAGCCCCTATGCATTGCATGTTGTATACTGGGCTGGCCGAATCCGAGACGCCTCGTGGCGCTTGTTATGCGTGGATCTAAGTCATTACAGACCCTGGCGCAAGCAGGATCTGCCGCGAGGCCATCCAACTGATCAATTGCCAGCAGGCGGACCAGAAAGGTGCGAGTCATCTTTCGACGGACCAGGTAAGATAGGACTGGCCTACATAGACATCAGCCTCTGGTTGTATGCAAAGCTAAAGGTTGATCAGGTGAACTCCGAGGCAAAGCATGTTGGTGTGGATGGGCAGTAGGAATGACGATGACAGACCTTCCCCGCTGGGGTGAATGGGAACAGACTAACATCATGTGGCATATGGAGCGACAGAAGCAAAGTTTCCGAATATTAGGGCTTTACCTGATCGCTTGTCCTGGTCTTGAACAAAGGACTCGACCGCTAACATGAGATGAGTTGTACGGACGACCAATTCTTGATGCAGGGGTCAGTGGTCAAGTATCAGCGAGGGTGGTCACCAAGACGTACCTTTGATCTCGACGATGAAGCTCATGGGAGTATCCGGATGATCAGGGAGACTTTGGACGGAAGACATGCCGCGGTGGGTCCGTACGGCGACGCGTAGACCGACATTCTTCTTATAATCAGTCCAGAGAACGGCCTTGTCGGTAGCGACGCCGGAAGAAGCGGTCGAGATTCTGGCGGGCAATTCTGAGCCAGCGATTTGGTCTTGATCATGAGGCTCAAGCGCTCGATCTTGTAGCCACTGTTTCCAGACACGCATGACACCTTGACCATGTTGAACAATATGAGCACTGCTCAAGAAAACACCTCTCCTAGGGCCAAATCGGACGAGCTGCGGGTAGACGCAGAATTGAACAAAAAGCTCATCGGGGTCAAGATTCAAGACATGGTGGATTTTATGGAAACCGCCGTCGCCACTGTCAGCATACAGAGGTTGCGTGTTTTCCCCCGAGGCGGTTTGGGATGGGACGGCGCCGGCGATGCGTCGCAAAGGAATTGAAGTTGCGATGGAAGGCGCCTCTGGGCGAAAGCGGCTATAGAGTGCACCCAATTTTGCGAACCTGCCGGGTTCCCGGAGACAATCTTGATAGAGGCTTCCCTCGCCTTCATGCTTGCTGCTCAGGCCGTCGGTGCCCAGATAGGTGCAGTAGAGATATGTATTGGCGCCAGAATTCCGACTGGGGTGATAAGCCTCCAGAATCAGTTTGCAGTCAGGGAGGGCGGCGGCGAGAAGAAGACGGAAATGGAGGATACGAAGGATGATGGAGTGGAATTGTCTGGAAACGACGACCCAGGGTAGAAGTTGGCGGGTGTCGAAGGCGGTCAGGATGGAAACAAGGATCTATCGTGTAAGAAAAGGAATAGTTGTTGCAAGCAGCATGATCATACCTCGTTTGGAAGTTGCTCCAAGGATGGAGGACATGTAGGATTCGCCATGTGGAAAATTGCCAGGCCAGCCAGGCGGTTGGGTGGGTTGAACGGTTGGGCACAATGACTTTAGAACCCAAGCGTATGACTCGGACTCTGGGGGACGTCGTCGACACGCTGGTCAAGGCGTGCTACCTGGCACTCTTTGACCATGTGGGAGAGAAGCAAAGCAAGAATGGATTGATGAAGTTGAATATTGACAAGGGCAAGGACGATTGGATGGTGGTGGTAGTAAATGGTATGAAAGAATAAGTCCGGCATTAGAGTTCCGTGTGTCATTGTCGGCCGATCTCGCAGTTTAGGTAGCGGGCGAAGAAATGCCAGTCAGGATGACCGAGTACTTTTGTGATGCGTACAAGTAGAATACCGCCTTTCCGAGTAATAAAGATAAGTAAATGGATGCTAGGGAATCATGAGATTATTCAGTCCACAATGCGCTCTTCAGTCCACACTATTCAGTGAATGGACAAATAAAGTACCTACCTTAGGTACCTACAAATTTACAGTGCCATGAGTGCCTGTGTGTGCTCGTAATAGGCGTAGTGGTTAGGTACCTAAGAAGGTACCTTCCTGAAGTGTCTACCAGCTAGGTACCTAGGTACCTAACCAACCTGAAGTAAGGTAACATGAGAATAATTCTGACATCACTCTCCATGTTAGTTATCACTGGAACTCAACAGACTTCGCACCCCTCAACCCCTCTTCGTAGGTTAGGTACCTTAGGTACCTGTGTAGCTTAGGTGCAGGGACTTATCACTTCCCGCCCTCCCCAGTCCCCCCCTCTCCCGCCTACAATCAATAAGTATACACTACTCCGTACATCTAACTGATCACAGACAGTCCTTTGATCACCCATCTATAGTCTCGGACGAGAGTATCTGTTGCCTTTGAGACTTGGATGATTCTGATAGAAAACTCGACGAGATGAATTCTCCACCCTCACTCTAATACTGTATCCATCCTCTTCAGCGTAGTGTTCCATCACTTCGTGCACGTCCAACCTTGACCCTATGACCCCACTTGATTTGTACATTGGTACTACCTACAGTACATCACTGTCGTAAAGTTTCCGCCACTCCCCCGTCCATCCAATTGTCCAAGGCACTCCGGCGATATAATAGACATGCTCATTGAAATCGGTCGGAGGTAGACTCATATGGGACCACCTACCACAAATTCCTCCCATTGTTTACTCAAGGATAAGGATGCCTGATCAAATCCTCGACGACATTTCCCATCGACGTTACAATCCTCTGCGGGGCAGTTGGATCCTGGTCTCACCGCACCGCACCAAGAGACCATGGCAAGGCGCTCAGGAGAACCCTGGCCTGATAGACCTCCCTGTCTACGACCCAAAATGTTATCTATGTCCTGGGAACGAACGTGCTTCTGGCGACAAGAATCCCCATTACGAAAACACTTTTGTCTTTGTCAATGACTACAGCGCGGTCAAGGAATCTCAAGATGACTACTCCTCGCCTGACGAACCTGGCACCCTGCCCGCCCTTCTCCTGCGAGCAGAGGCCGTCACAGGGAAATGCTATGTCCTCACCTTCAGTGCCGCACACAACATTACTCTAGCAGACATGTCTGCTCAAGAAATTCTACCCATTGTGAAGACATGGACAGACATCTACGCGGCTCATCTGTCGCCAACCTCACCCCTAGCCTCGCTTGCACATGCCACCCATCTGCCTCCCTCTAGCCCTCATGCCAGTCCCGCTACACCCCACCAACAATATCGGTGGATGCAGATTTTCGAGAATAAAGGCGCAGCCATGGGATGCTCCAATCCCCACCCCCATGGCCAGATATGGACCACCACCTCCTTGCCCGAAGAGGCCGCCCTCGAACTGTCCCAACTGACCAAATACCACCGTGAACAAGGCGGACTGCATCTTTTGCTCGACTATGCTCGGTTAGAACAACAAAAAAAGGAGCGGGTCGTCTTTGAAAATGACAGCTTCATTGTGATATGCCCTTGGTGGGCAACTTGGCCATTCGAGACCATGATTCTTCCCATCAGGCATATCCGCTCTCTCGTCGACTTGAGCTGCACCGAGCAGTTACATCTCGCCGAGGCCATTGCCGACATTACTCGACGCTATGATAACCTCTTTGAGACGAGCTTCCCCTACAGCATGGGCATACATCAAGCCCCTTTGGATGGCACGGCTGAAGAGATACAAGTCTCCACTCTCCACCTTCATTTTTATCCGCCTCTCCTCAGGAGTGCGACGGTCCGAAAGTTCCTGGTTGGCTATGAACTAATGGCCGAGCCGCAGAGAGACATCACACCCGAGCAAGCCACGACACGACTGCGACTCTGTGGTGGGGAGCTCTATCGGAATCGTCTTCAAAAGCCAGAAGAACCGCTGCAGTCACCCTCGGCCGATGACAAGATTGCGTCGTGATCTCTATTTCAAGTAAAAGTTATACTGCGCGATACTCCAGCCAGTGCCAATCCATGACACAATTACGGGCGCAAGCCACGGGCCCGAAGGCGGGCTGGTCTTGTACACAAAGGCCTCGAGGAAATAGTGGACGGCACCGATCAAGTTGGAGATAATCTGTAAATGGTACCAAGAAGGTTCATTGATGTGATACGCAGCAAAGATCCTAACCGCACCCACTGCAAATGTCCACGTTCCAAAAGTTCGGGCAGAGAGAGGAGTGACAGGAGATGTCAGCGCTGGGTTAGCTGGCTTGGACTTCGAAGTGGCCGCGGTGCCAGGATAGAGTCGTTGCGTGTACGACAAGGTAGTGTAGCTCTGGACAGCATTGATTATCGCGGTAGTGCCGACCTTGAATGGCATCAGCCTGGCCACATACGAACAACAGACCGAGGGGATGGACTGGAGACTTACGAAGAGAATGTAAAGTGGGAGATAGCCTTCTGACTGTGGCAGAAGAGACAACATGGCTGGCTTCGACCAGGCGTCAAGCGCAGGAACTTTTGACACAGAGCACAGAATTCGGGGTCAGGTCCTATTGAAATCTATTCAATTGACAGGAGAGAAGCCACAGTATTGTATATACGTGTAAGATTAGTTGAATACCTCGAGATAAGCCGGCAATGTAGATTTCCCAAGGTTGTCGCAGTTGGTGTAGGTGAGAAATCTTGGTGGCCTGGGACCTGAAGATCAATTTCCACATCAGGTTGGGAGAAGTGACTGCAAGCCTGCACCTGCCACGCCTGCAACACCTGCGCCACCTGCGCAGTGCCACCAACAGTTCCTCTACTCAACATTTCGATTCTTGTTCAACTTCGCCGGGGCTTCACGAGTCCAGACTTGTTCTCTTTACAAGAAACAATCGACATCGACAGTCAGCCCCCAATCCCACCATGACTCTCGACCTTGGGCCTTTTGGCCAACAGTCGCCGCTGTCCGCCGCTTTCTTGGGACTCGGCCTCACCACCACCGCCTTCATCTCCTACCAGATCCTCCGCGTCCTCCTGAGCATCTTTGTCCTTCCTGGCAAATCTTTGGCCAGCTTTGGCCCCAAGGGCTCATATGCATTCGTCTCAGGCGCCTCAGATGGCATTGGCAAGGAGTTTGCACTTCAGCTGGCGAAGAAAGGATACAACCTCGTATTGGTGTCTCGAACTGCCTCTAAACTCGACGCCCTCACCACTCAGATAAACGCATCCTCGCCCGGTGTGGTGGTTGAGACTTTGGCTGTCGACTTTGCTCAGAACAGAGACTCAGACTATGCTGCCCTCGCGGACAAGGTCCGTGGAAAGACCGTTTCTATCCTGATAAATTCTGTTGGCGTATCACATTCCATCCCCGTCGAGTTCATTGACACGAATCTCAAAGAATTGAGCAACATCATCAATGTCAACTGCCTAGCCACCCTGCGAATCACGCAGACCGTCCTGCCCAGCATGCTTCCCCAAAAGAAAGGACTGATCTTGACCATGGGTTCTTTTGGAGGGCTGTTGCCGACACCCTTACTGGCAACCTATTCGGGATCCAAAGCCTTCTTGCAGCAGTGGTCCAATGCTCTGGCGGGCGAACTACAGCCCAAGGGCATCCATGTCTACTTTGTCCATTCATACCTTGTCACATCGGCCATGTCCAAGATCAAGCGCGCCAACTGGCAAGTCCCGTCTGAGAAGACCTTTGTCAGATCAGTGCTTGGGAAAATTGGCCGTCGAGGCGGCAGCATTGGTTTCACCCATAGTGGATCCCCGTATTGGAGTCATGCCTTGATCGCCTCGTTCATCACCGGTGTCTTGGGACCATTCCATTCCATACTCCTGGCATTCAACCGGTCAATGCACGTCGACATACGCAGAAGAGCACTGAGAAAGGCAGAGAGGGAACGAGGACAAGGCAAGAAGACATCTTAGAGGGTCGACAAGCCATGGTGCGTCAGTGTATGCCTAGTCATGAGGCGCACTCCGTAGTAGAAGAGCCCCCTAAGACATCTAGGCACAAACAACATTGTACACATAGAATATGACGATATTTGAAAGAATTGAAATGTTGAATGCAGTTTTCGAGTACCTCTAGGCTTCCTGATTCTCCGATTGGCGGATAGTTTGGTGACGAACGGGGCCACGGGGCCACCTCGGCCGATTCACTTCTACTCATTATCTGAGTAGAGATGCCCCTCCTCACAATCAGAACAACAACTCAATCATCCACAGCTCCTCGAGGGCAACTCAACCTTCTTCGGTACTGGCTACCCTCACTATTTGCCCAAGCCCAACCCTTTCTATCAAGCGCGTGCAGGTCATGCTGCTTGCTTGCGTTCTATTACGACAACCAGTCAAGTGATGGCACGCGTTGATGTCAGCCTTCGACTTCGACAAGCCGTTCTTCTCAATGACCTGCCCTTGGTGCAACGGCTTCTCAATGCCCACCCTGCCTATCTGCACAACCCCGACCTTTCAGATAAGAGCAATACCTCCCTCCATCTGGCTGCCCAATGGGGCATGGAAGAGATTGCGGTGAGTCACAGTCTATGCATACCTCCGTCCCTGCGTCACTCTAATCCAAGGAGCATGGTCCATTACCCCGACCTGGTTGCTAAATTCCACCCTCAGGAATACCTCATCTCGATCGGCCACGACTCGTCCCCACCAGTATACGGCTGGATCTATAGCAACAGCAGGAACAACCAAGGCATCTCGGTCAATACGGATGGGCAATGCGCCTTGCACATAGCCGCGGCCGCCTCACAGTCAGCCGTGGTGGCTCTCCTGTGCCAACAGTTCCCTCAGACCGTCACAAGGAGAGATCGCCGAGGCCAGACGCCGCTCCATCTTGCTTCGGCGTCTCAAATCGTTGCCACACCATCATACATCCTACGCACAGGCACGAAACCGCCGCCACGGTCACCAGAGGAAATCACTTGTATTACGACACTGATTGCGAGTGGAGCTGATGTCAATGCACGGGACGAGCTGGGAAACACATGCTTGCACAATGCAAGTGCCTGGGGGAATCTCAAGGCGGTCAGGGCATTGATCCAAGCTGGGGCGAATCCGTTATGCAAGAATAACGCGGGCTGGACTCCCGAGTTTTACAGTATCACTGTGCAGGCCGAAGTCTACTATCGCGGATTGGTCGCGGAATGGGAAAAGAAAAAGGAGGCAGAGGAGAAGGGCGTTGGTGAACGAGATATGGAGAGAGGAAAACGCAAAGGGATGGGCATTGGTGGTGTCAGACTCGTAATGAGGGATGATGCGAGTGACGACGACGATGACCGCGTCGGCGGCGGCGGTGGCGGTAGCGAACAAGGACGAGGAGATGTCGGCCAGGGAAGAAGTCGTGCAAGTACAAGTACGAGCAGCGGCAGGAGTCAGTTGACCACATCAACAGGAGATGGCAGTGATGCTGACGGATGATTCACGGGCCAGAAATGTAATCCTAGAGTCAGTCGAATTCCTACTCGAGCAAGGCGTTGGCAGGGGTGATTCGAGACTATAGATGTCCTGATTTCAATGAATTACAATTCCAATGCAGGGCAACGATCCTGCTGGGTCGGCGTTGTAGCTTTCGTATGATAATATATGCATCAGGTGGTAGTCAAAGGTGCTGAAGGGCGCTGGTGACTTTGAGGAGCCTTGAAGACAGCAACTGGTTTGACGAGCTCTTAGGCTTGCGTTTACACATAATTACCTTAACTACCTACCTACCTAGGTACCTTAGTATACCTGGTACGAGAGCATGTCTTAGGGCCGAGGGGCCCGGGAGAGGGAGCTTGGGGCCAGGGGCGACAGATTCATTGGCCGACGACCTACTTAATGTACCTACCTAATGCTTTTACTACCTCCTCATAAGCTAGGTACTCCGTAGGTACCTTTGCTGACTGCAAGGATCCGCATACACATGTCCAGTCCAAGCTTGTCACTAAGTCGCCGTTTACTCCTATTTGTCTCTCGTACTAAACTAAGGCTGGTGGGATGGCTGGCACTGTCCCCTGTGCCCCTCCTTTGGTCATCTACTCCGTATGTCACCAGCACCAACCCCAGACTATGATCCACACTGCTTCTACGGGCGAGGTATGCCTCTTGTCTAAAGTCCGACCCGCCTTGAGGTGCTGCCTGTGTGCCTTCACCTCTCTATACCCGTCCCAGAACGAACCCTGACCCTCGTTTCGGATTCCTCGTTCGACTTGGATTGAGACCGCGGATCTCGTATTCCTCTCCGCCCATCACGTTCCCTCACCGAAAGCGAGAGCCAGATCATCATCACACCCACGACCAGGCACCGTCTCCCGTCAGCTTCAGCCGGTTCTGATATTCCACCAACTCCAAATCCAACGCAGAAGAGCAGGAAACCATGGCCAGTCCTGCTCACTGCTATTTTTGCTTCGAAGTCCTCACGGCCAGTTATGAGAAACGGACGCCGCCTTCGTTGAACAAGGTCCTCGATGCCTATGACAAATACACTGCCAGCCATGACGCAGCAGAAGAGCATGGAGAAGATCAACTAGAACCACCTCAGCCGGGAGAACAAGTGGATGATGACCAAGATGAACACGAGGAAGCCAACGACGACAACAAGGAAGAGGCTCAGCGAATCACTCGACGCGCTGCACCCACCAACCCGAGTATCTCACGCCTCCAAGCGTCTTCTTCCTCATCTCGCTCCTCCTCCACATCCTCGCCCTCGGTCAAATCGTCTTCGTCCTCCAATACACAATATTCCAACGCTTCAAGCGACACGACGACCACCACTCTCTCCACCACTGCCCCTCCCGTAGACTACTCACGAGTCTCGTTGACCGAGTCATATCCTCTCTTCGTCACCTGGAATACGCTATCTCGCTCTGGTCACAAGTCTTTACGTGGCTGCATCGGCACATTTGAACCCTTGCCTTTGGCTTCGGGTCTGGCTTCTTACGCTTTGACGTCTGCATTCGACGATACCCGCTTTTCCCCCATTCCCCCGTCCCTTGTCCCTTCACTGTCCTGCTCTCTGACCTTGCTAGCCGATTTTGAATCTTGTCGCGATGCCCTGGATTGGACCTTGGGCACACATGGCCTACGCATTAGTTTCAACCATCGCAACCGCAGACATGGCGCGACATATTTACCCGATGTCGCTGTGGAACAAGGTTGGACCAAAGAAGAGACGGTCGAAAGTCTCATGAAGAAGGCTGGTTGGGACGGGGGATATGGTCATGGCGTTGCCCGGAGACTGCTCCGTGGCGCTGGGCGGAACGAGCAGCAACAGTCTACAAAACCGTGGGAAGAGGTCGCGGACTTCAAGGCGGTCAGATATACCGGGTTGAAATCCACCGCAGGTTACGCCGAGTGGAAGGAGTGGAGGGATTGGGTAGACAAAACTGGAAGTTTCTGAAATGGCAGAAGCGATGTGGCAGGGCGGACGACCTGAAGGTGGCCGTGGTGTTCTGCACGTGCAGATCATCCCTCAATGCAGAAGAAGTCCGGGCAAGGAGCCATATAACAGCAATAGAAGACTAGAGGGTTCCTCAAAGGACATCTGATTTGATATAAAACTAGAGATACGAATTGATGACCACGAAATGACATGAGTTGAGGTAGTTTTGTGTGCTTCCATATGGAGACATTGCAGCATGCTGGACCTGTCATGCTGAATCGATTGACTCCCCTGTCCAAACGAGAGCATATTGTAACTTGATAAAGTGTTGTATAGAGGAAGGGTTTAAAGATGGTGTAGAAGACTGTTGGTGGACCAAGGGTCTTGGTTAGGTTTATTATGTCATCCAGATTGAAACTGCAGGTGAAGGGGCAGGCAAGCGCAGATCTGGCCCGAGGGCCCTGCAGCTTCTCTCGTATTGGTATTATTGTAATTATTGTATTGGCTGCAGGTGCTTCCGTTCCTTCGCTTTGAATCTCGAACTTTTTTCGACAAACCCGGCCACAGCTCCAATACGTCCCTCACCATTCCCTCCAGCATCGACACATCGCACATCTCACATCTCACATCTCACATCTCACATCTCACATCCCATCTCTCTTTCTATGTTTTGATCCATGGCTGGTTGTATCCCTAGCTGACTAACTAACCAATCTGCTTAACCCTTACCTCCTCTGTTCTGGTTGCTTCCAGCCTCGAAAATGCGCCTGCGGCACTCTACATCGCGATTGCCGCAGACGCCCTCGAATCTGTCCACATCAGCTTTCATTTGCACCCGTTGCTTGAGCTCAAAGCAGTCGTGGTCATGCTCCTCAGCACGTTCCTCTAAAAGGCAGTTTACTTCTTCTCCGCCAACCTCATCGGCATGGGCCGCCGCCGTGTCCAAGATCCAAAGTACCGTCAGCGATATCCTACCCTCCTCGCCTCAACGAGCAACCGGTAACGTCACCATCGACCCTCTCCGCGTCGTTGCACAAGAACTCTCCTTCTTGAGTAAGAATATTAGGCAGCTGTTGGGCTCCGGCCACCCCGTCTTAGCCACTGTCGCCAAATACTATACCCAGAGTGAAGGAAAACATGTCCGACCACTTTTGGTCCTGCTCATGTCTCGAGCTACCGCCTTTGCTCCCAAGCAACCCCGATCTTCTTCGCCCAGCAGTAATAGCATAGACGCCCCAATCTCTCCACCCACAGTCTTGTCCGATAGAAACCCGGACCAGGAACCGTCGTCGTCGACGCCGCTTTCAAACTCCAGCAATGAAGCTGATTATGCCTTTCCCAACGACACAACCATCCTCCCATCTCAGCGCCGCCTAGCAGAGATTACCGAGCTCATCCACACTGCATCTCTTCTCCACGACGACGTCATAGACCATTCTACCACCCGACGCTCATCGCCCTCTGCGAACACCACTTTTGGAAACAAGATGGCTGTCCTGGCTGGGGACTTTATGCTTGGTCGAGCATCTGTTGCCTTGGCCCGTCTTCATGACCCTGAGGTCATTGAACTTCTAGCCACAGTTATAGCTAATCTAGTGGAAGGAGAATTCATGCAACTGAAAAACACAGCCTCTGATGAGAAGAACCCGATCTGGAATGAGCAGGCCATTACCTACTACCTACAAAAGACCTATCTGAAATCCGCTAGTTTGATCAGCAAGAGCTGCCGGGCAGCTGCCTTGCTTGGCCAATGTGCCCCCAACGTGGTCGAAGCAGCTTATCAGTACGGCAAGAACCTGGGACTGGCCTTCCAGCTCGTTGACGACATGTTGGACTATACAATCAGTGGCCAGGAACTAGGAAAACCTGCCGGCGCTGATTTGGAACTGGGCTTAGCAACGGCCCCCTTGTTGTTTGCTTGGAGGAGTCGGCCAGAGCTCGGCGTTCTGGTGGGGAGAAAGTTTGCCAAAGAAGGCGATGTCCAGAAGGTGAGTAGCAATCACTCTATTCTTTATTTCTCACCCTAGAGACGGATCCGCAGTGACTGACTGGAACCCCTTCATGTTCTAGGCCAGAGATATTGTGAACAACAGTGACGGTCTCGAACAAACGCGAGCCCTGGCTCAGGAATATGCAGACAAGGCTGCTGAGTCAATCAGAGTCTTGCCCAGTGGAGAGGCCAGGGATGGACTCGAAGAGATGTGTATCAAAGTGATGAAGCGCCGGAAATGAGACCAGTCGAGGCGGAAACGCTCGACAATCTCTCTTCCTTTTATGCTCAGAAAGTATGGTTCTTTTCGGCGACATTTCAAGTCGTCGAGCATACCACAGGTACCAATGGCGTAACCAGCTGAATCTCCGACCAGATAAACCCTCGGGATCGTGTACATTACCTACCAAAGAGCACGGACACGAGGGACCTACCGTGCTATCATTCATCCTATAGAAGAATCGACATATATATGCATGAGCATTCCAGTGCATCACTTGGGCTTTTATGCATCTCCGTATTACATTATTGCTCTATAAACTTCGCAGCACTCAACCACCACGTGTCAAGGCCTCTTTCTGATTGGACCAAAGCAAGAGTATCTAACCCAGAGGGGGGACTTCTACCGCATCCAGAACCAACTTCACATCACTCGTCCTCATGCACCGTCCCCCTCAATCTCATCAATCTCAGCGTCTATTTCTGGCATCCTCTTGCATGGTCTCTGTTTTCTTTCCTCTGCATGGCGTCCCTCTTCCTTTCCGTTGTCAGCCTCCAACAAATGTCACAGTTACCGTCTACATGAACTGAGCAATCCGATATCACCTCCTCCGTCCGGCTGTCCTTCGCCCCACACTCTGTGCCAGAGCCGCCAACATGGTACAGGCTCCCATGTTATCCAGTCCACTCAAGACAACCTCCGAAGTGGACTGGATCACTCCTCTCAAGTCCTACATCCGCACCACCTATGGCGATGACCCTGAAAAGTACTCGGAAGAGACAAACACCTTGAACCGTCTGCGGCAAGACATGAGAGGCGCAGGCGCCGACAGTGCCAGCGGTCGCGATCTCCTCTACAGATACTACGGTCAACTTGAACTTCTCGATCTGAGATTCCCCGTTGACGAAAATCATATCAAAATCTCCTTCACGTGGTTTGATGCCTTTACCAAACAGCCCACCTCTCAATATTCCCTCGCCTTTGAAAAGGCCTCGGTCATCTTCAACATCGCTGCCGTCCTGAGTTGTTACGCCGCCGTACAGAACCGTGGGGAAGACAAAGACCTCAAGACCGCATATCACTCCTTCCAGGCTTCTGCCGGCATGTTCACCTACATCAACGAGAACTTCCTCCACGCGCCTTCCACCGACCTCAGTCGAGATTCGGTCAAGATATTGATCAACGTAACCCTAGCACAAGCCCAGGAAATCTTCCTCGAAAAGCAAGTCCGCGATGGAAAGAAACCTGCACTCATGGCAAAGCTTGCTGCCCAGGCCGCCATGTTGTACGGTCAGGCCAGGGAAGAGCTGGAATCCGAACATGCACGTGGCGTATTTGACTCCGCCTGGTTGAAACTCGTCCAGATCAAGGCACTACACTTCTCTTCCCTCGCCGACTACTACCAATCACTGGCCGATGAAGAGCAGAATCACCAAGGGATTGCTATTGCCCGCCTCCAAACGGCCGAAAAGGCCAGTAAGCAGGCATTCACTTACGCCAAGGCATTCCCAGGCACCCCTTCACCTTCTTCCAACTTGGGTTCAGACACAGCTTCTACCATGCAAGCCGCCACCAAAAGACACTGGGAGACTGTTCAAGAGAAGCTCACTGCCTTGGTCAAGGACAATGATTTCATCTACCACCAGACCGTCCCCGTCGAAGCATCCCTGGCCGCCGTCGGCAAAGTTGCTGCTGCAAAGGCCATTCCCCTATCTGAATTGTACCAAGGCCAGGACATCCAAAGAATAATCGGACCTGATATTTTCCAGAAAATCGTTCCCATATCCGTGACCGAGACGGCCAGCATGTATGACGAAGAAAAGGCAAAGTTGATCAGGTCAGAAGCGGAAAAGGTCGAACAAGCCAACGGTGAAATGGCTGCTAGTCTGGACTACTTGAAGTTACCGAGCAGCCTTAATGTTTTGAAGGGTGGTGCGGATTCGGACTTTAGTATTGACAAGGAGTTTGAGAGATGGTGCCACGAGGTCGCCCAAGGCCAACCTTTTAACCCTGCTTTTGATCGATTGCAACGCGAGAAGCAAGCCGTGGTCGATAGCCTAGCGAGGAGTTCCAAGCAGCTCGACATGGAAGAAAGTGTGTGTGAAAAGATGAGATCGAAATATGGTTCAGACTGGACTCAACAACCCAGCTCGAGACTGACCTCAACTCTCAGAACCGATGTCAAAAGTTACCGTGATACAATCGACGAGGCTGCCGCAAGTGATATGCAGCTCTTTGCAACCGCACGACAGTATGAAGCTGATTTCGAGGAAATGAGGAGTGCCTCCGAGTCCGGCGAGGTTGATGTCTTCTATCAACAAGCGTTGATCAAAGTTGGATCAGGATCCAAGGCCAAGGCTAAGACCGAAGGCTCACTACTTGACGAAGACTATGATGAGGGTGGTCTTTCTGTTGCCGAACAGATTGCCAGAGTTGAGGAGCTCTTGAAGAAACTCAATCTGGTCAAGAGAGAGAGAATGCAAGTGCTGAAGGACCTGAAGGAGAAGGTCCATACTGACGACATTTCCAATGTGTTAATTTTGAACAAGAAATCCATCGCCAACCAAGAAGCACAATTGTTTCAGGCCGAGCTGGAGAAATTCCGGTCTCACCAAAATCGACTCATCTCCACCGTCCACAAGCAATCATCGCTCCTCAAAGAATTGACCAAGACCTATGGAGATTTGTTGCAGGACAAACGAGTCAGAGCGGACCAGCAGCGGTACGACTCGGTCCAGAAGGGGAGGAATGGGGTGTTGAACCGATACAAACGGGTTCATAATGCCTTTGAGGATTTGACGCAGGGCTTGTCACGAGCTCAAGGTTTCTACAACGAGATGAAAGAGAGCGTGGACAGCCTGGAAAAGAATGTCGAATCATTTGTTAGCAATCGACGGGCAGAAGGGGCCCAACTCTTACACCAGATCGAGCAAACGAAAAACAACGCGGCGGGAGGTCAGGCAGCGGCTGAACAAAAGAGAATGCAAGACTTGATGAAACGACTATCCATGGAACCCAAAGCCGCGTCTCCCTCACAGCCAGAAGCTCCGCCCCTTCCTCCGTTGCCGATGAAACCCTCTCGGTCTCCAGCCCCTTTGTCCCCTTCCTATCCTACCACCAACGCCGACCCTCGCTTCACAATTCCTCCGCGACATTCACCAGCGCCTGTTGTGCCAAATGGATATTCGGGGAACTTGCAATCAACCTCACAGCCCGCTGGAGCTTCTCCAATCGATTCCCAGCATGCCTTTGCTCAAGGTGCTGCAACGCCCCTGTCTACTGGCTATAATCCCATGGCGTACCCGGAGCGGTCAATCACGTCTCCGAACCAACAGCCACCCCAATCTCAACCCGTGTCCCAGGCGTATGGCTTTTCACCCGTCACCTCACCTCCTCCATCTACACATAACCCTTACTTTCCGCCTCAGCACCAGCCGCCATATCAGCAACAAACTCCGTCCCACGCCCCTTTAACATTCACTGCACCAAGTCAGTCATATCCACCACATGCTCAGTATGGCTATCCCGCTCACCAACCACAACCACAACATCAGCCCTACGCATCCCACTCACCACATCCTCAACCACAGCAACACCAACATGCTCCTTATCAGGGTTACCCTACCGCAACGTCGCCGCCTTACGGATTCCCTCAAAACTATGTGCCGCCGCCGCCGCCCCCTGGTCCACCTGGTGGAGGATCTACGACTCAATATCCGGCTAATCCTACAGGTGTTTGGGCAAGCGGACCCGGCGGCTACGCGAGCTATACGGCACCGGGAAGATTTGGGGCCGGTGCTGGTCCGACACAGCCAGGACAGCAGCAGAGCGGTGGAAGTGGAGGAACAGGGGAGACGGACCCATGGGCCGGTCTAAGTGCGTGGAAATAACCGGGGAGGTAAGCAATGGCGTTGAGAGCACAGAGAGACGGAACCGGAAAGTCTGCGCAGGCTTGTGAAGCTCGGCGTCAGGCCGAGTGGAGGTGATATGTATTGAGATAAGCAGAGTGGAATACATTTCCAGGGGTGGTTTGATTTATATGACCGAATCGACTTGTCAAGGAGTGCCAGGGGCATTATGAGGGCTGTGGAGGTGGATTGAACCACGATTGTACTAGGTAGAAGGCTTGAGGATAGTCAACTTGGTCGGCGACAGGTCATGACAGTAAGTAGAATGGCTATGTGATGAAACAGAATATAAGCAAGGAAACTCAGGCAAACCACAGACTAGGGACTGAGAGCGCAAAATGCTTGTAGGCATGGTGATAAGTACCTAGGTACCTATTGACACTTCACCTGAAAGCAAGTCGGATGCCCGATCATGACTCTGTAGACACTTGAGACGGGAATTGATGAGACGGCGACGAGGACGCCCGCACTAAACCCAGGCCGATGACCTGCGAGGTTTGGGACACGTACATGTCGATGATAGAACGGCGAGTGAAGTCGGATCTAGATGGACCGGGCGTGGAATATGTTCCGCATGTCTTTGGACGCGAGCTGAGGCCTGAGAGGGCTGAGAGGGCTGAGATCCCATTCGTATTATTATTTTGATATTGTTTCGTCTAGAGAGTAAACGGCGCCGTTTGATCTCCACATTCCCCGCATTAAGTATGAACATCGAGACTCCACTCATCAACTCGATTGAGATTCGCCGTCGATGTAGATGATGAATAATCAGCATGTGATACATCAAGCTCATTACTCCGTACATTCGTGTTTGTGTTTGCGGGGGGGGGGGGGGGGGGGGGGGGGATGTTTTGAATTTGTTGATAAGTCGGTCTGTGGTAGGATCTGGTTGCATGTGACAAAATATCTGCGAGTGATGCATGCCTCGCAGTCCCGCCTGCTTCGATGGCTGTCATGTCTTTATTGGAGGAGATATCAGATAGAATCATGTGCAAAGAAATCTCCCAATCGGCAGCACATGTCCTCCAAGATTGCCTTCTACGGTCGCTTGAAAGGCAGTTTCACGTCAAGGTTTCAGATAAGGTCGAGGTCGCATATGGGGTATGATTTCCAAAAAGAGTCAATGCGCGGACAAGCACGGACGGTAGGTGAGCAGCGGGTAAAGGATACCCGGACTCCTTTGATCTCGAGTAACATCACGGGCTAGTTTTGGCTAGTAATGATTCTTCGAGGAGAGGAGGAAGGATGACTGTTGATTGATGACGCTAGAGTAGTTCATATGACCTTCTTGGAGAAACCATGGAGATGGTGTTAAAGGTTCAATTGGAGAGCGCAGCTGTGTAGAGGTATGGCGAGGAATGAAGATCGCACCGTTCCTGATTACGAGGCCGGGGCGTGTTGTCGGTAAATGAATCTTAAGAATAAGGTTGAGGGGAAACATGGCGAAAGTTGTGCAAAGGCTTCGCACATAGTACGTCAACTCTAAACAACTATGGCCGCTGATAAACCCTTGGACAGGACAGGAGTCATGGTGACCCATCCGATACTCCAACGTCGGCAAGGACAGAACTTTGTCATTAACCTGGATTGGTGAGGCGGTTGCTGGTCACCCATGTTGGCCAAGGCTCATGGAAGATGGTTCCCTGGTTCCATGGTTCCATCCAGCTTATCGCAGGCAATGGCAAGCGGCTGCCGCGGAAGATCTTGGGCATGACACGGGTTGATATTGCTGTCGTGTGTGAAAGGGATGCGAGCTCACCTATAGACAGCCATCGTCGGCGGAAGAGGTTCAAGTGAAGGCCCCGGCAGAGTAGGAAGAAACACGAAAAGTGCAAGTACGCGGTCGAAAGGGGGTTGGGTTGTTGCACATGTCGCACATACTCTCATATAAATTGTAAGAAGCAGGCCGTAGCCTTTACGTGTGGGGGTGATTTGCAATGCTTTGCTTTAGAGTTCCAAACACCTGCCAGGGATGCGGGCGAAAGGGAGTCGGTTAGGGACAGGGAGATGGTAATCCTCTGTCGACCAGTAAGGTAGCCTGGTGGTGTTGGGGACGGAGTAGGTGGGATGGTGCAGAGAGCGGTCAGGCAAGACCGAGTGACGTCGCGAGGGCATCAGTGGAAAGCCGGGGAGAAAGTTGGGGAGGTCAGTTGTTGAAGGCGGCTGCGGCCCATCGTATTCGGTGAATTGGTCGAGCGTAGTCAAGGATAGGGACGAGGTGGTGAGAGGGGATTGGTGTTTTGGCGAGCGCCAACTTGAGTTGCCAGGATTGAGATGATGCGCCATGGCTGGAGATGATGGAAAGCCCAGTCTCAGTGGATCATGTCGGTCAGAAGAGAAACCGGGACAAGACGATGACCTAAGGATATGTTAGAATAGTGCCATCTAGAATAGTGTCATCGTGTCATTGTTTGGGGGGAATTGCTTGGTCAAGTTGGAGTCGGGGAAAAAGTCTAATAGTGTTGGAAATCAGAGGATGACATTCATCACGACTCGTGAGAAGGTGGCTGATCCAGATTGCATGTGGGTGATTGTGTACGTACGAAGTACGCGATGATACCATGTTGACAGTCATCGGGACAATTTGCCAAAGTGAGAGAAGAGGATCAAAAGAATATTGTAAGAGCAGAGTTAAAGCCCCACCGAGGACAGATAAACTGCAAGTGTAAGTAATCAGTAGTCGGAGTCGGTAGTGTTGGTCGCGTCGGACGTCCGAAATGAAGTGGGCACGGAACACTGGGGAAAGAGATACAGTTCGTTCGTCTTTGTCTTTGTCCTTGTCCTTGTATTCTCATGGAGGTTTGTTTGGTCGAGCAAAGGAAGCATAAGGTAACGCCCGCAAGGCGAATCGGACTGACTTTTGTGCGGGTGAATCTCTTGTTTCTCACGTTGGCGAATGGATCCATTGACCCATTGACCCATTGACCAATCATCGACATTCTTCTCTCCTTCCCCACAGAATTGTCGAACTCAACATCTCCTGCAAGTGCCTGCCGACGTGCACTTGGCTCCCTCGCTCTTTCCCCGCGACACCGTCAAATCTCCATAGCCTTCCACATTCGTTACGGCCAGTACCCCGGGGGGAAGGAGTCTATGGAGATCTTGGACGGGGAAAGTTCGAGTCGAGTCAAGGAAAGAGGCGGAGGGGCGTCGGTAGCGCCTGGAGAAACCTTTGTCCAGCGTGGCTTCTGTCTGGTGCCAGAAGACCTCGTCAAGTTAGACAGTCCCAATTCCTCCTCACCTTGACCTTCAATCTGCCAGCACCCCCAAAAAGTAAAAAACAAAAGACAAAAGGTGCGGAAACCAAGCCTTGCATGGCAGCCAGGGGGGTGTCAAAGGGACATGCACGACGCTGGCTGCAGATCAGCCATTCTCTAGCTGATAAGCCCCGTGGACGGCTAACCTGGACTGATATGCTCCGTCTCGCAGAGTCAGATCAGGTCAGGTCAGCCGGAGGACAATCAGCATGATTATTCACACGGGTTACCATGATAAACAGGCATCGCTTGGATATCAAGCGAATCCGTGAACTAACGCCAGAAAGTTATGATTATCCTGGAAACACTGCACCCGCACACGTCGTCCCAATGGGCAAGCTTTCCATGAATATCCGTTCGACTTTTGTTTTCCGCATCAGTTGCGTCTCGGTGGCTGGTTTGTAGGGCTCAGTACGCGGAATGTGGGGGAACGAGGGAAACGGGGATGATCTCTAATCCCCACGGCATTTCCCCACCGCCTGCCGAAATGTTCGACCCTGCTACTTATTATTACTGTGACCAATGTCGCATACGTGTCCGCAAAAAGTGGGCTGACGATAGGAAGTGTTTGAGCGTGTTCGCCAGCACCAGATCAAGAATTGAATCTGACCGTCCGTGCCGTGATAAGAGTAGTGAAGAAGAAGGAACAACAACATCAACAACATCAACAACCGCGACGATCCTCTATCGGACACTCCATCAGTCCGTCCTCCGGGTACTGGCTGGCTGGCTGGCTGGCTTGCTGGTAGGTTGGTCATTATTTTTTGTCTCTTTGCCGGATGCTACTCCAGAAATCCTGTCATGACCCAATAATGCAAGGATCCATGTACAGCTGTCGATCCAGACTCTGACGCTCTGCCCTTGGCCGGTTCCGTATTCCACATTCCGAGTCAGATTGATGATTTGCCGACTCAGTCCTGGAGAAATGACCAAACCCAGTACGGACCGAGGGTGTGTTGCTTTGTTCGTTGTTCGTTGTTCGGACAAAGCGGCAAGCATGACATATCCACAATCGAGATGGCACCACCGCCGATCATGGACCGAGTGACAATAATTATTGATATTATTATTGATGGCTTGAGCACGCACTCGTCCAAAGTTAGGTGGTTACTGCAAGACGATTGGCGTCTGGACCCCTCCTGGACCGTGAGATCATACAGCACAACCAGTCAGCCAGTTGTACCAGTACCTGACTGGTAACTAACTGACTCAACTGGCAATCATGACACCACCTCAAACCGGATCTCGTTGCGGCATGACTCCGAATGTGTTGAATTCCCCATTAAGATTGCCGAACCGCCGCGGCCATCCAAGGCAAACCCCGCTAGCCGAGGGAGTGAGCCGTGAAGTTTCCGGGGCATGTCTTTGGTGATCACTACAGACATTCCGGGCATGATAGTGCATGCGACGCCATTTAAGGGGGGTTCTCGGGCCTGTAAGTACGCCTATGGAGAACGGAAGTGGTGGGAAAGATCAAGTAGCGGATAAAGGTCCAGTTGAGGCTTGCAGTTGCAGATGGGTACAATGGGCCGAGGGGCTGCCTATAGGGACCTGAGTCAGTACCTACCTCGCTACCTAAGACCCTTTAAAACTCACCCCTAGACATTCTCAAACCTAGATGCACTGTGCCTGATGTTTAGGTATCCCTCTCCTGTGGAATGTCGCGGAATTTGAGTCTCGGGCTAATTTCAAGCCCCAAGATCCCACCAGGTTTGGCGGCCTGGGGACTCCGCGGTTACCCCGGCCCCGTCAAGCTGTAACCTATCGGCATCCCGCAGTAGACGGAGCTCCCGTCTCGTGTCTGGGGAATCCTCGCCCCGTTTCTCTCAACTCCATCATAATTATCGTCAACATACGGAGTACTATTGTTATGGTTATTGATTGTCCCCCATTGAACCGAAACCTGAGCACACGACAACGCCCACCATGGCTCCTAGTTAGTAGTAGAGCCTGCCAGTGCTATCTTGCATACTGTCATGATACATGTACGGAAAAACACTCTAAAGCACTCGATCCGAACTTGACAGGCCAAACGTTGATGGACCATGTCGCCATGATGATACATCAGATGAGCCCTGCATAGTGTGGGGGAGAATGTTACACAGGCTGATAAGCTGGAATGTCCGAGTGGCCTGTTGAATCGTTGGCCCCCGTCTCACAGCTCGTAAAAGATTTGAGACCTTCTGGTTTGACAGAGTCCAGAGTCTGGGCTGGTGCCTGTGCCTATGGCCTGGCCAACGTGGCTGCAATTAGCGACCTGGTTATCCAGTCAATATGAATAGATCCGGGAATGTATGGTCACTACTGGTCAATAGTCTTAGTAAGTAGTGGCAGTGGCAATGGCCATACGAATGGTAGCAATGGGTACCAAGTAGGAGAAACTGCAGAGACAGTGCAAGAGTAGGTAGGTAGGAGTGAGTAACTCGTCGCAACAATCAACCAACAACAGCCTTCCTTCGGTCCTTGGGGCTTCTCGAGTCTCACTGATCAGTGATCAACCAGTCCACCCTCATGTCGGCCCCCCCTTCCCCATCGCCCCCGGAAGGATGACAAGGGCCTCCTCAAACCCAACGACTTAACGAGTCGACAAGTCCAGCTCATGTCCAGCTTACGAGGCGAGGCATCCTAGGCAATCCCCCCCAACCCGCCAAGTCCTGTTGGTCATCCTCAATACTCAGCTCCCGCTGAGAGATCTGGGGGGGTCACTGGGGCCAGCATGGGGGAGAATGACCAAGCTGCCACTCGGAACTTGGATGTGATACACTGATGCCTCACCTCGAGCCGCCATGATGAACTGTGACTCAGCCCCAAGTGCGGGATAATCCAATTGAGTGGCTATCTGCTCTCAATCCCTCTCCTTTTGTCTCTCTTTGTGTGTATCTCTGTCTCTCTCTCCCTCTCTTTGCCTCGCCCACCAACTCCGACTTCTGGTTTTTAGTGTGTCCCACGGCTCCCCCTCTCTTTTTCTGGCCCGGTGGCTGCTCTATTCTTTGCCCTGGCTCGCCTCGCCTTTGACCACCAGTGCCAGCATGGTTCTGCCAAGGCTGCCATCTGGCCTGCATCATTCCCTTTTGCCCACGACCGGCATGGCATGTCATCTGGAAGCCCAAAGACGCCTTCGCACCAAGGGAAACATGGCTTGAGAGTACTGTTTGCATTTTCAAAAACTATTGGAAATTACCACATGTAAACATCGGATTGGCTGGATGTTCCTTCGATAAGGCGTCCTTGTCGCCCGGCGTAGTTCCATATGCTCGTCTCCAGCACCTAGAAAAATGAACTCCTTCTATTCGTGCGCATTCGTGCGGCGCGTCCTTATTCATGGTTATCCTGTCTATAGCGTGCACCTGGGGGATGTGCTTCCAGCCTTCCATCCGCACCTCCAGCCCTTGCCAATCCCCATTCCCTAATCCCCAATCCCCAGCCCAAAATACAAACCATCCTTGACGCCAACAAACGTGGGGAAACAACATAGTGAAGCAGAAGTAGAGGTTGAAACAAAAAGTAAAAGCAGAATCAGCACCAGCACCAGCGTGTCTGTTTCTCGTGAGCCCACCTCCACGGGCCCCCCTCCCCGTTTCAATCATTCGTCACCGTAACATGTCTCCATTGATCGAGGCCGCTTTACTTGACTCGCCAGAGCTCAGCCCACTGGGGGGATTCAACATGTCGTGAATTCCAATTTTGGGCAGTTGCGGGACGGGAAGTTTGCGTTGGGTGCCCGTGACAATGTCGGCAATCGATGGGCCGGTGTGTTGTGGTGGTGGAATGTGGGTATATGATCCGTCGGCCTGAGGCTCCATGGGAGCCAACAGAGGAGCATGGCCGAGAGAAAGATGCCTCAAGCCGGGAAGTTGGAGATCACTGCCATGGGGCCTCAGGCGTGGAGAATGGCCCGGAGTGGCGAGAGGAGTGTGGTCTGGCGTGGGTGATATTGACTCATGCGAAAATGTGGGAGACGAGGGGGCAGTGGAATGAGGAGAGTTGGGCCTCGACCTCTTGGTTCGATGGTCATCTTCGTGGGTCTCTTGACTATGAGATCTCGACATCGAATGTGAGATGGCATAGGCAGATAGAGACGGCAACCGACCATTACTATTGTGGTTTCGGTGGCTGAACAAATGATGCTGGTGTTGATAAGGCATGCGAGTAATATGTTCGTCTCTCTCGACCTGTGAAGCGGCTGTGGCCAGTAGATTGATGTCCATCGAGTTGCCTCGGTCATCAATACGTGCAAAGGGACCCAGCGGGGTCGGTCCATGGGGACTATGGCTGGCATGGACGGCAAATGAGTGTGGCGGCGAGACATTGGGAGAGGCGGCAGCGGAGGTGGGAGCCGATCGAGGCATGCCCTTGTTAGGCGGCGGCATCATCTGGGCTTGGCTGGCGAAATTGGGGTTGGATCCGTCCTGAAGGCCAGCGAGAGCGGCAGCGGCAGCAACCTGGTGAGTCTTTTGGTTCCGGCGCGAGTTGGGATTATTGTGGATGCGGGAATGCCGGGTCAACTCGTCTGAGCGACTGAAGCGCTTACTGCAGCCAGGGAACTGGCAGGCATGAGGCTTTTCGCCAGTATGAGTGCGGATATGTCGAGTCTGATGCTCGAGGCGATGGAAGGCCCGGTCGCAAAGGGGACATTTGTAGGGACGAGGCAGATCTTGCCGTTCCTCGTTGGTGGCAGAAGGGTTGTTGGCCAATGTCTGAGGCATGATGCCGACAGCGGTGGCCATGTCTGGGTCGGTGTCGGTGTCGGTGGTAGTCGATGTGATCGACGAGGGATGGGGAGCGTTGAGGTCGTCTGATGTTGGTGGAAGGGTGGTGTTAGGAAGGGAAGAAGGAGGAGAAGGATTGAGAATGGCAGTAAAGTCTACTGCAGACGAAGAGCGTTGCATTCGGGCGAGGGAAGGCAGTTCCCCAAGATTGTCGCTTATCGTGGGGTGAATCACCCACTAGTCCCGAGGGCCTGAGACGTGACGCATGCACAGGGAGTAAGGCGGCGGACCTGGGGTCGGCAGAGGGCACCAGCAGAGGGCAACAGCCGGGCAAGGGATGAACGGTGTGGTGTAGCGTAGTGTGGGCGGGTGTGTAGGCGAGGGCGAGGGCAGGGCACAGGGTGACCAGCAAGACGGGGTGTGGTACAGAATTGGGTGGTGTGTGGGCGTAAGATGTGGTCAGAGAAATGAGTTTTCGGGGGAGGGGGATGCGAAAAGAAAATGGAGGAGAAAAGAGTGACGGAAGGGATGTGATGGGACTAGTTGAGAATTTTTGGAAGAGGGAAGAGGGAAGGGCGAAGAGGGACCGTGGACCGTGGACCGTGAGGTGAGAAGGTGAGGGACAAGTCGGTTGGACCGTTTTAGGAGCATGACAAGGCAAAAGACAGAGTTCCAATGGAGTTTGCACCCCCGACCACTGACACCCAAGGAATCGTGTGGGTGAGGAAATTATCCGGCAATGTGGACCGCCAAACTGGAGACCAACTGGAGACCGGGGGTAGCAGGGGTGCAGATGTACAGGTGGGCAAGGTGGGCAATGGATAAGGGTGGGTACAGCCATACAGGCTCATGTTTCCAACTGTTGGCGTCGTAACCCCGACTCTGTCACGGCCATACATACTGCCCACTGACTGTCCGCTGCCTTTCTGTCTGGATCGGAACCATTTGGAACTAAGTGGAATCTACGGTCCGATAAAGTTACATGCTCCTAGCGAACTCAGGTCAGTCAGGGCCAGTGCCTCGTACGTAGGGGTTCTGATTGACTGGTTCGATTGGGGATGCATATTGATTCATCTCTTTTCATTCCTCTCCCGAGTACCTATCTCCAAATGTGAACCTTGGGTATCAACCTACCCATGGTGGGGACTCGATAGACAACGAAGGGCTACCACCATGAAATGAGGCTGACACAGTCTCCTGAAAGACACTTGGGACACAAATGTTATAGACTGACTATCTCGTACAACAAAAATGACCCCAAACATTAATCACATCGGATGGGGCGACTTATCTTTCTGGGGTTGACCAGATCGAGTGTCTGACCAGGTTGAATTCCTGGCTTGCCGGGCGAAGCCCGTGTGAGGGAATGTCGAGTCAGCGGTAATCATAATTAAGTATTGACTACCTACCTACCAGGTAGGTACCTACTCACCCATACTTTAGGTAGGTACCTTAGGTACGAAGATCAAATGACAGATGATTCTCGGGCCCAACCAGAGATGGATCGCCTTAGCGGCGCACTGGTGCCTGACCGGCGATACCTGAGAAATATTGCTCCGGGGCCCCTCGGCATATTTGGGTATACCGAGGTGCATCGTGTCCCGCCTACCTACGTATACCCGCCTCCCTGAATAATCAACGTTTGGCTCCTGCTGGATTCTCGAATCTCCGGGGCTCCTGTCCATCTCCAGCATCCAGAACATCATCGACTCTCACTACGAGCCGATAACGGATAGACGTTGAGGATGTCATGGAATCTCTTGCTTAGCATCAATCACATTCACTATTCTTGGACTTGGGCTTGACTGACAAAGGGGTTTTACCCAGGATCTGACAAATCATTCGGTTGGCACGTCCGTCTCAAGCATGTGAGGGTACTTAGGTGACTTGGTGATAGCCCCTGCGGTGGATGGGCGGTCACATCTGGGGGCCAGAAGGAGAAAACATTTCAAAAGTCAAAAGTCAAAAATCATGATTTAGGGATCCAAGTAGGCTGAAGGACCACAAGGCATAGGCGCCCCTCGGCCGTCCTGTCCACCACTGCCGCCCTCGACTGCCTTGCTTTGCCTCGCCCGTGCACTGGCTATATCGCCATGACCTTATGATGGTGCCGAGGTCGCCTTCAATTATTGACTGTCGCAGCTCAATTATCGAGATGCCGGGCTTGGCTCGACGTTTATGACTCTTTCTTTACAGATTATCTGTCAGAGTCCCTGGAGCCACTGACTCGTGAAAATGAAAATAATAATAGGTATCTACTAGGTGCCATGATGGTGCCTGACCAGTACAAGGCTAGGGACCTCATCACTCAGAATTGATTGGAATACGGATAATACCCGTCATAGCCCGTGCAACCTCCAGGCGAACATAGGTACCTAAGGTAATCATGTTGAGAGTGCGTGGGTGCCCTTGCCCTCCACAACAAGGACAGGCTCCCGGCAATCTATGGCTGACAACGGGGGCAAGGGTGACAAGGTACGGTAGGCAAACACCGAGTGAGACGGGAAATACGGGGAAGCTTCGTGGCTTCCTACCGTGAAAGGATCAAGGCCCAAAGGAAACATTTCAAGTTTGCGAGGTCGCCTGGGGGCGCCTCGGAACACCCGCCCGGAGAGTTCAGATTGGCACACTGGCACAGATAGGCCTGGACAGATGGAATCTTGGCAAAGTCAAGATGACGTGACAAGGTGGTAGTAGTGGGTGCCCTGGGTGGTGCGAGGTCTAAAGTGTGACGACGGGGGCACAATCTACTCAGGAATAGTAGAGGACTATCTCATTCTACAACAGTAGTCATCATCCCTTATAGTGATCATGATGATTGAGGGATTTGTTGCTGGCCCATCACGTCACACGTTGCGACTTTCTCACTGGCACCGTCTCGAGCTGAACTGGCAATGGGTCTATTTTCTGGAGATGGAACGGAGAAAGGGCCATGTACCTGCGGAAAAGTGGCGGGGCTTATCGAGGGAAAATACAAGAGCGAGTGGGAAAATGTCGGGGTTGCCACAGAGGTCTGGCTTGTACCAGTCAGTCCTCATCTACTGTAGCAGAGGCGAATGTTGGGCGAAAGGTTGGGGATGGAGTGACATTGACCCTCGGAAAATACCCCTTGTCTGACGGTCAGGAAGTGTTTGCTCCGAAGGCTATGGTAGAACTCGGTACCTACGAAAACAAACCGGAGATGTCTCTTGTCGCCTTGGCAGACTTTTGTCAAGGACCAAAGGCAGGTGCAGGTGGGCATCCAGAAACAGAAGCCAAAATAATAATTAACGCACAATGCATTCTACTGGAGGTGAGTCACCCAAGATAAGTTCGAAATACTGTAATCTGTCCTTGATCCAAAATAATAAAAAATTGACGCTCCCAACGACAAACGGCATTGCCGAATGTGGTCAACATCTCGTCCAAGCCCCCTCCGGAGCAGCCCCAATTCGGCGTTTGAAGCGAACCCAAACCTACGCTCACCCGGCCTACGAACTGGGTCATTTCCGATCACATGTACCACGACACCCACTGTCAGCTACCAGTATGTAGTGCGCTTTGGCATACAGATGGTACCGCTCGGTTCTATACGTACGGCATCGTTTAGGCCTGTGATGCATCCTCTCCGAGGTGGCGGAAACAAAGTGCCCAGGCACCCAGGTCGACTCTAGAATCTGGATGGGCCCAACGAAAAAATCTGGGGCGTGGCCACTTTATGATATGAGTACCGCGAAGTACCTACGCATACCTCAATCGTATACGTAGATACCACTAAATACTGACTTATTCACCAGTTGGTTATCGAAACAAGGTCCCTCGGTCCCCTCAGCTTCCAGGTTATCCCCGAGACCCTCCCATCCGCAGTCTCTTCTCTCAATATCGATGTCTCTTTGGTCGCTTTGCTTGGCCTCTTTTCGCGGTCCGAATGGTCGCTATCACATGCCAGCGTCCTTCTTGCGTCGGAACCAGGCACCACATTGTCTTAGCTTTGTCATTGACTACACATGCCTGGATCCCAAAAAAGACCTTGCATCTCGGCCCTTCTTCTCCGTAAACCGGCATCGTGGCTCGACGCCTCCTGCTGTCTCCCGCACGCCACAATCAAGATACAACAGAGGGTTGAACCTTGAATGAAAATATTGTTGGTGCATCCATATGCAATGCATAGGAGCAGGCACGCCAGGCCAGCCTCGCTGAAAAAAAAATCTATACAGATGACAGGGCACATGGGTCTGACTGGCTTCGTGTCGAGGCAAGTACCATATCTACTGTATGTTGGCTGATGATGAATATGCGCACACAGGTGACAGTTCATCCACTTTGCTTCTTCCCCACCACTACCAAGAATGTCGCAATCCAAAATTCCGTCTGAGCCGAGTTCCAACATGCCCACGAGTAGTCGTACGCATACTCATACTCGTACTAGAAAACAGCGCTGATTAGATTGCAGCTCCACAGAAGACTTCAGAAGGAAATTGACATTTCCATAACCGCTCCCGGTAAGTCGTTCTGGTCACGCCGCTCCGCGTGCGCTCCGCGTTTTCCTTCTTGGGGCTCGAAGGGCCTTGAAAAGCACTCCGCCATTCATTCCGGTGTCACACCGAGAGGTACCTCCTGAGCCTCCCACAACCCAGTTTTCCGTATCTTAAACCCCCGCCGATGACTCGCAATCTCTACCGCAAACCCATTCTAGAGCCATCCAGTCAGGTGCATCCCATCCCCCTCCACTACACCAGTGGATGACCTGAGGTACCTATGGACACAGTACAGTAAGTGATAGTACTTATGCCGGACCGCTAGTCAGCCCGCACATCAGCTGGGACGGAAGCCCCATGTGCCCAGATGATAGGGCCATAAAGCAACAAGTACACTTGACTATCATGCGATGCTCATTCTCCATCGGACACCCATTTTTACGACGGCATTGTACCCGATAAGGAACGTGTTCACGGTACTATTGGTCGGCGCTTGCCATCCATGATGGCTATCAAGCTCCGTCCGGTCTATGTTTCGAGAAATGATGAACACGAGACGATGATAAGCCTGTCGAGGTCGGGGATATCCTACCGTCAGCACTCATAGTGTACAGTATTGTCATTTCCCGATTTCTCTTAATTGACCCTGGTGTATTAAAATTCTCCGGCCTTGATTAGGCATGTCAATCAACAACAACAACAACAACAATAGGTGCAAGTTCGGGTACCCCTAACTGACACACTAAATAGTTCCTGATCCCCACATTGATCTCTCCTGGACCTACCTGGAGAGTTGTGATCTACAACAGAGACCATCCATGGAGGCGTCCACCTTGCCATCTCACCAACCAATAATGGCAATTTTCTGCGATCCTGGCAATTCGGAATCCAGCATGGCCAGGCGTCGGGGAAGGTCTACAAAGCAGAGACCAAATTGACATCGAATGTCGATCTCAATCATGGGAGAATCTTTGTTGGGTCCAGGAACCAGGCAGAACATCGCCGCCCACACGGCCGTCTGTTTCGAGACCTTGCTTCTGCCAATCCCCAATCTACTGTATCCCCGGACATGCCTGGACCAAACGGTCACGGCACTCTCCTTTTAGTTGAAAACTAGATCTCTTGAAATATGCAATCATCCCTTACAGGCTGTTGGCTCACTGTACAATCGACTTTGTACTGTACGTATGTACTGTAGACCAGGCTTCCCCACGCTCATGATCTTCTTCCTAGCCAAACTGCCTATCCACGCAGATTGGGGGGACCTTCCGCCCAAAATGAAAATCGTGCCGGACGGTTTGGAGTGAAGCGACCTTGCCGCAGAACCATGATGCTTACAATATGCGTAAACGAGCGCCAGGCCCAAGAAGTGCATTCTTCCTTTTGGGAGACTGGTCACAGCGGGGGACCGTTGAGGAGTGTGGGAGCCCCCCTCCCCCCGTGTCCTCCGAGCACAATTGCGTCCCTATGAGGGATCTGAGCAGCTCACGAGAGATTCCAAGGTTGGCTGACTCATGTGTACACTAACTAGAGCTCGTAGTAAGACGATGCCAGCCGTTGCAGAAAGGATTCTCTAGCCTGGCCGTCTCCAAAGGGGCCATTACGGATGATCGCTTCTTGGGTGGTTGGATTAAATGCAACGCGCCGCAGGCAAAGGCTCCGGTCCCTATTAAAGCGCCTTCGCAAAGTGAGCCCCTCTCAACTGTATGTAATTCTACGATGCCCTACGGCAAAATCCTTGGTCCTTCCGCATCCACAAATGGCCCATATTACAGTATGCGTAAGCGTATCTGCCTAAAGGAGAATCTGCCGAGGAGTCACCCCGACAGAGACCTCGATGCCGGCTTCTGGGTTCAGTAGGTACACTCCTCTGATTGCGGTCTTCATTCATGCTGCGTCCGGAATAGGTATCAACTGGGATCTGGCGTGACTGGAACGGCTGGTGGTGCCCCCATGTTTCGATTTTGTGGGGAAGGCTTTGGTTTGTTGACATTTACTGTATGAGGAGGTATTAATTCCGTTGATGATGGGTCGGCATCACGCACGGCACACAGTTACACGGTCACACAGTCACTCCACGCCACAGGAGAGGCAGTACTCAGTATATACTCATACGCAGCCCATCCGCACACGCCCCGCGAAATTGCGGGGCGGTCGTCAAGGCCCAGGCCTGAGGAAGATCCAGAGCCATCCCCGACTTGTGAGATCATGCGGCCTGTCTCGAGACAAATTATTGGGTTCAAATGTTGCCCAATTTCAATCAGGCTGATGTATCCATCTATGTATGTATGTATACAGTGTGTGTGTCAACCTAGACCTCGCCGACTCGCCGTACAGCAGATGACCCCCTTTGGCCCCGTGCCTTTGCCATGCACAGTACTGCGTCGTACATAAGCCTACTACTGGAGCAGGGTGCGCCGAACAACCCAAAAAGATCGGAGCTCGGTCCGAAAGAGTCAGCTAACTGCCCGAGGATCCTGGCTTGCTGGACTGAGAACTCTTTTGTGCTAGATCTGGAAGCTTTCCGCGGGTATGCCCATGGTGTGGGGAATGATGATTACCACTAGACATAGCACTGTCGTATGAGAATGCACCTGATGATTCCATCTTATCTTCCCCCGAGTTGCGAGTCGGATGATCTCTTACACAATCGTCGATGCCTGGAGTCCTCAAGCCCTACATTACCCGCGGCTCAAAACTGCCTGAACGTGGTGACATAATTCATGCTTCCGATTCCGTCACCAAAACACGCAATGCTCGATCAGCTTGTCAAGCGTGTCAAGTTAGCCGTTCGTGTCCCTTTGTGGCTCTTGGCCCACCATCTCACAATCTGCTCCTAGACATACGCATACCTCCTAAAGATCTACTCCTGCTGTAGTTTGCTGCGGATCACTCCTCACCGAGTACCGATCACCGATGCATTGCGTGCCCTCAAGGTATTGGCCCATGGAGGCCCTTGAACTGAAATGTGACGATCCCAATGCACTAATCAAGTAGCAACGTCTCGATCAAGGCCATGGTAAATTCGGCCGCGAAGTTTACCACTGTGATCGATATCATCGGATCGAAGTGGTCCACTTGTGTGACTGAGACCTCGGCTAAGATCCACTGTTTCTAATTGTCAGTACTGTAAGTACAATCTTCGCAAACGGCCGAATGCTCTCGGAGAAGGTGGCCTGGCCATAGACCCTTTTCGCAGAAACAACTCCTGAGGCAGAAGGGATAGGATTCAAGGCTATAGCCAATCACTAATGTGAGAACGCCTCGAAATCAATAGCCATATCAAAGGTAGCTGAAGAGGCGCGAGTCTATATGGCCAACCTAGACAATGATCGATGAGGCCCTTTGGAGTCAATTGTAGAATTAGGCCACTTTCCTCATGCTGTTGAACTTGATGCGAAACCAATCACCACTTAGATCTGGCCTTGACGCAGCCTAGGGAAGTATACAGTCTTACTGATTTGTTCCACACCGGAGTTTGTCCTTCGAGGCCGCAAGGCTCCGACCATAGTCTTTGCGGTTTACCAGCTTTTCAACCTAGCTGTTGTTTCAGGCAAAGTGCACTATGTATCCATTTGACCTCACGGGTTACCCGAGCGAGCGAACCATGTTAATCGATCAAACGGGACTCCCATGCAGCCAAGATAGGGAAATGCTGTGCTTGCACTTCTTTAGCGAGATGTACAATAGCTCGTATGAGGCCGGACAATGTGCCCTAGCCGGATCCCCCAAAGGGCTCTGCATCGTGGCACTGGGGACAACAACATAAGTGCAGTTGGCTGTTTTCAGCTTTTGGCAACGCACTTTACGTTCCGTTGCATCACCAAACGAAGGCGCAATCCCCTGCGTGCGAGGACTGGTGAAGTTCTCTGTTGCAGAGCTACGCGATAGCCGTTGACTTTCGTCATCCATAGGTCTGATCTTTCTCCTTCGGAAATCTCGGCGAACCCTAGGTGATCACGATAGCGGAATTTATCTATCTTCATTTGTTCGAGCTAAGGGACTCCTGGACTTCTAGATTGGCTAAGCTAGTAAATTCCAATGTCCATCCCAGAGTCTCTCAATACGTCTCGGAATCATTTTGAACCGTTTTGATTTGGTGACCGTGTGATAATGCTTTATCTACCAACAAGGCTGTACCGGTTAATTCTAGTGATGAGCCCGTAATAAAATCAGGCATGAAGAGGCAACGGCAACTATAGGATCAAATTGGGAAATTAGGATTGCATTGCCTGGAACATAAGCTCTAAGTCTAGTAGAGTCGGTCCCTGTTCTCGAAAACATGAAAAGGTGTGTTTCCCTCTAACTATATTTATAGTTTTCCTCCCCATTCGCAGTAGCATGCGATTAGTATCAGGCTAGTTATGATAGGACAGCCATGACACCGTTCGAAATAAGGCCGTTCGAAATAAGAGCGTATCCCAATGGAAAGAAGCCATGGCTCAACGCCTACAAATCTCGTACTCCCTGTTGAACGATATCCTAGCTGTGATTCAACAAGGTTTAGCACAATCCCATTAGAAGCAAGGCGCCAGATGCTGACCAACTGGACGTCTGTGTCAAAAAGTGTGTCAATCAAATATTCCTCATCGAGTGCTGCTGCTATATAGCCTCTAATGAGTCCAATTTGTTTAGATAACTATAACACAGATGTGATCGATGGGCTATACTAACTTAGAGCCATGACGATGCTCTCATTAATGGACGTATTTATATTGCACCACTATTTGACACCTTTTCCCGGCATCATATATTAGCCTATTACAGCCGGTTGTACCAGTGTATTAATTCTCACTCGTTTCACTTTCGCGTTCACATGTTTTGCCTTCCAATCTTTGCATACATGTTCGTGGTTGTGGACTTGTGGGTGTGCTTCTACCCCGGATTTCAAGAGGTTGAAGTGGAAACCGTGCCTGTGCACTGTGGCTGGTGCTTGATTGAGGCCCTGCCAAGATGTCAAACTCTAAGCTGGATCAATTGTCTCTGATTCGCTGCATGTTGTGGCATTTCGGGCACTGTGGCTCACGCCCATATGATATCATCGTGCCTTCTGAGTGAGTAGCCGTCGCACCTTCCTCGTCGTCGGTTGGTCTTTGTCCGGCTGCGCGTCCTCCTCATCTGGAGACATTTACCACCGCATCCACGACAATGTTACGCTCCTCAATATAGCAAGTCTTTCTTGTATCAACCCTGGCTTTTCTTCCCCTCTCAAGCTATGACCTAACCTGTCTTTCTTTTTTTCGTCCCTTGGACCTTTTTGTCTCTGTGTTGCAGAACCCACTACCACCCCCCTCACATCATGCCACCTGCCCAAAAGAAAACTGTCGACGACTCCAGGTCCGAAGCCTCGAGTATTATTCCCACAAACCAAAGAGACCCCAAGAATGCCTCGGCACCGACCGCAGCCTCGACTGTCCCCAAGTCGAAGCGTCCGGCTGCAAACTCGGCTTCTGTCACTTCTCAAAAGGGCCCGCTGGCCACCGGCCCAAACACCACATCAGCTGCAAGCACCTCAACACAGTCCTCCCAAACTTCTGTGAATTCTACCAGAGTACGCTATCCATAATTAGAGATCATATCCTGGCAGATATACGGCCATGGGCTAACTTGACCTTAATTTCAAGGACGACTGGACCTCTACCCCTAATACTTTCCTCCGCACCTATCGAATAGCTCATCGTCTTCCCGTTGCTTCAACCTTTGCCCATCCTCACGCCGACATCATCTACAAATCATCTCACCTTGCGCTCCGGTCCCCCTCTGCAGTCCAGGCTCGACGTAAACAACACGAGCAGAAGCGGCAGAAAAGAAAGTCGGCAACCGTACAGGTGAACGGGAGCGCCGGTCTTAAAGGCACCAAAACAAAGTCTGGCCAACGGACGGACAAGGTGTCGCTCAAGGACTCCACCTTAGACGACGTGTCCTCGAGTACTACAAATCCAGTCGTTGCTCGGTCAATTGAAACACCCGATGCTACTGGAAGGTCTGAACTCAACCAGTCTCATCTTCCCTCCTCTCCGAACTCTGTCTCAACCCTCTATTCCGCACCGAGGGAACCCGCTCCTCATCTTGCCGCCGCCGTACGGAAACACTTCAACGGGCAGCAGATCAGCGAAGCGGAGACCATAGCTCGATTTACCTATGTTGTGACACAAGCTGGTCGGCCTGTCTGGGTCGAAGGTTGCGAGGGAGACGGCTCAGGGCACTGGATGGGCAGTCATGGGAGAGAGCTTCGAAAAGGAGGCGGGCCTGGAGGAGACATCGGCTTCAGATTGAGATTTCGACCATGAACGCGAGGAGCTCAGTTTGTAATTCGGCGTTGGGAGGGGATTTTGGATTATGGCGACAAAGCGTTTAACTACCATGGCTGTACCGAAGGGATCGTGACACGTCGAATTCTCTCCTCCCAAGTGGGACAGACGACAGACAACGCGAGAGCGTTGTCTAAGAATTCACATCGCATTAGCAGCCAGAACTATGCACAAGATAACCACTGTGCATCATCATCGATATATTCACGTAGGAGGGCAATTAAGTCATCTCTTACCGCCATAAGTGTCAACTGATCAACCCAATTTGACAAGGAGACTACTGCATGAATCCCATAGCTCTGTGGCTGATGATGGAAAGTTGTCTGGGAGCGTAATAGCCCGGTCAGAGTGCAATAGATGGCAATGATGTTCGGTGTGTTGTGTTCGATGCAACGCCTTCTTCAATATGTAGTTATTCACTACATAGTCTGAGTCTGTGTATGTGCAAGCTCCCCACGATGCCGAGGCCATATCCGGTTCTCCCTTCAGAGTCAAAATCTACAACTGATATACCCCTAGGCTGCGGGGCCTGGATTCGATTCGATGGATGCGACATCGCCACCGCTGTCATCCATGTCAGTTTCAATGGCTGATACAGCCACCTCGACCTGATCTGAAGCCCCGGTCGGTTGGATACTAGGGCTGCTAGACGGACTAGAAAGCCCATCCACGGGTTTGGCGGATTCTTTTTTCGTGCTGGAGCCTGTGCGCTTCTTATCCTTATTCGGACTACGTTTGTCCTTTCTGTTTTTCGTCTTTTCCTCCTTGGCGGGGGATGTCGACTTTTGTCTATCGCGACGTGTTTTCGCCTCTTCCTCTTCTCGGTGGGCAGCTTGAAGAGCCCCCTCGACCTCTTCATCTTCGTCTCCTATGTGACCCAGGATGCCCTGAAGGATGTCGCTGCCTACAGTGCGGATACTTCCGCCCGACGGTGATGTGATATTTTCTTCTTCCTCGTCTTGAGTCGTCTTGACAGGCGTGGAGATTTGATCAACACTTGGTGCCGAGGTGCCACTAGACCCTTGGCCTTTGGTAGACGGGCGCTGTACGGAACCAGGCTCTCCCATGTCATAGGTCGACATCGGATCAACTTCATGGGCCGTAGGTGTAGGGTCTTCTGGTGCACGTGGCTCGTATTTGGGGACAATATTACTGAGGTCGAGTTTGGGTAAAGATCTCTCTGGAGAAACCTCAGTCCTAGGTAATGTTGAAGAAGAGAGCTGGGTTACTGGGTTGGTCCGGTCCGGTCCGCCCTCGGTTGGTAGTTGAGACTGCACTGAGTCGAGTGGTGGGATATTCGCTGATGATGATGTCGCTTGTTCGTCATCTTCTTCAAGACCTTCGGTAATGGTATCGACTAGGCTTCCTGTACTGGGAGTGTGTTTGTGTTTATGACGCCGGGCAGTCGCAGCAGGACCACCTTGCGAGTCGGCGGAGAAGGGTTCAGTGTCACGACCTGGGTCTGAGCCGCTTTCGGGAGGATCCTGCTTGCGCAGAATCTGAACGTGTGTGGAGGCTTTCGTTTCGGCGTCATCAGAGGCCTTGCTATGGTCTTGTGCGCCTTCAGCTTCTGGGGGTATAGTATAGCTATCTTCAGGGATAAGGTGATATTCGTCACAGACAGTCTTGAAAAAAACGTACAATCCGTATGTCGATTCCACGGACCAGAAGACTTCCCGATGTTGAAACCAGGCATGTGCAAATATGCGATAGACTCTTCGAAAGATGTTGGTCAGCTGTCTCATGCTATTGACGGCATTTCCAGCCTCGCCGCCCAAAGCCAATCGAGATGGGAAATGTTTAGGACTTGTGAGGACATTGGCGGCCCAGTCCAATGTGTGATTGCAATAATCGACAGCACAACACGACTTGGGAGGTTCGTGGACTGCACAGAGATATTGCCACTCACTCGCACGCATCTCTGGACAGGTCTGACTCGAGCACGGAGGGTTATCGTTCATGAGAAAAATAGAAACCATGTTTGCCTTCTGGGTGAGAAATCGACAGAGTTCATAAAGCCACAGATTTCGGTCTACTGTCTCATTCTCGTTGATCTGTGGTGGGGTTGTCAACTGCAGGGCAGTTTCTTTTGTGACTGGGATGGTTCGGGTGGAATCAGGGGTATGGGTCAGGGTGGCGTATTGAGCTTTGAGGTGTTCTTGAAGTTGGAAAGGAGAGTCGAGCTTCAGTAGATGAGTCAGCTTAGCCTAGGTAGATGGCGCAGACGAAATGCTTACCTGAGACAGAGGTACCAATGGAGGGCCAATTGCCATGTCCGCTGCCTTTGTGCCCGGCCTTATCCTCCTAGCGGAGCCTTGGTCAACTCTCAGGGATGCCTCGAATTGGAGTTCATTTCCAATATCTGAGATTCCTGGACTCAGAGGTCCGTACTGGACTTCGGGAATCGGTGGAGGTGAGGGAAGACGCGGAGAGCTCGAAGGCGATACGCCTGATCGAGAAGGAGTTACTGCCGTCATGAGGTAGACTTGTCGCAGAAGCGACGCGTGAGGACAAAGTGTCCGAGGATGGGCTACTATAGCTCCTCGGGTGAGATAGGCTCGCTCGACACAGGTGGGAATTCGCCCTGGTTTGGATTCGATCTGGCTAAGGAGACTTCAAATCGAATCGACGTCCGCGCAGTTCAGTGTATCTTAGAGTTTGATTGACGGCGCAACACACATAAATTTCAGAGGGCGCGAGCGCTGCAACAACGACAAGGAATGATCATTAGGCGCGTATCAGATTTCGAGACTGGACTGGGATGAAGTCAACCAGCGCTGGTGGGAGGAGGAGGCGGAGCAGAAGGTGGTGGTGGTGGTATTGTTGGTGGTGATGGTAGAAGGTCTAAGGCTCTCCGCCAACAGAAGAACATGACGAGGCTGTGACTGTGGATGTGGCTACTCCTGTGGCTACTCCTGTGGCAGCTGGTGTGGCTGCTACGCGGATGTTGCCGCCACCAAATGCTGTAGGCAGGCACGTGGCTTGGCATCAAAATGACGTACTTTTCTCCCAAATTGACAGGGTAGACGACAGTCAATTGTTCTTGTAACTAAAGACCCTTCCACTCCACCAGTATCTCCTTCTCGTGGCTATGGACGAGGATGATGTTCCAGAACTTGTTGATGTCAGCAAGCTTGGCGATCCGGGCTCCCTCCAGCGAAGCCAGCCACCCGTCAAGAAGGTCCCCATAACCATCGTTACAGGTGCGGGACAACCCAGAAAACTGATTGCCCCCTGCTGGTTCCAACGTCACTAACCACCGGTGTCAGGGTACCTGGGCGCCGGCAAAACAACTCTGTTAAACTATATACTGACTGCCGAACATGGAAAGAAGATCGCCGTCATTCTAAATGGCACGTTGCCCAGTCCAATTACCGCTACTCTCCCAGACTCCCAGTACTGACATGGACCATAGAATTTGGAAATACTGCCGACATCGAGAAATCCCTCACAGTATCTCAAGACTCACAATCGACAACAGAATGGATTCCTCTCCAAAACGGCTGTATATGCTGTTCCGTCAAGGACTCGGGCGTTGCCGCCCTAGAGTCTCTCGTCGAACGTCAGAAGGATTTTGACTATATTCTGTTAGAGACGACCGGCGTCGCCGACCCGGGGAATATAGCTCCAATGTTCTGGCTCGATGAGGGCCTAGGAAGCAGCATCTATCTTGATGGCATCGTCACTGTGGTCGACGCCAAGAATATCCTAAGGAGCCTCGATGAACCCGCCCCAGAAGAGATACCAGAATCCGAGAACGAGCATCAGCACGACCAGCCCCTCTTGACCACGGCTCACCTTCAAATATCGCATGCCGATGTCATCATCCTTAATAAAACCGACCTCATCACCCCAAGCCAACTATCTGTTGTCCAGGAACGTCTCTCTTCGATCAATAGCCTGGCCAAGCTCATTCTAACGTCCCATTCGCGCGTCGATTTGCTATCCGGCACTGTCCTCGACTTGCTTGCCTACGATAGCTTCCCATCCACTACTCCAGGTCCCGACTTTTCGTCCAAAGGTCACTCTCATCTCGACCCCACTATCTCAACCCTCACTCTTCCCTTGCCCGTCTTTGACATTCAGAAACTCCCAGTCTTGCATGCCTGGCTTGAGACCATCCTCTGGGAATCAGACGACCGACAGGTAGGCCAGGATCGAAAGTACGAGGTCCACAGAACAAAGGGTCTCATTCCGCTCAACGACGGCACCGTGCGAGTGGTGCAGGGCGTTCGGGAAATATTTGAGATCATTGAACCTCCGCATACGGATTCCAGCAGCTCAGCCAAGTCTCACGGGGGAGATCCGCCTGTCGACGGAAAATTGGTCTTTATCGGGAGAAACCTAGACTTGCTCAGTAGCCCTGATTTTCCAAAAGCTTGACCACGAGGATGCGGTTTCTAATCTCAAATCCCTCCATCTAAGCTGGAAAGAGATCATCTGGTCAATAACTCGAGCCGAATAACATTCTTAATCCCCAGAGGAAAACTATGAGATAAGTTCTGTTCTGCCTTGCCTACTACTCAGCCTATTGTACCGCGAAATGCCCGCCTTGCTTATACTCGCCCACCTGCACCCCTGAGCCATGAGTAAAGCCTAGATACAAGCCTCAGTCTAAAAAAATCCAGCTCGTCCGCCCTTCCCGTTCATGAGAATAACTCACATGACCTTCTCTTGCTTCGATTCAATCTCTTCTTTCTCTTGTCCATCAACATCAGCCTTTCTGCAGTTGTGTCGTGAGTCGTGATTCGTGTATCGTGGGCCAACAGGCCGGCAATGTCGTGGCGTGATTGGAAACTGCAATAAGACGAGGAACACTCTGAAGCCCATCAACAGCCATCTCGATCGTCATATCAGTCGTCGGCTTCCACGCTCTCACATCAAAGTTGGGAGTAAAAGCCGCTCAGTCGTGTCAAAACGCCAAGGAAAACAAACAGACAACAAGATTTGCTCGTAGATCACTACCTAGAGCCGCGCTCGAAGGAAAAGCCTGCCGGCCACACTCCCAGAAGTGCTCCAATGACTGTTGCCTGTTGACTGTTGTGGTGAGGACCAATGCCCAGAAATCAACTTCAGGTACCAGAGAATAACCAAAACTAATCAAAACACCACTGCAAACTCCACCCAAATTATAGATACAATGACGACTCCCATGTTCTTGGCTACTCAAACCATCCTCACGTTCTTTGGTCATCCCGAGCCCAGGAGGTTGAGTCCAAGTTCCATGCTCACGCACGCCGATCACTTTGGCACAAAGGCTTGAAAGCCGGCAGCTTCTAGTCTGTCAGGTCATCCGACATCCAGTTCATCTTCATATGGTTCGGAGGCAAGGCTTTGGTGTTCGTCAAACACACATCTCTCATGGAACTAGTAACCTAGCCCTCATTATCATACCGCCGTTGTAGATCGTCCGGACGGGCAGCCAGGGCCTGAAAAGACACTTCTGTAGTCACTCCGGTGTATCAAACTCGTCGTTCGCACGTGACATTGTCCTTTCCACCAACCCATACCGGTATGCCATTCTGAACCTCGTGGCAACCGGCCAAAGGATTGAAAACGTTTGGGAAACCATTGTCGGTATTTACATGGCCTACCTCATCAGACGTTGATCAAGTTCGAGGAGTGTGCCACGAAGGTACAAGTGGTGTATCACCATAACAACATGAGCCTGATTTGTACCACTTCGTGAGTTGTTCAGTTCGTCCTGCTGGATTCCAACTCAGGAGCGCGAATAATGAGCACAAGTACCCAAATCGATAGGATTGACGGTATCATTCCTGTGGCACCTGACGATGTGGCACGTCTGGAAGGGCCAAAGCCTTTTCCTTAGAAGAGCTATCCAATAACTCTGCACCATTTTGTGCTTGTGTTGGTTTCACTTCTTCGTCACTGCTATGTGGCAAGTTGACGGGCGCTCCATGGACAGTAGAGTCAGCAAGGCAAGTCTGAGTCGCTGGAGGTGATTTGGTCAAGTCTGTGTGGTGGGTGAGACCATCATCTGCGGCAGGGGCCGATGTCGACAGCTGGCCTTTGGTAACTGAACAACTTGCGCGGCCTTCAACGTTATCAGATTCCACAAAGGGGCGAGAGACTGGCTGAGACATCTGTCCTAGAAGCATATTCCCACTTGCGTCACCAGGGACTTCCTCTAGACTTGCGAATCTTTCTGCGCTTAACATACTGAGGTCCTCGATATTTTTAGAAGACCTGGCAGTCTGGCTCTCAATTGCCCTTGACAAGGACAAGTCGGTCGGGTGAATTAGCACGTTGAAATCCTCAGAATGAACTGAACACAGTGAGTCTTCGGTCACACTGGCTTCCTCGTGTGTCGGATCGGACACAATGAATGGCTCATCATATCCACTGTCATCATATGGCAGCGTTGGTGGGCCATGTGAGGCTAGCGCCGGCGTGCCAGTGTCAGGCTGGGTTTGCTCCGGGCTTCCTTGGGTGGATACCATTTCAAAGGACCGAGCAGTTTCGTCGGAAATAATCGAACTGGTGGAATTTACTTCTTCGGAAGGAGAAAATATTGGTAGCGTCAGCCGACTTCCACGTGGTGTCCGATCAGAGCTGACAGAAGTATCTTTGACAGGAGTTGCCGTGCGCTCCAAACGCTCGATCGAGGGGGCACCACTTCCTTGAGGTGTGACTTGCTCGGAGGAGCAGAGATCAGTATTCGAGGCCATTTCCAGAATGCGTATTTCTTCCTCATTAAAGGTGCCACGTGAAATTAAATAGGGATGGCCGTTGACGTCGATCTCATCATACAAATCACGGTCGCCGCCAGGAGAAACAGAGACTATATTTGGCTCCGACTCTTCCACGCGAGGAGTCTCCCCTTCATATGAAATCCAGTGTCGCCTTTCGTTTCTTTCCAAATGGCCAAAGTTTGTTGGGGGTCGTCTCCCCCTCGGCCTCTCGTATGCCGAACTTTGGCTCTCGATCTCATAATTTGATGATTTGGGATAGGTGAAAGAGTAGTCGTCCCTGGAGCTCTCTGGTGAGTATGGCGTAAGATTTTGGTCCCGTTGGTGAGCTAGCCGTTCGATGTCGTCTCTTCCAACCGCATCTGCCGGGTCAATATAGTCATGGGGGTTCAACAGCTTCAACCGAGGCCTATTCGAACAAGGGCGTGTGCCCTCTGAAGAGGTAGAACTTGTTTCAGGGAACAGATCAACCAGATCCTTGGCAGACAAGCGGTCCCTCGGACGAGTGGATAAACAGATTCTGACTATGTCTTGGTACCATTCTGGGACATCCTGTGGAAATGCCTGCACACTCATGAAGGGAGCATGTCTTTCAGGCTCATCGTCGTCCATTGCCAAAGCCCACAGAGTCATACCGAGCTGATACAAATCTGACTTTTCGCCGATGTACATTGATATTCGCTGGTTGCTGGCAATCTTTGTGGCAATCTCTGGAGGCTCCCAACCAACGGGACAGCCACGTCGGTTGATGTCAATGATCTTTGCGCGGTTATTATCGTCGACGACAATATTGGATAGAGTAAAATCGCCCTGGACGTAGCCTTCTTCGTGTATCTCACTGAGACCTCGAACGGCATCTTCGGCCCACCGACAACGGTCTTCCCATGAAATATTTCCCTTGTGATCATAGAGAAGGTCGACGATTGCTCCCCTTTCAGCATAGGTTATCAACAGGCCTTTGACGACCTGTCTCTCATCATCGAGGATGATGGCCTCCAGATGAATGACGTGGTTGGAGTCATGCAGGTCATGCAAAGCATTGATCTCGTAAAGAAATTCGTCTACTGTATCTGGACCGGGGATCTCCTTTTTGATGTAGACTTGGCCCTTATATTTGACCTTGTAGACAAATCCCGACAAATGGGAATCGAAGATCAGGTCACTCTCCCGAACTTCCAAGGGACGGGTCTCTGGGTCGGCGAACGTGTGGGCGATGATGCTCCTCGAGGGGTAGGGGATGATTTCATGGACATCCTCGGTGACGTGAACGTGTAAGCGTCCATCTGTGGTCTCCAGTTTGAGGTTCGTGACGGTATCGTAGAATTGGATCTCTGGTAATGAGTCTCGGATGGACTCGTATATCTGTAAACTCTTGTCGCGTTGAAATTGGAGCTCTTTCAAGTCTACCTCCAATGATCCCGGCTCAGCATTGCGGTAGTCACAGGAAACAGTGACACGGCGCCAACGATTAGGGGTCTCTGCGTAAGTAACGAAGAACTTTTCTCGGTCCGACTTGTCCCTAAAGTGCATACTGAGGTTGAGAATCCATCGACTATCCAATTCTGCACGCAAGTCGGCCTTGTCGTCATCATGAGCCATGGCAGCATACTGCGAAGCATCTGATGAGGTGGTTGAGGGTGGTCGCGGTGGACGATCCAAAAGATCGGTTGGTGGCCATGCATGATCTGGTGGCGGCACCTGGAGTGAAGAATCGGAGGGCAAGGCGACGACGGTGGGAAGAACAAAGTCTTGATCTTCTGGGCTGACCCTGATGGAATTGGCTACGATGGGGGCAGACGCTCTCCCTGGCTGCCAATACGGCGGAGATGAAGTGGCTCTGGGACGAGGTAACGACGTCGAGATCTGTCTGGTGGAAGAGAAGGCTCTTCGCTCAGCATGACCTGGCTCAACGGGCAAGAGACGTTCTCGGCGTTCCGAGTTTTGACGCCTGAAGGTGGCTTGCCGTGGCAAACCAACTCGAGGAGGATCTGGCCGTGAGGGATCTGAGGGCGTCCAGCTGGAGGGCCAGCCGTCATCGTCGGAACAATCAATGGGACTTTGCGTGTGATCATCTTTGCTGAATAGACGATGAAATTTCTGCCGCATGCCAAACAAGTGTTTGTGGCGACCTGGCTCCGACTCTATCTTTGTTAAGGGCGAAGTGACATTGTGATGTGCTTTGCCCATGTTGTGGGGGGTCCACGGGTGGTGATAAGCCCAGTGAGGGGTTACCTCATCAACCCTCGACAGGCTCGACTGGAGATCCTCGAGCGGGTTGTGGCTGTAGCACAATCAGACCTAGATATGGATGGACAACGCTCGGACATTGGATATGGTGATACGCAAGTCGAAGGAACGAGGCTTTCGGAGGTGATGAGGAGCAGTTATTATTGGCAGCGAACCGGAATTGGCAACAAGGAGGACCCGGTGTAGCTTTGACACACCTGCAAGGCGGTGAAGGAAGCAAGGATACACGGGAGTGCACAGGATTTCTTGGACACGACAAGTCGCCGTGGTCATGCAGGGCCCGAGTGCGCAGTGGAGGCCAGAGAAGGGAGTGAGTAATGCGAAATGAAATTGCAGGAGCAGAGAGGAGGTAGGAAATAGGGTTGAGAAGATGATGTTGTCGTTGGAACTGGAGGCTGATAAGTGGTCTCTGTCTCTCTTGTGTCAGCGGAACCGGCCCTGGATGCAGGTCTGCGGCGTGGGTTGGGATGGGCAGTCGGCGTAGTCTGGTTTGAGCTCAGTGAGGCGAGGAGTCGAGTTGGATACTGGTTCACCGCTCGTGCAAGGCCAACGGCACCAGTAGGCAAAAAAGGAGGATGATGGATGGATGAATGGAGGATGTTCAAAGGGGCCGACCCAACGGATGTTCGTGAATCATAGGTAGCCGAAGAAAGAACAATGGAGCTGGTTGATACCACAAGGTTTCAAACGGGCAGTTGATGGCAGTGCTTGAGCCAGACAGAACCACAAGGTGGAACCGTGTAAGTGGGAGTGAGTCCGTGTGTACGTGTATGTGGGTGCGGCTGTGGGAGACGAGCAGGCGTGACAGGGTGGGCCGAGGGGCCAGCGTTGTGGCCAGCCACGAGGTTAAAGTGAGTGGATGGGCTGAAATGGCTGGACAACTTGACGACTGGACGACCATTGATGCCTTTCTAAAAATCAGGCCTCGAGCGGTTGAACAAAGGCCGCTAACAAGGTTCCCCAACAGCGTCTAATCCAGTGGAGTGAGTTGACCAGTTGGCGAGTTGATGGGTTGACGACTGCCATCTTCCAGCCTGTCCTGCCCGAAACTCCCAGCCAGTACTCCAAGTAAAGCAGCGAATAAAGCTCAACCACTGAAGCCTAATGCAAGTGGAAGAGATGCCCCGAACTCCGTTCGTCGTTTGTGCCTAAACAGCCGTGCTTGTCCGCCCGCCTACTGCCTAGTGTCTACAAAATAGTGCTAGCCTGGGTGCCTGCTTAGCGCCCGAGCTTCTGACCTGCCACTTACGGAGTACGAGTACCTTGGTGCCATGCCGTTGCAAGGGGCCCAGCCGTTGGCAACCTTGAATAGACTCTCGGGCGGTGGCAGTGGGGGACGGGCCATGCGCCTCCGGGCCTCACCAGGCGCTGCCTTGTCTTCGACAAAGCTTAGGGATACACCACACCAATATCAAGAATAGGCAAGATATCAATCTCGATACGAATCCAAAGACATTGAATATCAGACAGATGTTGATTAGTTTTCGCTGCCGCCGGAGCAACATCCATGACTCACAAGTAATCACAGCCCCTGACACCAGCATATCTATGAACAGAAGTACGAGTAGGGTCGGTTACTTGGTACATTGAAAGTACCTACTGGACCGTGTATCACTTCACGAGGTAACGAGGTGGGTACTTCTAGGCAATCTCCACCTCTGGATGCACCCGTAGCCCCCAAGTCCAGGTGGTTCTCTATTAGTATACCTCTAACCAATGAACGAATCCTTTGTTGACAACCCAACACCGTCGGTCAGGAACAGGTGCAAAACAGGTCATAGAGTCTCACGCAAACTACATCCATGATCACGGCAATATTCTTGGGGCTCTTCGCGTTCATCTTGCATCTGGGTGCGCGATGGGTTCACAGGAGAGAGACCTCCCTTTGACCTCGGGCTGACGAAATCTACCAACGTGGATAGGTCATGATTGCATCATTTTGAGATTACCGCCCCTGTCGATGCTCTGGGGCCTGGGCTGCTGCAACCCCCAGAGCCCGCTTGCTGGAGCATCGGTCCCAGGCATGGCACCGTTGTTGGAAATTCCCCGAAGGCTAACTCTGGCCTCTAGCTTCTAGCCTCTCTACTTTACTCGTAGCCTCTGAGCCTCCAGCGCCCTCATTGCATCAATTGCCTTTGCCGGGAATCTGCATCCTGCATCTACGCGAGCGATGCGTGTCCAGCGGCCAGCGGCCAGCCACGAGCAGTCCGCGAGCCACGCCACCAGGTCTTGTTGCCTTTTCGTTGGGCTCTTGGTCCCTCGATTAATTACTTTTATACTAAGTAGTACTAGGTACCTTAGTACCTCGTAGATCATGACTGCGTGCTTTGTACAAAGCCATACCCTGACGTGCCTGATGACCACTGGGAGCCGCTGGCATCGAAGTCTTTGCGCTCTATTTGGCTGCCCTGAATTGAGTTGGGCACGAAACTCGTCCCTAAAATTGGCGTCATTGGTCGTCATCAAGATCTTTTATTTTCCTTGTCTCATCCTCACTGTCATCCGCATCCGCAACCTCATCCTCATCTTCCCTTCTCCATCTTCATCGCCCCCTTCACTGATGCTCACTACCGTCTCCTATCTGCCCCTTGTCATTGTCTTTGCGGTCATTTCCAATTTCTCATGTTGGGCACAACTCAAACATCTCATGACCCATGCGCCAAGCGAGTCCAATAGTCATTACCCCAAGTGATCAAGGTCTCCTCGGCCCTTGGGCCGTCTCTACACGCCATGAGTTTCCAACACAAACCTGTCATTCATGCTGCCTCCTCCGTCACCGTCATCGTATAGCATCCTCTTGCCTCACAAGGCATCCCTCATCCACAATATTCCCAAACCAACATCGCACCTGCCACTTTTACATGGATTCAAGCCATGGCGAGAAATGTTGAGGTCTCGGCATACGGCCAACTTCCAACAATTGACTTGTAATGCCCCAAACAGGCCTTTGTTTGAGCACACCGCCTCTTGTCCTACTCTATAGAATAGTCGCAAGAAATCGGGATACCACAAGCGTGAAACTCTCTGTGGGGACGGCCGAGAGACTGCCTTGCTTGATTTGAAGACTACTGTACGCATACTTTGAATCTCAAGTACCGACTTTCCGGATGAACCCGCATGGTGCATTGACTAAGTACCCCGTACGCATAAGTACAACCATACGCTTTCGCTTCCTCGCGACACTACCCCGAATTCGAACAGGCGTCTCGCCATAAACCTCTCTTACTGAGTCCAGCTCATCGACTGATGATCTTCCAGAACAGCAACAGAACACGCCATGCCTGCCCCCAAGTCCCGACTCCTGAGAACTGACCGAGTCAGCGTCTGTTGATTCCTAGGCGCTCGCTCAAGTCATCTGCTGAAGGTACTTCGGGCGACATTTCCTCCTGTTGTCCTGGAGGTCGACAGACCGCTTTGACACTACATTAGACTCCCCGAACGAATCATAATCTGTGGCAAGAGTCTGAACATGTCACTCCAACGGAAGGCTAAACTGTCCAATCTGACAACCGCGAGTTGGGGCAGTCCGGATCCCGTGACTAAAGCAGACTGCTGAGTTCCCATGCGGTGAAACCTGCAGTACTTTCGCCTCCTCCGACTGGTGTACGTCAACATCTGTTGCCTTTGACAATGTCTTCTGCTCATCAAATGCATGCTTTCATTCTTGCCTCCCTCGACTTGCGGCATTGTCTTGCTCTCCCCCGATTGCCTTGACATATGTCCATTCTGTTGACCACCTCATGAGCCTTGTTTGGATAAGGCGATGATGAATCAGGGACCGGCGGGTCCTACCAATTACAAAAGTCCGCTTTGCCATCCATACACGATCTACGCAAGATAATGTATCATCTATTATTTGGGCCGTTCTTGGTCAGTGAACCTAAACAATGGCACCCTTAAATTCTTGATTTCAACTGCCTGCATTTTAGACCGTCTTCACCACAAGTAGCCTTCACAGGCGAAGTGATATAAAAGCTTGACCGCCAACCGAAACCTCGCCTTGAAACGACCCAATCTCGTACCATCGAACTAGGTTCTTACAGCTCTCTCCGTCTCAATCCCAGTAGTTGATCGAGGCTAACTTCCACCAGCATAGCCGGGCCGCAATTTGGCCATGCGTGGTTCGATCAAAGGATGCCATTGCGCCAAGAAGGTGATTGCTACACGCATGGAGCATTAGCTATATGGTACCGGAGAAGAGCATAGAACCAAAGGCTCTGCGCCATCTTCAAAGCGACATGATTCTACTTACCCCACATAATGTAACAACTCGCGAAACTGAGGATAAGTGAACTCCGCCAAATCCTGATCAATATCACCAGTCAGCATCTAGATTGGCAATTCACAAGCTCCTTGCGACACTGTTCTTCTGCCTGTTGTCCAGATAGGATGCTCGATAGACAGGATCCGGGATCCGAAGGAATGACTCACGTTTGATTCTCCCCCTTGGGGCTTAAAAACCAGGCACCAACGCTGAGTGCAGCAACGATAACGAGACCGACCACGAGAGACCAGCTGCAGAAACAGATATTGTCAGCAGGTGATCCGACGAGGACAACCCTTACAAACAGTAGGATAGCGATCGTCTTGGGGTTTAAACTCCATCAAAACGGTGTTGGCTGGCTGATATCAACCGCATTGTTGTTTCGAAGTCAATATCCTGAGGCAGGAAGAAAGGCTGAATTGAGTTCACAAAGCTCCCTGCAATCGACCGTGTGGTCCCAACACCGACTTTGAGTTCGCAGAGACAAAACACATATCATCACATTCACTGCGTACAAAGCGTTGTGCTGCACCAAGGTGACAAGAGGTGTAGATGGGTAAACGTATCTGCGGGGGTTAACCTACCCGTTCGCCATAGTGTATGCCTGAGGTCTTGTCTCCTGCTCTTAGTACTAGTTACGTCTCTGTACAAGCTTGATAGCTTGATATCGATCCAAGAACAGTTGTGAGAACCCAACACCGACCCAATTGCCGAGCTGATATGTAGTGATACGTCTAACGGTAGTATGTAACCTGATTAGAGGGGGGATCGAGGATGCCCCTGCGCTAGCGATCTGTCACGCGGAGCAGTTTGGCTTTCCGGAGGGGCAGAGTATCGTATGGCTCGACGTTGACGTACTTCTGATCGAGTAATGAGGATGTAGAGGCCTATTGTCCTTGGGTGATACGGTCAAGTTGCAAGTTGCTCTTGGTTGGAGATCTGGCAGGCGTGAGGGCGCAGATCGGCAAACTTTCCCCAATGCCTATCAGCCTTATCAGGGCCAGCCTCGTTAATAATGCCCATTCACGTGCCATTCCCTATCATAACATTCTCGTCCAACTTGCACTGGTCGCATGCACTGGTCAGCGATTGATGCGATAAAGTGCGCCTCGGACTTGAAAATTGCAAATATAGCATGCACTGCTATGAACAGAACTGTCTAAATAGAAAACAGCAATCATTGAGACCCAGATAACTTATGTGGTCTTCGCCTCTCTCTCTCTCTCTCTCGCAGAGAGTAAGTTTGCGTGTTGTTCAAAATCAACTCCCATTACGAGAAGTCGAGACACTGGAGGTGATCTCCACAGAAGTACACAGGGACCATCATCTCAACACGATAATAGCCTCCACAAATCCGCCGTCGGGGGATAAAACCATGTAAAAGTCGTCAAAGTTGACTCGCTCCAGAGGCATACAGCTGCATTCCGCCCCGGATAACCAATGTTGTCCCATAACCCCGGTGACTGCCCCTAAGCACCCTCTCGGCTTTTGCGGTAGTTGCTTTCCTGCTCGACTTGGAGCTGGTCGATTTCAGGAGCCAGTTCTTGGAGAATTTCATAGGCTCTTTTATGATATTCGAGTTGGGCAGCAATGAGATCTGCCAAATTACGAAGTGGCTCAGGAGTATCGAGGACCTGATGGGTAAGAGCAGAGGAGATTAATATTAACTTTGGGTGGGAGAGGGTAGACGTAAAGGGCGACACTCACATTCTTCATGACGCCTTGCGCCTCCTCAACTTGAGAGACAAAATCGTCCTCCTTGGCCTCGATCTCGGCGCGGGCTTCCTCACTGAGGGCCGACTCGTCGTCAGGATTCTGGCCTCGTCCATGAAGCTGGCTCTTTTTAGCCGCCTTGGTACTGTCCAGAATCAAACGACTATTTTCGACGGCGCGACGGGCTTTTGTTGCAAATTGGATGTTGGTGTTCAGGGTTGTGGACCAGCCGGCGAGAAAACGAGCCTGGATGGCATGGTCCTGAGCGAGGCGGGCTTCTCCAACTTTCTCCTCTGCAAGCGCGTACCGCTCAAGTGCAGCCGCAAGAGGGTCTTCGCTGGTGTTGGTGGAGCCTGATGCTGAGCTTTGCGCGAGCAGTTGAGAGCTCGTGAGAGAGGCGCGGGCAATAGCGTGGTTAAAGGTTTTGGGCTGAGGCTTGGTGGAAGGAGGGGCAGTGAAAGCAGCCTGGGCTTCGGCGGTGTTGGAGGCGTGGGAAAGTAGCGAAACCTTCTCAGAGATCGATTTGCCTAGATCCGTAAAAGATTCCCGGATGTTGGGTGGGTAGTCATATGCTTCGTTCGAGTATTGGTTACTATGGATGGATTAGCCAGCGCAGGCGGCTGGGATGGGCAGTTATCTCCAGACATACGTCACATTGAGAAGATTTTGATGGACGAGTTTCAAGGCATCGACTCTCTTTTCGAGCTCAATGTATTCAGGCGGGAGTTGGGTCTGCAAAGCCAGAGGAATGTCAGCGAGAGCTGGAGATGTGGATGCCTATGATGGGTAGGCTGACCTTGTCATCTGCCTGACCGAGTTGCTCCTTGATGTATTGAGAACTTCTTTGAGCAAAGGGGGAGACGGTCGAGTTGAAGGCCGAACTGTTGTTGTCGAGAGGATGTCAGCAAAGATTCGCAAGAGCAAGGGGTTGGTGTCACAAAGCGACAGGAGGGTGCAGTTTATGGGGCGGGACCATTGAGGTGACGAACCTGATGTTCTTGCCAAAGGCAGAGAATTTGTCCATGATGGCGATCGATTCTGAGGTCGATGGATGGAGGGATGATGGAGCGAACGTAACTCGAGGAGGAGTGGACGATGGGAAGAGAGTGGTTTGTTTAGAATTGGTTTCAAGCTGATGAGTGCCAATTGGGAACTTTGGGGGGTCAGCCTGCGTTCCTGAAGCCACGTCAAGTCAAATCAATCCAAGTCAATGGGGAGGAAGGCACCTGCAGAAGTTGCAGCATGTAAACAAGCCACTGACCGGTAGGCACAATTACTCATAGGCCCTCTGCCCAGTAGGTCTTCCGTCGAGCCCGTTACGCCTGGAACTAGACCCTGGGTGCCTGGAAACGGGTAATCACATGCGCGCCAAGACGCCCGCAGATTATCGACCTCAACTAAAAGATGCCCTAAAGGCTAATAATAACGACCTAATAACCATGTACGTAACTAGGTACCTGAGGTAGGTAATAATAATAAGATAGGCACATATGGATGGGCTTTATTTCTCTTATCTTCGCGATGAATGCTTTGGGATTCAAAATGTTAATCAGACCCTGCAGACTTCATGAACAGGTCCATACCTAAGTAGCCACGATCTACAATACCTGGCACGTAATATCGGCCCCTAATCGTGGTATTCAAACAGACACCAAGAAAAGACAAATTCGACAGCATTGATTCTACTCCATTCATCTTAGACCACAAACCACTCTTCCTTCATTCACAAATATTCGTATATATCTCATGTCTCGGTAGACAAGACCTGGTCACATATCGACCTATCACCCCATTCAGAACATATGAAATTCGTTCGTCGTCGCCCACATCTGCATAATCTGGTCTGCAGTCAAATCCTGCCGCGACATATCCTTCGTATCCACCAAGACCAACCTGCAGCCTCTGCGCTTTTTATTCATAAATGGCCTTCACTGCTCTTCATCGGGAGTGCGGTCTGTCGTCACGTAGGTGAGACGGGCTTGACACTTGATCAGAGCAAGTTCTCAAGTCAAAGTGGCCATCATGGCTCTGATCATGCCAGGAGTGGGCGCGGCTGACCGTGCACGACCTAACCACATCGCATCAGGATCAATCTTGTTTCAGGGTATTCATTTCGCAACGAGCGACATCCTACCTCGGCGATCCTTCCTGACCTCGAGGATTTCTTCGCCCCTCCGTTCAAGAATCACCTCGGCACCCCGAGGGGAGGGCGATCTCTCCCGGACCCGTTCCACCTTGACAATCTCTGTCCCTCCACGTTCGGAGCGTCTTTCGCGTCTGAGAGATTTTCGTTCTACTTCAAGGCGTCGAATTTCCTCCGTAATTTCCCAGTCTGTCCTAGCCGGCTTTCGGTCGACTACCAGCGCCAGAGGGCCAACGTGGACCGAGTTCGAGTCTTCAAAGTCGACTTCACGCGTGATTTTGCGCTCGATGAATGATTCGTCGCTCACAGATGAACCCCTCCTCCGGGTGCGATTGGTCGGCGCGGGCGAGACTTCTCGGACCAATTTCTCCTTCTCAATAATGGTTTCCTTGATGACTGGAGAGGATCCTCGACGAGATCTTCGACGAGACCGTGACCGGTGACCCTTTGGAGATGGAGATCGTACCGATAGTGCGTCCCACTCGCGAACTGATCGAGGAGCTTCGGCAAGAGGAACTGTCTTGATTTCTTCCACCTTTTCATATTTCTTTTCCTCGACAATATTACCGCCACCACCGTGGACGCTTGGGGCCCGCAGACTTGGCGCACGTATACTCGGAGCACCTGAGGCTGGAGCTGGCTCAATCAAGCGCGTGGTCGTGGCTGAGACACGGTTAGAGCCAGGTGGAAATGACGTTAATAGCAAACAACAATTCACTCACTTTCTCGATACTCTTTGCTCAAAGTGAAGATCTCGTCAATGTTGTCTGGTCCCAAAGCTTTCTCGATAACAATTGTCCGTTCATCCTGTCAATGTAAGCATCGCACCCCTTTGGGCGAAATGGATACAGCCTACCTCCTCGTAGAAAGGGTAACCCAGGTCGAACAACACCTTGGTGTTCACCAACCTCTTGGGCATGCGAGTCTTTCCGCGGCGCGGATATGGCTTCTCTTCGATGACCTCCTCCCTCTTTTCTTCAATGAATTCTTCTTTGACAGTCCGCCGCTCTGGCGAAGGGCTATTTCTAGCCTTACGAGACACCCACTCCCTCTCACGATACTCTCGGAAACCATCGTCGCCGTAGTAGTCCGGATCTTGGACGCGAACGTCGTCATAGTATTGTTCATATCGGGGATGCCTCTGTGGAGGCGAAGTCGGCAGAGGAACGGGGATCAACTCTCGTGGTGGAATTGGTCTCGCAGGACGATAGCCCTCATCGTATTCGTAAGGACGCCGAGCGGGTTGGCGATCAAAGGTGTCGAGACTTGACTGGCGTCTGAGGATACCCGGGCGAGGAGGAGGTTCATGACGTGCATTATAGGGGACCATCTGACCTCGCTGAGCACGAGGATCGTAGTACTCGGTTTCATGGTAGTATTGCTTGCGTTCGACAGGATTGCGAGATCCATAACGCTCGTCCTCGTAGTATCTCTCATCCTCGTAGAGTGGTGGTCGACGGGAAGGGGCAGACCCATAGTCATAAGGGCGATCTAGGACGGGCGGACCGCGGAGATCTCGTTCGCGGGCGAAGCGATCGCTGTCCCATCGTTGAGGCGGAGGATCTCGGTAGGGAAGACTACCTTCGGAGTAGTGAGGGTCAGGTCGATACCTGGACATGCTGTCAACGCTGAAAGGGCTTCAGGAGGTGTGTGATGGATGTGGTCAGATCGTGAACCTGTACTTTGTGACTAGGTGACTAGGTGACTGGATGCAGATCGGATGTGCGGTTCGGGACGGGGCAAGGGCCACAGAGAGGTCAATTCAAGCAACCTAGCAAATTCTTGGAAGTTGGTAAGGCCAAAGTCGTTCGCCAGCGCCAGCGTCTCCAGAAGAAGAGACGGAGTGAGGAAATGCAGATTCAGGCGGGGCAGGGAGGAAGGCTGGCCTGGCACCTGGTAGGAAAGGTATGGAAGGTGTGATCCTGTGTGCCGTGCCTGCTTGACATGGATTCCCACACCAAGGCTGACGACGTCAGCAGATCAAAGCCAAGAAGCTGCAACAACTCCAGCAACTGCACACGATCAACTCAACCTCAACACTTGTTTCTCATGTCTCTCAATCAGTGCAAGACGACCTGGGAAATCTGTTGATGATAATAAAAGTACCAGAACGCCCACACTGGCCTAAGCCTTTTCACTTCTTCCCACGTGGCTGGGCCATCCCTGGGAGAAATCGATTCTCTCGGCCATTAATCCGACTGAACGCCAATGACGTCGCTTTGCTACCCAAACCACAAAGTACTTATCCTGTTTCCGCTCCCGCAAGTCACCCCAGCCTCCTTTGAGTCCTTTCTCCCCTGCCACAGTTGCTCTCAGACGACTCATTGCACACGCCACTCCAGCTTGGGCACGAGCTGAGAAAGAAGAGGTGGCATTTGAGAGCCCAAGAGACTTCTGGAGGAATATGATGCACGTTGGCTCAAAGAAAACGGCAAAAGAACCTTGCATATGAAGTGGGACTTCAACAGTAAATCTGTCTCTCTGCACCTGGCCGTCCTGCCGACCCTTGAATGTTGGATACCTCGCATACAATTGCATACAATTGATCACTCCTCCGCCCAGTGCTCTACCAGCACAGCAATGCTGCGCCAGAACCACTGCATCAACCCAACAATGAATACATTGACCCGACACGCGCGATAGATCCCCTGTTCTTGCCCATCCATACACAATGCGTTCCACCGCCCCCAATAACTCCATGTCTCTCAGTATGTTGGTCTCAGACTCAGTTCCTAGTATGATGCCTCCCAGTGTGCCGATCAAAAGTAATCATCCCTGCGCCTTGGTATCCTTCTGTTGAATCGTGCTCTATCATGTTCACTCCGTAATCATAAGCCAGTCGTGTCGACACAAAGCCACTTTCTGCCGTCTGTTATGCATCTTTACCGCCTGCATTGATAGCAGCTGCAGCAGAGCCTCCTCCAGTCAGCTTGGCTGCCTGGATCGCGCTCATCTTGTGTGCCCAACCTGGGGCTGGTTGAGGTCGTCTGACAGTTCGAATCTCATCGGTCGAGACACCGGGTACTCGGATATTGTACTGTCGCTCCAAGACGATCTGAAGATCCCGAACCTCCAGACTGGTCGATCCGCGGAGTTTGGCCAACTTGCAAGCCGAAGACACAAGCTCGTCTACGAAATCGTCTGCCACGCCGAGAAAAACCTATAGATCAATTAGCCAAGACATGTCAGAATGAGGGTCTGTGAACGCACTTCTTCTGCTTCGGGATCCAGCTGCTCGTCAGGTCCTGGTCCGCAAATCTCTCGAACGAGCTCGTTAAGTTTCTTCTTCGACAACACCCGACCGTCTTCGCTGGACTCGAGGACATAGCCAGGAAGTGCTGAGATGGCAGGTTGTGCAAGCTGGCCGGGGAGGCCAACACCAGCACCACCCGTCAGAGTCGGTCGCGAGGGAGGCATTTGGACAGCTTTCGGTTCCGTGACTTGAAGATTCTTGGTGATGGCAGGTGTAGCGGTCTTTGCGGCGTTGATACTATTGTTGAGCGGGTTTTGATGGGCGTTTGCTTGGGCGCTTTGTTGCAAACCTTGCGGCTGCATGCTTTGGCCGGCCGAGACGGGGCGTTGCGCGGCAGCGATGTCTCCGGGTTGACCTGAAGGAGGAAATGATGGTTGTGATGCAGAAGCCGGAGTTTGTTGGGCTCCAGTTGAAGATGCGGCTTGGCTCAATTGTGCGGGTGCGGCAGATGGACTGCCTGGCTGTGCAGCACCAGTTGCCTGACTACGCGCGGCATTAACTGCCGTTTGAATCGTGAATGCTTGAGGTCCTTGACCACCCGCTTGCAGTTGTGCCGAATTGACCTGTTCTGCGCCGTCAGCTGCTGCAGCTGCCGGCTTACTGAACTGGTGTTGTGGCTGGGCTGAACGAAACTGATCCTGCTGTTCGTTGAATTTCTTCATAAACGAAGTACTCTCGTTGATGGCTCGATCGCACTGGGCAATTTTGCTATTGAAGACTTCGGTCTCTTGCGGATTCAACGGGTTCCCCGAGCTGTTGCGTTGTGCAGCTTGTCGGTTAAAGTCGGCCTTTTTCTGCTTGGCTACCTGGAGCCTTTGCATAGCCTGTCCGAGTCTGGTTTTTGCCTCCCGCAACCATATCTCAGCAGGCTCCGACCCTTTGGTCATCGCTGGGGGGTAATAAAAGTGGTGTTCGTTCACCTTGCGCTGAATTTCAGGAGACAGTTGAGAAAATTGAACACCACTCCCAGAGCCTTGTTGGGCAGGAGCGCCCGGTGCCTTTTGGGCTTGAGCCGCTGCCTGCACCTGCCCTTGGCTGTGAGCATGCTGTTGGGCTTGCTGCTGGCTATGTTGTTGTGCTGCTTGTTGTTGCTGTTGAGCCTGTTGTTGCTGTTGCTGCTGCTGTTGTTGTTGCTGTTGTTGTTGCTGCTGCTGTTGCTGCTGTGCTGCTTGCTGCTGCTGCTGCTGTTGTTGTTGTTGCTGGCTCTGCATTCTCTGTCGCGCCTGTGACCACTGCTTCATACCGTTCATGAGCAGAGTGCTGGTTTTGACCAATGATGCATACGCTTCGTTGTACTTGGGGTCTCCCTGAGGAGTCGAATTGATGACTTCCCAAAATCTTTTCACGGCAGCTTCATACTGCTGCTTCTGTCCGGGATTGAGCTGGGGCAACTTTTGTACCTGTTCGGGACGGATGAGCGACGCCTGTTGTTGAGGCGCCGGCTGGGGGCGTTGAGCTGTCGCATCCATCCTGCTTGGGGTAAAGAGAATGCGGTATGACCGAGCGAATCTTGAATTCGACCACAGAGCACGTCTTGGACTGGTCGAGGGGTGACCAATGAATTGAGGTCTGACAGGATCGAGGAGTTGGATTGCTGATCAGATTGGGTGGGAGGGTATGACGGGCTAAGACTCGTTCGAAAAGCGTGCAACCGTATTACGACCAGAGCTTAGGCCACGTCAACGTTGGTCGACTCGTTGAAAGTGTCTTCAAAATGGGTGCGAAGCGAACGGTCAGAGTCAGATGGAGAGGGAGGATGAGCCTCGGTGGCTGCAAACGCAGCTAGTACGAGGAAAAGGTGAAGCCAGAACGGGGAAAGATGCAGAGATGACAAGAAGTTCTCAAAGTCATCAAGGACGCAGTGACACTCCTACAGGACGAAGAGTCGGACAGGTCGAGGATCAATCATGGTTGTTTGATGGTAGTCTGTCGTTGGTTCGTTATTTGAACAAGCCGCCTTCTGGCTCGGCTATGATGCCAGATTCGTCGGTGGTCAGTTGTTAGAGAGCCACGATACAAGGCACAAGTGGGGAGCAGTGGGAGCCTCCCGAGCCTGTCTGCCTGGTTTTTAGATGCCTTGAGATGCCAAGGGCAGGCCTAAGTGGCCGAGATTTCTTCCTTCTCGGGGCCCCTAAAGAGGGGTATCTTAGGGGCCTCGGGTGTCATTGGGGCCGAAGATCAGGGAAGTTGGTGCACATGGATCATGCTTGAATGTCCTTGGGGCGTCAAGGGACTCTGATTACTCCGTAAAAGGTATGTTCACCTGATCTTGGATACGGCCAGTATGCATTATTAAGGTAGGTAGTCATTTACCTGGAGACACATGTAAGGACTGACTGTGCTCAACTCGACTGCATTTGACCTCTCACAAGGATGTGCATCACAAATTCATAACAAAGCCATGACAATAGGCATCGAATTACTCACCGCCATCGTGTGACTCTGAGGTGCTGTAGGTTCAACGACCTTAACTAAGCAGCAAGCTTAGAAGTACATATCAGGTATTGTCACTTGCCACGCTCTTGATCCAGCCATCGACGTCAGCTTTCAAACTTGGCGAATACAGCCAGGTAAATTCGAGGTCTTCCTTTGCAATCTTTTGTGTGTCAGATCCAGCAGCCTGGTTCGGTGGTAGCCTCCTCAGGTCCACCTGTTTGTTCAACTCCAGTTCCTTATCGACTCGTGCCTGGCGATAGTCTTGCCAAAAGGTCAGCGATGCCTCGAAACTTACCATACCCTTTTTCGATGCAGCTAGCAGGAGTGCAAAGGCATAGACATCCTCAAACGCTTGACTAATGCCCAGACCTGCGGATGGAGGTATGGCGTGCGCGGCATCCCCTAATATCACCACTCGTCTGTTTACAGAAGACCATCTGTCGAGCTCGGGTACAAGGTAAAACGGCCACACAATCATCCTTGTCACATCAATAATTTTGGTTGAAGTGACCGCGATGTCTCCAAACACCTGAGCGTCTTCTTGCAGGAAGGTGACCAACGATTCCTTATCGGCAAGGAAATCCTCCCACCCCTCCCGACTCAGTTCTTCCATCCGTCTCTGCTTGCCAATGAATAACTCTGAGCCATCGACCTTCTGAGGAGCCACAATGAATGCTCCAACACCTCGGGCAATGATAGTCAAAGCTTTAGAGATCTTCTTGCCAAAGTGTGTCACAGGGACCGACGGCACGCTGGCATTTATGCCGGCCATGTTTGTGAACTTGGGTACCAGGTGTGGGTAGAGATATTTGCGGACGGATGAGTGAATGCCATCGGCGCCAACCAGACATGAGGCCCTTAGCATTTGTCCGTCTTCGGTCTGCCATGTGATGTAATCGGCCGTCTCCTCCACAACATGCGAGAACTTGTGTCCATAGACGACACGGATGTCCTCCGCATGAACTTTGCTCAAAATGAGATCAATAAGCTCGTACCGGTAAATTCGATTTGCTGGATATCCATATTTTTCCTTGTTGCCAAGTTCATAGACCTCAAGCAAAGTCGCCGTCGGCGGTTTGAATCTCCGACTCATCAAAATTGAACCCACTTTGACGGACGTCTTCATAGAGATTCAGAGCAGCGAGAACCTGGAGCCCATTAGGCGAGAGCATCACGGCACCACCAATTTTGAGAGGGCCTTGCCACGATTCGTAGACCGCGGGTGTAATGCCTTGTTGGTGCAATGCCAGCGCCAAGGTCAGGCCTGAGAGACCCGCACCAATAATTGCAACTCCTTCGGCCATATCAGATGGAATATGTGTGTTACAGGTGATTAGCATCTATTGAGAGCACTTAGTAGGGTGAGGATGATTAGTACTGTAAGCTGACTAAACAGGCCTGAAGTTGCATTAGCCCTGACAAAGAGCCTGTTCAAATGGTGCAACAACAACACTCGAATAAGCATCTGACGAACTCAAAGCAGAAGAAGAATCTGAGCGAGTTCAATGTTAAAGACATGGATACTATTGCGAGGCACTCCAGACTTAGGGGCCTTAAAAAAAAGATCGGCCCCGGGGGAGCAACTGACAGGGTCTGAGTTAAAGCAATTGATGGACCTCGGAAAACTTGGGACTAACGCAAACCCAAATGTGACAAAAGTCGCGAGATATTGAGGTCTTTGAGGTTAATGACGTCGACTATCAAGGCAGAATTCGACGCAAACAGGCCTTTGATGAAATATCTACGAGATCCAAAGCCTTGGGGCCAGCGGGCCCAGACAAACCTAAGCAAGTTGATCCGCATCTCCCCTTCCCAGGGCTCGCCATTGGTAGCAGCGTGTTTCCGACGAGGAAGACGAAGAGAAATTTGCGGAATATGGACGTCAAGGACATGGACGAAAGAGGCAAACGCGAGCGTAGGGAAGCAGAAGATCGCCAGATCTGACAAATTAACCTCCATGGATTTCAGGCAGGCTAGAGCACTCGGTATTTCAATACTTGAACAAGGACTCTGACGCAAAAGGAATGCGCTTGTATCGTATGAATAAGTGCATTTGGTATAAGACAACGCTGATAGCCTCACGACAACAACCGTTGTATCAAAATAGAGAACATCATCACGAAAGAATTTTTTGAAATAGCTTAAGAATTCCACCATTCAGTGTCAGTCATATAGCATTAAATTTTGGGCAAGAAAACTTGGGACTAGGGTCTTAAGTTATATGCTAGAGCAATAAGGGTGGGAGAGCACCGAAAGACAGTACCTAAAAGCTAGGTCGAGATTTGAAATGTTTTAAGGGTTATATAATTAATTTCTCAATAAAGTGTCAACAATTCGTATTGTCAATACACCGAGATTTATCCGGTGACACTTTGGCGGAGTGGTTAACGCGCTGCCCTGCTATAGATCAAATGATTTAAGCGGTATTAGGCAGTTCCTTCGGGAGCGCAGGTTCGAATCCTGCAGGTGTCGAATATTTTTTTGGTCGAAATCAATTTATGGATGCGAACCAGTACGCCCTAGCCGGCAGCCTGGAGAATTCACACGCCGCTACCTTTACCCAAAGAACCAATTACCCCGTGCGGCGGGTCAACTTGGAGGATTTTTGTCCCAGCGGTTATCGTGCTTGCATTGATCAAACCAATTCCACCGTGCCTGCCAGAAATTCAGATTTATTCTACCTCGCATTGTCTTGACCTAGAGATAAAATTGTGAGGTTTGCTCCGGCTATTCATTCCTGAGGTCAGCTTCTGTCACCCAGGCTGCCGGTCCCTTCCTCTGCGTGCCTTTTCTGTAAACATATGACATTCAAATGTGTTATAATCGTTAAGCCAACAGATGGTCCCGAGTATTCTGTCCTTGACTGTCCTCGCCTTCGTGCGAGAATCGCAACGATGGCTAATATCCAAAGGCAGAAACGACGAACCCCGTGAGGTTCTGGCTATCATACACCGAAATAACGACACCAATCACCCACAGGTGACTCAAATCTTCAACGAAATTGATCAGGCTATCAAGTACGAACGAGAGACTTACCCCACACAGCCCTGGAAAGAATTGGTTGCTTCCAAGGCCAGTCTCCGCCGATTGACAACCATCGTTGGCCTCGGTGTCATGATATAAATGATGGCCAAGTTTGTGACCTTGTGCGCTCCTCTCGCCCCCTTCTTCTTCACTATGCGCTATGTGTCGACACAACGAGTCGGCTGATTTTTGGGGTCCTTGCTAAACACTGATACAATGATTTGAATCGTCATGTTGAGGCTGAAGACAGAGGTAAACATTTCAGTTGGCGACCCCTGATATAGACTTCAGCGATATTTCGGTCATCACCACTGATTAAGAACTTTTCGAGAACTGTCCGCACACTATCCCCCTCTTGGACCATTGTCATGACACCATCGTCAGTTTCAGTCCGGATCACGAGACCGTCAAAATCCTTCCCGACCTGGAAGTTTCCCACCTTGTGGTCTAAGCTGCACACTCTTGCTCCTCCTAGTGTAGCCAGATAGAAACACTGCCAGACAGAGAGGGAAGGGTCGCCATGCATCAGTTGTCGTGCGTTGGACACAATGATAGCCTGACGAATCGCGTCGAGAATGCTAGAGGAGAAGCCGCCGCCATTGTCGGTTCCCAATCCGACTTTGATCCCAGCCTTGAGAAACCGGTGGATAGGTGCGGCCATGAAGCCTCCGCCGACGGTCGTGTTGGCTATCGGGCAGTGGGCGACGCCACTATCTGCCTGACGGAGCTTTTCAATCTCCTCGTCAGTCATCAGTGTACAGTGGGCGAGGATGGTTCTGTTTGTGAGCAGACCATAAAATTTATATAAATCTGCCTCGTTGGCGAATTGTGGAAAAAGACTGAGCGTCATGTCAATCTCTTGTCGAGCCTCGTTAAAATGTGTTTGAATCGGTAAGTCTGGATTCTGTGTGGCGATCTTACCGAGACCGGCGAGTAAGTTATCAGTGCAGCATATGGCAAAGCGCGGAGTGAGAACCGGCTTGATTAAGATCCCGGTCGCATCAATACCTCGAATATAGTCTATCACACTCTGGGTGACCTGTAATGATTCGGCGTCATCTTTATCTTTATAGTACGATGGAGCGTGACGGTCCATGTTACATTTACCAACCAGTGCTCGCTGACCTTTCGCCAGACAAACATCGGCTAAGACTTTTGTTGCGTCACCATGGAGAGATCCGTAATATGAGCATGTCGTTACTCCCTGTTTAATAAATCCAGCGACACACGCAGAGTAAAGTCTTTTTGCATGTTCGGGATCTTGAAAAGCTGCCTCATTTGGAAAGGTGACCTGGTTCAACCAGTCGAGAATATGAAGACCGCCACCAAGGCCTCTCTGACCCCACTGGCATGCATGATTGTGCGTGTCAACAAAGCCAGGGATCAGAAATTCGGTCTTTGAGAGGATCCTTAGACGGGGCTCTTGGGAAAGTTGAAGTCGGCCCAGCAAGCTCGGTAAGTCGTCGCGATGGACGCCACTGCTAATATGGATAATGCGGCCATCAGCCGCCACGACCAGGAGACAGGCCTCAAGGATCTCTATCTCTGTATCTTCCCGGCAATGGACCACAATTCCGTAGAAAGCTAGAGAATTGGCCATAATGCGGTGGCTAGAGGCGGGAGAACAGTTGGCAAGCAGGAAAATCTAGAGGGGTGTTGATGAGGCCCAAAGCTGTTTGTAAATACTGGACCTAACACTTCTCTAGAAGCACGTATGCCTCGTCGGATGAAGCGAAGATTGCGGGACCACTTGATGCCGAGCCGAATGTTGCTTATCAAGTTGGCCCACGGCCAACGTTCGTGCCACAGACTAATAACGAGATTTACGAGTACGGAGTAATGCCAGATGTAGAGATAAGCCAACAAGTGGGCAAATATGGACGCCTCAGGTACTTTGATGAAGAGGCCAACCATTGACTGGCGTGACGGACCACCCCGAAGGATGAGCAATCTTATCCCATTGAAAGCTAAGGTACCTACGGAGTATGCTTGCGAAGTAACGAGATTTTCTGGAAGAAGAAGCGCGGATCGTGTCCTCGTTGCGCCAATGCTCCACAGTCGAGATCTGCGTTTAAGGATTCTAGAGATCCACCGTAGACTTGGCGAATATTTTCGAGCAACCTTGTCGGGGTTGCGAATGAAGCCGTGATTCCAGCTGCTGCTCACACGCTGCTCTCTTGTTCACCCTTACTTGCGTCAATCCGGCCACGGTACTAGCAGCAATGACTGCTGTCCGGCTGTCACCTTCTGGGAGTCTCCTTCGCAGCTCGAGGCTCTTTGCACTTCCTCCCGCCATTCATGGCCCGAAGGAAGGTGACTTTGGCTCCGACACAGCTACCACCGCCCACCCCCTCCGAGCTGCCCTCGAAACCCCCCTTGTATCCTTGAATCGGGGAGACTGGGGTCTCAAACGCCACTTGCCAACAAAGACTACCACCAAATCCGGTACACCGACATTCAGAATAAAGAATGGAATTGATACAGCGGACCACGTTACCGATTTCGAATCCGCAGCAGATCATGTCCTTACCTTGCGCAAGTTCCAGGAACTGAACATCCGAACTGTCTTCCCTGTCAAGGACGACCGGTTCAAGCCTAAACTTACCAGTGTTTTCACGCCTGAATTAGACAACACCACAGACACACCCTTCCAGATCGATGTCCAAGCGAAGTCCTCATCACAATTACCCGCGCACCTACAAGCCAGTTTGGAGCAGTTTGAAAAAGATCAAACAGACTCAGCGGAACCTCAGGTTCAGCCTGTAGACCTCGCATCATCGAGCATCGATCCCGAAGCACCGAGAAGATGGCGTTTCGCAGGTCCTTATCTAGCAGGCATTAGTGAGCTGGAATTTAATGCATTTCTGGACAAGATTACGCCTCAAAAGGTGAAAGAGTTCAAAGCCTTGATTAAATCCGAGCTCACTAGGATTCGAACGCAAGAGAAGCGGTATGAGCTAGTCGCTCAAGGCCGCGCAGATGAACAGGCCGACGCAGCCATCGAATTAGGCGATGAAGATGTGGAACAGTACCTCAAAACCTTGCGATCAGATACCGCCAAATTTGGCCCTCTGATTGCGCAATTTTTCGATCTCGCAGATGGCCCTCGGCCAGTCGGGGTGGAAGACTGGCCGTACGGACGTCAAACCTTTGCGGCCGAGCAGTATAGAGAGTCCGGTCCTCCTGCTTTACATCCCTCGGCCGGGTTGACTTACCACCAAGCGGTAAACTACACCATCAACGATATCAAGAATGGGCCGTTGGTGGGCAATCGGGCCTTCCCCGCACGTATCCTGAACTCCTACAATATCACCAACGACATCATTCAGCCTGTTGTCGGTGTGGCTGGGTTCGTCGCCCGACTACGAGAGAAATCATTCAGGAAGAGGTCAATGGCCTGGGCAGCCGAAAAGGACGGGAAGAAAACGGTGGTTAGCCCGAAGTACGTGACCTTAAAAGAGGACGGTAGAGTACAGTTGACGGCGACGGTAATGGATGACTGGGTGTTGGAGAATGACGAGCCCGTGCCCAAGTCAGAAAGCGAGTCTGCTCGGCGCCCGGATGTCCTCCCTGCTGCTGCTGTCAACCGATCCTCCAGAATGCCTCAGCAAGACCGACGGAGAAGAGTCGTCATTGACCAGAGTATCGTCAACCACCAGGCGTAAAGCCACGAAGACGGCCAAAGCATCAATTCAAATAGAGCTGGCCCAACGCATACGGAGTCGTTATGTAACATATTTGTAGAGACATACATCTTTTGAGCATCCTTTAAAGACCTTGGCTATCTTTGAATGTGATCCTCTTCAATCGAATGCAGGACTAGTCTTCATCACATCAAAGCTTCTTCCAGAGGGATATTTCTGAAAAATAGATGCCAAGATCTTGTTGTCAGTACTGTCACGTGACCACGTTCTGAGAGTAGGTATTATCTAATCACTTGGCGATGAGGCCGCACAGTGATTTCTTGCCAAGGCAAACTTGGAACTTTGGGACCACGAAAATCAAATTGAAACCACGCCGCACTTTCATCAACACTCGTCTTCAACCACCGACAACAAGCCACAGCAACGTCAAGATGGGTCGCGTTCGCACAAAGGTGAGTCTACACAACTTGAAACCTGTGCTACAATGGATCAACAATTGTCTAACACGTAATCCTATCTCTAGACCGTCAAGAAGTCGGCCAAAGTCATCATCGAACGATACTACCCCAAACTCACCCTCGACTTCGAGACCAACAAGAGAATATGCGATGAAATCGCCATTATTGCCTCGAAGCGTCTTCGCAACAAGGTTAGTTACAAGCTACAGAAATCAGGCGTTCAAAAGGGTCAACCGTGCCTGGGAGGCTTGTCAGCACTATATGCTAACATGACTGATGATTAGATTGCCGGCTACACTACTCATCTGATGAAACGTATCCAACGAGGACCAGTACGAGGCATCTCCTTCAAGCTACAAGAAGAGGAGCGAGAACGCAAGGATCAATACGTGCCTGAAATCTCGGCCTTGGACTTCACCCAGAACACCGAGAGCGGACAGTTGGATGTGGACGCCGACACCAAGGACCTTCTCAAGGCTTTGGGCTTTGACTCGATCTCAGTCAACGTCGTCCCCGTCACCCAGCAACAGACCACCGAGAGAGGCCGCAGAGTTTTCGGCACCGATAGACCCGGTCGTCGCGACTAGATTCGTCCTCCTTTTGGACTTTTGCCGGCAATCTAGTAATTGATCATGATGATGATGGAGGATTACACTTCTTCAACTGGTGGGAGATTTCGGCCAGGAAGGACATGTGCAAGCAATCACAGATCTAACGGGAGTAAAATACCCGGGAGGTAGACCTGGTGGAGGCTTCGTCCGATGTAAAACCAGGTATCATCTGCCTTGGGCAGCAGCTCCATCCTTTAGGAGACACCGACATGTTGGTCCTCAAGGAGAGCGCTGCCCTGGTAAGGGTCTGAGCCACGATCCTGATCCATAAAAACAACAAAATTCCACAACTACAAGGTGTCGCCTAGTCCTTAGGACGAAGCTTGATTGCCAAAATGTTTCGTTTCCTCCTTCCCTGGTTTGGTGTCTCGCGGTCAACGCAGTCGAGTCGTCTTCTCAACGTTGACACTGCTTGGAAGTATGAGTATGGACTGAATCCCTTCAGATGTGTTCTCGTGGCAAAATCAGTCCTCATCATCCCATTGACTTCAACTCTCCGCAAGACTAACCCGCCCTCTAGATTTAAATGGTCAGGTCAGCAACAGCGTAGATGACCTGCTATAAATATCATGGAATGCACTTTTTTACAACTAGAATTAGCCACTTAGTCGTTGTAGTTTAGGAAGCCGATTCTACACCGTGACGGTGTAAAGGGTGGACAGGATTAGACGGTCTCAAAGATCTGGGTTCAAGATGGGGTTGTTATTAATCTATCATGATTATTCTCCTTGTTGTCATGGTGAGTTAGTAGTTGTATATAAGAGTAGATATGCAAAATGGCGACAGCTTAGAACAAGTCAGGATCTCGAGTCTGCATTGAATGAATAAGTGAACTCTCTTTCCTTTCTCCTCAATCTCGCTATATCGAGATCGACATCTCCCTCGCCCGGTGCAGCTTGATCATCATCGGCCTCGTCCTCTGCGTTGCCACCATCTTCCCAGCTTCTCCTCCTAGCGACACGGAAATGCAATTTCAGCATAAAGAGCCCGTGACACGCGGCGAAAAGCCTCATGATGTGCTCAGCCTCTTCCTCGCGGAGACTAGCTACGAGGATTCTGAATACCACCAAGCCGGGTGAACGGTCAATACCTCGATAATCGCTACCATGACCGCCTTCACCTAGAAGTTGGGGAGTGTGGCGGTCGAGAATGGCCATTTCGCGGGGGTGGAAGAAAACACGAATGTTGGTGATGGTGAGGGACTTGAGGCGTGGGAAGGTCGAGAGAAGGGATGGCGGTGGATAGGAGGGAAGGAGATTGTGCGCAATGCGAAGGTGGCAGAGGCGGTGGAGGTGTTGGGACAACGGCGAGTTGGTGTCGGTGAGTATCATGTGATGGGCGTGAGATGGAACATTGATAGTAGCCACGGAGAGAAAGCTAGCGAGAGCTTCAGGGTACAAAATCGGATGGATGGTCAGAAGGGATAGAGACAGGGGAAGTGGAGGGGTCTTGTCTTGGTCATGGGGAAGACTTTGTATAGACTGGTGCAATTGTGTCTTGTTGAGTTCGGCTCGCCCGCTGTACTGTCCACTCAATCTTTCGCCCTCTGAATTCACGACAAGAAGGCGAGGGCAGACGACGAGGTCTGAAAAGGTGAATCCAAATATTGTGGCACGAATCTCCGCTGGGATCAATAGGAGAGACATGTTGAGTTGCTGGGTGACAGAAACATTACTCGAACGAAACAAGCCAACGAGTGTCGATTGATAACAGTCGAATCGGACAACGGTGAGATTTGCACATGTACTGGAAGAGTGTACGTGGTCAACCCATCTTTTAACGGTGGACTGATGTATAAATCAGGTTGACATAGATGTTTCGTATGGATTAATCGTGCAAGTCGTCAATCGATTCTGATTGGAAATGTAAACTGCGGTATTGGAGAGGAATAGTTGGATAGGGCTAGGACGTTGCTCTTTTGTCAACTGCAAGCGAGATACAGTCTGACTGTTTGTCTGGCCGATACTTTCGACTTCCGCCCCTAGAAGAGTTGAAGTTGACGTGTCGGTGATTCGTCATGTGAAAACCCGAGGGTGGTGAGATAAACGTTCCTAGGTTGTTATTTGACGTCAAGGCTCTTATTCAATCAGTCAGCCTATTCATCCATAGAGTCCGAAGCCCAACGACGTTGGTCGGCGATTAGCGGTGGGTGTCAGAGTCAAATGAATGTAAGGTTGATCTTGTTGATGTTGGCTTTGTTGCGATTTTGAGAGCGAAGACGGATTCATGTCACGGGACCTCGGCGCGACATCGACGACCAGGAATGTTCAACGTGTAGGTGAGAATTCATTCAATCTCAGTAGATTAGATGATTCTAAACGAAAAAGACAGGCTACCTAGACTTGGGATTGAACAGCAGTCACCCTGCCCATGCTTCTTTCATTCATTCTCACTCTCTAGCGCTGACGTGCTTCCGAGTCTCCACGTTCGCTCGTTTACAGTGTTTCGAATCGTGGGCCAGTCAAGGATCATCTCTCCACACTCGAGTAGTCATAGACAACATTCCATACAGTCGCAAAATTCATCGATCCGATCTCTTACTCGCTCATTCTCCCTTTGCATCTGTGTGTGAATACTTTCGTGACAATTGTTACTATCAATGCTATCTAAAGGCTGTCCAACAAGCAGGCTATCGTAAGAATAATGCACGGATTCCCACCACTCCCGAATGGGCTTTTCTTCGCAGTGAAGAAGCTCTGAGGCATCAAATCCTACTTCACAAGTCCAACACCGAGAACCTTCTTGACGATCCAGCAGGCTCCTGTGAGCACCCAGCCAATAGCCCCCAAAGCTCCCATCAGTACGCTCAATACTCGCATGAGGAACGCTCCCACCGCTGCAAAAATCATCAAGTATAGAGCGCTGCGTGCACAGTCGACCAGAAACCCTCCTGCAGAATCCCCTTTTTTGACGCTCAACTTGAACCTCCCTGTTTTTGAATAGACAAATACAAGGGTCCATAGTCTCCACCCCGTCAACATCATCACTTGTCCCATCTGCCACGCTCGCTCGATAATAGCCCAGCCCATTTGCATCACCTGAGGATGGTTCCGAATCCACATTCTGGTAGCATCAAATGGAACAATCGCCATCTCCCCGATCGCGCCAAACCCAAACGACCCTAGACCTGGCATCTGTACTTCGATGGTTGAGACACTGTTGCCGCTGATGCTACGGCCCTTGCCACTGCCTGTGCAATCAATTGCGAGACCTCGCGGAGTGCCCATCTTCGATCGAGGAACACTAATCGACGAACCTGCCGATGGTTGGCCGGGTGCACCACCGCCTGTTCCGAAAAATGCCCCGATTCCAATGTTGGGTGAGCTCGAGCTCCTTAGCTGACGACGACATGTTCCACCATCTCTTGCAGTTCTCGTTCTGGATCCAGCAGCCTTCATTGCTGCATTTAGTCCTTCGGTGTGCCCACCACTTTCTCCACTCAAAGTCGAGGCAGCCGGACTTGCAAGTCCCACACAATCCAGTGTTGGAGATCCTGAGGAAGACTTGTCCAAGCCAGGACTGGTGCTCGCGCTGCTGCTGTTTGAGCTAGGCCGGTCGTGCTTCGTCGATCGCTTGAATGCTGACCTCACAAATGCAAACCGATTTCTTCTATACTTTTCAGACTTGACACTGTCCATTTCCCAGTCCTCAAGCTCACTGGCACTGCTTACACAATCCATCTCCGACCAGATGCTCTTCGTTGGGCTCGGCGTCGAATTCGGACTAGCATGTCCCACACAACCCCCGTGACAGTCTTCTTTCTTGCAACAGTCTGGGCAGCATTTATCATGATTCAGATGTCGTTCCTGGGTTTCATGCTTGGGTGAATGTAGACCCGTCCTGGCGAATGCGTCACCTTCGATCTCACTATTGTCCTCCCTGACGGAGTCGAGACCGATGGTTTTAGTCGGACGCGCCCCTTTGTGGCCTCCTCCGGTGACTTCGTTTTGGCTGGCATGGCCGGATGTAGGGATGACACCATCCGTAGTGAGGATTTTGTCTTCTACGAACCCGTGATTGCAACGACTGCATTTCCTCATCAACCCCAATCCTGTTGTTGTGGCTTTGGTTGATTCGGGCAGATTGCTGATGCTGCTCATCAGGAGCTGGTCTGGGTTGGTGGGGAATCGCGGCTTCAGTGGTGATGGGATAAGGTCTGCGTCGTGTCCATGACGCTCTGCGAGGCCCTGTCCGTAGAGAGGAGGGGCACTCCATGGCACGTAATAGCCTGTCTCGCTCACGACCGGCCGAACATGCGTCGAAGGCACCCCGAATGATCCTTCTGGTCTCTTGGGCATCGGAGGACGGGTTCCTCGCGGTCTTATTCTTGGCATTGGCATCGACGCCATGACGTGGTCGCTTCCCATGTTCATGCTGATGTTCATGCTCGTGTCCGAAAGCCCTAAAAAATTCGTTCGGGCAGGGTATCCCTTCTGGTTCTGGTTCATCATTCTATGGCCAGGGAAAGGAGGCGCTTGTCGCGGTCCCGCTTGCATAGGCTGTGCGAAGGTAGACATGTTTGTGGAGGTGAAAGTGCTGTTCACCTCTTGTGGGAAAGCATCTCGGGGATATTGAGGCATTCTTGGTTTGTGTAGCGGCATCGGCCTTGGTCCTTCCACCAGCGGCGCTGAGTTTCTCACTAGCGGCGACGTCCCTCTGGGAGGGTTGTCGTACGTTGGGACTGGCATTGCCTTGTCCACGTAGAGGTGCCTGACGTTCGATGTAATCGGTCGTGGATCCGAGTGGTACGCGGGTCTCGTATAGGGGTAAGCTGGGTTCCCGCCCCGGGGACCGGCCGGCGTCCTGGGCTGTGAATTGAGCGGCATCGTCACTGAGGGCTGTAACCTGTCTCCTTTGTTTGTTGAAAGATTCGTCACTTCTAATGTCGACCGGGATTGGCCATTGTTCGTCGGCAGACATGGTAGTTCTTTGTCGATGCTGGGACGGCCAGAGGTGCCGGAGGTTTTTGAACCTGGGTCGCTTGGCCCTTTCTTGGGGCGCGACTGGTCCAAAGAAACATCGGCATGCGACTGCACTGGCTGTGTGACAAGCTCGCTTTCCCTCGCCTCAGGAGGGAGGGATGGAAGATCTTTACCGATATCCGCAGGAGTGAAATAACGCCACTTTGGAGGATCTGGAGCCGAAGACGCCCGTATATCGGCGGGAAATCTGAGTCGCCTTACCACCGTCTCTCCACTGCCATCATTGTCAAGATCCCCCGAGCCTCTATCTTGTGATTGAGCTTGACCCAGAGGACTTGGTACAGGCTTTCGTTTCAACTCAGGATCCGCGTTGTATTCGTATGAGAATTTTCGCCGTGCTGGCACGTCTGTTTTACCATCTTGATATATGCCTATCCCATCCGGAAGCTGTCGCATATGGAAACTTGTAGATATATCATCGAAAGATGATTGACCAGCCGACCTTGGAAATCTTGCCCCGGACAGGAATGGACTCTGACCATCGGTGACCCGCATGTTAGCATTGGCCTGGGCAAGCCGTTGAGAGAGTCGCGGGTTCTGAGAGAGATGTTGGGATAGTATCTGGGGCATTTCTTCGAGTAGGGAGGTGGAAGCTGATGGCGAGGGCTCACCATGATCCAAGCTGATCTCTTGGTCTCCTCTCTGTCTCCAGCGAGACGGAAAGTCTTGAATTTGGAGATCCTTAGCCTGAGGTGAACTCATTGAACCGTTCGCACTATGTTCTCCAGGCGTTACAACACCAGTCCTTGGGTTTGCACCACGTGCAGGAAGATAGTCGTCCCTGTGCACCAATTGGTGCATTTTATTGTGGTTCAATACCTCCGGATTGCCTTGGGTTTGTACCACGGCAGTGTTTGTTGGCCAAATCGAAGATTCACGAGGGCCGGCAGCTGGAGGCCTGGGCAGTTGATTGAGTCGGTCTGGTGGAACCGAGGGGATGGACAATGAATGATCCACCCCCTGGGATGAGTTTACCAAACTGTGCTGACTGCGAACAGCAGGATTTGCGTCCGACTTGAGGATCTTTGGTCGACCTCCGGTGTTGGAAGAACCATCCAGGGTCACTGGTCTTAGAAGACCCCAATCGGGGAGTGCGTCCAATCGGCCTGTCCGCCTCTTTGGAATCTCTACTGGACTAATTGGCGCTCTTCTCTGTGAATTTCTCTTGTGTGTCGAAGCCTCGTAGATGGGAAATGATACTGCCTGGTCTGATGATGGCGAAGTAACGCAACGGCGTGTGTGAATTCTAAGGCAGTCAGAGTGACTGAAGGGAGGATGATGAGTTGGTTCCGAGGGAGTTGGAGCCATAGTGAAGACATGTGGTTGCTATGACATAGAGGAGTGGTGAGGGGCATATGATGGTCCGTGCGAATGGTGTTAGTGTTGTTACTCGAGGACAACGCCCCGTTGTCGACTGAACGGTTACTCGGACTGCATTACATTCTTGGCCAGAACGTGGACTGTGCCTCATACAAGGTCAGGCACGACCCTCCACTCATACAAAAGGTGCAGGAGCACGCCTACGGAGTACGTGATGACTATCAGACAACGCCACCATCCGTCCACCAAGGTAGCTCCAGGCCAAGGTCTAGAATCGACCACTCTCTCGGCGATGTCGGTCAGGCTTCAAGTGTCCCCATCTCTGTGACGCAGCCAACGTATTGATCCCGCCAGCCGGTACACTCATACGCTTGTCTGGACTCACGGACCTCTTTGCAGGGCTGAAATTCGACCTATCTCGAAGTCCGCCTTCTTGTCCTCGCGCCTGAAAATTGGTTGAGGCGCTCTTACGTAAGGGAGACGCCGCGTGAGAATACACTCCAAGGCTGCCTCCCTCACCTCCTGACGAGGTTGGTCGAAAGTTTGGCTGTCGTATGGCGCCCAAAGGTCGGAGTGCAGAACCACCAAGATCAGAGTTTTTGGCTGGGCTTCGAAAGTCTGGGGTGGCTAGAGGCTGTCGCAGGTTGGTGGTATCCGCTACTCCATCTGGGTTCGTGTATTGAGAGTAGTATGGGTTTGCATTGGTCTTGAATCCTCGATTGATGATAAAAACCGGAGAGTAGGTTTCGACCTTGTTGTATTGATCCTCATGGGAAGTGCTATATGATGCCTTCTCACTAAATTGAGTGCCCACATCGCGGTATAGCGGCTGAGATCGAGGTCTCACATATTTCTTGTCATATTCATAGAGGACTTCTTTTGATATGTATGCGTTATCTTTGATCTGGGTGGAGTAATTGGACTGAATTAGAGATAGTTGTACAGTGACGAGGACAATCAAGAAGATTGTTTTGACAATGGTGATGCTTGGCCGGGAGTCGGAAGCCAAGGTAGGTAGAAACAGCCAGTAAATTAATACGTGGCCAGGGCTGAAGTAGCAGAATAGCTGGAGGCAGATGGGCAAAGGATCCCACACGGCGAGCTCCCATACGTCTCTTGGATCTGACGAGTCGGCAGATGGGTCAACTCTTACGCGCTTAGCGGAAGGTGTGCCAGGGACCTCGTCAACCGACTTTTCAAACAATCGATAGTGCCTTCTTCGGAGAAGTGTATATGAAGCATTGAGGATGGAGAATAAGGTGAGGGAATGAACAGTAAATGTGGCCTGAAGCTTGTTAGAAGTCATCATCAGGTTGATTGAGGAGGGGGGACAGACCAGCCACTCAGTCCAAGCAACGCCAGGAACATCCCCAAAAACAGGATCATAAGGTTCTGAAGGGCTTGAGTTGGCGCGAGCAATCAGTAACAAGATGTTGCATGCAATGGCGATGGGTACAGCCCATTCCTTCTCCAATTGGTCCCAGCCATTAGATTCAAGTTCTTCAGACAGCCAAAGAGCCAAATCGTATAGGTCCAGTGATGCTTTGATGCGTTGCCAGAGCGGCTGGCGCCGTACAAACTTAGGCATGATATCGCGCGGTCAAGTTCCTGATGCAGAGAACCAACATGGTCCAGGGAAAGGGGAGGTTGAAATTGACAAGGCAGTAAGAGGTTCAAATGAGTGACAACCACAACAGACTTGGGAATGTAAAGCGGGAGATAGGTCGCTGTGTCATAGAAAGGGAAACGGAGTGAATGAGTGGCAACGCTGTGAAGTGAAGCAGGACTTGCGTACAGTTATAGACAGTCTAGTCTCCATAGACGTTCTGATCTGCGAACAGAAACAGGTGTTGAACGTCAAAAGGTTCGAGTCTACAGGCTGCAGGAGTAGCATGCAGTAAACAATGACAGGTCCGACTATGCTGTATTAGTACTAGTGCATTGTCCGCACCTTATCTTATCGATCGGTGGTCCTATTGGTCAAACCAGCGCAGCTTCGTGATGCAGGTACCATCATTGTCGTCTGGCTTGTAGACGTTGATGAGGTTCGCATCCCCTGCTGCTCTTCGAGAGCACAGCCCCTTCCATACACCTACGAACAATTCATTCTGTTCGTGAATATATTTCTTTCCGCCCAGTTGACCGAAAAAATTGTGCAGAGTCGCATAGGTAGTGCAAGGTTCCATTTACCTCACAGATCTGAGCCAGTTCTGAGTTCAGCGCCATCATGGCCGCACCCGCTTCAGCGTACAAGGTAGGTCCATTTCATTGTCATTAGCCACCTGTACTTATTCTCCATAACAGGACCGACAGTTCCTTGCAGTTATCGGTGACGAGGAGTGAGGATCCTGTCCCAGACACAAGCCTCAGCTCAAAGACTGACACTCCTCAAAGCTCTGTTACTGGCCTACTCCTTGCCGGTGTTGGTCATGTCACAGACCCTCCTGATGCACAAAAGAACTTCTTGGTCGTCGACTCAAAGACAGAAAAATCCTTGATCGAGTCAACCTTCAACAGATTCACAAAAGAGCGCAAGGACATTGGCATTGTTCTCATAAATCAACATGTATGTTTTATAGGCAATCTAGTCCAGCAACTTGGGACAAGAGTGGTAACTAATGGCATACTAGATTGCAGAGCAGATTCGGGATACGGTTGATCGGTTCCAGGAAGCCTTTCCAGCAGTTTTGGAGATCCCCAGCAAAGACCATCCATATGACCCAGAAAAGGACAGTGTGCTGCGACGAGTGAGAAGGCTGTTCGGAGAATAGACAAATTAAATGTCATGAGTACAACAACCTTTGAGCCCCTTTAACACCCTTTAGCGCTACAAGTTTACAATGATAGAGCCGGCCCTGATGGCTTACCATCGAAACCTCCTTGGTTATGTCGATGCCTCCACTTCTGCCTCTTTCCACTTCTTCCATAGAATAATACAGGTCACTTTCAGCATCTCAGTCAGTCGACATGATGTTGAGGAATGCAAGGAATACAATGAACAGCAGATCTGGAATGGAGGCTGCTGGAGGACAGATCCGAATTGCACGTTGTGATAGTATGGAGCTATTAGCGGGGAATCGTTTGGCCGCCTCCGAATAACCGGGGGAGCAGAGCAAGCGAGGCTGCATTTTCGAATGTCCTGTAGTCCTTCGACCAGTAATGCTATCAGGTTGGTCTAATATGGCCGCTGAAGTCAACTCGTTGCACTCAAGCCGCACAACTAGCACATACCTACTCGTCTGATACACCTGTTGACTTCTGGCACATAATTGTAGGTGAAGTGGTGCTGCATGAAGCCAGGTAATCTACGGAGTAATAGGATTATATTTCGCACGTTGCTCATTGGCTATTTCAATGGACAAGGCTACGAGGCTGAAAACTCCACGGCTGAGTAGGGTGGACTGAAAACGTCTGTGTAGTAGTTTCGGCAAGCTAATCACGTCAAGACCATAGTAGAGAACCACCTCACATACAACGCAACAGTCCAACATAAAGAGAGCTCTCTTCGGCTCCAGTTGATCACCACTATCAGTCCCTGTGTTGTTTCGCTTCGGCCACAACCATGCGCGCAACTTCACGGGTACTCGCGGCCGTGCGATCAGCGAGCAAATATCTCGAACCGAACATCCCAACAGGGTTGACAGGGCTATCAACGCACCCCAACCCACGACCTGCACTCATTTACACATACAAGCAAACACTATCGAAACTAGCCCAGATACCTGCATCATCGGTTTACCGTCAGTCGGCCGAAGCCTTGACAAAGCAGCGACTGGAGATTGTCGAGTCGACCAAACCCGAGGGATACGAGGCATGGCTGGAGCGGGTGCGTCAACAGATTGAAGCCAACCCGGCGGCCTACGCCAAATTTGTCGATGGCGAAGGAAATCTTAGCAGTGAAAAATTACACATCGAGCAATTGGAGCCATGGGATGGCGAGGTGACCAGGAACGACGCTTTCTCAGAAGGAACCAATACTCAGGCAGAAGCTGAGGCCAAGGCCAAAGCCGTGGATGAGGAGCTCCAAGAAGCCCGCAAGGTAGCGCAAGAAGGACATCTGCCTACTGTCGAGGATCTCGAGGTGGAGCCGCAACTTACAAGAGCTCAGTATGTGACAGCGCAGAATCCGCGAATCCGTGGACAGAGGTAGGAAAGCTAATTGGGTCACAGGATCGACGAGATTGAGCAAAAGATCGGCGCAGGCTTGATTGAAGAAGTGGTACAGGTTGCAGAAGGCGAATTACAGCTGGTGGATGAGATGGTGCAGTATCGGGTGTATGTTTCCCGCACACCATGTCTCTTTTGACTGAATACTAACTACCGACAGATGGGAGGATCTCGCGGAACAAAGCCCTCCAGGCCAATGGGCGTACTTTGAACGTGGGGATAGAGTGTAGTTGTTGCTCTATTGTTTGAAAGCCCCCAACTGGAACGCGAGGCTGTCCAACTTGTACATAGAATGCTCAATCGAAAGGGTTTGCTGCCTTTGAGAATGGCAGCATCACATATGATCGGGGCTGGAACCAAAAGTCTTCTAGATGCAGCAGTGGGGGGAAAGGATATATCGTCCGCCATGGCTTCGTTAATGACTTGGGCATGTTGTATTGATTTTCAAATCCTGTCACTCAGGACGAGCACCATCTTTCCACGTCTTTCTTCTATCTCCTTGCCACATGTGCAGATCAATCCACAGCACCATCATAGTATGTACAGAGCTCCCCAACCCCACATGCGCAGGCTTTCAGAACCAATGTCTTCCGATTTGACCAGTTTAAAAAGGATTATCTTCGGGAGCGATTTCTTTAACCCAATAATCGCCGATGACAGGGATCTTCTGTAGAATGTCCTGTCGAACACGGGGGACTTCGCCAAAGAAAAAGACTGCAAAGACGCCTGCTGCGACGCCAAACCCGGAGGCAATGGTTCCATATCGAAGAGCTTTGCCGGCTGAAAACCCCATTAAATTGGGAACATGTTTCGTCCTAACGATCGACAAAGAATGAATGCGTCAGTAATACAGATAAGATAAACGGTAACTAGGCCTCTCTGCTGCTGAAGGAAGGGCTGGGAATGCGTACTTGGGTCCGTATGGCGAGATATATGTCTGGTATGTTGGCTGAGGACCATACACGCGAAGGGGCGTGCGGCCAGATGACTGGAAACCTTCTTGGGAGGGCATCCTGGACGACAACGAGAAGAGGCTAGAGCGAGTTTCGCTGAGTGTTCGAGTCGGTGACTTGAGGTTGCAAGAGGTATTGTCAACGTGGAATTCTTTTGTCCAAGTTGTCTGCGGTTGGAGCTTTCAAGCTTCATTGGGACTACAGCGGAGGAGACGATGCGTTAGCACACTCAGGCTTGGCACGTGCAGCCAATAAACGTCCAGGGATTTGTTCACGGTCAAAGACAACGGACATGATGTTGTTCATCTGAAAGTCCTACGGTGTACATACGGAGTACACATGAGCCCCCGCCACCTTAGAAGGCTAATCATTCCTCTCTACCAAGTCTTCTGGGTCTGCTTTTGACTCTTTTCCTTCCCACTTCTCCTTTGTCAACTTTAAATAAGTACTGTCCACCCACTCGTCCCCAACCTGAAACGTCTTTTCGCAAAACCCAGCAACCACGAAACCCAGCTTCAGTAATAACCCGATGCAGGCTGAGTTCCTGGGATCTGCATCGGCAGTGATCTCCTTTAGGCGCTTCTCGTTGAACAAGTAGGGAATTATCGCATTCAGAGCCTCGAAGGCTAGCCCCTTTCGCCACTGTGTCTGGGCAAGGAGGAAGCCGATTTCGTGCTTGTGCCACACGCCGACCTTGCCTATTGGGTTGAGGTCTGGCTTGAGGCAGATAACAAAATCGGTGACTCCGTTAGTCTCGCATTTTGACATGTTCTGAATCCATTCTTCGCTTTGGTCGATTGTTTCGTGTGGCAGCGTGCTCCTTTCCGAGTGAACCAATGTTAGGGGGGAGCATACTTTGTTGACTATCTCGTCACTCACCAGTATTTCATGACTTCGGGGTCTCCAAACGCTTCATGGAGACCGTCGCCGTCCCCAGCTTTGGCTCCTCGAAGGAGAAGCCTTGAGGTCGAGATTTCCACGTTTCCCGCGTTGATATGACTAATCTCAGTCATAATCATAATAGGCGCTGTTGCAGTATTGATTTCATCTCTGACACAATACCGGTGGGTAGCTGGACTCCGTTGTTTCTGAGGCTTCTATGTGACTCCTTCGGAGAATCAGAACATGGGTGCGAGCCACTTGTTTGGTCGGCGCTTGGAATTGCCCCTTTGGGTTGCATTTAAGCATATTCTAGTCTGATACACTCAATAACACCTGACCTCGCAGGGCGAATATCTCAAGGTCTAGTTTTCGCCTTCTCACATCCCGACCTAAGGGGCTAAAGACGCCCAGTTCACGCGCTGTCTGAGCCCACTAAGTGCCATGGGCTGCTTATCAGCTCAATTTCTCATAATTGGTCGGCACTCTCTATTCGTCGATCAGGCTTAAGCACGCATCGTTCAAGTATACATCATTGATGCCCGCAGAGGACATGAAGCATCGCAGGAGCGGTAGTTGGGAGTCAGGGAATCCCATGGGGGTGTTGTGTCATAGGTGGAGTAGTGGCCCCTGCCGCTATGGAATTGCAGCATGGAACAGAAACAAAGAGGACTCTGCTGTTCTAAAGTCTCGGGGATTTATATATATATATATGCGCAGAAAGAGTACATCTGTCCATATTCAAGTTATTCGTGGTAACAATAGCTGAGAACGGCGGCCACTCCAGGTTGTGGAAGGTCAAGTTTCGAGCAGAATTGTCGCGATGGTCACCAACCTGACCGTGACGTTTGGCATTAAATTCACTCGGGCTCCCATGTCTTGGTGTTCTGGTTAAAGTGGTGCCTGGGAATTCATCAGATCTGCAGTCGGTCAGAAGGGGACAACGTACCAGTGAAATCGCTCTCGCGTCAATGATTTCTTCCCGTATTCCTCCGCAAGGATTTTGGCCGATTGTTGTGGCACTTTCACCAGGGTATCCTCAAGGGTTGACTCACGCAAGGGAAATAAATCCTCTCGCTGAAATCAAAATCAGCCATGTAGTCCGGGGGTCTTTGGAGGGCACTCACGGCATAGCGATGGCCGTCCTTGCAGAATAACTCAGAACTACTAGAAGGAACATCGGTGGTACTCATGGTGTTGGAATGAACGGCGGTAATGTCCACATATTTGCCATTTGTTGTGTCGATCCAGCGGGCATCGATTTTATTTGCGACATCTCTAGAGGAGGATATAGTGTGATGTGGATTGATGTCAAGAAGATATATGCGTGGTGCAGACTCGCCGGGAGGGGTATACTCATGCTTGGACATGTTGTAAGATGTGGCCAGCAGCGTAAGAGAGCCAGCAGACATTTGAACATCTATGTCAGTATCCCATGGGAGGAGCTTTTGGTTCCAATGCCATCCGAGGAGTACGCCGTGAGCAATCCAGGTTTCGGCTCCTAGCTTTTGCATAGTGGCAGTGTATGACTTGAGCAAAGCAACCAGAGTACGGCGGACATCATCGATAGTGGGTTGCTGGAGTGGAACATAGCGGGCGTCAAAATGGCTAATGGCCCCAAATCTGTGGGTCTTGTAATGATGATCTGCTTCGTGGAAGTATTGAAAAGTACCCGGTAATAAGGGGAGAGGAGATGTTGCCGCTATGGATGACCGACGTAAACCCACGAGTGTTAGGCCGACCAAGAAAAGGCCCACGGCAGATAAGAAAATGAATCGCCGCCTTCTCCAGGCCACAAAGACCATGGCAGGTGTCAATGCGTGCTTTGAACCATGGTTTCGAATAGTGAATTGTGAATGGATTAAGGGTGAGATTATTTGAATGTCATGCCAGGAGATGAAGGAAAGTGGAGTTGCGCTGGTGCCTTCCCATGCTTCCACACTTCTCACGCGGCAGTGGCGCCGCTAGTCCACTTTCTGCGTAGCCACTTCAAACTTTGCAGTCGCCAGTTATGACAGACTTTCTGGCAGCCACCTGCAACAGCCAGCCTCGTCAGCCTCGTCAGCCTCGTCAGCCTCGTCAGCCTCGACTAAGCGCCTGCGCCTCCATCTGCATCTGAGACGATCCATCTGGCCTAAAATCACATGTTCCTTCTTGTTTTCAAAGGAACAGGCCAATATCTAGGTAGTCTACAGTTCCTAGCCCTATGAAAATCAGACCCGTGTCTACAACTATGCCTCTTCCTATGCTGAGTTAATCTGAGGCTCTGCAGTCCTGCACACATGGCTTCCTTCTCACGCAGGCGAAGGCTGATTCTTTTTCCATTGTGTTCGCTTTTTATCCTGGGTCTCTATTTGTCCCAAGAGCGAGTCGCTCAAAGAGATGGATCCAGTCTCTCCGTAGGTGGACGGCTCCCTCAAGTCTCGGCGGTGCCATTTTCAGCGGCCCAACCCGCGGATGGCGTCCAGGACGACTGTGGTCCCCTGACCCACCGTCTATCCAGTCCATTTTTCCTAGCAGGAAAGGCACTCAATGTGTCTACATGGGCTGCAGACAGTCAATCCAAGGCATGTAGCCCGTCAACCCCTCTGTTCATCCCATTTGCTTCAGGCAGCTGCATGCTAGAGCAGACCCTTCTGTCCTATATTGCTGAGGGTTGGCCATTGTCCGAGATTGTCGTGGTCGACAACACTGGATCATCTCGCCAAAACCTTCACGGTCTCCTGTCAAGTGACAATCATACCTTTCTCAACTACACTCGCCTGTTACAGCATTATGGTGTCAGTATTTACCGACTCCCAAGCCGGCAAAGCTTCGCGCAGTTACAAAACTTTCTTTTGGAACTAGCTTTCGAAAGCCAGTGGCGAGACTTTTACATCAGTCACCAAGACGTTGTCGTCCGAAGGAGATTTAATTCGACACTCTCCGTCTATCAACATATTTTGGCAGATCGAACAAGCACGGCTCCCAGAGCCCTGACGTGGTTTCACTACGATTGGCTCAGCCGTGTCAATGTTCATGCCGCAGTTGAAATCGGAACCTGGGATATCCTCATCCCCTGGTATCCTGCAGATTGTGACTATTATGGTCGGGCTCGCCTCAAAGGGTTTCCTATTCTGGACTATTATGCCGGGGAGTTTTACGACGTCGCATCGTGCCTCTCTGACCCTGAGAAGATGTTGTTTTGGCCTCCCAACACGACCGAGTACCAAAGAGTCGACGAAGCGTTGAAGGAAATGGCGCTTGAGAAGGGGAGGAACGGAAAGAGAAGTAACAACGGACGCAATACCTGGCAAGGTCGTGAGGAGCATGGGATTTCGGATGACTTTGGTCCTAGATTCCAAAGAATGGTCGGAGCATCCAGGGCGAATTACCGTCAGAAATGGGGGACTAGTGAGTGCGACATAAGTTCGTCTAGGACATCGTTATTTCAGCGGGTAAAGGAACAGGTTTGCAGAGGGATCTCAATCATCTATAAGATCTGTTAGCTTATCATAAGGTATGAAGCCTTCAAGGCGAGAGACTGAGGGTATCAATGTCATCGTCGTATGATGAAGGAATTCAATAGAGAAGTTTACCAGAATCTGGAGGTCTCGGGGTGAGACAATCACAGCCAAGCTTCATGACGCAATAAGCTCTGGATAGAGGCTGAGGGGCTAAACCTTACGGTGTCACGGATGTTCACGCAGTGTTGAGCTGCAAATGGTTGGAGTCAGCTGGCAGGGGCGGGCCAGAGAACCCCTCGTCTCCGCGGCCGTGGCCCCCATTGGTGCCTATGACAAGTAGGCACTGGGCGGCAGGAGCACTGCGACAAAGTGCCGTAGTGTGGACTGTTCAGTACGGAGTAGTGGACCGCAAGTGAGCCAGTGACGCTGCTCTTTCTCTGCCCTGCGCCACCTGTTTTCGCCGGCCGATGGCAGCTGCCCCATTGCCCATCCACACCCACCCACACACCTTCTGACGTTCTTCCTCTTCCTGTCGTATCACTGCACCACCTTCCATCCACAACTTGCTATCAACATCATTCAACCCATCGCCAACCTCCTTGCCTCGATCACCACTTCTTACCTTCAGACATACTCTGCAAAAGTAACAGCAGATTTTGCAGTGTCTGGCACGCCCTCACTTCCACTCACTACTCTTATCTAAGTCGAACTCCTCGCTCCCCAACGATGAAGGTCTCGTCAGTCGTCCTCGCTCTCTTATCCGCCACCGCTGTTTCCTCGAGATCTCTTTTTGGTAGCAGCCAAAATGCCCTGGTTGACGAGCCCAAGTTCCCCGTCCCAGGAAAGAACCCTTTAAATGTATGGGCTGGACCAAGACCCCTCATTACCTTCGCAGACGAAGCTAATCCGCGTGCAAATTTAGTTCTGCGCCGACCCCAAAGACTACATCCTGACTGTCGATTTTGTTGACCTTGTCCCCAATCCACCCGTCCCGTACGTTTGACCGACGCATTTTTTATTGCCACGACCACTAACACCCAAACTCTAGTGGCGAGAAACTCACAATCATTGCCAATGGCACATTCTCCAAAGACATCGACCCTGGTGCGACGGTTTTTTTGCAAGTCAAGTACGGATTGATCACCTTGATCAAGCAAGAGGCCGATCTGTGTGACAACCTAGGTCAAATTGATCTTTCATGTCCGCTGAAGGAGGGCGCCTTGTCGTTGGTCAAGGAGGTGGATATCCCTAAGCAAGTGGTAAGTCTATTATTGAGACATGCCCTCCAACCACCATAAGTACGAGCTAACCCCATCCCTAGCCTCCTGGAAAGTACACTGTGCTCGCCGATGTCAACACTGTCGACAAGGAGAAGGTCACTTGTATGGAGAGCACAATTACCTTTACCCGTCAATGATGGGAGATGCTTTGGACCCCAATTCCTCTTGTTACCGCATAACCTCTATCTGCACACACATTGATCATGCTCATTTATGTTTCGAATTGGCGGGGCGTCATTGGTCTTGTCGGAATGGCACATTGGACTCTGTTAGTTATACAACAATCACCAGATTTTTTTTATTGCTCTACTTGATGTCTCTTATACGGGTATCTGCAAGGACCAACAATTCGTTGCAAATCGAACAAATCCGGCGATCTACTTAGGGCCCGGGCCTTGTCGGCTAAATTGGATGGTTTCATGCGGAAGCCGTCTATGCAGTATGGAATCCAAGAGCACCGCTCCTGACTCTCAATCTCTTGCCAAATACCTGTAGAAAGCAGATCAACAGGAAGGCAAACCCACAGATGGCAGCCTGAATGCCAAAGCTGGTCTTGGTCCCCTGTGCCTGTGCCCAGGTGACCTGAAAGTAGCTGATGATGAAGCCGCCGGTTGTACGAGAGAAGTTGATCCATGACGAGACCTCACCTGATGCCTCTGGGTAACTGTCGAGATTATAGGCATTGAGCCCGACTGTTGTAATCATGATCCCAAAGACATATAGGCCCCAAAACACCGACGTCACCATGTAATGGTAACCCTCTTCCAATGCGAACCCTAGTCCAACCAATCCGGCCAGCATGAACGGCGTCGCCACCCACATGGCCCAGAGTCTGACCTCGGGCTCAAACTTGCCATCGTGGGCTTTGATGTATCGTGTTGCGATGAAGTCGTGGAGCCAGTGACCTGACATCTCACCGAGCAATGCCCCAACAATCGGCGTAAAATAGAAGTACCCAATTTGCTTGGGTCCAAAGTTATAAAGGGGAGTGAGAAAGATGGCAAGCGTGGTATTGATGCCAACCACCCAGGCAAAAGTGAGAAGGTAGTAGAAGCAAGAGATGAAGACGGTTGGTTTGATGACCACCTTGATCGGCCTCATCAGCGCTTGTCCTAGAGTATTTCGGAGGTGACGTGATTTCCACTGAGAAATTCCCACCAGACGAGAGATTCGCGTGCCTTTGGCTGGCTGGGAAGCTACTGGAATGCGACGGTCATAATATGTTTCGTCAACAAAGAGGATAACGAGGACGAGGACGAGGCCAGTCTGGAGTAATACAGTCAGTATCAATTTGGAAAAGGGACGCCCAGAAGACTGGATATTCAAGGGGCATACCTCTGCAACATATACCCAAAACGGCACCTGCCACGATTGGGTGCTGATGATGAAGGCCGCAAACAAGGGTCCAAAGTATGGCGAAAGAATGATGAAGGAAGACCAGACATTGATCTTCCTCGCCCTTTCATGGAAGAAAAACATGTCATAGATGAACATTAGACCACCACCTTGCGAGACAGTGCTGAAGAAGCCGTTGAGGATTCGAGCAGCCATGAAGGATTCAAAGGTCTGAGCAGCAGCACACCAGACTGCTGTAGCAGTGGCCATGACCAGGAAATAGAAGAGGACAGGAAGACGGCCAAAGTAGGCAGAGAGGGCCACGACAACGACACCACCTGCTCCCAACATAAACACGTTGCCCACCTGACTGTGGTTGACATGATCTGGGGTCATGTTCCAGATAGCAGCCTGAGGCAATAGAGTGACTGCTCCTGTTGCACTGCCATAGTCTGGAAGGAAAGCTGATAGCGAGATGATGATGAGAATAAGATGTTTCTTGAACCGTGTCCAGTTCAATGGATCGTTGACATCAGAGGAAGGTTGTGGTAGAAGGATCGTGGTCCCGTCTCGGGCTCGCTTGAGCGAAGCATGTTGAGGGTCGCTGGCGTCAATGACATATCCCTCATCGTTCTGGAATTCATGGAGATCGGTGACGTTCTCATCCGTCTGATGGTCGCCTTGCTCTTTGTCTTCGATCATGTTGCTGTAGGTGGGGCAAAAGAGGGAGATATATCGCGGACACTGGCAGGGTAGGTAGTCTTCAAGCAAGATGAATCTGATGACTCTGATCTTGGACAGAGATCGGTGTAACCATCGTGGGTCCCGACTTATTTATCTATATGCCACGTTCGTCATCCACTGTTGACAGGAAAATAGTCCCCTCCCACCCCCAGTGGTACAGCAAAACTATGGGGAGGCAGATTTCTGGGAATACCCCAACCTGGGGCATCATGACTCCACCGGCCAATGTGGGTACGCGGTATAAGCAGACCAGATCGGCAAAGCTTATGCGTAGGCGTAGGCGTAGGCCAAGTGGTCTTGGAGCGAGGAGGTGGGTAGGCCGAGGGGCCGCCGTGGAGCATTTCAGCAAGACATGATTGACTAGATTGGGTAAAGAGACTTTCAGTCCAGCTTCAGCACCAGGGGGTCCAGAGAAGCTCGATCTCAGGGACAACAGGATCGGACACTTGAAATCCAAAGCCACAGGCCCTCGTTCAAATTTGCTGCGAGCAGAATCGTACATCATCTTGCAAGGCACTGTGGCTTCTAGAGTTCAGCACTAGCTAGAGAAGACCTGGGGGGGGGAAGGCTTGAGATGTTCTTTCTTTTTCACCGTGCCCAAGCCGATCCGACTCTACCTAATTCAATAAAGACGTACTCACTACTGCTTTGGGGTAGTCAAGGCGATTCTAGAATCGTGGAGTTCCACGCTTCATCAGGACGTGGGGCTGATTCACGTCACCCGCGACAGCCGAAAGACGAAGGGGGGGTGAAGCGAGCAGAACAGATCCGGGGTCAAGTGCTCTAGCCGATTGTTTGTAACTCATTTCCCCTCTTTCATGGCATGCGATAGTTTGCACCCGCGAGAAACGAGTTGCGATTCGTAATCATAGGTAGGTGCTGCCTTGAAATAGTTAGCTAAGGCAGCCCTTACGAATCGCAGTTAAAAGACCAATCCAATTTGGCGATTCTGTATCGACCACTTTTGCCTCCTGATAGTACGTCCATTATCTATTGAATCTCTGTCGACCACACAGGACGACCCGATGGATGACCCCTCTCAACCGTACAGGTGTCCAGGCCTCACTCGACTGTACATTCCATCACGCCCACCTTTGCTCTGAAATAAAAGCCTTTCTGTAGAAGAGGAACGGCCATGAGGCTGGTGGTTCCCTATATTGAGCATCCCACCCTCACCGTGTCGTGGCCAAGTCGATGGTGTTCTCAGCGCCATGCCTTTTGGGTCCTCTTTGGTCTCAGTGAGGGTGTCTTCTCGCTTGCCTGCGTCGAACAGCAACTCCACCCGCTCATCTGTTGAACCGTCACCTTCCTGACACGCCCTGACCACCGCCATTTGCTCGTATGTTTTCCGGCATCGAACCCCTCCCCCAGTATTGGCCAGCGCAACCAGTGCAGGCCGCGAGTTTTGTGAAAGTGCTACGAGCTCTGCGACCGTGTCCCAGCTCTTGGACGTGTGGCCAAAATAGAGTACCCATATCGTATGGACAGCTGCCATGAGCAAGTGTGTCAGGAGTACTGCCATAGCAAGATACCCTGCGAGATCGAGTCTCATTGCGTAGCCACTTGTCTCCATTTGGGCCACCAATGTTGTGTAATCTGTGACCGGCTTGTTTGGCTGTCTCAAGGCCGTCTTCCCTGCTTGAACCAATTTGTCAAAATCCGCTAGCTTCTCATAGCCCGCGAGAGCCGGTAACACATGCGTCCCGTTGTTCTCGAAGACGCGGTGGCTGCCGCTTCGGCTCACACCATCCACCAGGACGCTGGCAATAATGGATTCTAGAAAGACCGTCCTCCCTGAGCCCAACGTGTCTTCCAACGCCCATTGATCTGCCATGGAACTGCGGCTGTTGCTAGGCACAACATTTCCAAATCCAGCCTTATCCAGAATGCTTTCCATTGCATTCGGCTTCCAGTCAGGTCTCTCCAGACCCGAGGGCACTGGGGGCGTCAACAAGTCCAGCCAGGGTGCCCCGAAGGCAATTCTTCCGTTAGTGGGTGACTGCTCCGCCCCCTTAGGAGTCGCAGTCCAAGCCGGTGTTCGTCCACCGAAAAATATGCCCCATGCGTACCAACCTGTCCAGAATGTGTATGCGTCGGACATTATCTGTGCTGGAACCCACCCCGCCTGACCCGAGCACCCTATCGCCACACGTGAGTTCGACTCAAGGTCCCAGGGTGATTCAAATAAAGCCCCCAGACTAACGGTGCCGAATCGATCTGGAAGTTCTACCCACCTGAAGCGAAGAAGGTCAGAAGACGTTGAATTGATGTCATCAAGCGTGAAGTCTAAAGGTTCTGCGTATGCAAACCGCCCATTGACCTGGGGAAAGCGAACAATGTTGTCCGAAGCGGACAAGTTCTGTGGCGGAGCACACCGCATGGACACAATGGCCGCTCTAGCAGATGCCTCGAGCTTGCGATCATCAAAGCGGTCCTCCACTGTCCCTTCCTTCGCAGTCACGGCCGTCCACCAATCTGTCGCCAGTCGCTGTAGATATATCGCAGTTGCCGCGTGCGGTTGCACGAGGAACGTGGAGAACTTAGCCTCTTCTCGTTCTCTAACGTCTCCCAGTGAGTACAACGGCGGTATTGGAATGGTTGGACTGTGTACTGGCCAAAAGAACCGAGAACCAGACAATCTTTTGGAAAATTTTGGTACATTGCCGTCATGAAATGTCGAGTACGTCATTCGGCCCCAAAACTCCCATAGCGACGAATACCCCCCGCCGGGACAGATTGCTGTGACGCTTGAAGATTGGCTTGTGCAGAATTTTCCAAGCTCAGACAGGTCTCCTGAAAGATCTTCCGGCCAAAGATCATGAGATGTCCCGTCGAGGAATATTTCTGTCCGGCCATGTGGAATACTTTGGGACTGTGGAACCAATAGTGTTGCACTTGCAGGACCGGCGAAAGTTGCCGTCAGACCAGCCAGGAGAAGCAGGAATATGAAGGATAGTTTCCGAGCTCGCCCCCCTGGAAACCTCACATATCTCAGAGATCCCCAGAACTCTTTGGTAAAAAAGAAGAGGAAACTTCCGAAAGAAACGCCAGAGCCGATGAGGCCAAGTGGTAAGCCTTCGCCATAGAGCAACTCATATCTAAGAACGTGATGGATAATCATGCCCAAGCTAGCGACAAGAAATATTTCGTGCACTTTGGCTAGGACTTGGAACATCATAAGAGTGATGGTCTCGGAGCTGATTGGCCCTGAGAGGTCAGCACCGAGATAGAGCCTGCGAAAATTCAGAGCCAGCACTGCCGCCGACATGGAAGCGGGAATCAGATGGAATATACATCGTCGAAGTGCTGTGTATTTCGAAGTTGCGACTATGACTTTCTTCGGCTCCGCCCGCTGTTTCCAGCGGCTCCAATGCAATCTGGACCAGGAATGTCGAAAGTCAAAAGTCCTTAGGATGGCAATGGCCTTCAAAAACATGCTTTGGTTGCGGTTTCGAAACCTACAGCAAAGTCAAAAGAACGAGCAAGGCAATCATACTTCCCGCTGCACAGAAGCTTGTGAAAGGGTATCATTGATATTTCAAAAAGCCCTTGGACCATTGTGACCAGCTCTCCAGGCAGTGTTGGGTCAGCCGTTGGGTTGTGGCATCAGGTCATGGGCAGAGGGCGGTGGTGGCGTAGCTCGTGAAACATGTTCAACATCAACGTCTGCAGCACACCATCAGGCGAACCAATACTGAATCGGCGTAGCAAATAGGGCACTGCTGGGGAATCAAGTCGCCAGTTGCCAGGACTTGATCCCGCTGTGCCCCTTGGCCAGGGTTGCGGGTTGCAACTTGCAAGGATTTGGGCGCTTGCGACGACACGCCTTCGTTGGCGTTCTCCCGAAACGACTTGGCTAGGCACCTACGATCATGTCGCTATGCACAGTTTTGAAGGGATGTTGACTGAAGCGAAATGGCGACAGCGTAAGTACAACGTTTGCTTTTGTTTCGGTGGAGCCCGAGCAGGAGTAATATGTACGGCCCAGGGGAATCTGTCCACGGCGGGGGAAAACTGTCCTCTCATCCGTGAAGCAAGGCGTTTCTTCAAACAAGCCTGAGGCTCTGATATGAGGGCCGCCTCGCCTACATGCGGGCGCCTATCGAGCGTGGGAGAAACAGTTGCCTACGGAGTAAAGGCAGGGGGTTGGGCCAAGAGGTCAGCGTGACCAGGTCCACTAGGATGAAATACCACGTGCACACACGTGCTTTCGATATGCCTTCGCCTACTGCGTAAGGCTGCTCATACTTCGCGGTAGGAGAGAAAGCTGCATTTTGTTACTGTTAATCCACCGTATGGGTCTCTCTAACTACTCTCGGTTAGACTTAAGACTACGTATCACGTCCTACTCTCAAGTCTTACCCCGTGATATTTGCAAGATTGGCCGGTACATTTTTGTTGAATGGCACAGATTTGGCTCCTTGATACATCGACTACGCCTCTCGTTCTGCTTGTGCATACTCTCTCGACCTTTTGTACGTTCTTGTGATGCTCATTACCTAAAAGCCGACGCCACTTGTCAGGAGGAAACGACCTGCCCGTGATCGACCCAACGACCCTGACCCTCACGATAAGCTGCGGATCCCTCTTCTTTCATTTCAAAATCACCCTCATTCCCATTCAAGATGCGACCATCAATACTGCTATGGTCTCTTGTCACCTCGGTATCATCTATCCTTGCCGCCCCTCCAGGAAATGAAAGAAGTGGAGGAAGAGCCATCTCAGGAGACTCCGCTGGTGATGCAGGCGACTACACAATTTTCAATGGCATTAAGGTGCCTCCGATGAAGGACATTCAAGGTCCTGAATTCCAAAGTACAATTAAAGATGGCTATTGGTAACACATGTTCCTGATCAATGTCGAAGCAACGCATACTGACTTCCTCCAAGGTGGGTTAAACATTACTCACCATACTGCGGCCATTGCAAGGCCGTGGCCCCGTTATGGCAGACCCTGTACGAGTTTTACACAACCTCCGATCCGCTCGAAGGCCTCACCAAAAGTGGACAACCCGACCTGTCCTCTCCAAACAGTTTTCATGGTTTCTACAATTTCCATTTTGCCGAACTGAATTGCATTGCCTATGGCGATGTCTGCGAGAAGAACGGCGTCAAGTCATGGCCTACGTTCCTCTTGTATAAAGATGGCGAGCTCGTGGACAAGTATACTGGTCAAAGGACCATGCAAGCATTCAGCAACTACGTTGAGGAGAGGTTGGAACAAAGCAAACCAGGTTCTCGACCACGCGGTGGCGTCAAGGTCCCCGAAGTGGGAGCAAAGGGGTCTGATCACGCTGCGCAGCCGGACAAGCCTCTAGCCAAAGACAAGGATTCTGCCGCAGGAGCTGCAGCTGGCGAGAAGCACAATCAAGAGGCTGCCAAACTGGCAACCGCCACTTCCGCTGCCACCCCTGGCTCAGAAACCTCGGAAATCAAGATGCTAAGTTCCAAGACGGGTGTTGGACCGAACCCAAATGGCCTTTCCATCGCCCTCACAGCAGAAACATTCCAAAAATTCGTCACAAACTCTCAAGACTCGTGGTTCATCAAGTTTTACGTCCCCTGGTGTTCTCATTGTCAACACCTTGCCCCCACTTGGGCTGAAATGGCCAAGGAAATGCAAGGCAAGCTCAACATCGGCGAGGTCAACTGTGAGGAAAATTCTCGGCTGTGCAAGGAAGCCAAGATCAACGCTTACCCGACAATCTACTTCTTCCGTGGCGGGGAACGCGTCGAGTACGAGGGTTTGCGAGGTATTGGGGATCTTCTGTCTTTTGCAGAAAAAGCCCTAGACAGTGATGTTAAATATGTTGATGCCGCCGGCTTGAAGAAGATGGAGGAGACCGAGGAGGTCATCTTTGTCTATTTTTTCGATCATGCCACAACATCAGAGGATTTTGCGGCATTGGACCGCTTGACCCTGAGCATGATTGGTCACGCAAAGATAGTAAAGACTGACTCACAGATCCTCGCCAACCGGTTTAAGATCTCGACCTGGCCTAGACTACTGGTCACACGGGATGGCAGACCTAATTATTACAACGCACTGGCGCCCAAGGACATGAGAGACTTTCGCAAGGTGCTGAATTGGGTCCAATCGACCTGGCAACCCATTGTACCAGAACTGACCACCGCCAATGCCAAGGACATCATGACGGGCAAATATCTTGTGCTCGGAATATTGTCGCGCGAGCGCCCAGATGAATTCTTGCAGAGCAAACGAGAACTCAAGAATGCCGCTTTGGAGTGGATGGACAAGCAGACTCAGGCCTTCCAACTAGAACGACAAGAACTTCGCGACTCGAAGCAGTTACGCATCGAGGAAGCCGAAGACCGAAATGATCAGCGGGCCTTGAGGCAAGCCAAGAGCCGAGTGATCAGCATTACCGAAGAGAATTTCCGCAAAGGGGTTGGCTTTGCCTGGGTTGATGGAGTCTTCTGGGAGAGGTGGCTCAGGTCCACGTATGGGATTGATGTTTCCAAGGGCGAAAGAGTCATTATTAATGATGAAGAGGTGAGACTATTGTGCCAGTGAACGGAGACGGCGTGACTGACTGAAGACAGAATCGTCGCTACTGGGACCAGACGGACTCTGGCGCTTTCATCGTCCCCTCGCGGACATCGATCCTCGAGACGCTGGGACGAATCGTGGCTAACCCACCGAAACTAACACCCAAATCGACGATTGGCACGTTTGAAAATATTTTCTTCCAAATCCGCAACTTTGGGACCTATCACCCGTACCTTTCGGTCGGGTTGCTCCTCGCCGCAGTGGTTGCTCTTATCTCGATCTTGAAGAACGGTACCACGATCAAGCGAAGCCTGAGCAGAAATAGCAGCGGGTATTTCCAACTGGACGGAAAGGAAGGACTACTGGGCAACAACAATGGCAAAGCAGACTGAGGGCGATGACCTTGACGGACCGAAGACGGAAAATTGTACAATTATCCAAGCACTGAAATGTCTATATGTACCAAGCATGGCGATGGAGTTTAGGGAAAGAGGTTCGCCTGGAGCATCAAAGGACGAATGGATTTATTTGGTTAGCATCTTTGATAGAGCGTCTATGTATCTGAGTGGTCGAGGTGGGTTGGCTTGATCATGGTTCCTGTGATTTCATTTCCATGAATAGTGTTGGTGTTGTGACACGGCTGTCCTCTTGTCTTTTGGTCGTGTCGTGATGGAGGTGACGAAGCCAGTTCGAAGCCCTGGTCAGTGATTGACACAATGGTCAAGAAAAAGGGGATGATTCTATCTGAGTCACAACACCCACAATGCCACACCCAAACGGTCCTACCGCAAATCCAGGCCCAACCCATTTTGGATCTGCATTTATGATGAGGGAGATTTGTCTGCTCCACTCCATCCTCTAACTCTGCACAAAGCGCGCTGTGAGGTCATTATCATGGCTTGTCACACTTGTTTACATAGAGCTGGGAGGCCTTTCGGGACTTCCGGAAAAGCCGGGGTTCAGTCGAAACGAAACCCACCATGCCCACATGCTTCCACACAATCTAACTCGTTTGTGCTCGCTGCATCTTGATGAGTGATGATCACAGACGTAAAGGATTGGACCGGAATGGACTGGACGATTCAGATTTCCGGTGCAAGCTTACTTGGTCACTGACCACTGACCACTGGTTACATATGTACTACCAGTCGATAGTGTCCACTCTGGCTCATGTAATCAGCAATCAGCTCTCCCTGGCTGTGGACTTTGTGGACTTTGTGGAATTCGACGGTTCACCTCCCGAGAAATTGGGCTCCATGCATGGGGAAATCTTCTGAAACCCAATTGCAGGTCTGAGATTGCGGTCAAGCCTGATCAATTCAAGGACAGTGGTCGTCGTTGCTTACGGGCATAATTCTCGTTTGTCATGGTGGGGAAACGTCGGTGGTGGCCTGAGGGCGGATCTGTTGAGCCCAGGCCCTGAAATGCATGGAGTATGGATTTTGATGCAAACTATTGTGGCTTCAGTGGCCTTTGATTTGGTATGTGCTATTCCTCAACGTCAAAGCCTTCAACGGCCGTTTGGGCCGGAGGCATTCCAATCAATACCCAAACCCATTCTGCCAGCCTATCCGCTCGTAAGTGACAATGCCCAGACATGAAGCAAACACAAGCTCGACTGTCGCGCCATCTCTTAATCGGTCGGTGAAAACTGTGATACTGCCAAGGACATCCCAGTCTCGTCGTTGTTTGTACACAGCGATCAGGTTAGCATCCGCATCCTCGAGTTTGAGGTTCCCATTAGCTTTGGGGTAACCATCTTGTAATTCGGGGATATCCAGGATGGTCTTTGAGGATCGCCATTTCAGAATTGGAGTTGAAGAACTACTGGGCACGGGACTGATAATATATTGTCGTGAGAACCCCAGTCGTTTAATCCTCCAGCATGTACGCAGATGGGTCGCGGGCTCAGAAACTGTGGCCGGATCGTAGTGCATCAACTCGGTCATGTGATAGAGTGTCAGGTCGATGGTAAACTGCGTCACCCCTTGCCATCCGGGGTATTTGATGACGGCAAATGGGTATGGATCTGTGGCTGGAGGCTGACATTTCTCAAACTCGCTGATCTTGGATTTTCGATTCTGCCTAGACAGCGTGCCCTGATGAGAAATCTCCGTCGTCTGTTGGTTCGTCGTTGAACCGAGTCGCGACGCAAAAATCTTCACTGTTGGGGGCAGGAGATACTTTTGTTTCCACCATTTCAGGTCGTTGCTGACAAAATCCGAGGTGGTGTTGGGTTGCTCCACGAAGCTTGATTCAGGATCTAAGCGTCTCAGCTGGTACTGGACATTCTGCGGGAAAATAAGCCCCACTGGCGTGCTTTTGAGGATTTCGAAGCGCTGGATGGGATTGTGGTTATCGGCTGGCTGCTGGAATTCCTGGTCGTGGCGGCGTGGCGGTTGGAATTTGTACTGTTGCTCGAGCTCGTACTGCTCGAAGAACTCCCGCTGCTCTGGCTGGCACTCCGCTCGGTGAAGACGGGTCTTGCGTGCCCGAGCCATAGAGATTCGTTAATGTCAAACAAGTCAGGAGGTGGTAGCTGATTTGGCTTGTTCTTCTTTTTCTTCTTGGGTGACGGAGGCTGGACCGGGTGGCAAGGACAGCCTCCTGGATAGTATATTTCCCGTAGAGTTATGGTGGTATATCTTCTTCTCGCTTCATGGGAACGGTTAGTTGAGCGTTCGTCTTGTGCAGGGAACAAAGAGTTATAATTTGGGAGTTGATCCATTGAAGCGGCCGCAGATGATGTCGAAGAGGACGACATTCTGTGGTAGCCAGCAGGGCAAGTCTCAATGGTAACGATAAACAATTAATGTGTAGATGGAAGGATTTGGAGGGGGAAACGAAGAATGGGTCGAGATCCAGGCCCATGATGAATGTCAAGCCTTAGGTCAGGGCTTACAAGAAAAGGATAATGATCATACGATGCCGTTACTCAGGGCACCCGCGTGTGACTGAGATGAGCGATATGTCCCAAAGCTTGTACCAACAACGGGCCCGAATTACGAGGCGGTGGGGACCAAAGAGACCAAGAAGGCCGAGAGACGGCTAATGGTTGGTCGTTCTGTTCGGAGGGTTCGGATGAGGAGGAAAATGGTGGAGCAGGCTGTGACGGGCTTGCAGAAAGGCTTGCGATGGGATTGAGGCTGGTGCTGATGTTGGCAGTTTCGTCAGCAACTCTGGATGTTTGTGATTCATGACCTAGAGCCCTTTTAGGGGGAAATGAGGCAGCCTCACCTTGTTTTGTGTTCTGCGTTGTCTGTTCGCTGGGATTTGATTCGATTCGGGGGAGGGAGAGGATGGAGGGTGCCTGGGGTGCCTGGGCCCTGGGGTTCGGTGAATGTGGCTCTTGGCGCAGTGCCACTGCAGGGGCACGGGGACAAATATTTGGCAGTATGTACGGAGTATGGTTAGGTAAGAGCAAGAAGGATTTGAAGTTATCGGTATGATTATTACTGATGGAAGTTGTGGGATTCGTCGTTGGGCATGTATTTAAATATATGGCAAATCCTTACTCGTGAAGCTCACCTTGTTAGAAGAGAATATTGTAATAGTCCTCATGATGTACGTTTGCAATGAGGCCATTATATGTTTACCAAAACCATGTCTTTTTTTGGCATTGACAGACTCGCGACGTATTCGGATAGAGGCTGTCAAGTCCAAGTCTGGGGTACTGGGTACTTTTCTGAGCGGGATGGCGGCTTATCATGAACATTATCGCCCAGATTTAGCCCAGACTGCCACCGCCCGAGTGCCCAAAATTGGCGAAGTCGAACCAATAATAGACACTACAACTGACCTACTTGTCAGCCTTGTATGCAATAAATACTGAGAAAAGGCACATGACGCCCAGACGGGCAGAACTCTCTTCAACCAGGCACAACCGGTCATGTGGATGATCGGCGTCGTGAAAAAAGTCTTTGTCGCCAAAATGGCTCAGGCGTTTCTAGAGACTTCTGTCCAAGAAATCAGGTGACCCAAGCACGGTGGCAAACAAAGCCACGCCGCTAATTGTATCTAAAACGGGAGTACCAGTCCACGTGACATGTTCGTGACATGTTTCGCTTTGCAGGAGAGAACCCAGGTTTCTGATTCGAGCAAGCCGTCAGGTTGCGAGACTGAATTGAATTAGTTGCGGTCGTGGTGCGAATAATTCAGGAGCCTGTTGTTGCCCATTTGGTTTGGTTGAGATCTCAGATGTGGCACATAAAGATTTCCTCTTGCCGTCTTCTGTGAGACCTTTGGAGAGCAAGTGTAGAGGTTCGCGAGGGCCTTGTGGTCAAGAGATTGTGTTTGATGCGGCTAGCGGGATGAAATCCAGGTCTCGTTGGGTTTCTCTTGTTCTTGATCATTCATACCATAAACTGATGGGGGAGCGGTATCAAGTCTCGCACTGGTGAAGGTGATGAAGCTAGCGATCTTATTTACAGACATACTTGTTGAGACATCAGAGACCTGAATGTTAAGCAGGCTCCCCTGATTGGTCCCAGGGTTTATAATGTTGAAGTGGTCACTGGTGGCGAGCGTTGGCTGGAATTGTAAAACCTCGAGTCATGAAATTGCCATCGTGTTTGGCATGATCATTCTTTTTCGTATAAAGAGAGGAAATCGTGTCATTCTCGCGTCGTTGTTTCTTGCGGGCAGCTTCTTCTTGCAGAACGCGCGCAGTGAGATTGGCGGTGGCCGAGTCTTTGATGCCGTTGGAGGGCCGAGGAGTGGATGTACCGGATCTGGGCTTCGCTGAGGAATCGATGAGCCGAGGAGCATCTTGATCTTCTTGCGTCTTGGAAGACGGTCTGTCAGAGGTAGTGGTAGTGGCGGTGGGTTCTGAATTTGAGTCAGCATTTGCTTTCCTTTTCTTTACCCCGCTGGCCTTTTTCAAGGCATGTGTCAAGCCGAGGGATTTCATGATTTCGATGCGACTCAAGACGAAAGATTTGTCTGTTTCGTTGCTGGGAAGGATCGGTACGATGTCTCGTTCTTCGTATGTCGTGGCACATTGGACACACTTGCCATCGCCCTTCATCTCTTTAATGGCCTCGTGGGAAAAGACGTGGCCGCAAGGAACAATGTAGACAGCCTTGACATTTGGGCCAAGTTCTTTTGAGGTGATGGGGCAGATCCAGCGAGCAGTCTTGTTGGGTGAGGCGTTATCGACCTCGAATTGAAGTTCGACCACATCTTTGAGGCTTTTGATTCGGCCCTGAATGAATTTCTCATACTCTTCCTTATCAACCGAGCTGACTTCGGCTGGCAGCAGAAATTGAATGATGGCGTCTTTGTTGTACAGCTCGCCCGAGTAATCTGACACAACTGGTTTAACTAGGGGCTTGTTGGAAACGGGGCAAGTTGACCATCGATGGGAGAGGTGTTCTTTTTGTTTGTCTTTCAATTCTGAGGAAGAGGGATTGCGGGCGGCTTCTTTGACGAGCTCGCGTCGGGTCGGAATACTAGCAGAGGGAGATCAGTCTTGGAACATAGTATGGGCTTTGGGGGTATTCTTACCTTCCTCCATCGTTGCCCATGATCTCGAGTGACTGGATGGGCAGTGAATGGGTTGTTGCAAGTTGAAGATCGAGAACGGGTGTTCGATGGTGGAGGTTGAAGCCTCGTAGAAAATTGGCAGAAGTAGCCTTGCAGGAAGGGGCGAAGTGGGCACGTGGGGTAAACTTCTATGACGGGAAGGCTGAGACGGAGGGTTTCTTCGGGGGTATAACTGCCAAGGTTTTAGGGAAGCCCGGGGGATGAGAGAGGGACGAGGGGACCAACAGTGCCCGTAACAGTGAAGCCTCAGGCGCCCAGAGGGATCTTATTCCCCGTAGCCAGCCCTATAAGGCGGAGGATCAACCAGGTGAGAAACTACTCGTACCCATGTCCATCGCACGCCTCTTGAAAAATTTGCAGTGATGGCTCTCTCCCTGTCACTTGACTACAGTACAGAGTCCTCATAACCATGTTAATCTGACCTTCTGTCCCTTGACTCCTTCGGTCACGTCAGAGATTGAGTCTTCGACGGGGGAGAGCAATATCTCCGTACTCTATTCCCGACGATTTCCAAGCATTGATCAAGATTTGTACCCATGCTACCATGACAGGACCCCCAAACATCTCCGTGGTCCATCGGAAGAGACGGGTTTGACCAGGACTGATGAAGCCTCGGCCCACCAAAGTGGTGACTCCAAAAAGCCCCCAGGCAAATCTCGCACTAACTAAAAGCACTTACTCCGTATATCCAGCTGCTACAATATTGAATATACACGCAATGGCACGACGGCCGAGGGGCTCACCTTGGACCCCGCAGCCCTGGATCATCTCCAAAAAGACAATTGACCCTCCTTGGCTGTGATCTTTATCTGTCTGGGGAGAACAGCGTCATGGGCTTCAATAGATGACGTTCGGCAAACCTATCCCATCCTCGTTGGCAAAGTCCTTATTTCCGGGGCTTTGAGTATAGCTATTAGCTACAAACCCACGGAATGATCCCTCCAGCCAGCCAATCTACACATGATATCCCGTTGGACTCAGAAGAAGACCTTGTATTGCCAAGATTGTGGCTCGATGTCGTTATTCTCGTGAAATATATATAAACCAAATGCCATTGTTTGTCTCAACGACCCGATTTCTTCCACCCTCCAAAATCACATCATTACTTTCTGCCCGTTTCTACAACCATTACTCCCACTCTATCAATATGGTCAAAGTTCTTGTTACCGGTGGCACTGGCTTTATCGCCGCGCACACCATCGACTCTCTCCTTGAACATGGTCACAGTGTAGTCTTTACTGCCCGCTCGGACGATAAGGCGAAGAAGATCTTCGACAACCACCCTGAGGCATCCAAGGACAAACTCAGCCATGTCATCGTCCGTGACATCGCACAAGAAGGTGCCTTTGATCAAGCTGTCAAGTCTGATCCACCATTTGACGCCGTTCTACATACTGCTTCGCCTTTCCACTACAGCGTCACTGACGTCCAGAAAGACCTCTTGGACCCCGCCATCATTGGCACCACAACTCTGCTAAAGTCCATCCACAAGTCAGCTCCTTCGGTCAAGCGCGTCGTCATCACCTCGTCCTTTGCATCCATCATCAATCCAGAAAACCATGCCAAGGTGTATTCAGAACAAGTCTGGAATCCCATCACCAACCAGGAGGCCCTGCAGAACCCCGCCAACGGCTACCGAGCCAGCAAGACCTTTGCCGAGAGAGCTGCTTGGGACTTTGTGGAAAAGGAGAAGCCATCCTTTGACGTTGCCACCATTTGTCCTCCTTTGGTCCTGGGTCCTGTCATCCACTCCCTCCAATCCCTCGACTCTCTCAACACATCCAACGAGAGAGTTCGCAATCTCATCCAAGGCAAGGCCAAGGACACTGGGCTTCCTCCCAGCGGCGTCTTTATCTGGGTTGATGTTCGGGACCTGGCCCTGGCTCACGTCAAGGCCATGGAGATCCCCGAGGCTGGAGGAAAACGTTTCCTCCTGACCGCCGGACACTATGACAACGGCGAAATTGCCAGTGTTATCAAGTCCAAATTTCCCGATCTCGCTGACAGATTGCCCAAAGACATCTCTGGAGATCGACCGAAAGATGTCTATGGTTTCGACAACTCTCGGAGCAAGGAATTGCTCGGTATCAAGTATCGAAGCTTGGAGGAGAGTGTTGTCGATACAGTGAATTCCCTGCTTGCTTTCAACCCGTGATCCCTTGCTATAGCCAAGAAGACATTATGCTCAAGCATTATGGAAGGGGCAACGATATGCCTTCAGTATGGCAAGGTTCGTATGGCTTCTAAGGGATGTATATAAATGATAAGCAACCGTGGAGCTCCTTATTTAGAATTCGTCCTCTATAAATACTTGCACAGACGGGGAGCCAGAGCCTAAACCACCTTATATATGTGCCGCGACATATAATCTCTCTCTCTCTCTCTCTCTCTCACACAGACACACACACACACACATCCACTATTTGACTCTATACTCCCGCTTGCGGAACTATATTCATATCAAATATGAAATCTTGCCACATGGAGTTGTCCAGTCCTTCAAACAAGCCCTCGAGCGAGGCCAGATCCGGCTGAAATGCTGCTCCTGTGTCGCTTGCCTCGTCCCCTGCCCCGACATTGGTACCAACTCTGCTATCTCCCCCCTTTTCTGCATTGATCTTGGCTTCATACCATAGTTTGCAAAGTGCGAGTTTCTCGCTGTAAAACTGAAAACGTGTCGCAATTGGCGTAGACGAACCATCCTGCGCCTCTTCTAATAATACTACCGATCTCAGCCTGTCAACCAGCCGATCGACAATGGAGATAAACGGCAACTTGACTCGAACACGGTCCAGATCCCATGCCCTAGCCTGTCGGAAAGACAACTTCCCAAGGAGTGCAATGGCATGTACTATGCCAAACCACCAGGTGACGGGTAGATTTGGGTAGCTCCTTGAGGGTTGCCTGCACATCTCAACCATCAACTCGTCAATGCAATCCATGCAATGAAACATGGCCTCTGCTTTGTCCAGTGGCTCATCCGCTTCTATCTGCAGCAAGGATTCATACAAGCTAATCTTAGCGCTTAGAGTGTGAAACCGCAGGTAATCTGTCCGATGATCAGCCGGGGTTCCGACACTGGAGCTTTCAGTTGTATTCGAATGCATGCCATCTGCCGACTGCTTCACTGCAAGGCTTTGCATAAACCCATCAATGTCGTTCTCGATGCATCTGGCGAGACTGCCAACGGGAATCCGGGGCCTGTTGGACAGATGGTGAAAATAGCGGTGGGTGATGGAATGAAGTTGCACGAGCTGTACGGCTTGTGCATCAGAGGGAAATTGTGCTTCCATCAAAAGTCGGTCGCAGCAGCCTTGCACGTGCTCGTTGAACGGCGGTGGGTCTATCCTCCTGAACCATGATGAAAAAGCAGAAGTAAGATAGTGCCAACCGAGAAAGGCTCTCAGCTCGGCCGTCGTCTGCCGGGCACGGTGGATAGTTCTGCCGTGGATGATGCCCACGCAATCCATCATGAAAATAAAATGGCCCGGATCTGTGCTTGGTGGGCGATTCAAGCCAAGGTCAACAACCAAAGATTGCGACAAATGCAAAAGGGGCATGATATGAGGACTATGTCGATGATTGTGAGTTTCCCTTACGCCTGTCAGTATTCCTTGGTCTCCACCCAAAGCTGGCCGAATGTGTGCTTACCAGTACATGAAAACCAAAAGACCTTGGAGGAGATCCAGTGACTTTTCGCATCGAAACAACATGTGCTCGCTAACGTGATTGAGAAATTTATTTGCCAAATATCCCTGCGCTGTCGTTTCCGCGTTGGCAGCGACCGTGATGCAAGCCAGAAACAAAAAAGGGCTATCTCGTCGCAGTATAGTTGTGGTGAGTTCTGGAGGAATAACCACAAATGGAAAGTGTTGGGCCATTGCAGTTCGAAAATCGCTCATCAGCTTCTCTTCGAGAACTGCCGGTATGTTGAGAACGGAAAGCTGCTGTGGTGAAGATGTGGTGGTGATTGGAGCGTGTCCTGTACTGATCTTGTTCGACGAAGACGCACTGACGGTTCCGTCATTAGGGCCATTCGAGTCTGTGGGATGATCTGGTACAAAGCAAGAGGTGGAAGGGGTTGGCAACGCGTTGGTAGGAGAGGCTGACACTCTGGCAGCATATTGAGACGTAGAGACCAACGTGGTCAAATTCTCAATCTTTTGCTCCAGTTTGGCAACCCTCCTGGTGTCTGTTAACAAGGACCAACTGTAGATTGGGCACCGAGGAGACTTGCGCTGATTGTGTTCGTCGTCGCTTCCTTGCAACGGGTGGTCGTGTCATACAACTTTTCTGTAATCGAAGACACCTTTGGGCGAAGTTAGATACCAGACCCAGTTATCGTGAAGATCTGAGGACGTGTGCAAACCTTTGGCATGAAGGATTGCCTGACTCTGCCGATGGTATGCACCTCGCTTTGCCTTGGGCACATGACAAGCAGGCTCGATTTAGCCGCGAACCGGGCGTATCATTTGTTGGTGAAGCCACTGCATTGTCCGTCATTGTCACACCATCTATAAGTAAGCCGCGCACAAGAGCAACGGGAAGAACGGAGAACCAACATCTCCTTGCTGAACAACGGAGCATTCGAGGCAGGGAAGACAGTCAGATAGTGTCCAGGAACCGGAACTTACAAAAGGCTCGGTTCCGGCTTGGCATCAGATCGACAACGTCTTTGGAGCACCATCGCCGCTCGATCGATGGATGTCTCTTCGCCGGTTACAAAGACCCCTGATTCAGAGGTTGCTTTCTCGCCATGGCCTATTGCAACTCGGACCCAAAGCCTACAAGCAACCGGGACTAGATGAAAATCCGGCTGATCCCAGTCAGGGAAATTGAAATAGGCACCGCTGGGCTCGATGCTGCCCGTTAGATTCGTTCCCGACCGTCCTATCCGCACATTCCTCATGGAGAGACAAGAACATCCGGAATTGACAATATCCCCGGCAATGGCCACTGCCACTTTGACAGACCGAATCTCCGCTGAAGCTTGTGAATCTGGTGAAATAATGCCTCGAGCAACAGATGAAGGGAGTCCGAAACCAGAGACCACCTACCTTGGCCCTGGACATCTTGTGCTCCTCATGCTGGCCCTTGCGTTGGTCGTACTTATGGTCACCCTTCATATCTCGGTAGTTGCAACGGCTATCCCCAAGATCACGGACGAGTTCAACACAATCGCCGACATTGGATGGTATGCCGCAGCGTATAGCCTCTCCACTGCTGCCTTGCAGCCTCTGACGGGGAAAGCCTACAATGGAGACAATCAAGGCCCGTGGCGACAGTGTTGTCGTAGCACAAGTTTTGATGGCATACAACGAGGCCGTGGTGCGGGTATTTTATCTTGCGCTCGGCTGCGCCTTCTTTGGCTTGATTACTTGCTTGGGCATATGGAACACAAAGATGGAGACGAAGAGAAGCAAATTGAAGAAAGAGGCTGCGGAGGAAAAAGCATGAAATTTGGGCCTGGGTTAGAGGGTGGTATCAGCAGAACGTCGAATGCCTGATAGGGGCTGAGCGTCTCCTTCAAGAAGTGGAGCCTGCTGGGCTGCAGCACCGTATTAGAGGAGGATGCCGTGTGCCAGTGAATACGTATGAATGTCAGTCAAGCTGGTTGATCTGAGCTGAGACAGATTGTGGCCTCTCGAAATTCGTAAAGGAGTATGCAAAATCATGCGCGTTGAAATAACATATGATAAGGAGGTCAAATGTTCCACTGTAGCTATCAGCGCTGTTTGATCTTTTGTTTCGCCGTAAAATAGGCTTGGCATTTGATTGGCTAGATTTGCCCGAAGCCTTGAGTAATTATTTTCCCCTGCGGTCGTCAAAGCCCCAGTCCCTTCATCTTGCTTGCTTGCTATCTTCGTCGTGTACAAAGATGGCTCCCTCGAGGCGAGCTCAGCAGTCAATATCTGGGCTTATTTCAAACGCGATCCACTCCCCATATGTGTGTTCTAGCTGCCGAACCAATGTCCGGTTTTATGCACAGCGTCCTAAGCCGTCGAGCCGGCTCTGGTCGAAAACATCAGCGGCGGCACTAGTGCCTTCTTCCAGCTTTCACACATCAGCGTCAACATACTACGCGACTCCAGCGCCTCAGGATTACATTCATCCAAAGCCAGCCAAGCCACAGAAGGTTGAAGAAGACTTGGAGGACTTTGAAGAGTATCAAGAGGCCGAGACATGGGACGGGCTTGAAGTAATAGGTCATAAGCAAAAGGTCGTTGAAGAGAAGGTTTCATTTGCCCCGTAAGTGTGACGAAACTCATTTTTTGGGCACATGGACTAATTAAGATAGTTTCATACCAACTTCTCGGCCTATGCTGAAGAATGAAACCCTTGAGGACCACTTCTCCAAGTGGCTTTACGTCGCTATACTCGACACAGTGGCAGAGAAGTCGCTTGGCCATGAGATCGGTGCCAACGATGATGTGCAGATCAGACGGGCAGCATTAACCATGAGTCTTACAAACACGGATGCGGGAGCCGTCCTGAGTTTCGACGAACAAGAGAAGACATTACAGGAATCCCTTGGGGAGAGTGAAGCGCCATCCTGGAAGAACCTCAATCGGCTGCTGAGCGAGAATGAAAGCAACATTTCAATGTTTTTGACCACCACCAAGCTGAACTTTAAAGATGCTACGACCTTCAAGGTACGAAATCTTCCTTCTGTATCGTGTGACCTGGTTCTTGGAACCATCAGGCTGACTCATTTTTCCCCTCGCCTTTAGATCCTCAAACGCTTTGCCGTGCTATCAGGCCACCGTGTGCCTGACCCTGTCGTTGGCGAGATGTGGAAGCAGAACCGAACCTTGTCAGAACTGGTCACCCTTCTCACTAAACACTACCGACGAGCCCGGAAGCAAGTAACAGCAGATATCATCAACGAGAGGCAGCAACAAGCGTCACTAGCACAAGAGAGCACAAATGTTGAAGTTGTCGACAAGAGAAGATTGCAAACACTAGGAGCCAATGTTGTGGTCCACCGGCGGCGCGAAACCCCGGTCGATAAGGAGAAGGAAGTTGGAAGATGGAAAGTGATCGTCAAGGAGTTGGAGAAGCGGCAACTTCCGATTCCTGGACAGAGAGGAACATAGGTTTGGGCAGAGTGTGGTTTCGACAATGGAACAGATACACAATGTGATTATTGATCGTCGGCGTGGGTGGGGGGAGGCAAAGAACATGTTGATATACCAGGCTCTTGAGCCTCAAAGGGGTCAGGGGCCGAGGCCATCTGAGCTTCTTGGCGCATGGCCACAAGGCTGCGACTGTACGAGTATAAGGAGAATCCGAGTCTGGCTTTTGGGCTTTCGCCAGGAGAGGCTGGCGCAAAAACAAAGCTGTTGTATCTTGATCTGACCTGGCCACTGCGCGTTGATAGGCTCGAGGTTATATGCCGGAGGGCGAGTCAACTCGAGCTGAGGGGAAACGTGGACGGCAGAGAATGTTGACGAAGAAGCTGTGGACATGGGGGAGGCGGACCTAGGTGCTCCGTCTCGATAAGGTCGATTTGACACGACGTTTGACACAGTCTAGCTTCTCCCACCATTCCAACGCCAATTCGAATGGCGTACTGCTGATTCCGTATCTCTGTTTAACCACCGCCAGTCGGGAGCGACATTGTAATCATTCTTCCGACTTCTCCCGCCCAGTTGGAGGCTTTTGAGAGGGAGTAACATTGAATGTCCAACAAAAAGAATATGGCTTTGGGCTGGACCGCGGCATTCAAGCTAGCTGCGACAAGACGACTTTCCTCAAGCGTGGCTTGTTATGTTTAGATGGTTGTGATAGATGGTCAACTCGGATTAAGACATGCCATGTTGTAATCATGCCGTCAATGTCCTGATTCGACCAGAATGCCAGCTACTTAGTCGACCGACGACACGGCTTGGGCAGAGGCACGGCACGTGACGGGGATAGACGTGTCTCGAGGATGTTTCTCGTCGACATCCATGGCTCGTATTAGATGAAATTGAAACTGCCGGTTAAAAAAGAGGTATAGCAACACATGCACCTGAAGACGAGTTTTTAAACTGTCCAATTGTGATATTTGACCCTAGGTGACAAAAGACGGGCAACGAAAGCCGCACTTTTGGCTTTTGATCGTTCATGACGGTCCCGCAGTCAGCGGGCCGAAGAGCCATGGCTACCTACCTTAATCTCACCTCGATCTCACAAGTAAAGCGGGGACTGTTGGCCATTGCTCTGAACAAACTGATCACTGACACGATCCAACGCGAATAAAGAAAAAGCCCAAATCTAGCATACTCTGTGACGGTTTGTATCTACACAGGGTTCAGGACTCTAAACATCAAGCCCCCACGCGTGTTCAGGCTCTCATTCGAATCGAAAGTGGTTTGGTTATCCCTTGGCCCGCTTGGCCCCCAGTAACCTCCTTGGGCACCTCGGCCCTCGCGCATGGGTTTACCGCAAGCCACAAGCCGCAGAGATAGGTATTGGTCCCCCCAATCTTAGCCTATCGACCATGCATCCTACGACGGTGCTGATGGCTTATGGTGTTCGAGGACAGAGGCCCAACGCGCTCAGTCACTGCCAACAATGGGTGGTTGCGGAGACTTGAAAGTGCCCAAAGCCCCACGTCGTGCCCGGGCCCTCGAGGGAGGAGCCTTTCCACCAAAGACATTATGTTCTTCCTGTACCTAGGTATGTATGCGTACAGCCTAACGACGGTAGATGTGGCCGTGATGACGGCCATGGATCATACAGTACGGAGTATCTGTATTGGGTCGAATCTGTACTGAGGTCTTCGCCAAATCCTCGGGCAGCCGTTCCGTCTCGTTTCGCGTGCGTCACTCATCCCAAGATCTATGTAGGTACTTAGCGGAGGTGCTAGGTAGCGAGACCAGCTTCTACTGACTGCTACCTCGGGTCTGGTCAATGGTCACCAAGGTTCCGTGGGTTAGGCAGCTCCGGGCTCCAAGGATCAAGGCACCCATCCCTGCGAACCACTGTTTCCCACGACGTCCAAATACCCTGCAAGCGAAGCAGTTTGCGTCTGAGAACTCGCCTATGCCCTTGAGCGTGGAGGACGGATTGCAAACACAACGTGGTATCATGGTGTGCGCACCTGTCCAGCAAGTTGCTCCATGGCGGGGTAGAATTCGCCCACTTTTTATACACATCACTGGCTCTCATCTTCATCATGTGCTCACTCGTCCAGGCCTTGGACTGGCCACTTCAGAGCTGGCTCATGCAATCAGCCCATCCCGTCTTCTTTTCCTGGCTCCTTCTCGTCCCGAATCCGACTCGGCTCCAATACAGGACTGACAACTCATCCATTCCCTTTCACTCCACTCCTTCTGTGCTTTGCCAGTGCTTTGCCAGTGATGGTGGTGACGGCCTGACTCGACGACTTGCCAACAACGCATCCATCTACGACCACTCCCACGTCCACGCCCGTTCGTGCCGGTGGAGACGCACCCTTCTTTGCTGTCCCAGGCTCCCAGCCGCAACCTGTGACAACCTGTGATCCTGTTCCCACCCGAGACTTGTAGCTTTTCTTCAATCGGAGCCTCCTACATCCTCGCCCTCCCCCTCTGGCCAGTCCAGCCTGTTCTGGGATCCGCTTTGCTTCTGTCAAGCATGCTCATTCGATCTCGTACTGTCCCTGTGGCCGAATCAATACCCTCGTCCTTCCGCGAGGTCTGTCACGAGCCGCACCGCCATTGCTAACAGCCTTGTCTGCGCCTTCGCCTTAGATTTCAGTCACCCATCCTTTCGCGGCCACCATGGCTGGTCGACAGAATCCAAAGCGGTCAAAGCCAGATGAGTCCGATTTCGCCGAGTCCTCCACCAGCGACTACGCCCTCACTTACTTCATCCCTGGTGAGGATATCGACACGCATGTACTCCTGCACTACATTGGCACGTGGGTCGACCGTGCCGCAAAGATACGGACGGGACGACACCCAACCGTGAGCATCAAACTCACCCATTCTGTGTCGCTACAGTGCTGATCATGTCAGGAAACCAAACGCACCGGCTTCAATGTCACTTCTGAGACCCCCCTCACTGCCGTAGGCCGCATCTTCTTGCCCATATGTCCCTCTGACTGACCCTGCACCGCAGAAAGGACTGCAAGATATTGTCAACGATTCAAGAGATTGGGACAATGAAAGACAGACGAGTGCGTTCGCATGCCTAAGTTAATCGAATCGGCCACCGTTGACACCATGATAGAAGCCTTTAGGAAAGAACAGTACCCCTACGCAGAGTCCAAGACGGCCGCGAGGAGGGCAAAATTCGGCCCATCCGGTCCCTCCAAGGTCAGCTTGGGCCAGTCCCAGGACTCTCGCAGGCGTGAGATGACGACCGAACCCATGTCACATTCAGACCACATGCGTTATCAGACAGGAAGTGTACCTGGCCCATCTGGTGTCTCCGTAGCTCAGTATCAGCCACAAACCCAGACTCATTCGTATCATGGAGGTGGGGTCCACTCACTGCCTTCGACCTCGATGCCACAACCTGGAGCCCACACCTATTACAATTATAACTACTCCTCCACTCCCGCGCCAGGCGGCGGTGACATGCCCTCACACCACACTCCAACTCAATATCGTTCTGACCAGCAATATGGCCGGTACTCCCCGCCGGCGAGGTCTAACGAGGACCCTCCACCTTACGAGCACACCTCAAGACATTCCCTTGCTCCACCGAAACAGCCCGGCCAGCCTGAACCTGATCAACCAGACCCCGCTGCGTTTGACATGCTCAAGACTGGGTCACAAATGATGAGAGGCAACCCCACAGCGGAAGACTATCCCCCGACTCGCTCGGTGGAGCGCAGAGGAACCCAGGACGATCCCCGGAGACGCCGTTGAAGCCTTGTTCTTATTTCCACGAGTTGGCTGCGTGTCTTGCAATAGCATTCTTTCCCTCTAAACCGGGGAAAGCTGGTGTTGGTTTAATTGTCGCATACAGCACGGGGGGGCCATACAAGCAACATTGATGAATTTTCGGGAAGATGTCTCCTCCCATCTCGCGCTGACTGGTCTCTGTAGTGCTTGGTCTGCTTTGTGTGTGCAGCGTCCAAAGTTTCGAACTGTAATGGGGCTATTGATTTGCAAGAGACCAGGCTTTGCCTACCATGTGCACCCTGCAACTCCAGATTTCTGTGCGGCCGCTTGAATCATTTGGTCACTAGGTCTAAAGTTGATGTAGACAGTCATAGCAAACATTCGTGCAAGGACTTACCCAAAGCCAAGAAAGAGATGCCTTGAACATGTGCACTCGAGGCTCCCTTGTCAACCATGACAGATGACGTTGAATCGAAACAGGATTTCTTCTGCATCAATGCCTCGTGTGTGATGTAGCGTGGTGGGCATTGGCATTGATCGGCAGCGAGGTCAGGATCTACAGCAGCATGGTCCATGGGAACTGAACCCTTGCATTGTGACATTGTGACATTGTGCACTCACAGCACTCTGGCACTCAAGTCAATGTGGGCGTCGATCGATGGAGGTTGATGTATTATGGAACCAGACCAGGTGCCAGGTCAGGGTCAGAGGGCCATTTTCCTTGGAAAACCCCAGTCGGTGCCTCGCAGTGACGGGGGTGGGGGTTGGATTGCACCTTCCCAACCAAAGTTGCAGCGTGTGCAACGACGCCAGCGGCGCCTGCCTCTGCAAATCCCAATTTGAGGGCAAGTGCAAGTGCAATTGTGCTGCAATTGCACAACTGCACTTGCAAGCTGTAACCAAAAGGTCAGCTGCTCTTGCCTCCCACTCGTGTCAGTCATTCGATCCGTGCAGTCATGGCAGAAGAAAAAATCATCAACTGGGACGATGCCACAAAGACCTCAAAGTCGGCTTGTTGACTCGTTCAATACCCTCGTCCAAACCCGAGACCAAGAACGATCGGGAGTATACTGTACACGGTACCAGTACCGCCGTTGGAACCAACCCAGATGCTCCGCAACCGTCATCAGTCCGAGGTCGACACGAGATCGCCACTGGTGATGTCCGATGGAAGACCCAGATATTTAACCCCAAACATCAGAGCCCTCTCTGCCCTTCAAGACAGTGTCGCTTATTTGATGGCGATCGTCCTGGAGGATTTTGAAACATTCGTACCATTCCAACCGTTTTGACCGTCTTGCCAATCTCCCCACCACCGGTGGGTATCTCACCATTGGGAGCCACTTGTCATCGATTGCCAACTTGATTGGTGAGACATTAAGGACTGTGCATGTGCAGGCGCCGTCACGGCCTAGCTCAAGTGAACCGGGCCCCAACTGCAGTTATTGGCGATCTCGGTCTCACGAGGACCGCAGAGGACCGCACACACAAAATGCCTTGGGAAACGAGGCACAAGGCCCCTCGACCATCCTCTGTTGCCGCATATTGCCACTACGTTCCCTTCTCACTTACACTCAACAGTTTCTCTCTCTTCTACCTGTGACGGTCTGACTGGTCCCCTCGTGCATCCATCAATTTGCCCTGTCAGACGGCAACCCACTCGACCTGGACCCGAGGACAGCCTGCCCAAGCGAAACCCAGTCCAGCTCTTCCATTTGTAAACTGAAATTCATCCGAGGGAGTGATGATCTTCGACTCCTCAGAGCTCTGACAACAAGTCAATGGCCTTGCGCCAGGATTCTTCTCGTGGATGGACAATTGACAACAGCGACAATGCTAATGCTGGACTACCCCAAACTTCGGCTCAAGCCGTCTCATCTGGCCCTCTCTTGGAGCCGCGCGAAGGCCCGAACCCTGCTCAATGGCAGGCGGTCAAGGAACAGATCCGAATTCTCTACCAGACCATGCCCCTAAAAGAAGTCAGAAGAAAGCTCGAACAGCAGCATGGTTTTCGAGCGACGTATGCTACCCCTTCCCCTCCTTCCTCGACACCTTCTCGCCCTCGCACAGCACTGCCTTGGATTCCTCATCGTCATGGGAAATCATATGCTGACCTTGATTCCTAGCGAGCGCATGTACAAGGCCCGACTCTCGCAATGGGGTTTTAGTAAGAATTACTCCGACAGAGACTATCAAATATGCGCCGTTTTGCGTCAGATTCGCCTTGACGCTGGTAAGCCCAGAACAGCATTCATCGTTCATGGCCATCAGAGATCCCTAAAAGATCTCCACAAATACATCAAAGGCCGGAGACTAACCGAGGATGAATTTCTGGCGACCGCATCAGCAAACATTGTATGCAGAAGTCAAGCGGATCAAGAAAATGATCCTCAATATGCTCATGTCCGAGCATATACTCCAGAAGCCGACAACGACCCCGACGACCATCCCCAACCAGTCTCAACAACAAGGTATGCTGCTCCCGGCGAGATACCACGAATGTCCGAGGGGACGGTCAAACTCTCGCTTCCAGGACCAGGACTTGTATCAGAGACATCCCCATGTCCGCCGCTGTCCCATCGAAACTCGTTAGCTTTTCAGAAGTCTCCCCATGATAGCACCCCGTCGGCAGGCTGGTCGCCGGCTACCACACACTTCACTCCAGTGACATTGCTTACTCCTGTCACGGGGTGTTCGCCTCAGGGTACAAATGCTCCAAACGAGTGGCATTATCAAGGCTCGCCTTTACCGACTGTTCCGGCGGAACACTTTCCTCCCTCGCGGGACACCACGACCTACATGACTCAGCCACTGATTGAAACAAATCATGCCACTTCGTCAGTCGATCACCAAAGCCACTATGCAACCTCGTCTTGGAGTCGAGACAGTCCTCATATACCATGTCAGCGGCTCCAGAGGGATGTCGAATACATGGCCTTACAAGTGGTGGATACACCATCAGTAAAGTCTCTCTGTGGGCAAGATGACATTGCTTCATGGCGACAGATGAACACCGACGCATCCACGCCTGACAGCGAGGATTATGGCCAAATCTGTTCGTCGTGTAACGAACAGACGCGAACCCACTTCATCAGTCTCCCCAATCTCGAGGCTCAGTCAAGAAGCATCCTGAATGACACTGCCGATGTGAATCAGAGTACTCTGCAAGTCCCTGGCTCTGCCCGTTCCCACAACCACTCTTGGAGATGGGTTGCTCGATGCTTTTCCGCCTGCATCTACTTCAACCGTGGCGATCATGATCTTGCTAACAGAAGTCTAGTTGATGCAGATGAGGAGTTTGAGCGGATGTTGGTTCCACACCAGGACCCCAAGATCATTCTGGCTCTGAACCAGACTTTGTCAATACTGCATATGCACAACGAAGGAGAGACTACGAGGAGAATCATGAAGTCTGCCTACGATGTTGCATTGCGAGTCCTCGGCGAAACGGATCCCATCACGCATGTTGTCCGGTGGATGGTCCTCGTTGCCGACCTGAGGCACAAGAGCGGCGAGATTTCAAGTGAAACATTATTGCTGGTTCACAAAGATTTGACAGTAATGCATGGCTACAACGATCCACGGTCCATTGCGACTCTATATTGTTATGGCTACATGTTGAATGTCGAGGAGAAGGCTGAACAGGCTGAAAACGTGCTCAGGGAAGCGTATTCGAGATCTTGCTCAGTCTTGGGGACTAAGCACCTCCAGTCCATCTCAGCTTTGACTAACCTTCACCGGGCAGTTCGAAAGCAAGGGCAAGGCCGGATTAGCGAGGCGATTGTGATGATTCGACAAGCCATCAAAGATTCGAGAGAGACATTGGGCATCAGCCATCCTAAAAGACTTGAAGGCAAAAGACTGTTGGCAATGATGCTGGAAGAAAGAGGGGAACTGGATGAAGTCGAGAGGTTGTTCTGGCAGATCACCGAAGGGAGAATCAAGATGCTGGGCAAGAGACACCCGTACACACTAGGGATGAAGCGCGATCTGGAGATCTTGTTGAAAAAACGTGGGAAATGGGGGACAGACCAGCCAACATCAATATCAGATGGCGCGCAGAGCAGCAATGACTCATCAGATTCCTGGATCGATGCCATGGACATGGATGCGAAGGAGACTCCAGAACAAACCAGACTACAAGATCTATTTGACTGGGATGCTAATGAAAGATGGACCGACGAAGCTCGTCGCGGTGGAAAGACCCGACCCCGATCGGATACATTGGAAACAGATGATGGCTCTGATGGTTTGGCAGCGGGAAGTCCGCTGCAGCAGCGAGGTCAAGTTGACATCAGCGCCGGGTGGAACATGATCAGGGCGGATGCGCGAAGTTTGGGCGGCGGTTCAGACTCCGGGCGAAGCCACGAGGCTTTCTGATTTCGACTTTGAGCAACGATCCGGGAAGCGGTCATTTTGTCATCCTGCGGCCATGAGCACCCACCCAGACCAGGATAACCTTGAGCTTGGTATATGGGCAGACCTTGTCAGGGCAATGACGCCGCTACGCGATGCAGTATGTGGAAAGCCGGCCACCAAAATTGCGACAATTATCAAAACAAAGCAGATGGTGAAGGACGTATGGGGTATTGACAGGTGGGACACGGAAACATTGATTTATTTGGTTGATTGTTTGGCAATAGCGACAGGTGACTTTGTAGGCATGACTAGAAACTTCTCATTGGGTGATGCTGCCTTGTAATTGGTTTTAATTCCCGCGGCGCATAGAATGAGAAAGGCCCTTTAACCACGCCCGTTGACCTCGAACTGTAGGCACCTGGCGGAGATGATTCAGCAGCTGGTCATGGGGACGTATCGGACACCACAAAGGTCGAAGTCTGCGCCGATGAGACCATGACCCACATCAGGGCATGTTCACTGACGTTTGTACCTACTTGAGTGGGTGCTGATAGTACTTTATTACTGTACTCGGATGGGTCAGCGTACATACATAAAGTACATAGTGACGGAGGCACCACGGGCAGGGAGGGGATCCATCGCCGGCGCTGGGGTCGTGAATGGAGACGTAGCGAAGACTGGTAGTAAGGGCGTTGCCGGCTCGGTACCGAGCACCAACCAAGGCAGCAAGGTGATGATGCAAGGGGGGATGTGATGTGACAAGTGCAACCTCATGCTTGGGAATGAGGCTGACTCTTCGCGAACGCGAGGGGAGGGATCTTGGGCAATTGGCAGTAGAAAACATCGAGACCGAACCCCAGTTGCGAGTGGGGAGGTGGGTACCGCCACCACCACCACCATCGGCAAGGAGTCAGAAGAACAAGTTTGGACGACCCACAATTGAATCATGGAGCAGGATGTGGCACGAGAGAGCGAGAAAGGACGGTGCATGCCGTGTGGCCGTGGAGTGGGCGTGGCATGTCGATACTGTACAAGAGTGGATAGGTTGATGATCAACGCTAAATCTGGCTCGTCTCAACATCTCCTAGTGTCATGGTTGGGCATCGGTTTCAAGAAGACGATTCTGGAAATCCTGTCACTTGTTTGTTCGTGCAAGCGTTCCTTGGGTTCCACAAGTGCTTCGGTCGATCCGTAGCTTTGTCATTGAAGGAAAGCCAAGGCTTTCACTCTCAGACGATGACTTGGTTGGGTCGAGGTCAGAACATGGTGTGACCAACGAGAAAACAAATCAAATTGCGTGGGGATCCGGAGGTTCTTTGTTCCTCTCCTTTCTTTTTCTCTTTGAGGTAACTGGAACATTGTTAAGAGCACGAATCATGATAGTCGAGTGTTTGAAAGTGAGGCGTTGGTAAGAAAGGAGGCTTCCCACGTTAAACATCTTGCCCGCGACGGGGATTACCGCAGCTGCAGAGATCGACACCGATCGCTCTTGGAATCCGCTAGTGGTTGGTGGATCATGTTCTTCTCTTGATCTGGAGCTCTGCATTGCCGTGAGACAAGCATTGGTGGTGTGCCGTGTATGCAAAGAAACAACGACGGTGCAAAGCTGTGACATGTTCTGGTACCAAAGCTCCCCAAAGTCTACTCAGCAGCCAACACAAAGCACGGGAGGAGTAAGTAGATCCCTGTAACCACCATTTCAGCCCCGATGTTGGTGGTCCCTTACCGTTACTGGTTCCCAAAGGGCAAGCCAGCCTCGACTCTCTTGGCTCCATATATTCCGGCAATGTCGCCCTTCTCTCCTTGGACTTCTTTGACCACTTTGAGGTATGAGTCAGCTAGTTCGACATTCTTCATCCGACCACCGGCTTTGCTGACGAGATCCATGGCGTGACGGGCGTCCTTTCTGGCCAAGTCGACTGCAAATAAAGGTTCGTCTCGTTGATAGTAGTCTCCCGATTGCATGCGGTTCGAGTATGCTGTATAGGGTCCGGGGAACATGATCTCGATAAACTGGTGAAGCTCTTTGACCCCGAGCCCTGTCTTTTCCGCTGCCACATGGCCTTCAGACAGAGTCTCAATCATACTGACCACGAAGGTATTACCGAGGACTTTGAGCAGAGTGGCCTTTCGAGGTTCCTGACCCGAGAAATCGATGTTCTCTCGGCCCATGACTCCTTTGCAGAATGGCTTGACCTTGTCCACAGCTTCAACTTTTCCAGCTAAGACGCAGATTAAGTTACCCGAATCAGCCATGGCTGGTGCACCAAACACTGGGCATGCCACAAAGCTGGCACCTTTGTTCTCAATCAGTTCCGCCTCTTTGGTGGTTGTATCAGGGTGTACTGTGCTGCAGTCGACCAAGACCTTGCCTGTGACATCGGACTGGAGGATCTCATCGAGAGTGGACAAGACGGCAGGGTCATCTCCAAGGCAGTAGAAGATGATGTCGGCCTTGGAGACGAGCTCTCGTATAGAAGAGGCAACAACAGAGTGTCCGATTTTGGCCGATAGTTCTTGGGCTCTTTTGACGGTGCGGTTGTGAATGATGAGAGGATGCGAAAGGTTTCCCTTTTCCACGAGGTTCTTGCACATACCCTGTGGTGGGTGTCAGCAGAATCATGAGCAAAATTATTGAGTGGTAGAGAGACTTACCCTACCCATGTTGCCCAGTCCCAGCCATGCTAGTTGTGGTGCCATTGTGAGAGTGAGGTGTTAGAAGGGGATTGCGGATGGTAAGTGGTACTGGCTCTCGTCTCGAAGGTACGATTAAGGTAATCCACAGAAAGAATTGACCCAGCGCGCTGAACAGGATGAAGCAATGTCTGCTAATATACTACCCACCTGAGATTGATTGCGGATGAACTCGTTATTGTAAGCATTATGGAGCGTGTCACGGAAAGAACTCTGGATGCGGAGATGTCCCCACAACAGGTTGAAGTCGGAGGCTGAATTGTGGTGGTGGTGGTGGTGGTGATGGTGGGTGTTAAACCGAAAACATGGACGTGCATGGGTCAAATTGCTTGGTTTGTATGGCCGGCCACATGAGTATGCACAAGGTGAATGGTGGGGAATCGGCCTCGGCACTCGTTAGGCCCTTGTGCGCTTCCTTCAGGCACTCATAGTGCCTAGAGACAACGCCATTAGTTAAAAGTCTTACCTATTTCTTCAGGTGCCCCACCTCCGGATCAACCCCAAGCCTCCCACCAGATTTTCCTTGACTGACATCAGGATACCAACAGTAAAGCGAACACAAGCAACACATTATCGACAACCATCATCAACGGGATCCAATGTCGACTGGCTCATTGTCCAACAACAGCCCGATCTTTTTACTTAAATTCAGTACGGCTGAACCAGAGCTGGAAGGCGATAGCAGCCAATCATGACGGGTCTCGTTGAATCTTTGATGCTTCTGCACAGCCCGTGTTTCTTCCCCCCTCGTAAACAGGGTATCTTGTTCAGCACTCTGGCTGTCGAATCAATTGAACCACTGCCTCGTGTTGTCACTGAGTCATGGGGACTCTGACTCTGCCTGCCTTATAAAAAAGCAGGCTGATCGACAGAACCATCTTATCATCATGGTACTCAATCTGTCAAAACTGTTCGCTTCAGGTCGCAATTCTGTCTAATCAATATGACCGTCCTTACTCTGTGCCAGTTCCAAGACGATGGGCTTGTCGAAAGACATGATGTTGATATCGATACAACTCGGTACCTTGCCATCTCACACATCTGGGCCAAGGCTGAGTGGAGGGATGACATACCCAATATCCCTTGGAAAGTGCTTGCCTCACCGCACAAGGCCGCATTTCTGGCAGACGAATTCAAACAGCTTGTTGGTCGTGAGTTCTTCTGGATGGATATCCTCTGCGTCGACCAAGCCGTGCCAGACGAACGGATTCGGGTGGTTCGCCATATCCCCAATATCTACAGAGGTGCCGCCAAAACCATTGTGATCCGTGAGCCTGGGGGTTTCGCCAAATGCTGTGCCGATGCCATGACTGCCGATGGCAACACCTGGATGAATGGAGCGAGAGAGAACTTCCAAAGACACATGAGGACTTCTCACTACTTTCATCCCTTGGCAGAGCCCTGGTTTGACCGACTGTGGGTCCTGCAGGAGGCTGTTCTCTCTGATACCATTCAGTTTACCATCTGTGGTCATGTTGAACATGAAGACTTCGATGTTGAGGACGATTTGTGGGGCTACGCAACTCGCTTCAAACAGCTGACGGACCATTTGCAGGCGACAGCCTACTCTTGGATCTCATATGGTGTTGATCAAGACGGCTCCGACCAAGAGTACAACGAATTCGTCCACGCCTTCCTGCACAACGGCGTGGTGACTCGCAAGACCGCTGATGTTGACCGACATCGACGACGTTCCGGGATAGCAGAAATTGACGTCCATCTCAACAGCATGCGGCAGACCACCAAAGCTCGAGATTTTATTTTGGCCATCTTCCCACAGTTCGGATGGTATGTGCCACCCGAAAATGTCCGGACGATGGCCTTTGGACAGTTGTGGCTCGATCTGTGTCGTCAAGCATCGCAAGCAGGCTATGCATTCCTTGCCCATGTGACTCGTGGCATGGTGTCAGATTCTCCTTCCGCGGACGCTTCGAGACTTGCTACCGACAATGTCCCTACACCTCAGGTTCTAGGCGACTTTGTATCAATGCTCGGCAGCCCGGCTGGTCAACAAACCTTTCACTGGGGGCTCAAAGTCAGCGACGTCACAATAGACGAGAGAAGGCCCGCAGAGGTATCGGACCTACTCAGAATCATCCGAGAGTCTATGAACTTTAACCAAAAGTCATGGTTCTTTGCCTCTCGTGGGAGTCTGAACCTCTATGGGTCCTATCCGAGGACTGTGCCTAGCCCGACTCTGCTGTCACACGTTTCATCAGACCGTCCTGTTTCTACTTGGACACGCGACGAGGATGGGGGTGAACTGGACGAAGAAAAGGAGGCCGTGAAAGCCCTGAATGCCATGTGGCTCGGGCTTTTCGAGGAGAATGCGGCCATGGGGGGGGACTGGAATTACTATTCCCAATGGCTGTCCATGCGGTGTTCCACCAGCTATGCCGATCGCCTCTTACGACTGGCGGCTCTGATATCATGTGGATTTGGTATGAGTGCGTATGAGTGGTCCACCACCGTCTTCATCCCAGTCATAGTCACTGTGAAGAGTTGCACCATACTTGGTCTCCTGTCAAGGGGGTACTACGAGGCTCAAGCCGCGCTTACGGAGGTCGAAGATAACTCAGAGGCACAGGCTCCAACCGACACAAATCAGGAAGACGATGACCTCGTAGTCATCATGCAAGAACTGACCACCGAGGATGGGGCGCAAGGTAATGAGGCAGAGATGGAAGCCTCATTCTTCTGCGCACAGCGTGGTATGGATTATATTGGTCAGGACATGGTTTTGGTGGAGCCTGGTACTAACAAAATTATTGGCATCCTCCCGGACTTTGTCGATCATGTACGGAGCCCTGAAGAGTTCGCCGACCGATACTTGGAACTGTGCGAATATCCGCAGACCAGATTGTTGGTGGACGTGTTTGCACGGATGGATACTATATTTCTGGAGTAGGACTGTCCTCGTAATTCACTCCGTCGAGGGCACGTGCTTCTTGACGACGGGAATGTGGGCCAAAACAAGGAATGATGCGAAGGAGACAGAGAGGGTCCAAAGAAGGGCGGAGGACGAGAATGGAGGACGAGGGGACGAGAATGGACGGGGCGTGACGTGGCGATTTCGTATCGATAAGAATGCCAATGATAAGCAGCCCCCGCACTCAACATCACCAGCGATGCTAAACCCCTCCAAAGAGACTGTCACCTCAATACCCAAAGCAACTTGTGACAGCTGAGCAAATTGACAGTTTCATATCCAGTTCATTCAAGGTCGGAGATGATAAATAATGCGTCACGATGTATTGGTCTGCAACAAATCTTCCTAGCTACCTAGGCCCCTAAACCTCATGTTTAATGAATGTGATTTCTTCAGTACCTAGGGCCACTTTGAACAACCCTTCGAGCACTATGGCATGCTCCATTCTCGCAGATAACATGTTCGTAGCAATTTGACTAGAAAAACACGGGACTTGAGAGGGATCGAGGGAGGGTGTTCATTTCTAGCCTCGGAATTTAGTAGACAGATGTTTTGGAGGAGACGAGTAATTCATACGCATGTGCATTTTCCAGATGGGCAGGCACCTGTGATTGCGTTCAATCAGTCATATTCTCATAATAAGGGCAATACAGTGACTCACAGGTTGAGCCGCAGCTGCAAGAACAAGGACCTGGAGGAAGTCAAAGGTCAGAACAAGTCATGCCAGACACGGCGCGGCGGCAACGTTGGTCCATACCCATTTTGTCAATGTGGATGATAAGGATAATAAGCGGAGGCTTGGAAGGATTGGATATGGTAGATACGAGTACGTAGAGGATTCGGCTGTGATCACTTTGGTTGTGGATTTCAGATTTCAAGGCAAAGAGAAAGGAGGAGAAGAAGTGAGTCAGGGAGATGTTGAAGGTGAGCAAGTTTTATGTACGCCGGGTCGGAAAGTGCCGCCATGCCACTACTCTTGGGGGTCGCTCCTTCCGTTTCAACCATGGTTAACTCTCTCTATCCACTTCTGTCGCTGCAGTAGCAGAATGTGAGCGTCAGCGTGAGCGTGACTTCACGCCATGCCATGCCCTATGCCCATACGGACATCGGGAATCGATCGACAGTCACCAGTCTGACTTCCTCCCCCTCCTGACTGCTTTCATTCGACGACACTATCCACATCTATACGCCGAACCCAAAGAAGTCGGTGCCCAGACTGCTTCCTCAGGTGTCTCTCTGGTTTCAAGTCCAAGGCGAAGGAGAGGTCGCAATCCATGTTCTTTATGCTCTGACTGGCCCTGCTAAAGTGTCCACAGGCATTCTTACTTCTAGTAAGTTAGGCTCCCATATAACCAAGAGCTACTCCCCTCACCTCAAGCAAGCAAATATCTATGAGCTTGCACCCCAAGCTTACACCATCCCGCTCGAGGGCTTGACCTTGATCCAGCATGTCATCTTCAGTCCAAGTGAGATGCCTTTGTGGAGAGAATTCAGACATTGTACCGCTGAAGTCTGCCCCACCGATCCAAAACTCTTGGTGCTCATGCAGTTCCTGTCGGTATACTACGGGTGTTTTGACGCTATCTTGTCTCCCCCTCTCACGTCCTCCATCTTTCTTAGACGCTCTTAGCAGGTACGACTCGTCTGAGCATTTGACCAGATACTTTTGTGGAGATTGCGGTAGTCATATGTGCGTTCATGTCAAGAAACATGATGCCTGGGGTATCTGTTCCGGAGTCATCGACCGCTTTGAGCAAGCTGAGCAAGTTTCGAGAATTAGCTTGGAAAATATCGTCCAACACGAGTTTGTGGGCGACACCATTGACGGCGGACTCGCCGTTTCTCTGGCTGAGTCGCATTCTCATGCACCCATCCCACTCTACCTGCAGGGCCCCGATGGTCCACGCATCCACTCAAATCACACTCTGCCGAAAGATACCCAGGACCCTTCACAGAGCGAGGTTCGCCTAGACCATCTCATGGAGCAAGAAGGCCCTGATGGCCAAAAGAAGGAACAAGGAGCCGAGCTGAGAGCCCAATGCCACTGCGGTGGAGTATCCTTCTCCATCACTAGGCCCAACCCTACCTCAAGCCTCTGTTCCTCACCTTGGCCAGACCTCTTGGTTCCCTATCATTCCGCCAGCTCTGAAAACCCAGAAGATGTCAAATGGTGGCTGCGAAATGACGGCTCCAAGTTTTTGGCCGGTACGTGTGCATGTAGATCTTGCAGACTTGCTGCAGGCTCTCCTGTGCAGACCTGGGCTTTCATCCCAAAAGCAAATATCTTTCAGCTCAGTGGACAACCTCTGACCTACGACTTTGGCACCTTGAAACGGGTAGAGAGTTCCCCGAATTGCTTCCGTGAGTTTTGCCACGTTTGTGGTGCCTCGGTGTTTTGGCATTGCCGTCAGAGACCTGACGTCGTCGATGTGAGTGTCGGCATTCTCAGAGCACCTGAGGGATCTCGGGCAGGGTACTGGCTCGACTGGTGTACAGACAGAGTGAGCTTTCGGGAACATGCTCTGGACATGCAGCTCATTGACCAGCTCGAGAAAGGACTCAAGAGAATCAAGCCTGGGCAGTTATAGCAACATCAAATCCTTGTCCACGTTAATGAAGATCGGACTGAGGGAGTGACAAGACGAGTAAAATTCACAAGAAATGTTTCCTGGGATCTATACTGCATAGCGGCACTCTTCTCCACCGCGCTTGTAATCGACAATTGTGAAACAGTGACAACGACAGATATGTAGTAATAATAATTACCTGGTAGCTTTGACCACCACATGAATGTGCATGGCTGCACGTGGTTTGTTGATCCAATTGCCTTTTCCATCCCGGATGGATACTATGCCCAGTTAGGCTAGATCGATCACCCAATTATTTTCTCGGTTTTTGATCGAGTCTACGATATCATCAATTCCACTTTTCTGACCTACACGTCCTTTGCCATTCTATGTTCTATTCCTTGTGACCGTTGAGTCTGAGGCCCGCGCCTGTTCGGTATGGACTCCTGGCGACCCGGGTCCGACTCTTATCGGGGTTCTGGCGGCTACAGCTCTCGTCACCAAGATGATAACTCGCGCAGCCGCGGGGAGCAGTCATCGTGGCCACCGTCAAATGCCGACAGTGGAATGTACTACTTTCAAGGCAGCCGCGACGGAAGTCGCCGGCTTGAGCCAGACCGTCGCTTTAGACCCAAACACCAATTTGGGCGACGTGACAATCGCGACAGAGATCGACAGCACAGAGATCGGTTTGTCCCCTACCAACGTAAGGTCTCCGACCGCCCGTTGCTGAGAATCAACCACGACGGACCTGAGGACCCTTCGCTTTTAGCCAATACTACTGCTAAATTTCGCGCCCCCGACGAGCTGACCGATAGCGAGGAAGAAGAGATGGCGCAATCCGATGAGGATGATGTCCAAGTTCCCGCAAAGCGACCCCGGGTTGACACCGGCCCCAAAGACGATACGCAAGTTTCAAAGTGGTCCAACCCCGATCCCTATACTTCCTTGCCACCTGTTACGGCCGTTGATGCTGCAGCGAAGCGAACAGACGTCGTGAGGCTGATTCGGAAAGCGCGCCTCGAGTCTGCCGGTACATCTAGGACGACTGCGCAGCCCGACGACTTCATCTCTTTCGACATGAGCAATGGTGATACCACTAAGCCCGTGGTCATCGGCGCCTCTGATGCGATCCCCCCACCGCCTCCACCTCACTCCATCGCGCAGGACATGCCACCACCTCCACCTCCTCCGATGTCCATGCCTTCCGTTCCGCATGCATCTTCCCTACCATCAGTGACGCGATTCCAGTCTTTCAAAAGTAGCGGCGAAATGACGAGTGACTTGAAGAGAAAACGACTGTCCACGCACGCAGAACCACCTAGGAAAATGCACTCAGCCCATAGCATGTATTCAGATGCATGGGTCCAAAAGCGGTGGATCGCTGCCCCTGGTGTTCAAGCGACGCCATGGTTCAGTGGTCATGATTCCTCAGATCTCCCCGGTGTAGCGTAAGCGCAGACCCGAGTCTACCCCCTGCAGTCCAACAAGCTAACCGTTCTAGGCTTCACAAAGAAATCGTCGATTTTTACCACTGGGTTAAACCCAGAGAACATGAAAAGCAAGTTCGACAAGATGTCTTTGAGCGCTTGTCTCGTCAATTTCAGAATGCCATGAGAGGTCATCTAAAGGCGTTTGGATCTTACGCTGCAGGACTGTATCTACCGACTGGCGATATGGACCTCGTCTTTCTCACGCGGGACTATCGTCCGAATCGTGTGCCGGACAAGCAGGAGGTGCAGAGTTCTCTCTTCTTCTTTTCAAGACTTTTGAAGCGACAGATTGCACAGCCTGGCAGCGTTATTACCATTTCAAGATCTAAAGTACCCATTGTCAAATTCGTTGATGCCACGAGTGGGCTCAAGGTCGATCTTTGCTTTGACAATGATACTGGGGTCAACGCAATCGACACGGCCCAGAAATGGAAAGATGAGTTTCCTGTTATGCCAATCCTGGTGTCGATCATCAAACAATTCTTGATGATCCGTGGACTCAACGACGTTGCCAACGGTGGTTTGGGAGGCTTCTCTACCATTTGCCTAGTCACCAGTCTACTCCAGATGTATCCTCATCACCAGGGTGCAAAATCATCGGCTGTCAACCTGGGGGAACTTCTGCTCGAATTTTTCAATCTTTACGGTTATGTGCTAGACAGAGATTCGGTGGTCATCCGACTCGACCCACCGGCATATCTGGACAAGGTAGGCAAACCCGAGTGCCTAATACTGTTGGCTAACTCCTTGCCAGGCGAACTTTGGCCATTTCAACGATAAGACTAGTAGATTAACCATCATTGATCCAAATCGCGCAGACAACAACATATCTGGCGGGACCCACAAGATCGCGGAAATCCAGGAATGCTTTCGTGCCGCCCACCAAGCATTAAAAGACCGGCTTGAGACATTCCATTCAAAAGCTGAACCGGGCAGCTTCTTGGAATGCCTGGTCGGCGGTGACTTCTCCCTTTACGAATCTCAGCGACAACTTCTACATGAGCTGTACACTGGCAGCGTCCTGATCCGACCAGACCACGACGCCAGGTCCTTTACGCGGACTAGCGAGACACGCATGGGTCGCCCGAGTGAGAGAGCTCAGGTCGAGTCAAAGCAATTGAGAGTATGTCGGGAGCCCGCCAATCCATCGTTTGGACATCTAACGCATTTGTAGGGCGATGACGACTCTAAGCCAGGCTCGATGAATGGCGACCAGGCTGGGGGAAAGCCTATGTCCAAATCGGAAAAACGTGCCTTGCGACTCAAGGAACTTCGACCAGACTTGCGACCGTCTATCGGGAAGACAATCAGCGCTGTGGATGCCATCAAGCTCGGTGGGTATCGAGATGCAATAGACATGTCCAAAGACCTGGACGCGAGAGCAGTAGCAGCGCAGAGGATTCAATCTGGCAGCAAGACACGAACATGAACAATACTGGTGGGGAGTAGGAAATGAGGAACAACCTCTGTCTGCGAACATTGGTTAGACCTTGAACGCTGGACACGAAGAACTTGAGAGAAGTTGATGCAAAATCGACCTCATCGCTAATGGTGAGCCTGGAGCGCTTGCAAGCTAGTGTGGGTATGATGCCCAACTAGAAGCATTGGGGTTGATTGGCCATTGCTCAAATGGTGTCTAGGCCATTCGTCAAGTTGGGTCTTTGCTCGGATCATGTTGACGTCTCGAGAATATTTGAAGCGGCACGTCCTCTGCCATATTGGTACCATCGAACACTACTCGCCTGGCGGTATGTGCAATGGCTTGATTCCATCTCTCCCCTTTTCCTTGCCTAGTTTGCTACCATTCTTGTTTTTGATCTCATCACCCCCAGGTAAGGCCACGGGCTCAGTGTGACGACCATGCGGGCCACATGCAGGGCAATCTCGAATCATTGGAATATTGACCGTGGTGACCTACAGCCTGTGTTGCTCATTGGGCACACGGGGACTGAAGTCCTGAACTGACCCTCTCTGCAGCTCAGCGCGGCACAAGTGAGACACAGTGTGGCAGCAGCCTGCTCCCAAGAACTGCTGCTACCTTCGTCTGTTGTTGCCTGGTCGCTTCAACCATTTTCTCATTGTTGGGGTGCTTGAAGCACTCTTTCAGAGAGGAGATCCTAGACAAACGGATGGTTCATGGAGGAGTTGAGGAGGACATGACGTTGGCGACTATGCTAGATTGGCATGAGGAAGGATAATGTCGTGTCGTTTGTTGTTTTGTTGCTTTACTAATCGCTTGGTCTTTCTTCCCAATCAATTGTTACAGGTTGCAGATGGTGAAGTCGAGGGATGTATGTATTTTCGAACCGCCAAGAGTGCGTAGCCTTGATGTAATGCGGCAACTAAAGGATAGGTGACTTATTAGAGCTCCGTTCTTGAGGCCCCTCGGGCCCTCGGGCTTCTGTTAGGGACGAGAGCCCACATTGGGTAGGTAAAGCGCCTGCACACACTTAATTTAGAAGCCCGACTGAAAGGAAAGAACGTGTAACGTTACTGAGAAATGGTCGATTTGGTTATAAGTAAGTACCTACCTAGGTAGGCATGAGTAAGGGTCAGGTAGTTGGGTAGAACTGATTACCTAAATGCTACCTTAGGTACCTAACCTAGTAGTAAGTACCTATTGTCCCAAGTAAGATCGAGGGCCCGAGGCGCCCCAACAACCTACCTAGGTACACAAGGTCACTGTTCTGCTTAGCTCGTGTTCCCTACCCTTAGACAACCTTTTAGGTACCCGCCTTGCACAGTAACCTCCCACTTCTCCGTGCCTTCTCTGTCCTCTTCCCTCTTAGCTTCAATCTCTCAACTCCACATCAACTCCAACTCCACTTCCATCTGGCTGGCTCTCCAACGACCCAACCTCGCAGTCTGGTCTTTTCAGCTTTCTTTCCATCCTGCATAGACAATTCATCTATTGATATCCTCCGAAAGGACCATGGTCCTGCAACATGTCGTTGCAAGGTCTGGCTCCCGACCCAAGTGAGCGCATCTTCGTCGAACTCCGCAGCAAAAGTGATGAAACCAAGAACAAGGCGGCCACCGAGCTGCGAAACCTCATTACCCTGCTCTCTCGAGGTACGTTTAGTCTCTTGTCTATGTCGATCTTGTTAACCTCTTCCAGAATGGGCTCCCGAACGCTTCAGCGCCTTCTACGACCGCGTCACCAATCGAATCAGTAACCTCATCGTCCAAGCCCCCGATGCCAACGAAAAGATTGGGGGCATCCTAGCCCTTGACCGTCTCATCGACTGCGAGGCCGTCGACGCTGCCCAAAAAGCCTCCAAATATTCAAACTACCTCCGAGCAGCTCTGAAAAGCAATGAATTCCTCGTCTTGGATGCCGCCAGTCGCGCCCTGGGCCATCTTGCCCGGCCCGGCGGTGCCTATACCGCAGAACTTGTCGAGGCGGAGATGACTTCGGCCTTCGAATGGCTCCAGCCCGAAAATAAGCAAGAGAGTCGCAAATTGGCCGCAGTACTTTTGATACGAGAAATGGCGAAGAACTCCCCAACCTTGGTCTACGGCTTCATCCCTCAGATTTTTGAGTTGATATGGAACGCTCTCCGAGACCCCAAGGACCTCATTCGCAGAATCGCTGCCCAGGCTGTCAGCGCTTGTTTCGGTGTCATGGTAGCAAGAGATTCGCAATTCCAGGCACATTGGTTTGCAAAGATATATTCCAAAGCTCTCGAAGGATTTCGCCAGAACACAACCGTCGACGAGATTCTAGGATCACTCCTCATCTTGATTGAGCTGCTTCAGCAGGGCAATATGTTCATGCACGACTTCTACCGCAACACCTGCGAGATTGTCCTCCGACTCAAGGACCACCGCGACCCAAGAATCCGAACCCAGGTTGTCCAGATCATACCTGTCCTCGCAGAGTATGCCCCGCTCGAATTCATCACCAATTACCTCCACAAATTCATGATTTACCTTCAAGCCCAGCTCAAGCGGGAGAAAGAACGTAACCAGGCTTTCATCGCCATTGGTCAGATTGCAAAGGCCGTGGGGAGTGCTATTGCTCAGTATTTGGACGGCATCATCCTCTACATTCGCGAGTCTCTGAGCGCCAAAACCAAGAATCGATCGGCTGTCGATGAAGGTCCCATGTTCCGGTGCATAAGTATGCTTGCCGGTGCGGTTGGTCAGACTCTAAGCAAATACATGGAAGCTCTCCTCGACCCTATATTCGCCTGCGGGTTGACTGAGCCTATGGAGCTCGCCCTAGAAGACATGGCGCATAATATTCCTCCCATCCGATCGACTATCCAGGACAAATTGCTGGACCTACTGAGTCTAATCCTCGTCCGCTCACCCTATCGACCCCTCGGTTGTCCTCCCAACAGGATCCCCCCTCTTCCGTCCTTTGCCAAGGACTATGGCGGCTTGCCGGCAGAATATAAAGACTCTGAGATAACCTTGGCTCTCTCAACCTTGGGCAAGTTTGACTTCTCTGGCCACATCTTGAACGAATTTGTCCGGGATGTCACAGTCAGATATGCCACCAATGACAACCCTGACATTCGGCGAGCAGCCTCTCTCACTTCATGCCAGCTGTTCATGCAAGATCCCATTCTTCATCAGACCAGCAACAATGCGATTCAAGTAGTTGGCGAAGTAGTGGACAAACTCTTGACGGTAGCCGTCGGCGACCCAGACGCAGATATTCGGATGACAGTACTGCGAGCCTTGGACAAGAAATTTGACAAACACCTTGCCCGTCCAGAAAACATTCGCTGCCTGTTTCTGGCTGTCAACGATGAAGTATTCGGCGTTCGGGAAGCCGCTATCGAGATAATAGGAAGACTGACGACCGTCAACCCAGCATATGTCTTCCCCCCCTTGAGGAAGTTGCTAGTGAACCTATTAACAGGCCTTGGATATTCCAACACCGCCAAACAAAAGGAGGAAAGTGCCCGACTGATCAGCCTCTTTGTTGCGAATGCCACGTCGTTGGTCAAAACCTATGTCGAAGCCATGGTGTCTGCTCTACTCCCCAAAGCCACTGACCCAAATCCTGGTGTTGCGTCCACCACCATCAAAGCTTTGGGCGATCTGACATCAGTGGGCGGCGAAGAAATGCAGCATCATATTCCGCAGCTAATGCCCATCATCATCGATGCCCTACAGGATTTGGCGTCTCATGAGAAACGCGAAGCTGCTATGAAGACCCTCAGTGCTCTCGCCGTCAATTCGCAGTATGTCATCGACCCTTACGTCGACTTTCCTGAACTATTAGGAATTTTGATCAACCTCATCAAAACCGAAGCCCATGAAGAATTGAGAACCGATGCCATCAAGCTCGTAGGCGTTCTTGGTGCTCTCGATCCCTACAAGTACCAGCAACTCAGCGAATCTGTCTCGGAGAAGCAAAGCAAAGCAGAGACCACACCTGTGTCTGATGTCGCTTTGATCATGCAAGGCCTCACGCCTTCCAACGAAGAATACTATCCAACTGTCGTCATCAACACTCTCATGCAAACCATCTTGGCAGACCATACATTGGTCCAGTATCACAGTGCAGTGATTGACGCCGTCGTCACGATTTTCAAAACCATCGGGATGAAGTGTGTACCATTCCTTGGACAGATCATTCCTGGTTTTCTCAGTGTTATCCGGAGCTCACATCCAAGCCGCCTTGAGTCCTACTTTAATCAACTCTCTGTCCTCGTGAATATTGTTCGACAGCATATAAGAGCATATCTGCCCGAGGTTATCGCTGTTATTCGTGACTTCTGGAATGTCTCGAGACAGGTTCAGTCCACTATTCTTTCCTTGATTGAGGCTATATCAAAGTCTTTGGAGGGAGAATTTCGACGATATCTGGCCGGCCTTCTTCCATTGATGCTTGCCGTGATTGAAAACGATGCAGACCTTAGAAGAGAGTCTTCCATCCGAATCCTGCATACATTCTTGGTCTTTGGTGCCAGTGGAGAAGAGTACATGCATATGATTGTACCTGCTATTGTCGGCATCCTCGAGAACCCAGCTGCTCCAATGAATGCGCGGAAAGCTGCAATCGATACTTTGGGCAAACTCTCAAGGACTGTCAACGTCACCGACTTTGCGTCACTCATGGTCCATCCATTGGCCAAGCTTTTATCCGCCCCAGAAAAGGTCGCAACAAACTCATCAGAGAGGTCCCTGAAGACAGCTGCGCTCGACTGCGTATGTGCCCTGATCTATCATCTGGGCCAGGACTTTGTTCACTATCTCCCTTTGGTTGACAGGGCAACAAAGGCTGGTCAGATAAATTCCGAAAGATTCCAGAAGCTCGTTGAGAACTTCAAGACCGGTAAAGCGCTGCCTGTGGATTTCTATCCCGAAGAGCAGTATGGCCTTTCGGAGCAAGATAATACCTTTACCAACATCACATCACAAAGACTGCCAGTCAACCAGCAACATTTGAAGAGTGCCTGGGACACATCACAAAAGTCAACGAAAGAAGATTGGCAGGAGTGGATGCGGCGATTCAGCGTCGAGCTTCTCAAAGAGTCTCCTTCTCACGCTCTAAGAGCCTGTGCCAGCCTGGCTGGCGTCTATCAGCCGCTTGCCAAAGATCTCTTTAATTCCGCATTCGTGTCATGTTGGACCGAGCTTTACGACCAGTATCAGGAAGAGCTCATCCGATCTATAGAGAAAGCACTGACCTCACAAGCTATTCCGCCAGACATTCTGCAGACATTGTTGAATTTGGCTGAGTTCATGGAACACGATGACAAATCATTGCCCATTGACATCCGTACCCTGGGGAAGTTTGCGGCCAAATGTCACGCCTTTGCCAAAGCGTTGCATTACAAAGAACTCGAGTTCGAGCAAGACCAGAACAGCCACAGTGTTGAGGCTTTGATCAGTATCAACAACCAACTTCAGCAATCAGACGCGGCTATTGGTATTCTGAGACGAGCTCAAGTCTACGGTGAGGTCGAGCTTAAGGAGGCATGGTTTGAGAAATTGCAGAGATGGGAAGAAGCCTTGGCAGCATACCAGAAGCGTGAGAAGATCGAGCCCGATAACTTCGACATTGTCACGGGAAAGATGCGATGCTTACATGCCCTCGGAGAGTGGAAGATGCTTTCAGAGATCGCGCAAGAACACTGGAACAGTGCGAGCACCGAGAACCGCAAAAATATGTCTGCTCTCGCCGCCGCCGCTGCCTGGGGCCGAGGAGAATGGGATCTGATGGACAACTACATCAGTGTAATGAAGGACAGCTCACCAGACAGGGCATTCTTTGGAGCAATTCTCGCAATCCAGCGCAACAACTTTTCAGAGGCAGCAAGTTTTATTGTTCGAGCAAGAGAAGGAGTCAACTCTGAAATCACCACGACCATTGGCGAATCATATAATCGTGCTTACGGTGTGGTTGTTCGAACTCAAATGCTCGCTGAACTTGAGGAGATCATCACCTATAAGCAGAGCGACGGACACCCGGACAAACAAGAGTCATTGAAACAGTTGTGGAACAAACGACTCCTGGGGTGCCAGTCCAATGTCGAAGTCTGGCAGCGGATGCTCAAAGTCCGAGCCCTTGTACTGACCCCCACTGACAACCCTGACATCTGGATCAAATTTGCGAATTTGTGTCGAAAGTCAGATCGCATCGGTCTGGCTGAGAGATCCCTTGCCTCTCTGGGTGGAATTGGAGACATCTCAGCTGGGGGAAATGATCCGCCTGCTCCCGTGGCTTACGCTCGACTCAAATTCAACTGGGCAACCGGAAATCAACATCAGGCCTTGTCATATTTGAGAGAATTCTCAATGCGGCTTGCAGATGAGTTTCAAACAATCAATGCTTCTTTGGCGGCCAATGTGCATAATGACAGAGTCAACAACGTCAACGGGCTTGATATGAACGGTCATGATGCCGTGATTCAAAGGCAGCGTCATTCGGACATGGACAAACGTGCGAAGTTGTTGGCAAAATGCTATCTGAGACAAGGCGAATGGCAGTCTTTCCTTCTCAGAGGGGATTGGGCTAGCCCACGAGCTCAGGATGTCGTCCGAGATATCCTCAGTTCATACCAGGCGGCAACACAGTACAATGAGTCTTGGTACAAAGCCTGGCATGCTTATGCACTCGCAAACTTTGAGGTCGTCACATCCATGGCATCTCATCAAGACCAGGACAAAGTTCGACAACTGCCGGAACACGTCATTCAAAGCCATGTGGTCCCCGCGATTGGGGGATTTTTCAAATCGATTGCTCTCTCGAGAACAAGCTCGTTGCAAGATACCCTTCGCTTGTTAACTTTGTGGTTCGCTCATGGCGGCCACAGCGAAGTGAATCAAGTGATAATCGAAGGCTTCGCATCTGTGAGCATCGATACATGGTTGGAAGTCATCCCACAGCTGATCGCACGAATCAACCAGCCGAATGCTAGAGTCAGAGCAGCGGTTCACAGACTGCTTGCAGAGGTTGGCAAGGCGCATCCTCAAGCACTAGTATATCCACTCACCGTGGCAATGAAGTCTGCGGTCGCCCGCCGGGCTAACTCTGCTACACAAATCATGGACAGTATGAGAGTGCACAGTCCTATTCTGGTCGAACAAGCAGATCTCGTTAGCCACGAACTCATTCGAGTTGCCGTTCTTTGGCACGAGCTTTGGCACGAGGGACTCGAGGAAGCAAGTCGACTCTACTTTGGTGACCACGATGTTGAGGGCATGCTTGCGACACTTTCGCCTTTGCATGAATTACTTGATCGAGGCGCCGAAACACTTCGAGAAGTCTCCTTCGCCCAAGCATTTGGCCATGATCTTGCTGAAGCTAGAGCCTTTTGCAATACCTTCCGTCGAACCAGAGAAATTGGTGACCTTAACCAGGCATGGGATCTGTACTATGCAGTGTTCCGCAAGATCGCGCGCCAGTTGCCCCAGTTAATGAGTCTTGACCTCAAATATGTTTCACCCCGCCTCAAAGACGCCCATGACCTGGACCTGGCGGTTCCCGGCACATACGTATCTGGCAAACCTATCATCAAGATCATCAGCTTCAATCATGTTCTAACTGTGATCCCCTCAAAACAGAGGCCACGAAAGATGACATTGAAGGGATCAGATGGAGTATCCTACGATTTTGTTCTCAAAGGCCATGAAGACATCCGACAAGACGAAAGAGTCATGCAACTGTTTGGCTTGGTAAATACCCTACTGACGAATGATACAGAGTCATTCAAGCGACATCTTAATATTCAGCGATTCCCTGCAATTCCGCTCTCGCAGAACTCTGGTCTCCTTGGATGGGTGCCCAACTCAGATACGCTACACAACTTGGTCAAAGAGTATCGGGAGTCGAGACGGATCTTGCTCAACATCGAACACAGAATCATGCTTCAGATGGCGCCTGACTACGACAACCTCACCTTAATGCAAAAGGTTGAAGTATTTGGATATGCCATGGACAATACCACAGGCAAGGACCTGTATCGTGTGCTTTGGCTGAAATCCAAGAGCTCTGAAGCCTGGCTTGATCGTCGAACCAACTACACTCGTTCTTTGGCAGTCATGAGTATGGTGGGATACATTCTTGGGCTAGGCGATCGACATCCTTCTAACCTGATGCTGGATCGCATCACCGGCAAAATCATTCACATCGATTTCGGCGACTGCTTCGAAGTCGCCATGCATCGCGAGAAATACCCTGAACGAGTGCCTTTCCGGTTAACTCGAATGCTGACCTTCGCAATGGAAGTCAGCAACATTGAAGGCTCATTCCGCATCACGTGTGAGAATGTCATGCGCGTGATCCGCGAGAACAAGGAGTCTCTGCTTGCTGTGCTGGAAGCTTTCATCCACGATCCGCTTCTGAATTGGCGTCTCAACACACGCGAATCGCCACCTCGCCCTCATTTCCGGTCTGAACGTCGCCAAAGCATTATCGATGCTCCCGGAGCTCAGGGAGATGAATACGACCGAAGCCCCATGGAAGTCAACAACCCTGCTTCAACAATAGCAGGAGCAGCAATCGGGCACGTTGGGGCCCCCCCTGGGCGGAGACACCGACGAAGTAGTATTCTGGATCCAGCGATGATGGGAGGCGTGGGAAGCAGTATTCTTGACCCTTCCAAGAACAATGACCCAAGCAATACTACTGCCGAGGCAAAAGAAGTACAAAATGCACGCGCTCTGCAGGTGCTCGCTCGAATCAAAGAAAAGTTGACTGGGCGTGACTTCAAACCGTCCAGCCCGGGTACAGTTGCGGGAACGCAAGCGAAAAACTTCCGCGCGGATCTCTCAGATCTGGGCCTGGAAGGTTTGGGAGGCATCATCAACGGCATCAACCATGCCGAAGGAAACGGCATTGTGGTGGACCATGAGCGAAAGGCCAACCCGTTGTCGAAGGACGTGGTTACAGGAGTTGCGCCGGAGACAGTCATGGCAGGAATTGGCGGGCTGGGCGTTCCGGAGCAGGTGGATCGATTGATTCTCCAGGCCACCAACGTGGAGAACCTCTGCCAGCATTATATCGGATGGTGCTCGTTCTGGTGAGCGGGTGATGCCGACGCGACAACGTGAGTTCTTTCGTATCTCTTGAGCGTTGGATCTTTTGGGAGCAACAAAAACGAGGGGGGGGAGAGGAATGGAAAGGTTAGGTTTGCTCCAGAGCAGGTCTCTATCTAGGGCAATTCGCATGGCATGAGTCGTTCATGGAGGGTTGTACGATGTGGATGGCGCATGACACATTTACCATCCACTTCTGGCTTCTGCGGTACGTATTGCGTATTGCATGTTGCAGGTTGCGCGTTATGTTGGGATTTGACGACCCTGAAATCTTGGAAGGATCGTTGGTGCCGTTGATGCCCTTTTTAGTGGAGAGATGAACGGTCCAAGGAAGTCAAGTGGAGGGAACGGATAGACAAGACACAGTCAATGACGATTTCCTTCAACCCGCGTACTTTGAAATTTGGTGATGATCGAATCCTTGCACCTATGTCGATGCAGTGACGCGGTATTGCAAACATTGATCAGTTCTACAGAGAACGACGAAAGAACAAATGAATGATCACGTTGATTACGACGTAATGAGGCAAGAGGCAGACGTTTTCTGATGAGCCGAGCGATTTATTTTTTCCAGACCTATGTCTTTTGTAGGAAAGCAAACCAGGAATGAGCAACCTAGAACAAATATTATGGGGTAGCATGCTTTTGGCGCCTACACAAAGATGCAATACGGGTGGGACTTTGCAAAGATTGGTGATGAGATGCAGAGGCTCAATGGTGACCATTTACACCATTTGCACCATTGAGTGCTTTGGCTCTGACTTGTCTGCGGACTCTGACGGCGTCGGCCAACTGTTCCAGCACTTCGACCGTGGTTTCCCAGTTGATGCAAGCATCGGTGATGCTGACTCCCTTGCGGAGGCTGGCGAGGCCACCCTCGGTGGGGGTTTTTTGGTTTCCTTCATGGATATTGGACTCGATCATGACTGCGACAATTGCATCTTCTCCTTGCCTTAACTGGTCACCAATCACCTGGGCGACGCCTGGTTGGTTTCGGTGGTCCTTTTTGGAGTTTCCATGTGAGCAGTCAATCATCATGACCTCACGCTGGGATTTGGCCTTGAGAGCGGCACGGGCAGCCTTGACACTTTCTGGGTCGAAGTTTGTACCCTTGGATCCTCCTCTTAGAATGACGAAGCCATCTTCGTTGCCAGATGTCTTAGTGATGGCAGCTAGGCCTTGCTTGGTGACCCCCATGAAATGATGTTTAGCGGCCGCAGCACCGACAGCATCAATGGCCACGGACAGAGAACCATCGGTGCCGTTTTTGAAGCCCACTGGGAAGGAGAGCCCGGAGGCAAGTTCTCGATGGAGCTGGGATTCGGTAGTTCGAGCACCAATGGCGCCGAGGGAGATGAGGTCTGCGAGGAATTGTGGGGAAACGGTGTCGAGCATTTCGCTGGCAATGGGGACGCCCATGTTTGTCAGATCAGCGTAGAGCTGTCGAGAGACTCGGAGGCCTTTGTTGATCTTGTAGGATTCGTCAATGTCAGGGTCATTGATCAAACCTTTCCAGCCAACGGTGGTGCGAGGTTTTTCCAGGTATGCCCGCATGATGATGCAGAGATCGGAGGAAAGTTTGGAAGCGAGAGCCTTTAATCTCTCGGCATATTCCAAGGCTGTGGCAGGATCGTGGATGGAGCAAGGGCCGACCATCACCAGCAGGCGATCGTCTCGCTGGTGAATGATGTTTTTGCATTCGCGACGCCCACGAGACACTGTTTCAATGGATGTCTGAGAGGCTGGAACGTCGGCCTGCAGGAGAGCAGGTTGGATGAGAGGGTCATAGCCGAGAACGCGGACATCTTCGCTCATTTCAACGGGGGTCTGGGAGCCCGAGAGGGAGGGCATATTGATTGAAGAGGCACTGGAAGAAGGCGTGAAAAGGAAATGGAGGGGTTGAATGGAGACCGGATCTGAGTCACAGGGTCTGAATAGGAACGTTGCACAATAAATTTGTCTGAGGAGAATGTGATTCAGAGTGTTTATCTGGTTCCAACAGAAGGGAATATGTACAGCACTTTTTTAGTGGATTTATGAGTCGAAATTGAGGTTGGAGCGGGTGAGCGGTAGACTTTTTGACTGAAAATAGTCAAGCTCTTCCTGGTGCAGGTGCAGGTGGTCCGTTCAGGTACGGGCGGTGACAAGAAAAAAACATGGGCACATGGCCATTGATGCAGGAAAGCGCGATTGACCATTGAGGGGCAGAGGATTGGAGAATGTGGATGGGCAGAAAAAAAGTTAGAGGCAAGTTAAGCGATAAGGCGGTGAGAGGGTAAAGTGGGGGAGTCTCGGGAAAATATATTATCCGACGACATATCGCCAAGTCTTTTCACGTGAGCGTTACGTGTTGAGTGGAGACTTTCTTATTTCTTGGGAGTCGGTGTTGGAAAACGTCATTGTTCTTGGGACTTTGCTTAGAGGCGCAGCTTACCCCTTGAGACAACCAACCGTAGCCCGAGGGGCTCAAGGGGCCCGAGGGAAGCCTCTTTTGTCGTCGAGTCAGGGGCAGGGAGGGCGAATCAGCGGCTCCTAGGCTTCAGTGGCGGCTGTTATAGGGTTACCTTGACTGCCAGTCCCCCGTATGCCGCCCCAGCACCCCTTGTGTTATCACTCTTTTGACCGGTCAACATCTCTCGCTTATATGCGCGATGATGTGCCCTCGGTTCTTGTCAGAGCACAGTCCCGTAGGCGCCACGATCTGCTTTTTGGAGACGCCGCCGATGCCACTGATGCCGCCGATGTGTACGGAGTATGTGTTGGTTGTGGTTGTAGGGAAAACCCATCGGCCGCTCGGCCCCCCAAAGCATCTACGATCGGCACAAAGTCCCCTCGATCCACCACTTTCCTTAGGAAATCACATTTCCACAACAGCACAAAACACAATCGTCGCTCTTTGTCAACTCACCCTCTTCTCGTCTACAACCACGTTGGTTGACAATTCTACTGCGCCTTGTTACCCCGTGCAAGACGCCAGAGGCCCAGATTCTTTCGGCTCGCGGCCATTCCGAATTCGCGTCATCATTTCTTATTCGCCTGTGCAAACCACGCGCCGTGGTTGGTCCTGCCCAAAATTGATGGTGTTTCATCAGCGGCCTTGTTGGTAAACCCGCGACACTGCCACGGTTTGATCGACATTCCTTGTCAGTCTTTCTGCTTTATCCGGACCATGCTTGCAAGGACATTATTCTCTCACGCTCTGGATTGATAAATCAATCACTTTAAACACCCTCAATCTCTGCTCATTTCCCAGGTCCGCAACCCATCCGTCGTCCAAACATGGCCGACATTTACACTAGTTTTCACCAATTTCAACAACATTCCATTAAGCGGAAGAGACATATCGATGAACACAATGATTCATTGTTTGGCCGAGATGTTAAGCGACGATCAACCCATGTACTACCTATTCGGTTGTCCCCCGCCAGACCTCAAATTCACGTGCCGGCAACGACCTATTCTTCACCCTTGACTTGCATCTATCAACAGCCCCCCACTCCCGTCGATACATCTGAAGATGAGTCTCTCGATGGACCCGAAGATGCCTCTTCCTGGCCCGTCAAAGCACCAACAACCCATCCCTCCGATCCTCAACCTAGCAAGAACAGCAGCATTTCATCACTAAAGGGACAGCCAGAAGTCATGACGGATACGGACATGGATCTTTGCACGCCATCGTCGTCCTCGTCGTCGCTTTTTATGCCGAGAATCCGGCGTGCCCGGTCAAACGACATTATTCCCCCACATCGCGACCCCTCTCTCTTAAGCGCAATCGACTCTATTGGCAGGGACCGAGTGCCAACTCCGATCAACAGCCATTTCGACAATCGGCTCTCGGATCTACCATCTGTCCCTCGCCACCAATTTCCCCCTCTTCGGACCAATCTCAGTCCCATGTTTGAGCAGGAATCATGGATCACAAGAGATGGCCTCCCCAGTCCAGTGGAGGATCAAGAAATGGAGGGCATGATGATGGTGGACTCTACCAATGATTCGATGAGCGGACTACGTGTGGATGATTGCTATGATCATTTTGCAGGACCTGGTCAAGCTAAGGCTGACTCAAACTCCAGCCCTAGCCGCTCGCGGCCTGCACGGCTCCACATGGGATTTCTTAATGGATGCGACAAGTGTATCCAGAGGGTTCCTGGCCATTACAGTCACATCCTACGATCGTAGGAAGATGTACCTGGGCACAGGGCACCCACCATTTGGTTGAGACGTGTTTACACAAACCATGACGAGATATGAGAGTACGATAGCGAGACATTGTTTTTTTTTGGATGACGGTATGGCATTTGGGATTCGGCATGAACCGGATGAGAGGCATGACAGGAAAATGGCTCTCGAGATGAGTTAGAATTGGTATTGATATGATGCACATGACGCAGCGTATATGCAATGCAGTATTTACATCGTAAGAAATTTTGGCTCTATGCTTTAGCTTTGTACACTGGTGATGATTTTACAAAGTCGCAATGGAATTGCCTGGGGAGATCCTATTCACAACAACAGCAGCAGCCGCAGCAGCCGCAGCAGCAGCAGCAGCAGCAGCAAGCCGCACCTCGACCGCTTCATGACTTGCCGCCTGTGAGCCAACCCCACCAACTTTTCCCTCCGCTTGACGCCGCGTTAGCAGCATTTCCCGCCCACGTATCGAGGGGGCCGAGTTGGACGACCGGCTCGACGGATGCTTTGGAGCTTGTCTGCTCAGGCTCCTTCTTCCTTGTCACATACTCGACCCTGCCCTCAGGCACAGGACGACCCTTTGAGTCAAGACCCACGCCTTTGATCCCAGAGGGGCTGGCTGTCACGGCGACAGTCTCGGTCACTCCGACCTCGCCCTCGACATACCCACCACTGATACCCCCGGCCTTGTCAATGGCCGCTTGTAGTACTGATCTCTTCTCCCGCAATGTCTTCTCTTCTTCCGTCTCAGATCCCATCTCGCCTTGAGAGGTCTGGCTTCCAACCAGAGCCTTGACCTTGGACCAATAACTCTCGCTAGACTTTCTCTCTCTTTCTCTCTTGTGCTGCAGAGCCATCTCTTCGCCCGCTCTCTCCTGCTGCAACAAATGTAACTGCTCTGCAGTGGCCTCCCCCCTGAGAAAGGCTTGCTGTGCATTTTGTAGCCGTTCCATCTCGCGCTCGATCCAGGCTCTCTTTTGCCGTCGGTTGTGCGCGACCAGACTCGACACGCCATAAATGGCAACAACGGTAGACACCCCCGTGAATGCGATCAACCCATAGGTGGCGAACCGGTGCATGTTGTCTGCCCATCGGCGACCACTGACGAGAAAGCGATCCTGCCAGGACGAAGACGCTTGGGATTTGGCCAGACGGGAGGCGGCTCGTAGCCGTGCGACTTTCTCTAAGGGAGTTTCATTTGTGGGTGCACCCTCGCTTGACAAGCTGGGCACAGGGCGTGGATCCTTGGTCAATTCCGAGGTTGTGAATCGAGAGGACGCTTTCGAGGAGGACGGGCTGGGGACACGAGTGGTAGCATGGGGTTGAGAAGAGGTGAAGCGGGTGAAATCGTGAGCCGGACGTTTTGAAGACATGGCAGAGAGATGGCAGATGTCTTGTGCGAGTCGAAAGTGGTAAGCAGATTGGTGAAGCTCTAGGTATGCCGTCAAGACGCGGCGACTTAAGGGAGCTTGTCAAGTGAGATTTACTCCAACAGCGCAGAGAAAATAGCCGGAGCAACCTAAACAACGGCCATGCTTCTCGTGTCTCCTAATGGTGTTGGACAAGCGATTGAGCGACCCGCTGTTGGGGACAAAATGTAAATGGTAGCAGTCGACAAATTATGGTGACGAAGTCGACATCAGAAGAATTTACAAACTTTGGTTGGCCACGGAGCTTCTGTCGGGGATCTCGGAGGAAGTTTATCCGAAGCCACCAAAGACTGACAATCAGACCACCACCACCACCACCACCAGCAGATCAACATATCAAAGTCAATCATTCATCTCTCACTCTCTCCTGGAGTTGAGACCCTTCGAAAGATGGGGATGGAGGCAGGCTCTGACTCCCTCGACTTTCTATCACTGGTAAAGAACACAAAAAGGTTGACCTTTTGCCAATGGCAAGCTACCACCACCCTCGTCGCCTTCAAGGTTGGTGATATCATGTGTTTCAGCTTTCTCTGTGAATACATCCAAAATCTTGTCCAAGCGAACCTCCCCGACTACATTGTCAAGGGGGAGAATTTCATGCGCAAATCCCTCATTCCAATTTAGTTAGGATTCCCGCGGCCTTCTCGTGCTCTTGACACGTTACGGACATGCTTCGCTCATTACCATTGAAGACATGATGTTGGGACAGTTATTAACCCCGCAACTCCAGCCTTGCTACCTCAATCCTAAAAGTGAATTTCTGGTTTTGAATCTCAAATACTCGCATAGTCGATTGGCCAATTTCAAGGAGGAGGTGTTTCCGACTGACCAAAGACCTTTGAAGCATCGAGGTTCACCATGCATCCAACTTGCTAATCCATATACGATTGCCCTTACATGCTTCTGTGTCCGACAGATATCCCAGCCAAGGCTCCAACACTTCGACTCCTCACCCAGGATTGATGTTTCCTTTCATTGTTGATAATATCACGAGGAAAACACCTCACTATCTTCAAGGTGAGGAAGGACATACTTGGTACTATATCAACAGTGTCGAAGTACAGTCATGGGAAGACACCAAGCCATGTAACCGAAGTTCATTCAGTCTATCATATACTCCTAGAGACCTATAATCAACAAGATTTGGCCAAGGCATTTTTATGGTCTGTTCTTTTTGTAGAAGCTATGCGGAGATGTGTAGTTGAAGCTGTGATTCCAAGTTGGTGAGTAGATGGAGAGCGGTAGGTCAAGGGGCAAGGCGTTATCCTAAACTGAGTTCACTAGCTTCTAGATTGCATATCATACATATTCGATCAAGTCCGCTAAGGCTGTTTGCAACATATGATGATTGATAAATGATCAAGGATCGATCTCGTGCTCCTGCCGAAGTATATGAGATAGACGAGGTGAGTTGCGCCTTCCTTTCCAGTAATAAAACTTGCTCCCTCGTCTATCTCATATACTTCGTGCAGGAGCACAAAATGGTGTCGCGCTTGCACCTGCACCTGCACCTTGACCTGTTCCCGTGACAAGTTGACCTCCTCCTCTTAACCTCTTTTCCACGGACTTGCACTCTCCTAATCATATTACAACATGCATCATAGTATGTCATTCGACAAGTCAACGACTCAGCTGGAGACCCTCATGCCTGAAGCATGACGCATGAAATGTTGTCCTGCGTGACCACGACTCTGCAAGTGAGCGATGCGCGGTTGGTAGCCTGCCAATCTTGTCTACATGGCTTCCACCGAAGACGCCTCAAGACGCCTCAGGACGCTGCTCCCGAGGGGAATTGCCTAACCCCACTTCCGGAAGAGGCACGAAGCTGCGACAGAGTGACGTTCTTGCCTATAAGGTCCCTGTTCTCAAGAAGCATGAGGTTCCAACTAACTTTGTCCAGTCACAGATTCAAAATCTCGCACCCGCTATCCTTTTTTCGGCATGCACTACCAACTGATTCGATGACTGTACACCTGACTGTACACTCATCCATGCCAAAATCTTTCCGCTCGGTTGAGCAATTACGAGAGATTCTTGCCATAATTCCCTTGATGTGCGACGATCTGCCCCTACCTTCGGAGCTCCTTCGACCACACCATCTAGGCCGTTCATCTGCGCCATTACAGATCTTTATCTCTGTGCATGTGACAAACACAATTGCGTACTCTAGGGCCCTGATCGATCTGGCTGTGTGGCTCCGTAGTCACATCGCTCGCTGTTACGTATGCCAGGGTGTTCGACAGCCCAGTCGTCTCCCTGGTCATGAGGTTTTGGTTGCTCCAGTTTGAGTGTGCCGCCGCTCGAGCAGCGGCATCAAACCTCGGAAGACGCACATAAGCATGGCATCGAATACATGTGTTACGCTTGTGCGTGCCACCCTAAGATCTTCGTTTGCCAACTGGACTAGCCTCCATCATCACGTTTTCATCTGACCAGGGACTCCACTGCTTGCCGCAAAGTCCTCTCCGTAGCCATTTTCAAAGTCCAGACATCTATTAATTCGCCTACCCCTCTTTTTACAGTGCCAGGATAAGCTCAATTCACAGTGCTTACCTGTGCTTGTTTTTAGGCTGACTGGAGCAACGCTGCCCAGTTAGGCTTCATCCGTGGCGATAAAGATCTCTAGTTCTCTCGTTCTCTCGAAGGCTCGCCCGCTTACCTACGACACCCGTCCCAAAGGCCAGGGCTGAGCTGAGGTCGCTTAGCATAGTCTTGGATGTGTTTTCGCTGTCCTACTGTTGTGCTTTGCAAAGCATTGCTGAGGCATTCTTACGTCCAGGTCCAGGTCCAGGCACCTGTGGAGCTGAATTGCATCCCATGACAGTATTATATTGTCTGGAAAAATCCTTCAACTTTGCCATAACGCAAGCCTTCAACGAAACCACAGACAAGAGACTTGACCAGAGTACCAGTGAAGTGGGAACCTGGAGTCCTCGATACCCTAGGGCAGAGCTCTATCGCCCACTCTCCTCTCAACAGTCACAAAACGCTACGCCCACAAGAAAGCTGTGGCTTTCCCAAGACAACTTTATGCACAATTTCCCCCATCCAGGTGAAACAATAGTTTAAAATGCACCTGCCAACCGGCTACATCACTGAGCATCACTGGTCATGGTCCATGTCTGACCCCTCATTCTGGTCCAGCTCGTCAAATGATTGGGCTAGCGAACTCGACAACGAGTACTTGTTTCCTTCCAAAAACAAGAACGACACAGGAGAATTTGAATATGGACAATTGGGCGAAGAGTACTTGAATCCCGAGCCACTGTCCCAGGAGTTGGACCACAAGTCTTGCGATGATGACTTGACGGCTCCGAAGAATAGCTCGTCATCTTTAGCTCAGATACCAAGTCGAGATTGCGCCCCCCAACCATCGACAGGCCAAATTTCGGCTTCGGTCTCTGGTGCCTCTAATGCTCGTTCACGGTCGCGTTCGCAGACAAAGACTCAATCCCCAACGCAAGAGCAACTCAAATGGTCATCGGGCCAACGTGTGATAAAAGAGACGACTGTTGACATCGGTAGAAACCTTCAACGAGCAAAACAGAATCGCTTGGCGAGGATGGAGTCGGTGGAATCCCTGGAGGAAGGCGATGGCCCTGACGCAGCTGATGACGGATGTGGTTGCACTGAATGCCAGTCAAGGCGAAGCAAAGGCCAGACAGGTACCTGGAGCTCGGGTACCTCGTTACAGAGTCGGATCAATGCGCTATCATTTTGAGCAAATGGATGGTGGACGACAGCCGAGGCTCAAGAAACATCGTGGGAGGTATTCCTGTTGAGTTATGGCAAGCGAAGAGGGTGAGATTATACATACATGAAGATACAGAGAAGTACCGGTTTCTTTATGGGCAGCTTGCGAGTGGAAAATTTGACAATCATTTAGCGATGGACGGTGCATGGGTATTTCGATTCGAGACTTCGCCAGATATATTTTGGAATCGAAGTTACCTCACATTCGGGAATTGCTTGCGGGGGACATGTCTCTTTGGTAGGTTTCTGTCAGATGAGATGATACTACGAGAACGACACAAGTTAAAATTCGCAGGTATAGCAATGGAGATATACCTAAAGTATCTGTGTAGCACACAAAGTTGACATGGGGCGACCTTTTAAGCTTGGTTTCTTGAATGATGCCAAGAACGTAAGACCCTTGCGCCTTCCACCTTCCACCTTCCACCTTCCACCTTCCACCTTCGAGCCAAATCTGAAACGTGTTTCATCTTGTACTAAGTACCTAACACACCCGACCCTAGGCAGGAACTTGGTGCTAACTTCCATTAAAAAAAGTACAACACCGATTGCACTTGCCTTTCTTGCCCGAAACTTCCAGCCACGTGTATATCAACCTTTCATCCCTCCTTCACGTCTTGCAAACTTCAACGCCGCCCATAACACAAGTACGACGACACATCACCCATGCCATCAAGACGACCCCGTAGCCACAGCCGCCAAGACACTCCCTCAACAAGATGCTGGGCTACTTCAAATCCCCCGAATTTCAGCGTGTGGTGCTGCTCCTAGGAATGACCCTGACGCACAGCACATGGCGAAAGTTGATCAACCAGGAGATCCCCCAGCCGTATCTAGACGAGGTGTTCCATGTCCCCCAATCCCAGGCATTCTACACAGGGGACTGGAGGACCTGGGATTCCAAGATCACCACGCCACCAGGCCTCTACGTCTTTGCCTACTACATCAACTCATTCCGCAACTATATGGATCCGACCATGGACATGGCGCCACCAGATGAATGGCGCTACATCAATGCCGTGCTCTATTATCTCTTGTTGATCGCCCTCTATGTCTTGGCCGCTGTCGGCACACGCTCCGTCCAAGCCGACCGTGTTCTGCAGCGCGAGTTCGCCATTGTCATGTTCCCCCTCTTATTCTTCTTCTCGGGTCTCTTCTATACCGATCTGTTGGGCGTCTTCGCCGTTGTTGTCACCCAAGTGGTTTGGACTGCCGCCAGTGGCATTTCGCGCCAAAATGGCAATCGATGGCCCCGTCACATCTTGATGCTCTTGCACGTCCTGCTGGGTTTGCTCGCCTTGTCTGCCCGACAAACTAACATCTTCTGGGTCTCGATCTATCTCGCCGGCCTGCAAGTGGTCGAGACAATCAAGGACAGGACGGGAGTGGACAAGATCCACGATCCGCCTATTGCTCAGGCTTCGGTGCAAGGTAAGCCGACATCTCGCCGTCCGTATTGCCTCGTTCTGTTTGGTGCTTATCATTTCTTTGCAGACTTCTTCACCACAACCATGTCGCTTGCTCGATCTGCGGCACCCATCATACCTCAGATCCTAGTCGACATCTGGCCGCAACTGGTCCTTTTGGCGTCATTTGCTGGCTTTGTCTTTTGGAATGGTGGTGTCGTTCTTGGCGACAAGACCAACCACATCGCAACCATCCATCTCTCACAGATGTTGTACATTTGGCCGTTAATCGTGTTCTTCTCCTGGCCCGTCATGTTACCTTTGTTTACCGACGTCTCCAGTCTCCGTCGCCGCCTACCTCGATTCACCACCATCGTAGCATTCACAGTCCTTGGCTTGCTCGTCGTCCACTTTAATACCCTTGTTCATCCATTTACCCTCGCCGACAACCGTCACTACACCTTCTATGTCTTTCGCATGCTTCGGAGACACTGGATCATCAAGTATGTCACTGTTCCAATCTATGTGGCATGTGGATGGCTCGTTATCGCCGCCTTGGGTGGTCCTCCTGAGCCAGAACCGGACAAGAAGACAATCCGAATCCTTCATAGCATCGACACTGCTAGTGTAAGTACCACTCTCGTATGGCTGACCGCCACCGCCTTGTCCTTGGTCACGGCTCCTTTGGTGGAGCCGAGGTATTTTATTGTCCCCTGGCTGCTTTGGCGACTGTCAGTTCCTGAATATGTTGCCAAGTCAGCATTACAAAGGAAGATTGAGGAGTTGGACAGCAATGGTGATCCCAAGCATGCAGCAGACCCGACTTGGATCGGTGGTCTGTTGAGATTCCTCGCAGGTGCCTCGCCATATCTGGAGCTTACTTGGTACCTTGTGGTCAACGCCATCACATGTTGGGTCTTCATACATTATGGATTTGAGTGGCCCCAGGAGCCGGGCCAGGTGCAACGATTCATGTGGTAGTGGTGCTCAACTCCACCCTGGGTGTTCTATTTTCCCTAGCTGGCTCATTAGATCAACTCTCCATCAAGGCTGCAATCTCATCATCAATCAAGGAACCGGAATATTCCTGCCTTCCTCGAATGTGAACCCAAATAATGCTAAATATAATGACTCCACTGGTTACGACAATGTAATAGTTGATGCTACCAGCCGAGACTGGTGTTGCAGGAGGCCAAACGGACCAAAATATCACAAAATATCATGTAGATGCAAGCATATGCATTATTGATGGTTCCCAGCAATCCCAAGCAAAAGAGAATGGTCAGCATCATCACGAACCCAACCATTCCATTGATCAACATGCTACAAAGAATGGCTCGAGGGATGTTGACTGCCGCATGTTCTGTTTCCTCTGCCATGAGTCATGCAGCGGACTAAGTGGTGCATTGGAGGAGTGAGCATTGAGAGAAAGAAACTTTGGCCGAGTCCGATTGGGTGAGATCTGCACGATCTACAGGTGTAGCATGATGCGGCGGGCACCAGGGAAGCTTAGGCATGCTTGTACGCAGATGTTGACCATCCTGTTATCCCTCCGTCTTGTGTTCGCATCGGAGCCACGAAGAAAGTCGTACACAGCAGCATGGTTGGCCGCCTCCCGTTATACGCTGCCGTTATACGGTAGCCAACCTCTCCTATCTCGACTCCGAAGACGGGAGATGGTCAAATCATGCTGAAATCTTACTCTTTTGTGGCATATTATTTAGCATTCCCTCAGTGAGATGGACAGTCCTTTGTGCGACAGTCAAAATGCTCCCTATCCTGATCAGATGTCTTTTGGCTGTCATGTGAAACAAGACATGGAAATTGTAAAAGGTGAAAGCATAACAAGATGGGCCGAGTCGGGACCCATGGTACGTACAAGTAGGTATCTAGGTATCTAGTTACCTAGATAGTAGTAAAAGGTAACTTCGTATCTCGTAAGATTGTCTTTGCATGACGGGTGACGTTGAAGATTGTGGCCGTGCAAGAAAGACTGGAAATTCTGGTGATGGTGACTTGCTCTTCCAAGCTGAATAGCATGTGGCGGTGCAAGGCAGCATGATTTTAGCGGCGGGCGATTGGTAGACTCGAAGTTGTTGAATTGCATTAGCAGGTGGGATTGGATGAGGGGCTAAAAGGGGGGCAGATGGCAGATGGCAGATGGCAGTTGCGTGGAGCCAATTCAATGCAAGAAAGAACGTGACGTAGTGTTGCCTCACCACCTCCTGCTCGATCTGCACTGGAACTGCATTTTCCCCCGCGCCATTCGATTGCCTTTCCAATAAAAGCCAACGACAATAACCTTGAGGGAATTGATCCGTCTCACTCTATTAATCTGGTTTTTCTATCATCTCTGCTATACTTGAACCGCGCAAACTGTTCAATATGTCTACCACCGTCCATGTCAAGGGGATTTCCCACGAGACAAGCGAAAAGGAAGTCAAGGACTTTTTCAGCTTCTGGTATGTCCCTGTCAGTCCTGGAGCGGGCTTTGTGTCGCTGGTGTCAGTCCTTTGCTAACCCCAATCCTAGCGGCAAGATCAGCAACATCTCAGTTACTCCGGAATCGGGGGCAACGGATTCAGCCAAATCGGCCACTGTGACCTTTGAGAAAGAGACGTGAGTTACTCCAAGACAATCATCAAGTTATGTTACTGATTCCAACCCCTTGTAGCGCTGCGAAGACCGCTCTCTTGCTCGATAACACTCAGCTCGGCAAATCTCAAGTTCACGTCACCTCAGCAAGCAACATCGACGACGTTGCCTCCAAGGCAGGCGCAGATGTCACCTCATCGACCCCCGATGATCACATCTCACAAGAAGACAAGCCTCGCTCAAGGATTGTGGCAGAATACCTCGCCCATGGATACACCCTCTCTGACACCGTCATCACCAAAGCCATTGGACTCGATCAAAAGCATGGCATCAGCACCAAGTTCACCGCAGCCCTACAAAATTTTGATACCAAATATAAAGCGACAGACAAAGCCAAAGCTGTTGATACGAAGCTTGGTGTGTCAGACAAGGCATGGGGAGCCTGGGGTGGTCTGAATTCATACTTTGAAAAGGCCATGGGAACACCCACTGGCCAAAAGGTCCGAGACTTCTACATTCAGGGCGAGAAGCAAGTGACAGATGTACACAACGAGGCGCGCAGACTTGCAAATCTGAAAAGTGGCAACCAAAACACTCCTGAAGCCGTTCCTGGTACTGAGAAGACAGTTTGCTCCTGTGGTGGAGCTGAGGGGGTGTGTGGTTGTGCTCCAGGAAAGTGCAGTTGCGCAAGCTGTGCAAAGAGTGACAACACCAAACCCACGCAGCCTGAACCTGTCAAAGGAACTGACAAGACTGTCTGCACATGTGGCGGGTCAGAAGGAGTTTGTGCATGTCCCGCTGGACATTGTGCTTGTGCCAACTGTGCAAAGTCAACCGCTGCTGCAACAACCGAAGCAAAGGAGGCGGCACAGGCAAGCGGGCAAACCCTTCCCTCAGGCAGTGTCTAGATTCATTGCTATTGCAGGCATTATCGAGGAAATTAGGTCGTTGCAGTCTATGCGTATAAGATTTTACGGTCAACACATGGATGTGTCTGATGAAAAATGCTCCCACATTAGCGCCACGACTGTGGCTCCGCCATCACCACTGGTGAGCGTCAAACTGTGCTTTTTGAGCAATTGAATGAGGTCATGAAGTTGACAAACGTGCTGCTGTTTTGATATATATAGCTTAGCCAGAATCGATACCTGTTCCTGTTTGCTTTTATTTCGAAAGTCAAGTCGATTTAATGTAGAGGATGAACGGTGATATCTGAGTAGGTACCTGACCCTTGGTAGTTGTGACAAGAGCGCAGTGTCAGTAACTTATAAGTGTAGGTACCTAGTAGATAGGTATATACGAGTAAGGGTATTTTGTGTGTGGCGGGAGGGGGGGCCGGGTTGCATGTGAGTTATTATGGCACATGCCCTAGTAAACTACCAGGCACTTAAAGTAGAATTTATAGATACGGACCACCTTACGCCGTCCATTTTGCATTTTTGTCCGTCATTTGACTATAAGTTACGTAGATTACGCAGACTACTCTCCATACGAGGTCACTCTATATGGGCACATATGGTGTACCTGCCTCTCGAGCCTTGACCTCCAACCAATGAAGCAGGTTTGCCGATCCAGCCAATCACTACTAAATTATAGAGTTTCGCGTTCCTCTTCTCTTCCTCTTCAGATTTCTCTTCAGATAATCAAGGTGTCAAGATACTCACCCACGGTCGCTCTATTCGTGTGGCACTTCGAGGCCATGCCCTGACAATTCTAAACTCCCACAGTTATAGAATATCTGGCATGGACAAGATTGGATGATGATCCAGTGTCTTTCATCGCTTCTGGTTGGCAATATCCGTTTCTCTTCACCATGAGGTCAACTCTCCCCAGGTCGCTCCTTAGAGCTTCACGCCCCAAAGTCGGCGGTCATTCAGCTTTAGCTCGGCCTCAATTTACCCGTCCTACCTTTCAGAGACGTGCTTCAACGGCCACCGAGGCTCCTGCAGCTACTTCACGACTCGTCAACTTCTTCTATGGATCGACACTCCTTCTCGGGCTAGGTATTGCTTTTGTATATGTCACCGACACTAGAGCCAGTGTCCACCGATACATTGTCATTCCTGCCTTGAGATTTATCTACCGAGATCCAGAAGATGCTCATCATGCCGGGAACCATATATTGAAGACTCTGTGGGATATCGGTCTTCATCCTCGTGAGCGGAATGATCTCGACAGCGCCAAAGACCTCCAGGTCGAGGTCTTTGGCCACACTTTAAGAAATCCCATTGCAACCTCTGCCGGTATTGACAAACATGCTGACATCCCCGACCCCTTGTTTGCCATTGGGCCAGCTATTGTCGAAATTGGAGGCACCACACCGGTCCCACAACCGGGCAACCCCAAACCACGTGTTTTCCGATTGACTTCTCAGAACGCGCTCATCAATCGATACGGCCTGAACTCGGAAGGCGCAGACCATGTTGCCACGCGATTGAGAAATCGTGTCAGGAAATTTGCCCATTCACTTGGCCTTGGCCATGATGAAATGGCCGAAAGAGCCGTCCTTGACGGGATGGCTGGGGTCCCGCCAGGGAGCCTCACGCCGGGTAAACTCCTCGCTATCAACATCGCCAAAAACAAGACGACACCAGAAGATGATGTTGACGCTGTGACCAGGGACTATGTCTACTGCGTGGACAAGTTGGGCCCGTATGCGGACATTCTTGTGGTCAACGTCTCTAGTCCCAACACCCCGGGCCTTCGTTCGTTGCAGCAGTCGGATAAACTTCAAAAGATTCTCAGCGGTGTCGTCAAGGCGGCCGGCGCGGTCCAGCGAACGGAAAGACCCAAAGTAATGGTCAAGGTCAGCCCGGACGAAGACTCCGACGCTCAGATTTCCGGCATCTGCGAGGCTGTTTGGGCATCAGGTGTCGATGGCGTGATAGTCGGAAACACCACAAACCGAAGACCCGAACCCTTGCCCCATCTACACGCCTTTTCACCACTCGAACAACAGCATCTCTTGGAAACAGGTGGCTTCTCAGGACCTCACCTGTTCGATCGAACTGTGTCTCTCGTGAAGAAATACCGCAAGCTTCTCACAGAGAAACCAGTGGATTTTCAACCACTTGAACAGAAACAGGGTGCTCTAGAAGCCGAGGCTGAACGGGTTGTTCAGGCCCAGCTGGACTCCAACGATCAAGCGAAAGTCATATTTGCCACAGGGGGGATCAGTAACGGACAACAGGCGCTCCAAGTGCTCAACGCTGGGGCCGACGTAGCCATGGTGTACACAGCACTCATCTACGGCGGAGTGGGCACCATCTCACGGATAAAGGACGAGATGCGAGAGGAAATGAGACGAAAGGCTCCAGCCTGACAACGCCCCCCTATGACTTACACTTAAGGATGAGGAGACCCTCGAGACTTAAGTTAGGCCCTGCCTGGCTGCAAAAGCGCTTTTGGGTGGATATTTTTGTTTACAGGGCTAGTTTATCTTGAGATTTAGCCCAAAAGTGATGTTCCCCCTTGTAGACTAGTAATGCAGATGGAAAGACTGCTGGCTATGAGGTTGCTAAGAGTTGTAGAGAGAGAAGAGAGAGTCCACTCTGGTGAGAGATCTCTAGTAATTAGTAGTCTCCTGCCAAGCGCAAATAGAGGAAGGTGCGCCCATGAATTCACAGCGGGGTTCACGTACCCACCCTCCCGCCTACCCACTGGAGTACGGAGTATGCGCCAAATTCTAGGGAGTCTGCAGCAACCGCAGCCTGCAGCCCCTCGGCCCAAGCTCGAACCCCGGAGTTGTCCTGTGGTGCATGGTGCATGGTGCATGCAAGCTGTACGGAGGACAGTGAAGTCCTGTGCGTGAATGGCCGACAAAGGCCGCATTATTGACTTTGACCTTCTCCTACTTCTTCCATTTTCTTTCAGTCACGCACTCATTCCCTCACCCAGACCGGGCAAACTTCGCTCTTGCTTTATGTGCAACTCACTGTCAACCTTGCCGACTCATACATTTTATCATCTACTCCGCCAAAATTCCACATCGCAATCATCTTGGATGATTGCTTTTCTTTGACTCACTCTCATCACCGTTGTCTCCTCTCGCCAGAGTATGAACAAGCCCTCGACCATCTCCACGGACCGCTTCTGTGAGGCTTGCGACGAGCCTGGATAATTGTGCCGCAAAGGAAGCACACGAACACCAAGCACAGCATAAGCACCACCGCCACCACGACAATAGACTAAGCACACCGCGCAGCCCTGGCTCCGCTCCGGGCATAATTTTTGGGCATACCCAACGCTCACAGCAAATTGAATAAGGTACTCTTTAGCCAGCCTTCCCATGTGGCGGGTCCAACCTCTGTGACAGCCAGCTAATATTATGTCGTCGCAGGAAGCAACAGAAGTCTGACAAGATGTGCCTCGAGCGCTTGATTAGCCTCAAGTGCAATCATTATGAATCATACCAGATGGATAAGCAGGGTTGCAAATATCAAACGGGTCGCAAGTGTCCCAACTACATCCAAGTGAAGGTCCGGCAAGACAAGCACCGCAGCTGCCCAAGCTGCAAGGCTCATGGACTAGCGCAGGTCGGAATCGCCAGCTTCAGTTTGAGAGAGTGGAAGTGATGTATCCTCTACACCTACTGTCCTACGGCATGTCTTTTTGTTCATAGGAGGAGGCGATATGGAGCGCCTCTAGGTTGGGCATGTAACAAGGTCTTTCCACTCACCTGAGTTTAATCTCAGACAAGCGGTAGCATCTTTCTGAGCTCAGGCTATCAGAGATGATTGCTATACGGCCAGGCTCGGCAATGACAGGTCTAAACAAAGCCAGGCATGTGGCCACCTATAACATGGCTATGTATCAAATTCCCTGCGACTAGTTGAGGACTGAAAGACAACATTTGGCTTTGCCCAATCAGTTACATAGCATGATCAGCGCCATGCAAATGGAGATGAATAACATGTTGCCTCACCAAGACTAGAAAGGATTTCAGGTCGAGGATTGTGGTTCGTAGATGGCAGATGTTTCGTCAGGGACAAACGTCATAGCCCATGGAATGGATTGCGCAAGGTGGGCTGTCAGGGTGGGGAGACACACGGCAACTTTCATCATAATAACAGACTTGGATCCCCTTGATTCTTCAATCTTCTGATTGTGTTGATTCTTTTAACCTGATATTCACTCCCATCCCTCTACTTAACCTTAGATCGATACCAGAACAAAACCAACAAAGTCGTAAGAGTGAATCCGTTTGTCCCCCGGATCTCAGGTCCGACACCAATATGACGTTGACTGATGGTGGACACGAGTAGATTCTCCAACGACCAATCGAAATACCTCAACATGTCTGCACCAAACGCTGGACGTCAATCCCCACCGCCAGAGAGCCAGACTGGTGCTCAGCAGCAAGAACATCCAGGACAACCTGGAAGCGGAAAGGTGAGACTATCCCAAATCCCAATGATATTGGTTGTACACTCCAATATATTCCACCCTAATCTCCCTCAGCACTTGTATGATTCAAAGTACTAACTGCCTATCTGTATAGCTTGACAACTCCAAGGACAAAGACCAAGGCAAAGGTGACCAAACTGCCGGTCTCGAGAGTAATCCCAAGCACCCCCTCGCCGATGCAGCTGCAGAAAAGACATCGAAAAAGTGAGCTAGGGCGACATGTGTATTAAAGATCCACCACACATTGGGAGAGGCAATGCATGATGCAATTGTCTCGCGGACTATCCTAAACTGCTGTTCGGACAGTCTCTATCACGGTCTGAACGGAGACATGGGCTGAGGTTACCACAATTGTATGCTGGTAGACGGTGATATCTCAAAGATGGAGGCTTTTCTTTTCCTCTACGTACACAAGATTAAAACTTGATCCAGACGAAATATCATGGTCTTGGAAATGATCCTGTAACCACTTTCATGTGTGCATTAATTGTAGACATCTCCAGACAAGTCGAGGCTGCTTGGAAGGTCGTGGACTGCTGCCCACATGCCGGTCCTTCTGTCAGTTCTTCCTTTGATTTCACATGTCCATGCATGTTGTACAAAGTGACACAGGATGACACAGGATGCCATAGGTGAGATATGAGCAATATTGTGCTTGTAAACGGTACCCAAAAGCTACCTAGGTAGATACTGCCTAGATACCACTGAGCGTCGAAGGCATTTATGCCACTCGAATAAGTTTCGAAACTTGCTATTATCATCTTGATGTTCTCAATGAATTACTCCCCGAACCGAGATTTTGATCATACCTAGTTCCCAACTCAACCACCTGTCAGCCGATTCCAGGCTCTTGATATCTGGCCAGCCACGCCAAACAGTGACAGCTCCCAACAACTTTTCCCATATCGACACCGATGGAAAAATTCAACTGACGTCACAATCTAGGGCCAAGACGGGACGGCCCGTTTTAGCGTCTTACTGATTGCACGATAGCAGCGCGCTAGCAAAGTTGACACGCTAGCAGTCTCTCAATTCCACAGGACGGTAATGTCAACTGTGTGTGCGCTGATGTCCTCCACATACCCACCAGTTTGCTGAGACAGCAGTCTCCAGTATCAGGAGCCGACTGCCTCCTTCGTTGAAATTTCATTGCGCTCACGATCCATTTGTTAATTATGTTGCGCTCTTTATCCCTCCCTCTTCACGCGTTGTTTGTTTTCTACTTGTCGTTATCGAGTTTTGTCAATGGAGCCGATGAAAAGGTGCTCGCCGCGGACCCGTCCCCTGAGCGGCGGGGCTATTCCAAGGGTGAATTGATGCCTGTGAGTTGCCTCAATAGAACAATGTGAGTATCCGACGTTGCTGCGATGGTCCAATCCGCGGTCGAATAAATCAACGACCGACCAAGCGACTGACCAAATTGTCCACAGTGAAACCGGCGAACATGTACGTCCCTCACTTCTCCGTCCGTTCCCCCCCCCCCCCCCCCCCCCCCCCCCCCCCCCCGCCCACCCCATCACCCAACTCCGTCGCCTCGAGCTGCGTTTCCTCTCCTCTAACATGTGCGCGGCAGATTGCCGACGAACACGGAAATCTCCAATACATACCCTTCCCACGGTGCAACGAGACATCTCTGCCCCTGGCGTTTGCGTACAACACGCCGCAGACCCAGACATGCACGATCGATTCTCTGCCCGACGAACTATACCACCTGTTTGAATTTTTTGTTCATAGCGATGTGCCGTTGACGTGTCGCGTGCCTTCGTGGCCGCTGAACCAAAACAATCCTCACGATGCAGAAGCGATCTCGAGCCTTGGCACCACTGACAAGGATGCCTGGACGCCGTTCACGATTGCGCTGCAAGGAATACTCCAATTGTCCCATCTACACCTCCATACCAACATCAACGTCTTGTTCCACATGTCAGTCGATTCGGCCGAAGGGCCATCCCACCTGATCGCCTCTACTGCGTACTCGATCCCCAACACAGCGCCGTCGGCTCCTCTCGAGGGATCTAAGATCATCCGGTACGAGCCGATGGTGCTGACATTCAATGTTGGCTGGATCGACGGCGATGTCCTGCCGGGCATGGTAGGCCGGCCGGTAATGGGGATCAAGGATCACAGTGTCGGCCTGTCTTTACTCAGCTTCTTTGCCATCGCGGCTAGTGCCGGCGTAGGGGCAATGGCTATGCTGGTCTATGAACGCCGGAAGAGTGGCAGGAGTGCCACCTATGGCAACGGCATCCTCGGCGGCAATGTCGGCAACGGCGTCGTCAGGAGTACCGGCTACGGAGGCTATGGGGGCTACAGCAGTACGGGAATGGGCAAAAGAGATTGAAAAGCGAAAAGTGCAACAAACCGTACATTTATCCCGCCTGCCGGGTACAGGCCCGCAGCTTGATTTAACCCCACCTCGGATAGAAGAAATACAAATAGCGATAAGAGCATTATGATTTTGAGGTCTATTCGGGTTCCAGCCGCCATGATTCCAATATTGTCGTTTCTCACCCTGGTGGCACCAACTGGGGTACATCTCCCTAGCTTTCATGGTATTTCGCTGCTCTGTCTCGACCAGACCCCTGTCCATATCCGCAACTACTTGGTCATCGACGCACGGTGGCTGGTTGTCAACGATAATTTTCCATATCCTTGTTGTAGTCGGGGGTGGTCAACTCAGGTTGCATGAATGGCTTGGTAAGTCGATAAGTCCAGCCAGACTTCTCTGTCCTTCCTTTGTCATGATCACAATGTTGACCACCTGTGGACGGTTTTGCGTGTCCGTTGGTAGCATCCCCACTGAGTGTATTGTCAGCTTTCTCACTGTCATCCACCGTGAGGTGAGCTAAGCGACTGATGGCTCTTCCAAGAGCTTGGCCCATGGGCGTGTTCATGAGGGACAGACTTTTCTTCTTCGCTTTGGATCCGCTTGGGCTGTGTTCCGCCTTCTCCATCTTTGGTTCTGCAATTAATCGGCAGTGTTCGGCCTCGGGGGTAGCTGCACGAGGAATAGTCGTAGATGCCATGTGTGAAAAGCTCTTGCTTGGGTTGGAGTCGACCTCGGAGATATTGCTGAGTTGCGCAACCGAAGGATAACCATGCTGAAGGGATTGCTGACGACAGGTTTGTGCAATCCACTTTTCTTTCAATGAAGTTGGCGCATCTCCTGCATTGAGACTTAAAATAGCGTTGTGGACTGCAAGACGAACGCCACGGCGTGAGAACCGCCTGGCGAGCATGTCATCGTGTCTATCTTTGTCATTGGTGTGAGTTGCAGGCAAGACATCTGCAACGTCTGGTATGTCCACTCCAGTGACATTAGACAGATTTTTACCATGAGGCCCAGGCTGAAATGCAACATGGGAGGTCTCTGCTGCGGAGGATGGGGTGGAGCTATAGTCGTGGGATTTGTTGGCCAATTCTTGAAGATCTGCAATTGCATTTCTGCTTGCAAAGATGGACTCGAGGATGGCACAGTCTTCGTGGAGAGTGTGTGGAGATGATTCGGCCAGTCTTCCCGGGGAACTGTGAGGTGTTAGCTTTAGGGCAAGACTAGGCGTCAAAGGGCGAGATGTACTTTTGCTTTCCATAGTCCTTGCTATGATGAAGGACCGTACGCATGACAACAAGGGTGGTCTTGTTGGCAGCCAGGTGTTTTTGAAGCTTATTGACGTAACGTTTCTTATGCAGCCAAGTGACAGAGCCGAGGGATGGGTTGTCTGCTTTTCGCATGGCTAGGCAGCAATCTGATATGTCCTCGAAGATGCCCTGCAGATGGAGGAGGATCTCAGCCAGATCTTGGTGGAAAGCCGTGGTGTATTGATCTTGATTAGACCCCACGTCCATGTCAAGAACGTAGAGTTCATCAGACAACAAGAGGAGCTCTTGAGCAACTTTAGATATATCTTGGGATGTACTTTCATGGCCGCAGGTCAATTGAAGGCTATTCAATTGGGCAGACAGTTGAACGGCTTCGCTGGCGCTGGTGGAGAGGCTGGTTTGGTGGAAAGGTTCGGCCATTTTGATGACAAGTGATTGTACTGCAATTGTACACCTCAGGCAAGCAGTCCCGAAGAGAACACTGGACGTAATAGCAATTGAACAGGGAAAGGATCAAGACGGATTGTTAAATTCTGTCTGGTATGGAGTGTGCGGTGGGAGGGAGAGTGAAGACTCACGGAGGATGATTGCAGGTGAGGTCGAGAGGCAGTGTGCACTGCTTCAGGCATGTGGCAGTCATTCCTCCCGCACAAAGAGTGAGAGTGAGAGTCGTTACGGGTTGTCCTGTTCGGTGAAGGTAGTAGGTACCTACATTGATAGCAGCACCTGCCAAATGTGAAGGTTTGACGGTCAAGCTGTGGTTCAGGAAGGAGCTTTCCAGCTTGGTCTGAAAACATCACTGCCTCATTACCAACGTTCATTGCGATATCTTGCTTGCTCTCCCAAGTATTGTTCACTTCAAACTTGAATCACCGCAGCGGCCATGTCATCCTCATTTGCCAACCAGTTTCGTGTTCCTTTGGCACTCTTGTATGTTTGTCAGCCAGTATCTCTCTTTCCCGTGCCTACCCAGAGTGAAACTCAGATGAAGGAGACATAATTGTGCGCTGGTACCCCAGCTCCGGAAGTGTCTCTAGCCAAAGTAGGCATTCGACTTCATTGCAGCCTCTTCTGCCCGTAGTTGAGTGGATTGAGCTCATTCAAATGACATATCGGGTCAGATGATCCTTAGTCTGCGAATAGATCTTCCAAGGTCTGCAACATTTGCTTCTGCAATTCCCTCAATTCGCCCCTATCAAGTCTTCCCTTGGCAGTGTCCGACTTTTCTGGACCGCTCTCCAGAATGACGAGATCATGCTTGATAGCGTAGAAAGGCACACCGAGATTTCTCAATTGGCGGTCAAAGTCGGCGGCCATGGCCAACGAGCCAGCGTAGACCTTCTTGTCATAAGCTTCCAGCTCCTTCTGGTCGGCTTTGGGGTCGATTGGAGCCAGATCAACAGATTTACCACCCAATGACTTCAACAGGTCGGCAACTTGTTGCGAAGCACCACTCCTTCCCTGCTGCCGTGTCACAATGGCCTCTCTCCCAGCCCACCATTGGCGTTCGTGTTTGTGCTGTTCGGTGATTAGATGTTTGATTCGAGCAGCAACCTTTTCATCTGGGACCATATGTCGGGTGACATGTTTCAGAGCAGCTGGCCAGGTGGTGATGGTGGACGCATCTGGGATGGGAGGGGTCGATGTTTTGCTGCGGGCTTCCTCCAGAGGACGAGCCAACGTCTTGGGCGTCTGAGAATACACATGTTGATGCTGCGACGGTGGTGGTGGTGGAGTCGCGATTTTCGCATCCCCTGTGGGTTCGGAGAGATAGCCTAAGCCTGGGAGTGAAGAACCTGGGAATGCTGAGTGAGGTGAAGCCCCTGTTGGCTGCTGGCCATAACGAAGCTCGTTTTGAGACCCAGGGTCCAAGCCACCAACGACATATCCAAGGGGCGGTGAATAGCTATTGAGCGTCGCGAGGATCCGCTGGATATCGGGATTGCGATTGTCAGACATGCTGACCCATCAACAGGCAGTGAATCTTTCAAAATGGAATGAATGCTGAAGAATTGAGTTTAGTCTAGGTATGTTGAAGACTAGCCATTATTTCGAATGATTCTGATTCTTGGGGCTATTGTCAAGATATCAGTGGAGATAAATATTCATAAGCTACCAAGGTCAAGAAGCGACGTGTCTTGGAAGCCGCAGAGTGAAGGTTCCTGCCCCGCGGTAGTATGTCAACAAAAATGAAATAATGTAATGTTTCCATGTACTCGTAGTTGAAGTGAAGTACTTTCTGTGTGCCTAAGCCACACGATAATTATACTTGCTAAAAGTTACCTAGTAGGTAGCTAATTATTATTATCGACCTAAAGGAAGTACTTAGAGTACCAGGTAGGTTAGATCAGGTATTTATAAAGTTGGTGCTTAACTTAGGTGCTCGCCTCCACAGTTTCTGGCTGCGGGACTCCACATTCCCATTCCACGTGAGAGACAGAGAGAGACATCAGCACAATTCCACCACGCCAAACAGAACAATATCCAGTGAACTCGAGATGTACCATTGACAGAACACATCGATACCGAAAATCTCCTACTCATGTCAGGGTTTAGATGAAATTCAATAACACTCTCCAAGCGAGATCATTCTATACACAACCCCTCTTTGCCCGTTTTCCTCAAGGCCAATTCTTCCCAACTGTAACATGACCTCCAACTTTGCGTTTGAATTCTTCTGCACCGTTACAGCGGTATAATGAAATCTTTGGTGCTCGGGAGGCATGCATATCTTGTTCTGGTTCCAATCGTCGTCCATGTTGCAGTTGCTTAGCTCGGCAACATTGATGCCTTCCTCGGTGGAAATCACGTGTTCAACAACGCTTACTGTTGAAATGGCCCCCCATAACCCTTCGTCTCTTGGTGCTCGACGCAGAAGCCAAAGGGCTTTGCGACGCAACGCAGGATCTCGGCATCTTATACCTGTAAAATAGAGCGCAGGAGTTATTGCAGTCTGTGGGACTGTAGATAACGTCTCCTGACGGCCAGCTTCTATGTACTGCTCAGCCAGTTGGAGAATCCGAGAGAAGTGATCGATGTATCGATCAAATGGAAGTTGCTCAGTCGACAAGCAAGTGGCCAGGCATATGTAACACACGTTCCAGCAAATGGCAAGGTAGTCCATAGCCTGCTTCACCTCGGAATCAGCAGTCTTCCAAGACTGACATCCGAAGTTAACATGCCATTTTTCCATTTCTCTTAACCACCAAGCCTGCTTAGCTGATAGCGCGTCAATCACGTCCAAGTCATGCCACATAAGCCAAGCCACCCGAATGACTTCGTATGCTTGGAAAAGAGTCTGGTAAAGCTGCGACCTCGACTCATATATGATCTGCAAGACAGGAGTAGTAGGAGGCTGGAAGGGGTTCATGTGATTATAGGATGTCTTCCGCGGCATCGTAATGATGCCGATCGCCGCCATGAGAACGACATGGCGAGACACAAATGGAATAATGGTGTCTGCGAGCTCAAGAGTGTCGGAACACCTAGCATACTGCTTCGTGGTGGTCAGGGACTGAGTGAATATCCGATATCCACTGGTCATAAGGTGCAACGCATTTCCCACATTCCTCTGTTGAAACTCGACACTGGTACACAAAATGCAGCTCACAAGGGCAAAAACATCATCAATCTCGCTGGTGTTGATACGCGTCCTCAGGGTAGATATGGCTCTGTTGTACCAAGTCAATGCTTGTCGATGGGCAGGAGTTTGGGCATCGGGGGTTTCGTTGGGAACATAGGAGGTAACGAGGCCTTCAAACGGGACCTGTTCAAAGAGGTGGCTCATGGATATGACAAGATCCCAGACTAGTGGTTCTGTCTGAGCGAGGCGTGGAACCAATACATTCCAAAACTTCGCATCAATTGCACCAGCAAAGCATGGGCCTGCACGATGGATAAAGTGCGCAAAAGCTCGCCTCTCATCTGCAGCCCGTGCAGGTTTGGCGAGGGAGAATTCGGCGTGAAGGGAAATCGGAGGCTTCTCGAAGTTGGCCGAAGAACTTGACCGATTGCCAGTGACGAACGCTGAAAGAGGCGGTCTTGATCGCCGAAAGCTGATCGAATCCCAGGTTTGGTCCTGGATAAACCGCAAAGATGGTTCAAGGGGGCCTTCGCATTTGCGGCCCGAAAGGGTGCAGTTGCGGCACCATGGTCTGTTTTCGTCGCATTTGATCCTGCGAGTCCTTGACAACAAGTCAGACGAGCAGATCAGCCAAGGAAGGAATGGCGGAGGTGCCAGAGAGGAACAAGATAGACTTACTTGCAAGTCAGACATCCATTTTTGGATTTTTCATGTCCCAGTCTCCTGAGACGCATCTAGCAGACTCATGGTCCCCGCACAAGGGAACAAGGACCACGGCTAATCGGAATCCTGATCGGAATTGTTGGCCAACTTATGGCACGGACACAGTGAGGAGTGTGTCAGGGGTCGGTGTAAGTAGTAGGAGAGAAGAGTGTGACGGGGTTACTATAGGTGGGGAGGACAACTCTTGACCTGACCTGCTGTGCCTGCCTGACTATAGGATTTAGTATGCGTAATAGAGTTCTTTATGCGCGGTTCTTCGGCATGTGGCGTGCCGGACTGGCCTGTGAGTGCGATGATAATAAAAATGATGCTGTTCCTGCATTCACCGTGATCCTTTTTTTTATAATTGGAAATCACGAACGACTGAGGCCAGATCAAGTGGCAGGGCCAAGTTCGAAAGAATGACGGGAGAAGCAAGAAACTGGATGGAACCAAACACCAGACCATAGTGGGGCCGAGGGGGCGTAATGATGCCACAAAAAGGGTTTTGATTGGTCTGCTCGTGTTACTCGCCATTCTAGGTTTAGTCCGCCGGGCATCAGTCTTTTCGCTCGGAGCCAGCGAGATGTACTATACACACTACTCCCTACACTATCTACCAGCGACACAAGCCACATCTCTGGAGGGTCCGAGACGACGTCCGAGTTGGACTGAAGCCGCTGGCTATCGATGCTTCATCCCCCCATGATCCACCCTCCTGAGACCAGCGTGCAAAGTCCAAACACGAGGATGGATCCGGTAAGCCTGATTGGCCGGGAAGATGGTGGTCCTGTTCAACGCGCCACAATCTGATGGCTCTCGTGCGAACATGCGACCGTCCTATACTCCGTATATGAAGCTTCGGAGGGCCGGCGAGATTGTCAGTAGTGCACCCTTTATCGCCATATTGTCTTTCTATCCCCGACCTCATCAAGAACTCTTCATCATCTAACGTTACGACGACCTGATCTACCATCAGATTCCCCCTGTGCTTTATCCTCTAGAGATTGGCATCAACAACCAAACAACAACATCGACCGACTACAGCTCCCGCGACAACGCTTCACAAGCCTTTAACGTCCCCCTTTGGAAATCGGAGACCATGGCTGACATACCTGACACGGTCATCATTCTCTTCGTCATTCTCGGCGCCGCTGCCACTGTGATGATGGGCTACGCCATTCACAGGCTGTTCTATAGGCCTGTCGCGACCAACTTCAACGCAAAGTCAGAGCCGCAACTCGACTACATGAGAGAAGTCCGCGATCGTTCCAAGATGTACGCAATGATGGACGCCAGGGAAGATAGATCCCACCGCTACTGATGAGAATTCACGGCATCCAACAAGCAGGGCCTCTCCACGCCTAACTTCAAGTCACCTGGGCCTCCGATACTTCGCATGTTTGCCGATGGCACCCAGGTGATGGCACCCTGATGGCAAACCATAGGTACTCGCTGGTCGAGGTATGGTAACAATGACGAAGCACAACGGCGACTCATCACATCGCTTTGTCAATCGTCTCGAGATCTAGCCATGGTCCGGCATTCGAACAAAGAGATCAATAAAAAGATCAACACTGGGGAGAGGGCAGATGTGACTTCATGGCCGGGCAGTGATCGACGCGGGATCAAGACAAGTGAGCAAAAGGCTAGTGCTTCCAACAGGCATTCCGAGATGGCCAGAATATTCGCCTACTAGTCTTAGCAAAGCTGCTCTTGTAGTAGTAGGATTCGTCGGACTAGTGTAACGGTGGATCTCAAAGGCAATCAACATGATCATGAAACTCGCGGGATGGGTAGGGGGATTCATTTTGGAGGGTGTGAAAATCTTAGGCAAGGAAACCACAACATGTAAATCACGTACAGATAGTGCAAGGGATATTGTGCTAAAATTTCATTTTTATTTCCCGTAGACATCAGCACAATCTAAGGTCGACTGCCTGCATTCATTGGTAGTGAAGGCCCGGCAGATAGCCGGTGAGAATGAGGAGGATGACCATTGCCATGTCAATGTCAAAGTCTCCGTCTTTGGAAAAACCAAGAGACACAGAGACTTGTAAAGGACGGTTGACTCGGGGTCACAACCTCGCCGCACAGCCTTTGGCCAAAGAGCAAATCCCACATAGCACACCCTCTACCGATTGCTCTTGGCGACACGCTCCAGCTCATCCTTCTTCTTGATTGCGTACGAGTTGCTGCTTCCCTTGGCCGCGTTGATCAGTTCTTCTGCGAGACATTCGGCGATGCTCTTGACGTTTCGGAATGCGGCCTCTCGGGCACCAATGGTGAGAAGGGCAATGGCCTGGTTGACACGTCGAAGAGGAGAAACATCCACAGCCTGTCGTCGAACTGTACCTGCGCTTCCGATTCTGGTGCTGTCTTCACGGGGTCCGCAGTTGACGATAGCATCGACGGCGATCTGGATGGGGTTCTGGTCGGTCATGATGTGAATCTAGCAATCCCAGTGTTAGATTCCGCTCTCTGGTTCAAAGTTTTCCTCTAGTAGACCTACAATCTCGAAGGAGTGAGCGACTATTCGAATGGCCATCAGCTTCTTGCCGTTGTTGCGGCCGTTCATCATGAGAGAGTTGGTCAGTCTCTCAATGATGGGGCACTGTGCCTTGCGGAATCGCTTTGCGGCATATCGACCGGCTGAGTGAGGGAGGTAGACTGGGGATCTGATCTGGATGTAATCGCTAGATACAATGTTAGTTGTGGTGTTTGTCAACGAATCGCCCGGAAAAATCGTACGTGAGGGAGATGTCTCGAATTTCAACGTCCTCGTAGCTCCATTTGTTGAAGAGTTTGATGCTGCCTTGTTCGGCAACAACGTCTTTGGGAAGGACGGGGTAACCAGAAACTGGGTTTTCGACTTCGACCTCGCCGTTGTCGGACATCTTGACGAGTTTTGGGGTGGTGTTGAGTCGAAAGTAAGGATGTCGCAGCGACAGTGTGAAATTCAACCCAAGTCTAGTGAGAATTGTGTGGTGTGCAATTGCAGCCAAGACTGAATGTGGATCCATAGATGCCAAGACCTATCACGTGATTTTGTGCCAGACCGACTCGAAGAATACTTCGAAGCACTACCCCAAGAACCGTCGTGCACCGCTTTAAGTTACCGTGACCGGCAAAACTCTACCCAAGGGGAAACAGTCTTCGTTTAAGGAAGAAACGTCTTTTCTGAGTATGTCTCGTTATGCGATGACAGAGATCTGATAATTGTGTCTATAATTGAAGTTGAGCCTGGCAATGATGCCTGAGGTATCTGCACCCTCTGAAGCAAGCCAAGGACGGAGACGCCTTCGAATATGCTTGTCTGTTGATTTCGATGCCATCTCGGGCTACTTGGGTACTGGTCATGACCCCTCCAACACCCTGGCCGACTATTCTGCTGGAATATTTTCGGCCAATGTAGGTGTTGGCCGTCTCCTTCGGCTGTTTGAGAAGCATGGCATCTCAGACAGAATGACTTGGTTCATCCCAGGTCATAGTTTAGAGACATTCCCAGCACAAAGCCGGCAGATTGTGCAAAGTGGTGCGGAAATCGGCCTACATGGCTATAGCCACGAGGGGGCATATGCTATGACGGTGGCACAGGAGAAAGATGTCTTGGAGAAGTGCATGGATCTAGTCACCAATCTACAGAATGGAAAGAGGCCGGTTGGATACCGAGCTCCATTGTACCAGATCCGCGAGACCACGGTCCAGTTGCTGCAGGAGCATGATTTCTTGTATGACTCGAGCATGAATGCGCATGACTCTCTCCCTTACTTCCTGCCTCGGCCTTTCCCTGGAGAGCCACCACATGTCCCCAACTATGAGCAACCAGCCAGCAGCTGGATGATCCCGACACCTGTTCCGCTACAACCCGAGATTGGAAGTTTGGAGGCGCAAAAGGCACTGGTAGAAATCCCAGCGAGTTGGTATGGCGAAGACATGACACCGGTACGTCAATTGAGACATTATTGATAGAATGGCTCTGGTTGGGATACTAATCACATCAGCTGGGCTTCTATCCATATTCAGTCAACACACAAGGCTATGTAGGTGTTGATCTGGTGGAGAAGATGTGGTGGGATCGCTTTGATTGGATCTGGGAAAATGAGAGCTGGCTGGATCACGGGCCAGGACAAGGATATGGTTCAGTATTCCCGTAAGTGGCCTACGAGTGTAATCGACATGTCAGCAAGTCTGGCTTCATCAGCTGATTCGCAGGATGCTGGCAGTATGGTATTCCACCCCGAAAGCGCCGGACGTGCTCATATCATTGGGATGATCGACCGATTCATCTCTGGGCTAGTGGCACGAAGTGTGGCGGCAACAGAGCATGAGATCACCTTTGAGACAATGGAGAGCGTGGCCATGAGCTGGAAAGAACGCTAGTGGCTGGAGCAAAGACAGTACGAAGGATGTCTCGTGTTGAGGATCCTGCCTTTGATTACATGAGGCGGTGTTGGGATAATGCCGCCCCTGGGTCTTTAGGTCTTTTTATTAACACAGACGACATAGCTCTCTAGCGGGCAAATGATGACTAAACACCGGAGGAAGTAATCATAACTCAATCCGTAGAGTTTGGAGGGGTAGCCTTGCAGAAATGACGGCCGAGCGGCGGAGGGGCCCCGGGCGAGCCCTAGGCGCCATTGGCCCCGAGCTAGCCAGTCGCCCAGTAGCATGTACACTCCGTGGTGAGGTGCAAACGGTGGGGATCTGGACCGGGACAGACCTGCATCCTTAGGTGCTCCCTGATTAGGATTGTGCTGGAGAGTAATGCCTCTAAGCATTCGGGTACGTGATGATTAAGCTGAGATGAGAAAAGTGTATTGCTGAGTATGCGCCAGAGCCTGCACAACACTAAATCGTTTCTAGCAAGGGCTCCTCTTACCAGGAATGTCGGGAATTGATAGGTTGCAAGACCAGACTTTCCAGGGCAGGTGGTGCTCAATTTTAGAGACGCAAGAGGTCAACTTTGGGGGCAAATCGAGTTCAGTGCCGGTGGTGTTACACTGTATCACTGGGAGCTAGACGGCTAGACAAGCTTGTATAGGACGGATGCGCTATGGGGATCAGGCAGCCAGGATTGCCCGCTCCAAGCCCAGCCAAAGTAGGGACTGATGATGTGCCGCTCATTGCCGCCTGGAAGGATCAGCCACCCAGTCATATCGAGAAGATGTCAATTCCACATTTGTACTTCCAAGTTGGACGAGGGGCACACGGCACCACTCCGCCTAGATCTCATCCCTAATCCACCAGTCGATCCTTTTTCAACAAACCACCGACTCGCATTTCACTCTTACACTGTACTGATCTAAACGGCATGATGCAATGTCCTGGTCAAGCTATAACCTACATAGGCGAACAATTTCATCACGATTCCACCCCGTCTTTCTTTCATCTTGCATGCACCTGCCCTCCTGTTGATTTGGTGATACTTCCCTGCCTCCCTCTGACCATCCTTATATCCCGTTATCTTTGCCCCTCGCCTCTTGATTGATACGTTGAGTTCGACCAAGCAGCTGGCGACTCCTGTCCCTCCTTGACTCGTCGACATTATTGCCCCCGCTGGCCTCCATCGTCCTCCTCCACCGTTTGTACCTGGCCTTGGGCATACGCATGCCTCGACACTCCCCAATATGACTTCCGAACCCTCTCCCGCGGACCCTGCTCCGCCTATCCCCAGAGCCATTGTTCAAGAGGCTGAAGCGGCAGCAGCTGCTGCTGCTGCTACCGCTGCACTGGAACATGGAGGGGCCGTGGCCGAACAAAACGAACCTCCATCTTCACCTGATCATGTCCGTCATCATGGCGGTGTCTCTCCTCATCTGGATGAAGTCCCTCCTCCTGCCTATAATGGCGGAGACTATGGCAAGTTGGATATCAGTCAGAACGGTCTAGACACGGGGGCCCAGATTGCAAGCGATGGCAGAGTCAACATCAAAATCAACCAACGCAGCCGCAAGCTCTCCAATATTCTTCTGCCTGCTCTGCGAAGACAACTGGAGTTGCAGAAACGCGAAGCCGAACCCGATATCCCAGCGGGCCTGGGCGAGACCGATGGCCTGCCTCCTCCTCCCATGAACATTGTAATCCAGATTGTGGGAAGCCGAGGTGATGTTCAACCTTTCGTCGCCCTGGGCCAAGTCCTCAAGAACCGCTATGGCCACCGAGTTCGTATAGCGACCCATCCTGTTTTTAAACAATTTGTCACCGAGAATGGCCTAGAATTCTTCAGTATTGGTGGTGATCCCGCCGAACTTATGGCATTCATGGTAAAAAACCCGGGGCTCATGCCTGGTTTTGACTCTCTCAAGAGTGGTGACGTAGGAAAGCGAAGAAAGGGCATCTACGAATTGGTCACCGGCTGCTGGAGGTCTTGCATCGAGGCCGGTGACGGGACTGGTGAACAAGTGTCTGACGACAATTTTGACAGTCGAAGTTTCGACAGCACAGTCAACTTTGGTATCGACCCGGCCCTGAAACCCTTTATTGCCGACGCCATCATTGCAAATCCTCCCAGTTTTGCCCATGTCCACATCGCGGAAAAGATGGGAATCCCCTTACATCTGATGTTCACAATGCCATGGTCTCCGACCCAATCATTCCCCCATCCTCTTGCGAACATCATATCCTCCAACACCGACCCAAACATGGCCAACTTTGTCACCTATGCTCTAGTTGATATGCTCACCTGGCAAGGACTAGGAGACGTGATCAATCGTTTCCGAGAGAGAAGCTTGAATTTGGAGCCAATCAGCATCATGTGGGCACCAGGAATGACGAGCCGTCTACGCATTCCCTGGACGTACTGTTGGTCTCCTGCTCTGATTCCCAAACCAGCCGACTGGGGTCACTATATCGACATCTCTGGCTTCTACTTCCTCAACCTGTCCACAAACTACACACCTGCTCAAGACCTCGCCGATTTCCTGGCTGCAGGACCTCCACCAGTCTACATAGGGTTTGGTTCTATCGTGGTGGACGACCCCAACGCAATGACGAAAATGATCTTTGACGCTGTCAAGAAGACTGGCCAACGGGCTCTTGTATCTAAAGGCTGGGGAGGCCTTGGTGCCGATGAACTTGGTATTCCCAAAGACGTTTTTATGCTTGGTAATGTTCCTCACGACTGGCTTTTCCAGCACGTCTCTTGTGTCGTCCACCACGGTGGCGCAGGTACAACAGCTGCTGGTATCCTGGCTGGGCGCCCGACCGTTGTCGTACCTTTTTTCGGTGATCAACCATTTTGGGGATCCATGACGGCTCGCGCAGGAGCTGGCCCTGTGCCAGTTGCCTACAAGCACTTAACGGCAGACAAACTAGCCGAATCCATTTTGGACGCTCTAAAGCCTCAATCTCTCGAACGAGCCAAGGACCTCAGCATCAAAATCAAGGCCGAAGATGGCACCGAGGCTGGTGCTCAGTCATTCCATAATCAGCTCCACCTTTCCGACCTCCGCTGTTCTTTGCTCCCCAACAGAGTTGCTGTCTGGCGAGTGAAGAGGACAGATATTCGTTTATCAACTCTTGCAGCAACTGTCTTGGGTACAGAGGGCCTCCTCGACTTTTCTGACCTGAAACTGTATCGACCTCGAGAGTATGAAACCGAAGACGGCCCATGGGAGCCCATCTCGGGTGGCGCTGCTGCTCTTATGGGAACCATCGGAAATCTTTCCATGGGGATTGCCGACTTTCCGGTAGAAATCTTGAAGTCTTTAAAAACAGCAACAAATGATTTGAAAGAAGTTCACGAAAAGCGGCATTCGACCAGTGGAGCATCTACTCCAATTTCGAAGTCGAATAATGAATCGACTCAAGACTTGACCGCTAAGGCTCCATCCCCCGAGTCCACAGGTTTAACACCAAGCCCCACCAACGGCACCACCACGCCATCTGCCCTCCAGCATCGCCAGTCCGCACTATCTTCAGTGTTGTCATCAGATGGTTCACCTCGACAACAGAGTCCACATCGTCGTCATTCGAGGCACAGCTCTCGGACGCGCAATCGCACAGACTCACCAGCCCGCGATGACAATTGTCCGACCGAGGAAGTTGGCCAAATCACGCTCGAAACGGCCATCAGCGGGGCTAAAGCGGCCGGCAGGATCGTGTCTGCTGGAGTCAAATCCCCGATGGACTTTACATTGTCTCTCGCCAAAGGGTTCCACAATGCCCCAAAACTATACGGAGACGAAACCGTCAGAAAGACGGAAAAGATCACCGGCTTGCAGTCTGGCTTGAAAGCGGCAGGCAAGGAGTTTGGATATGGATTCTTTGATGGGATTACAGGCCTGGTGACCCAACCCATCGCTGGAGCCAAGAAGGAAGGAGCGGCGGGCTTCATCAAAGGAGCTGCGAAAGGCTTCGGAGGCTTGATGCTGAAACCTGGTGCGGCTATCTGGGGTCTTCCAGGATACACGGCCAAGGGGATCTACGCCGAAGTTGCCAAGCATTTCGGAAATTCGGTACAGAACTATATCATCGCTGCTCGCACTGCCCAAGGATTCGAAGATTGGAAGGTCAGTACCCCGGAAGAACGCGCCCAGATTGTCTCGGCTTGGAAGGACACGAAATTGGAAACCCGGAAGGGAGGGAAGCTTTATGGCAACGAACGAAAAGAGGCGATTGAGAGTCATATCTTGACCCGAACACACACAGACTCGGTGGAGCTCGTGCACGGCTTCAAGAGCACTCGGCACCTCACCTGGGATGAGCGTAAGGCCCTAGCAGAGAGAAAAGATATACTGAAGAAAGAAGCAAAGGAGTTGGACCGTCGGGAAAAAGAAATTCGGCGTGCTGAGAAAAAGGGCGGGAAAATCAAGAGTCGTTGCAAGTTTTGCCCGTTCGATCATGACTCTGGATATCATCTCCGGCAGACGACATCGACACCGTCCTTGGGTACGTTTTTGACCAATTCCAGCCAAGACACGTTGGTGGATTACGAAGAAGCAATCCAGAAATCGGTTACGGCAACCAGCAAGGGCAACCCGCACGAAGATGCGGTGATTGAACGAGCTCTCAGGGCAAGTTTGCTGGAGTTGCAGGCCGTGCAGAAAGACGACGACCATCACTCGGACAAAGCCTATCAGTCCGCGATCAAAGCGAGCCTGTCTGAATACAAGAAAGCACACGAAGAGCACGGGCAGAAGACGGGGGTAGTGAGAACCGTGCCAGAGGACCACGAAGAGGAACTTGAACGCGTCCTAACGAAGTCCCTACAGGACTACAAGAAGGCCACGGCAGGCGTGGACCGTGACCATTTCCACGACGATGAGGATTCGGGCGTCGATACCGACCATGATGAGCATTTCAAGCGAGTGATTGAGGAGAGCAAGAGGTTGCACACGGAGAACGAGATGAAGAAGCAAGAGCTTCTGCAAAGAGAGGCCCAAGTGGAGAGCAACGGGACCGACTCTGCAGCTGCCGCTCAGGTGCCAGCGACTGGCTCCTCCGACATTACTGCGGACGACGCGAATGACGAGGACCTTCAACGTGCTATCACCGCGTCCGTGCAAGAAGAGAAGCAACAACAAGAAATATTGTCTCGACAAAAGACTGAGGAAGAAGTCGTGCTCGAGTACGTCAAGAAACAAAGCCTGTTGGAGGAAGAATTGAGGAAGCAGAAGGAAACCAGAGAAGCTCCTTCAGCGTCCACATGACGATGATTATGACTATTATGACCGAACAACGATGATGAGGATGCATAAAGCAGCAGCGCTTCTTGGATAGGTTCCTATGACTAGTTAGACATTTCAGCCACGTCTCACCTGATCGCTATAATCTAAATAGACCGACTACATGACTGATCATATCGAGTTTTCTATTTCTTGGTGCTTGAACGTCCCAAAATCAACGACTGCGCACAGTGAACTCAGACACAGTGGTCTGACGTATTAGAACCGACCCAAAGGATACACAGGAGGAATATTGTCAACGAGCGAAATCCTCGGGACTGCTGAGTATGCAGTGGTGACTTCTGCCATGTCATGTAACCCGGCCGTGACAGGCATTCTCCGCGCATGTAATCGGTCATCAAGCCCTTTGGCGATGCGCAACAACTTGCCCTCGCTCCATGGCAAACCAAGTAATTCAAGCCCAATGGGAACACCAATTGGTGCACTTGGTCCAGGCGGTGAAAAGCCAATTGGCATGGTGATGACGGGTGAACCAGTCAGTGCAGCAAGAATGCCATTTCGGCCAGACTGGCTTGGAGAGCCGACCTTGACAACGAGATTCTGCTGTTCGGGGTAGATGATGGCATCGAGCTGGTTCGAAGTGATTGTCTCGTGCAATGTCCTGCTCAGGTCGGCAATCCGAGCTTGGGTTTCCAGATAAAGTGCGTCATCTGTAGAAGAGGTTAGGGCACTGCGAATTTTATTGTACTGCGAAGGGATGACAAGGAAATTGGGCGGGCTGGTATTGTTGATAAAGATGTCAGCCATCGAGGTAGGATGTGGGCCAGATAATGCTTCAGAGGAAAGGTAGTCGGTGAGCAGCTCGCGAATTTCGAATTGCTGTACGTCGAGCTGCAAAATTGTAGTTGCATTGTAAATAGATGTATCGCTTATGGAGATTAGAGTAGCACCCTGTCGACGCAATTGTTCGATGGCTGAATCTGTGACTTGGTTGACTGGATCGGTCTCGCTGCTTAAGGTGCGGTTGAAGAAGCCCTCGAGTACTCCGAGGCGTATGCCTGAGAGATCGGACGGGTTGTTTGAAGAGAGGAATGAGGTGTAGTCGACTCCTACCGTGTTTGGAGGGATATTGGCGGTGTCATTGTCAGCAGGATCGTAGCCAACACTTGACATGACGGTCAGAGCAGTTGCTATATCAAATAGATCGCGACCAATCGCCCCAACGGTATCTTGTGTGTGGGAAACAGGGATGACGCCGGCGCGAGATATCAGGCCACGAGTTGGGCGAAAGCTATAAAGGCTATTGGCACTAGCAGGGCTGCGAAGGGAATTGACGGTGTCTGTGCCAGTGCCAAAGACAGCGAATGAGGCGGCTATCGCTGCTCCTGTGCCACTAGAGCTCCCTCCAGCAGTACGGGAGAAGTCGTAGGGGTTCAAGGTTTGTCCTCCGAGGGAAGAAACCCCGAGACCCTCGAGAGCGAGTTCGTGCAGATTGGTCTTACCCAGAATAACTGCGCCTGCGCGACGGAACGCGAGGACGGTTGGTCCATCTTGAAGTGGCACAGAGGATTTGAGAGCTAGGCTTCCACCAGTAGTGGGCATAGGAAGGGCATCAAAATTGTCCTTGAGAAGTATTGGAACACAGAACAGGGAGCCCGTGGTGTTTCCTGAAGCGAGCGAGGCATCGAGAACATCTGCAATTTGCAGTGCCTCTGGATTCAAAGTGATAATGGCGGTTATGAAGGGATTGTACGCCTCGATGCGTGCAATGAAGGATGAGACAACATCACGACATGTCGTCGCGCCAGAAAACAGAGCATCATGGACGGTGGAGACGGTAGCTTCTCGAGGATCGAAGGGAGACGAGTAAGCTTCTGACAGTGGGACGAAGAATGTCCATGCAAGTCGGGTGAATAGACTCATGAAGAGTTCACTCCGGATTGTGTCGTGTCATCCGGCAGCAAATATACCAGTGAAGGAGGGCGCAGGGGATATGAGGGCTCTGAACTGTGTGAGGTCTGTTTGGAGTCGGAACAAAAGTGATGGAACAATGCCCACGTGATCAGTCACGAGGCTTCCCCGCGTTCTTCTTGATGAAGATTCACTATTGGCGCCTTTTTGGTGTGCCTCGATGTCACTCACTGATGGTCTGTAAATCCAGGCACCAGGAGTGGCACGGTGGCAAACGAATCCCCCTCGCCAAATCAGAACTCTTTCCATCTCAAGGATGAAGTCACATGCGGTCACAGGCAAACGACATTCCAGCGTGGCCACAAACCTTGCCTATTTATTCGTTGACCATCCACGATCCGAGTGAGAAGCATCCAGGCAATATAAATTCATTGTTCTCGACTTACACTGCAAAAGTATCACACTACCTTAGACCCTCTCATACACACCTCGACTCAACGTCGGACGACAACACCATGTCTTCATCCGGCAATCAGACCAACTCCCTGTCTTCGGGATCCTACAGTTCCGTCTCATACAGCTCGGCCAGCTACAGTAGCTCCAGCTCCAGCGACCCCACAGGCCACAGTGCCACATTTACCCAAATGACGTCCTCCAACGACCGCGACGGCACTACGGTCCGACGCACCGCCCATGAAACTGGTCAGCCGGATTTCGATGAGACGAGACACTACCCAACTCAAGGGGGCCAGACCACTATCGAGGGTGGTCAAGGTGGCGGCAACGATGCAGCGAGGGTCCAGGACGTGACAGATGAGGATCCGGAGCAGGCGGCCAGGGATCGAGAGTACGAGGAACGCATGGAGGACGAGTATGCCAAACGTGAAGGCGGCGCTTAATTTTGAGTCTGTTTTGCTTTGCGACATTCTAGGTTCAGACTGTACAACAAGGACTTTAACGAGGCAAATGAGTTTTCCAGCAGATAGCTGTAATTTGTATCTCCTCTAATCATATCATCTCTCATTCTTTTTCTCAATTTACCATGCCCATAACAGTTTATGGGCCAAGATCCTCTCTCCCAGTCTTTCGTACAGAAAGCCGTTGATCCAACAATCGTTGGTCCGGCTCATCCTTCCAAACACGGCTCCCCCCTTCCATGCAACCACCTGAGGATCCAGCTCTCTCGGTGGCCGTCCGATCATGATGTCCTTGCTGTATCCTGGCAGTATCCCTCGCAGTGTATCCTCCAGATGTTGATTTAGACCCGAAATGATGCTGGTGCCTCCTGTCAGCATGATGCCCGAAAGGAGATCGCTGGTCTTCTGAGGTGAGCCACGCGCAGCGTGTGTGATGGATGTCACAATCGCCTGAGGAAGTGGATAGATGGGCAGCACGTCATCACGTCGTTCAATCGACAAGGGCTCTTCTTCAACCACTTCTTCCACTTTAGGCTTCTCGTCTCGAGCGACCCCTCCTTCCGCCTCATCAGGTTGCGGAGTACCGTCGACAACGCGGGCTGGAGAACTCGCTGTCGATGGCTGAGGAGTGGCGTCCATCTCCTTGATGTTGCTAAACGAGGGCCGGCGAGACTCCACCGTCGAGTCTTCTTTGAGACCATTGACGACCCCGTTCGCCTTGCCATTGGGCTTCAAAGTCGACGTCAACACCTCTTCCGGTGCAATGGCTGACAGAATTTCAGCTTGTGCTGTCGAGCTGGGATCGTTAGGCCTGCCATCGTAGATGTCGTACGACTTGTCCACCAACTTTCGTCGACCGGCCAATTTGCCGCTATTGTCGAAGATGTTCGGCCTGAAGAGTCCCATGGGCGCCAGGAACACTTCGTCGTAGATTTTGAACGTGTACTTTCGAGTTTCTTGATCCGGTGCTCGCAGATGGAAGTCGTACAGCTGGACCGACACGTCGGCCTCAGTCATGGTCAGGAATTTCTGTTTCAATTCTTCGGCGAGTTGGAAGTCGTATCTACGATTCAGGTTGAGCTCTGAGTAGGGGAAGTGGTTGTGGATGATCATCTTGACGAATGCTTCGGTGATGTCTCTGCCTCCGTACTTGAGATTGACTCGCGAATTGTCGATGATCATGCCGTCTTCCACACATGAGATGGACGTCTTCTGCGCACCAATGTCGACGATACAACAAGTTGTGAACCCCGCGCCGAATGAGGCAGCCAGGCTTTCCTGGATGAAGCAAACGCGGCCGAACCCAAACTCGGTGATGGCCATGTCAAGCAGGCCTGTCACATAAGTCCTCTCATAGTAGTCGGGAATGACCAGCACGCAGCTATACTGCGCCCAGTCTTCGCGTGTCCGGAGCTTGAGTTCGAGCTGGTCTTTGATCGCGTCCTCAATTATGAGCTGCAGGTCGTCGTACAGGAATCGCTTCGAGTTGTAGTCTCGTTCGTTGATCCAGCCATTCTGAATTGGCCAGTGGAGCCTGTACCTTGGCTCGGAGAGATCGGGAATTCGTAAAGCCGCCTTGCCCGTGACATACTTGGGCTTCTGAGAAACATCGGTCCAGTCGATTCGCATGGTGTCGTTGAAGTCGGTGATGGTCTCGTAGGTATTTCTCCTGTTATAGCTCGTGACCATTTCTCGTGATTGGGGCAAAACCTTTCTCTTGTTCATTCTCATTCGCGTCTTCAACCCATTAGACATTTCCGAAAACGTCTTTGCGAATTCTTCTCCGAATCGCTTTTCAGGTTCATGGGGCGTTTGACCGTTACTCAATCTTGCTCTTTTAGGCGCCGGCTCTCCATCGTTCAATTCGCTTTCGGACTGGGGTGCGAGGCGGGCGATGACCATAGGTACAGTCTTTGGGAGGGCGTCGTTGGCCAGACCGACTCTCATGTTCTGGGAGCCGAGATGGATCACAATAGTTTTGGCGCCACTTGAGGCTTCGTCCTCGTTGTCTTCCTCACCGTCTTCCATCTCAATGTCCCCATCCGGTCCAACATTTCTTCCTTGGGCTAACGCTCGATCTCGGTCTTTTGCTTGCTTGATCATTTTGTTGCGAGCTTCTTCCTGCTGCGACCTGACTGCAAGAATCTGTTCGTCGCGTTTGAGATATTCTGCGGCCTATGGTTAAAACGCAAATATATGATGCGCAAGACTGGGAATGTCATACCCGTGTAGTAGTTTTTCTGGTTAATAGGAATGATCTGTGGCCACGAGGTGAGCTCCATGTTGTTGTCGGTCCTTTCGAGGCCCTCCTCTCGAAGGAGAGCCTTTCCACTCTTCTTGCCGACCATGGTGTAAATGGGTGTCTGAGGGATGTAAAGGACCACACGTAGGAAAAAGGGCGGCGTCTTTTTGCTCAAATCGATGCGAGGTGATGAGGGGAGGAGATGATGACTAGATAACGATCATGTTGATGTGAAGATATCTAGTGAGGCGGTGGGATCAGAATTCCTATGGACAATTATCGTCAACTGCGGTACTGCAGATCGTCGTTGTTGGCGACATGGAGACGTGTATGTGAAGCTTGGATTATACAGTGGATTATTATTATTATTGTGATGAATGGACTGCGGCGGTTCTCAGGTACGGCGCAGGTGCTGCACAGTCAGTTTGATCCACAAGGACATGGCGATCGTCAAGGGAGGCACTAGAGGTCTTCGGGGTCTAGGTAATGCCCTAATGCATAGGTACCTAGAGGACCCCAGAATGTATAGTTTGGCTGTCACTAGCCAAATACGCATAAATTTATATGCGTACAGTGCACGTAGGAGGCGCTGGGCCTCGTATAGGTGTCAGAGTCTTGTTCAAATACCTACCTAGTTAAGGACAACACCTGAGACCCGAGCCCGAGGCCCCTCGGCCCCCGAGTGCTAGACCGGCCTCAGGCCTCAGGCTGCCCTATCGCATGCATAAGGACCACCATCCAGCCAACGAGATCAAACGCCTCAACTGGGGCGACAGAGGCATTTAATTACACACTTACGAATGCCAAGGGTCTCGTGAACGTTCGACACCCCGAGTCGTTCCAACGAGTCAACGATTCATCACAATCAAACCATCGATATAATCATCTGTACAGCACTTCAATCCTTGTTGCACCGAGAATACATCTCCCCGAACCCATTGCACCCACATATAAGCCTGCTTGGTCACGAGTCCGCCGTCTTTCCGATCATCGCCTGATAGGACAACGTGGCTTGACCCTAGCGAGGAGAGCAATGTGTTTCTGATTGCTACCTACTCTGCCCTTCAACCAACAACACTCCCTCAACATGGGCGTGTCAATATCAAAACTATTCTCGGGGTTGATCTGGGGTAAGAAAGATATCCGGATTTTGATTCTCGGACTGGTATGAATCACTGGCAAAAGCGATTTCACGAGGTCGGGCTAACGTCATGCAATAGGACAATGCGGGTAAGACTACACTGTTGTATCGGTTAAAGGTACAGTTTCATGTCATCTGTCATGATTTACGGGACATGGCTTTGCTGACTAGTGCAGATTGGTGAAGTCGTCACAACTATCCCAACAATTGGCTTCAACGTTGAGTGGGTTCTCCCAAGACCCTGGTCCTATGCCTCTAACATGACTTAGGTCGGTACAGTACGGAAACCTCAACTTTGATGTATGGGATTTAGGTGGCCAGACCTCCATCAGACCTTACTGGAGGTCATATTACGCCAATACTGCTGCTGTTGTTTTTGTCATTGACTCGACGGATATCGAGCGTCTGGAAATAGCCGCCGATGAATTGAGATCAATGTTAAATGAGGATGAGCTCAAAGATGCAGCTCTCCTAGTCTTCGCCAACAAGCAGGATCAGGTATGACTGGTCCATGTTTCTCGAGTTGCACCATACTGACATATCATAGCCCGGAGCACAGGGTGCTGGAGAGATCTCCGAGGCTCTGAAATTGGGCGAACTCAGAGATCGGAATTGGAGCATCGTCGCTTGCTCGGTCATTGATGGCAAAGGCATCAACGATGGCATGGACTGGCTTTCGTAAGTGCCCATCCAAATCCACTCGTTGAGTTAGGGGCTAACCAAAACCAAGGCAAACGGTTCAATCTGAATCATAACGATGTACTTGATATACCCATGGATTACTGGCGCCCTATAACATACATACAGACTGAAGGCACTTGTTTGAATCTATCCCTCCTTTGGTCATGTTTGGGCAACTTTGGCAAGCCAATGAGCCAACTCCACCCCCAGTCGAATTGGTTGATCGTATTGAATAAGATGTCCCGCCTCCTCAACGATCACCACTTGATCAGTGCCAATCATGCCGGCCAACTTTGATGCAGTCTCGACCGGAATCCAACCGTCCTGTTTGCCCCAGATGATCTTCACCGGCATCTTCTTCCCAATCTCGCTATATCTTGATTCCACCTCGGCTACATGCTTCTGGTCGGCCTGACGAATCTGGCGGAGAAATCCTCCTTTGCACTGCATACCCTTCTTAGTCCATGGAAAGGTCAGGAGATCTTCAACGTCCTTGGCGAGAGGTTTGAATGCTGCGCCTTGGATGTAGGAGCGCACCATGCCTTCAGCTATTGGATCTGGGATGGCGTTGAAGATGTCAGGATGTGAGCCGATCAGCTTGAAAAAGGGTGAGCCAAATGGTCGGACGGCGACGACGTCGACCAAGCATAGACTAGCATAGTCGCATCCATGAAGGAGATTGGCCCTGAGAGAGATCAAGCCACCTACATCGTGGGTGATGATATGAGGAGGTTGTGACAAGTTCCAGTGTTTGAACAGATGAGCGAATACCTCGGACTGAGTGGCCAGAGAAGCATCCAGCTCGTGTCTGCCTGATATCGACGCTCCTGCGAGTGACACGCCATACCCTGGGTTATCAAATAGGTGCACTTTATAGAAAGGAGCCAGCGCTTCGGCGTAAGGCAGCCAGACCCTGTGTGACCATGGTGTACCGTGTATGAATATGACTGGTGGGCCTTGCGGATTCCCGAAACTCATATACTTGAGGTTGAATTCATGGGTTTTTGTGCTGAAGGCATAGTAGCTTGCAGTGCTGGCTTCCATTTGTGAGTTCGTTCCTCTCTTCGTCTGTTAGTAGAGAGCCACAGTGCTTCCTTGAAGATAATCTTCCCCCATGTCAAGTGCCAACTTCGATGCCTTTTGCAAGATCGCCTGTCCCTTAATACCGAGTCCAAAGCGGTCTAGTGATGACAAATAATCGGACAGTGCCCACCATGGCAGTTGTTGGTCTGACGCCCAGCCTTACAAGGCGTAAATCAAGTTAGTGAGCACTGTGACCTTTAGGCCCTGTAGTACTACCAATCCAAACACGAAGAGTTTCTTCAATATTTGTATGTAGGCGTTTTTTCACTAGTTTGTAGTCATCAGTCAGCGGAGGCCAAGATGACAAGGTGCGGGAAGAGAGTGTGGAGCCCGTCCACACAAGTTCCCTAGCCTCAAGGGAGATGGCGTGGATTTCGTGGATTTGATGGATTTGGTGGGTGCGTGGATGGCGTGGATGGCACAGATGCGAGAATGTGTTTGATCCACCAACAGAACAACTTCACCCCAAACCTCCAGGCATCCGTCTCCAAACATCGCCCCATCACCATGAACATTCATTGCTAAATCCTTCCATCCATCGATACATAGTGCGTCTCCTACAGACATTCTAAACCCTCTCTGTCTCTTGTCTTGCGCATCTTCGCTCCCCTTCGAGCGCAGCCTGGACACTGAACCTCTACGATCCCCAACCTCCCCCACCGACTGCCCACCATCCTGGCTCGATTAAAGGGAATCGTTCTTCTCTCTGCCATTTTCCTCTTCGCTCTCACCTCCCTCCTCATCGTGGCTCCCTTTCGCGCACCGGCCCGCCTAGGTGCAATCCTAAATTCGATCCGGCCTTTCAGTCCTGCCACCACTTCGACCAATCCATTCCGCCCAGTCACCACGTCCGCCATGGTCTCTGGCAAGTTTCGCAAGCCTCCCCAGGCTCCACCGAGCTTTACAGCAACCCCCGAGTCCGTAATCAGTGACACCAAGAAGTTGTTGGCAGATTCTAAGAAAATCACCGACGACATTGTCGCCCAAATTGCGGAAAAGGACGCTTCCTTCAAGAATGTCCTCCTCCCCATGGCCCATGACGAGAATCTACAAACCCTGTCTGCTCATATCCTCGGCTTCTATCAGTCTGTCTCAACTGACCAGAATCTACGGGATGCCTCGACGGAAGCAGAGAAGCTTATGGACGATTTCAGCATTGAGGCTGCCATGCGCGAGGACGTTTTCAAGCTGGTTGATGCAGCATTGAAGCGAGGGGAAAAGCTGGATCCTGAGTCTCAGAGACTTCTAGAAAAGGAACATAAAGGCTATGTGCGCAACGGTCTGAACATTCCTGCAGGGCCGCAGCGGGACCGGTTCAAGGAGATCAAGAAGAGACTTAGTCAGTTGGGAATTGCTTTCTCCAAGAACTTGAATGAAGAAAATGGTGGACTATGGTTCACTGCCGAGGAACTTGATGGTGTCCCCAACGATGTCATTTCTCTCTTGAAAAAGGACGGTGACAAGTACTGGCTGACCTTCAAATACCCCGACCTCTTCCCAGCTCTCAAATATGCCAAAAACAGCGAAACCCGGAAGAAGATCTTCATTGCCAATGAGAACAAGTCCAACCAGAACGTCCCCTTGTTCCGAGAAGCCATTCTTCTGAGAGACGAGGCTGCTCGCCTCCTCGGCTATCCGAATCATGCTGCTTTCCGTATCGAGGACAAGATGGCAAAGACCCCCAAGACTGTCGATGATTTCTTGGGCGATTTACGTGGCCGGCTGAGCCAGGGTGGACTTGATGAAATTGCCACCCTCAAACAGTTGAAAAAGGCTGACCTCGAATCTCGAGGAGAGAAATTTGATGGAAACTACTACTTGTGGGATCACCGCTTTTACGACAGAGTGATGGAGGAGAGGGATTACCAACTCGACCAGCAACTCATATCCGAGTACTTTCCGCTCCAAACCTCCATCACGGGCATGCTAGAGATTTTTGAAACCATCTTTGGTCTTCAGTTCGTCGAAGTTGTTGGAGAAGATCGCGACAGCATTTCTCCATCCGGCAAGGGTGATGACATTGTGTGGCACGAGGAGGTCCAGGTGTTCAGCGTTTGGGATGATGAAAGTGAAGGCAGCGGCTTCATCGGCTATCTGTACCTCGATCTCTTCCCTCGAAATGGCAAATACGGGCACGCCGCCAACTTCAATCTGCAGCCAGGGTTCATCCAAGAGAACGGAACTCGCAGATACCCGGCCACGGCCTTGGTGTGCAATTTCTCCAAACCAACGGCCAAAAAGCCTAGTTTGTTGAAACACGATGAAGTGACAACCTTGTTTCACGAGTTGGGCCACGGCATTCACGACCTCGTGTCTCGCACAACCTACTCGCGCTTCCACGGGACCAACACGGTGCGAGACTTTGTCGAAGCCCCCAGCCAGATGCTGGAAAACTGGTGTTGGACCCCATCTCAGCTGAAATCTCTCAGCCGTCACTATTCAACCCTGTCTCCCGAGTACTACGCAGCATGGCAAGAGCATGCTGGCGCCGAGGTTGCAAAGCCCGAGGAGCACATTCCAGACGACTTGATCGAGAAGCTGATCAAGACCAAAAACCTCAACGGGGCACTGTTCAACCTCCGACAGCTCCACTTTGGTATTTTTGACATGACGATCCACGAACCCAAGGACCACGCAAGCCTCGAAGCACTCAACATCACCGAGACGTACAACGGGCTGCGCAAGGACATCAGTAAAATTGATGGACCAGAGGTTCTCGGCGAGGGTAATGGCTGGGGCAACGGACAGGCCACGTTTGGTCATTTGATGGGTGGCTATGATGCCGGTATGTTCCCCAAAATTTACCATGGTTCTTTTTTTTCTCCTCGGTTGGAAACTGGATGCCGATCACTAACGATGTGCTCGATCTAGGTTATTACGGCTATTTGAGCTCTCAGGTCTACTCGACCGACATGTTCTATTCGGTTTTCAAAAAGGATCCCATGAATCCCACCGAAGGTCGACGGTATCGCCACAAGGTTCTCGAGAAGGGTGGCAGTCAGGATGAGATGACCACCTTGATCGATTTCCTTGGCCGTGAACCCAAGACGGATGCATTTTACGAAGAACTAGGCTTGACCAAATAGGCAGAGAGTTCCTCAACCATGCAGTCTGGGAGAAAGGCATCGTTGGCAGCCTTGTAGCCGCCACAGAGTCGTGTTTATCTTTGGCTTAGAACATGAGACTTGAAAAGATCTCCCATAAGAGGCTCTCCTTGGTATCATTTGGCTGAACTGTACAAAAGATATACTACACCCGCTTGCGCGGCCTGATTTATATTCTGAGCCTGTGTAGTCCCATCTCGGTCACCGGGTACAGCAGCGCCCGGTAAATCGTGTCACTACATGTCTTTTCCAACTCCTGCGAATCACTCAGAGGCCTAGCTTTTCAGCGCCTTCGCACCATGGTGAATCGACCAAATTCATCCTCCGTCGGAATATCCTTTGGACCTACGAACAGAGGACCTCGGAAGTTGTCGCTTAGCTTCATGCCTTTCCTTCCCCATGCATTCTCCATCGCTTCTCGCTTTTTCGATTTGGCTTTAGCCTCCTTGATCCTCAACTTCTCAAAATATACATAGGCCCCGTAGAAGACCTTGGATTCTGCTCCAGAGGTTGGTCCTCGTTTGGCTCCCAGGAAGGTCCTCAACTGAACCGCAGAGGCTGTCTTGGAATCTGCATAAGCCGCAGAGTTGATCAATCTGATCAAACCGGCATTGCTCGCATTAGGTGTCGTGCGCAGGAAGCGGTTGATTTTGTTACGGATTTCGTCGCAAGTGTCATAGACCGGGACAGCCTGGTTCTCCTCACCATCTAGATGGATTGAGGACACGTCGATTTTGGCAGCTGCATCCTTAGCATCTTGCTTCTTCTTTGGAGGTTGACTAGCACCATCGTTGTTGTCACTGGTGCTCTTGCGCTTCTTGCCCGCGTTTGTCTAACCCCAGACCAATGAAAGCAACGGGTTCAAAGTCTTTCTCAGCGAACAGCAGAGAACATGAAAGAAAAAGTGTTTAATACCATGTTGGTAGACTTGGCAGGCGACACAATAGTGTTGAGGTTGCGTTCTGCCAGAGGCATGGTCACTGGAGTCTGAGGAGCTAATGCAGTGCCGAGGCCATTGGACAGACGCTGAAGGTTTGCAGCAATCTGGGCGAATGCGTCTGGATGGGATCCTGGAGTAGCCATAGTATGTACCTATTGAAAACGGTTGAGGTATGGAACTGATGGAGCGAGTATGGCAGGTTCCGCCAGGTGGAGTTGGAGTATAGACAACTTTATCTACTGTGGATTCAACTGGAGACAAAATGATCAAGTGAAAAGAGGCACAAGGAGATTCCAATTCTGACGCGTCTTATTGTCAAGCTTCTTGCAACTGACCAGGAGCAGCAGGATAACTCCAGGAAAGATCTAATTTCTTCCCCGGGTTCCTGCCCTCGATGCGTCCATGACCTCCCCACTTGTCAACAACGCGTGTCTGAAATGACGTCGAGAGAGACCAGGATCCGCCAACTCACGTGATCAGATTTCTCACTTCAGGTACAATGAAACTGATTTCCATTATTAAACTGATCTTCTAGATCCTGGTAGGTTCCAGGGTACAGGCCTAAGAAAGGACAAATGTACGAGATCCAATGGTTAGGCGTACCTCTCAATTAGAAAGCCTGAGTTGCAGATTGAGAAGATTGTGTTGTGCCTTCCTTAATCACCACGTTGTAAGACGCGCTGCAGAACAGTCTATCCTTCTTACACCAATCGTGGAAATCTTTGCAGGGTGTCATACCATCGCAGCAGTCATCCTCTCAACATACTGAAGGCATACTCACGTCTGGACAGATTGCGCACCGATAGAGGATAGATTGCGTGCTTTCGGATCTCAGGTTTGGCTGCTGGTAAAGTGGTGTGCTGATCTTGATTACCGACTTGATGGCGCCAGCTACTTCTCAGATGAATCATTTCCCAGGTACGCTCATGTACGGTAAGGAATAGTAGTCCAACTTCAGGCTTCTCTTCAAGACTTGCGCAAATCCCTAGGTTGTACATATGTTCAACCGCCGAAAAGCGTGAAACCACAACACCTTTTCGCGCCAAGAACATATACTGTCACATGAACAGATCGACGTTGCCACTGCCGATGCGAGAACACATGTTACAAGACTTGTTTCACGATTGCGACATCGATCTGAAGTCATGATCAATCGCGGCGTGCATAAGGACAGGTCCAGGCGGTAGGTCATCTCTTGCATGGATCACGCAATCGGTTTGGAGAAGACGCGAGAGACGGAGCCCGCCCAATGACCAACGGTTGCAGCACGATAGCACCATATCGGCTTCCTCATCGAGAATGACCACAGGTGATGAATGCCCAGGACGACTGCGGGGTCATGTTGTTGGATTGCAAGATGAGTCCAATTCAGAATTTTACTCTCCGTTGATTGGCACCTGGTAAATCTCCTCGTTCCTCATTAACGAGCAAATGACTTGCCGACTAACCGTAGGACCGAAGTCGTTGGGACCATAGCGATATATAAGACGTGTTCATTACCCCTACACCCCAGTGCCCTTTGCTCACCCAAAGCTCCATAGACAATATCAACTCTTCCACCATGGCGACCAGCACTCAAGTCAACCCCCCTCCTTTCCAAAAGGGCTCTGTCGGCGCCTACAAGGAACTGGCATACGGCAAATATGACAAAGAGCGTGAATTGGATCTCGCGGCCAAATTCGGTGCTGCCTCGTATCCCAACTACCTCCCCGTTTGGGACAATGAAAATGGCGAGGTTTACAAGCCTCTGACGCCTTTTGAACATTATGAGCATGGAAAAGACGCTGATCCGACTTTTCCCAACCTGCTCAAAGACGGCACCACCATCGAAGACATCACCGCTTCCATCGGCGCAGAAGTCAAGGGCATCCAACTGTCACAACTGAACGACGCAGGCAAGGATGAACTGGCCTTGTTGGTCGCTCAAAAAAAGGTCGTTGCCTTCAGGGATCAGGATCTCGCCTCACTCCCCATCGAGAAGGCATTGGACCTCGGCCGATACTTTGGAAGACTGCATATCCACCCAACAAGGTAGCCTTCTCTCTCACGGTTCTCTTCCAGAGACGTTTGCGCTAACAACCTCATCATAGTGGCGCACCTGCTGGCTATCCTGAGGTCCATCTTGTCCACCGGGCTGCGGAGGACAAGTCAGGCCTTGAGTTCTTAAATAGCCGGACGAACTCCGTTGCTTGGCACTCAGATGTAACGTATGAGCAAAATCCGCCTGGTAAGTTAATATTCAAACGTTACTTCCTCAGCTTCACCCTACCGCCACTCAATCCCATGTCCCAAGATTCAATGAAGTGGCCTCGCAATCTCTGAAACGTTTTTACCAGGAACCACATTTTTGTACGCTCTCGACGTTCCCAAAGCTGGCGGTGATACTCTGTTCGTCAACCAAGCCAAGGCATACGAGAGACTCTCGCCTGCCTTCCGTGAGCGTTTGGCAGGTCTCCAGGCCGTGCACTCGGGATATGAACAGGCTACCGCGGCTCAGAACCGGGGAAGCTTCGTCCGACGCAACCCAGTCTCATCCATTCACCCTGTCGTGCGAACCCACCCGGCCACCGGAGAGAAGGCGCTTTTTGTCAATCCCCAGTTCACTAGGTATATCGTGGGCTTCAAGCAGGAAGAAAGTGAGTATCTGCTCAAGTTCTTGTATGACCATATTGCTTTATCGGCCGATATCCAAGCTCGCGTTCGCTGGCAACCGGGCACCGTTGTCGTCTGGGATAATCGTGTGACGGCCCACTCGGCCTTGGTCGACTGGGATGACGGTCAGCGACGGCACATTGCCCGAATCACTCCTCAGGCAGAACGCCCGACTGAATCATAAAACCCCTGGTCAACAGGGCTCAGCACCTGTCCAATATCTGCAACCTCACAAATGAATAGACAAATGATCAGGACATAGTATGCGGGTGTCAGTATATAGCTCCTCAGTCACAAGAAGTCCAAAATATCTAGGGATCAGCATATTAGAAATCAAATCATCCTTGTTTGAGGTGAAATCCTATCAACGGCCTGCCAGCCGTGATGCTTTTTCGAACACGCCACGACTCCGGACTAATGCTGGTAATATGGCAGATGAGGAGCCAAAAGAGCTGTAGCAACACCTGGGCGCAAGTCTAGTCGCCTTCGAGTCTGGCCACGACCGTGCTCATCTCGTCGTCTTGATAGATTCTAAAACCACCCTCTTTCGTCACGCTCGCCAACTGGACGTTCTTCGAATCCAGCTTCTCCTCCATCACCTGCTTCAGTGTCTTGAGAACCAATGTCTCCGCCTCTTCCAGTGTCAATGATCTGTGATATTCAGACTGGAGCTCTGCCTGCGCTCCTTCACTTCCCGATCCAATAGCTTTGGCATCATAACGATAGAAAGTTCCTGACGGTTCAGCGTGATAACTGTTCAATGTCAGCCCCAAGCGGCTCTTTACAAACCAACACGACGATCCCCGGAGATTGCTCACAGTTGCGGTCCATTGTCCTCGTCCCAGCCGGCAATTAGTAATGCCACGCCGAAAGGCCGACTCATTATTGACTCTTCGCCCTGGGCACCCTCGCCGAACCTGAGAGCCAGATCGCAGATTGCTTGGGTGCAGCTCTCGACTCCGAGCTTCTCGTTGAAGTTGAAGGCGTGGTTTTGTGATTCGACGCGGGCATGTTCAATCATGCTCCGGGCGTCAGCTTGCAGCCCTGACATGGCGCAGCCGATGTGTCGGTCAATCTCCACAATCTTTTCTATGCTTGACGAAACGAGCAGGGGCGATGTGACACGCTTCTCGACACCGAGGAGGACGCCATGGGAGGTAGCAACCTGCAAAACGTTAGCCATCGGAGCCAGGAAACTGTGTGGAGGAATGATGTTAGAAACGTACCCCAATGGCGGTAGAGCCTAGTTTGATAGCTTCTAAGGAATATTCGACCTGGAACAGACGGCCTTCTGGAGAGAAGGTGCTTTGATAAGTTAGGAAGATGTTCTGGTACACCATCGGATAACTCACTTGATTCCGCGATCTATTCAATGTTAATTCAGGTCTCTCAGGTCTTCGGCATTGGGGAGGTACTACTTACCATATTCTGACCGGGCGATGAACATTGCTGCGGCGATTGCAAGAAAGGAGAGACTGGAGAATGTATGACAACACTTGGGACTCTGAAGCCAGCCGGAGAGGGATGTAGTAACAAGAGAGCAGGGTTTGGGGGTGGCAGGTCGGTCGGGGTTGAACAATGCGGTGATACTGAGATGGGAACAGGCAAAGTTGCATACGAAATCGCGGCGGGACTCACGCGGCGTTGTGACGTGGATGATGAAGAACTTCTCCGTAACGCATCAGTGCCAAGTCTACGGCCGGACATACAACTCAGTCTGCAGTTCCTCTCAAAAGATACAGCACTCCTTTATGAATACTGGACCTTTTTAATTTAGACGACCACTGAGTCCCTGACAGGACATTGATCTCGTGAGGCTCGAGTTCTCATGATTTCTTTTGAACTCTCGTTGCGTAACTCTCGTTGCGTTTCATTGTCTTTGGATTATGTGTATTGTGTAATCATTTCAAACCACTAGCTCCCTCGTTGAGTCGCTCTGATCTACATTTTCTTCACTTCACCTGCTGCTTGCGGACTGCGAGAGCTTACTGGTGGGCCTTGGATGAAACCTCTCCCAGATGAATCATGACGCTAGACAACAGACACTGAATAGAACGCATGCCACTTCCATGGAAAGGGAGCAGACGGGTCAGATGGGTGGCCAGACTGTGGAAACATCGGCAGGGAGGGTCCAATTGCCCAAGCTGTTTCCGGGCATTGTGCAAGACTGTGTGCAGATCTTCCGCCTAATATTGGTTTTAAACAAAGAACGTCCTGTAGGCCATCGACTGTAAATTGTAACTTGGGAGCCTTGAACTTGACTCTAGAATACGTCTTTTCCCCGTAGTCGACTAGCCAAGAATAGCATGGCCATTTTATGTTGAGAAAGAAAAGCCCGTCACGTCACTGTTTCAGAGCTCGATGACAGCACGTTCAGGTTGGACAAATCCAAGCCTTCCAACGAGGCATTGCATCCCTGGACGTAGATTTATGCCAAAAGCTTGGTGCGGACGCGTCCTTCTTTAAACCGCCACCTCGTCGAACCTTCTGATCACCCGGATGAAAGTCACTGGGGTACAACGACTTGTCACACATTGCTGACCTTCTACCAAACAACCGTGTTTTGACCCGGATCCTCGTTGTTCTATGCCACAACCATTAATTCCAATTATGCACCTCTATTGTCCACCATGGTTCGCCTTATTTATTCGACGCTGAAGCTGGCATGCCTGGCTTTTTTAGTCATCATCGGGTTAACCTCGCTGCTCCGACTGCAGTTGCCCAGCTTGACCTTTGGTTATAAGCGTTATCATCATTCGCCGGTGCCGCTCAGCACAGAATCAAAACGGCTAGTGGTGGCAAGTCTCAAAGGCGATGACACACGATGGTTAGGAAAACGGCTGCCAGATTGGCCTGTGTCGTTGTATGTGGTGAATGATCCCGAAGCGAAGTTTACTGTCCCTTTGAACAAAGGACGAGAATCAATGGTCTATTTGACGTAAGATCCAAACCAAGCCCGCCCACTGCATTCCAAACTCATATGTTGCAGCTACATCATCGACAATTATGACAATCTACCGGAAATATCGGTTTTCATACATAGTCTTCAATACCAGTGGCACAATGATGATCCCAACAAAGATGGAGCCACCGTCATTTCACGCCTTCAACTACCCTATGTCCGAGAGCAAGGCTACGTCAACATGCGCTGCGTATGGACGTTAGGCTGTCCAGAAGAGATAAATCTCGACGATCCTCGGTCTGGACATACGACCTCGTTGCATTTTCGCCACGCTTTCGTCGAATTGTTCCCACAAAGAGCTGCAAATGGAACAACTCCAAGTGTGGTTGGCGCGAGTTGTTGCGCCCAGTTTGTCGTGACGGCCTCCAAAATTCGAGAACTGCCCAAGGCGGAATACGAACGCATCCGCGAATGGTTGACCAAAACGCCCTTACCGGACGATATTAGCGGCCGAATACTCGAGTACTCCTGGCACATGCTATTTGGCCGACAAGATGTTCATTGTCCAGACGCAAGAACTTGCTATTGCAATGTCTTTGGACTCTGTAACCTCAAGAACTGTAATGCGGGACGCTGTGAAGGCCAGTACACCTTACCAAAATACGCTTCCATCCCGCCTGGGTGGAAGCCTTTGCCTATGTACCGACAATGGTAGAGCTTCCAGCTCACAGCACTTTTGATTGGACTTATACCTTCATCCACGCCAATCAATTGAATCAATCGGACGTTTGAATGAATTTACAGATACCGGGGAGGCTGTGATATAGATCCGCTTCCGCATATTTCATTGATGGAAACATGAGTCTACATAGGATTGCACGGGCGTTCACAGGTCGGTATACTATCGAGGGCCAGTGGCCCCCGACTGGAGGTGTCCTCGAGGGAAATCGTTAAAGTAGCGGCACTTCTCACGATACTGGAGCCAATAAAATATCTAGATACGGTTGCCGCCTTAAGGCTAACCTACCGAGTGTGCCATTGATTCTCCCTCTCTCTTACCCCACTGCGCCCACCGCCTGCACCGCGACGCGCTTGTTGTTCCCTAACAAGATATTCGCCTGGACACTCGATCACACCCACACCGTGTGGCATTCGTTGTCGCAATTCTGCAAATTGCCCTGCAAATTGCCCTGGTGATCGTTCTTCGTCTATGCTCCAAGGCCAATGACGACTTAGAAGAATGAAGACCGGGCACAATGGCCTCTCTACATCACCGGAGCGCTTCGATGGCTGATCGTCGTAGTGCTCATCTTTCCAGTGGACCGGCCAGGGTCAGTTCAACCAGATCTCGAGATTATGACCGACCCTCCGACCGCGACCGAGATGGATTCTCTCCTATAGTATCAGGTAGCCCGACCGAGCCACGCGACGGCAATCATAGACATTCAAAAAGCGACAACCGCCTGAGCGGCTTGGAACGGCGCAAAGAAAGAACAACCATCACAACAACCGATACCGTTTACACCAGAAGAAGTCCCAAGAAAGATCTCCCGCATAGCGAGCTCCGTAGGAGCGACACTGATCGAAGGCGTAGCGCCGGCCCCGCTGTTCTTAAAAAGCCCGTCAAGGAGAACCCTCAAGGTAGGCAGGCATGCACACGACTTGATTTTCACTCAGTGCTGATGTCGATGTAGAGCCATGGATTCCAACTGTCCAGCTCGTCCCTCACTCGTCTGCGCCTTTGGCCTCTCGTGTCACATCGCCACCCATAGCCCGCGCCGCGCCCCCAGAACTAGAACCCCCGCCCTTGGAATCAATGTCTATGCAGGGACAAGAACAAGCCATACTGGATGATCTCCTGTACGTCTTCATGGGCTACGAGGGCCAATACATCCGCTTCCACGATAAATATAACCCATCAGAGGAGAAAGACAGACTCAATGGACCAATATTTGAACCAGCGGCAGGCCTTGATCCAAGTCTGAAAGATTTGACTAGATCGATTCTCACCATGGCCACCCATTATTGTGCCATGGAGGCTTTCATCGAGGTTCAGAGTAGAGCAGACTTTGGCGCTGTCAACCATGCTCTCTGTGCCGCCATTCGCAAGCTCCTCAAAGACTATCTCATCCTCGTTGCCCAACTGGAGATGAAAGTCTTGAACGACCCAAGTTTCACGCTTCACCAAATGCACATTGCTATCATCCCAACTGCACAGTCTTTGGCACACTTATACTCTCTGGCACAAGAACTCCTTAAGAAAAATTCCCTTCTCGACGAGGACATTGACAACTCTATAGATGATTTTGATGCTGACAACATCATTGAACGACTCAAAGAGGGGGGGGATCTTCTTCCCGGCAGCCTCAGCAAGAAGAGGTGTATAGGTGGCAATGTCCTTGGCATGCTGACGACTCGTTTATCGACGTTTTCGGGCGATCCTGCGGCCAGAAGTATCTTGGAGATGTTGCTGCGAGAGGCAAGCAGGCCATATATGGTCATGCTCAACGAATGGCTCCACCAGGGAGGAATCAGAGATCACCACTCAGAATTTCTCATTGGTGAAAGGGCTAGTATTAAGCGAGAGCGTCTCGACGAAGATTACACAGACGAGTATTGGGAGAAGCGATACTACATTCGTGAAAAGGAAATCCCTCCTCAGCTAGAAGCTGTGAAGGATAAAGTGCTGTTGGCTGGGAAGTATCTGAACGTTGTTCGAGAGTGTGGTGGTGTCAATATCACCAGCAAGATCGTCGATACACCTGCCACTTTTGATGACCCTCGATTCATGGACAACATCAATCACGCCTACTCTTTTGCCAATAAAGAATTACTTCGCCTGCTCCTCACCAAGAACTCTCTGCGAAGCAGATTGCGCTCAATGAAGCATTATTTCTTCCTGGACAAGGCTGAGTTCTTCTCTTACTTCTTGGAGTTGAGCTATTCGGAGCTCCGCAAGAAGTTCAGGGATGTCAACGTTGGCAAACTACAGTCGCTCTTTGATCTTGTCCTTCATCAGCCGGGAAGCATTGCCGTGGCCGATCCTTTCAAGGAAGACGTCAAGGTCAAAATGAACTCTGTTGGACTAACTCAATGGCTGATCAAAGTCGTCAATGTCCAGGGCATGGACCAGGACAACCCTGAATCCGTCATGGAACAGTACAAGACACCGGTTGAAAAGGGCAAAAAGGAAAAGGAAGAAGAAGAGAGAGAGATTTCTGGACACGGCGCTCTGGAACTGGATTATTCGGTTCCATTTCCACTGTCCCTCATGATCAGCCGAAAAACAGTCCAACGGTATCAGCTCATCTTTCGGTATACACTGGCACTCCGCCATCTGGAAAACCTTTTGGTGGGATGCTGGTCGATTCAGAGTAAAGAGCGCAGCTGGATACATCGTTCACAGAACCGGAGAATCGAGTTTTGCAAACGACGCATTTGGACTCTGCGGTCAAGAATGTTGGTCTTTGTCCAGCAGATGCTCTTCTTCGCCACAGCCGAAGTGATGGAACCCAGTTGGCAGAAGCTCATGGCGAAAGTTGATGACACGGAACGTGGCGAGAAAGAGCCAACACCATCTCCATCCGGACTGAATCCTAAGAGGAACCCGACCGTTGATGAACTGATGCAAGATCACGTCGACATGCTCGATACCATCCTCAAAGACCTTGGGCTGACCCAAGCCAAACTCCTACGGGTCAACGCGAAGCTCATGACCGGGTGCCAGCTATTTGCCACCTACGTCGAACGCGCAACCAAGGCTCTATCAGAAGTAGACACCAGCATGTCGGAAGCGGCGGGCAACAAGAAACCAACCGCCAATGTGCCAGCTGTGGTGGTCCCACCGACAGATCCAGCTCGCATGAAACGGCTCGAAGACAATATCGGCAAGTACGAAGACCACTTCAATCGCCACCTGAAGATCCTGATTGACGCACTTAACTTTTACGCCACGACGGAGACAGTGTCATTGTTGAGTCTTGCCGTTCGCCTCACCAACGCCGAGGTGCAGAAGCGAGATGATGCATTTTTGTAGAGCACGTGTGATGTGACATGTGAAGCAAGCGTGTTGATTTAGACAGAACATTGATGATGGCCATGATCGCGTGACATAAAGGTGCTGGTCTTAGTTGATCCTCTATCAGGGAAGCATGGTTTGAGTGCATACATGTGCTGCAAGTGCTGCAGCGCGACCTGTATTCGACTTTACGAGTGTCATAAGACAGCTCAAGCTTTGGACACGTGAATGAAGATCCCTAATGATGATGACCATGATGCTATTGCTACTACTCCTACTCCTACTGCTATTACCACAGTAGTGCGGTCTTGTTGTTCCTCTCGCTCGCACATCGAGGTTGGCCAATAGCAAATACAAGCGACCTTGTTATCTTGTCTTGTAGACACAGGGTTTCAACACCTTGGCCTCGTCCTCTGGAGAAACGTCGTCATCCCTTCCCTGACCGCCAGAGAAACGCATCTTGCCGTCGTGTTGTTTTTGATATTCGTGGCCGTTCCATTTGAGACCCTGGTGCTTGCCGGCAGTTGGAATTCCTGACTTGATGAAGATCATGGTGACAAACATTTTGTTGCTTTTGTCAACCGATTCTTCTCGGAGCTGGAAACCTCGGCGGGCAAAAACCTTGACAAAGGCGGAGATGTCGGTGTCATCCTGAGGTCCGGTGGCCTCCTCGACGAATGACTCGGTCGGTACGCCATCATCGTGGCCGTCGTCCTTTGGTCTCTGGGTCTTCCTCCTCTTGCCCACGCTATTCTCGACAACACGGGGACCAGGTCCACGACCAGCCCTGCCGAATCGGGACTTGACCTCAGCGACCCATACCTCTCCCTTTCCATCTCCACGCAGGATGCGCCAGGCCTCTTCGACGAAGCTCACCCAGTTGGTGCCCATGAGACTCAGGCAAAAGACGGCAATATCTGCTTCTCCGTCTCGTAGCGGGAGGTTGGAGATGTCGGCTTTGGTGACGAGTGTGTTTGGAGAGTGGAGGTCAAAGTTGTGGAATTTGAGCTTCAACGACTTGTTTAGAGCCTGACAGCCGCGGGCGAGAGGTGCATCGCCGCAGCCCAGATCTGCTATGGTACAAGAGCCAGTTTTGCGGCGAGGAATCGGGAGGACGCCATTCTGGGGTGATGCCAGGGTCCCACGCGTCTTGATAGATGTGATGTACAAATCCACCGGGTTCTGTGGCCATGAATCTTTGACTTGTTGTGAGAAGCCTGCGTGATATTCGGCGAAAAGATCTGGGGATGAGGAGAAGAGATCCATTGCGGAAGCTGAGGAGGTTGTATACAAGGTCTCATTGAGATGACGAAAGCGAGCAGAAGTCAACTTGCTGCGCATCTTCGCTTGCAACGGTGTCAATTTCGTGGTCGGGAAAACGGTAGAAGGATGCAACTGTGATAGTCCTTTGGCCGTGGTGGAGGAGGCATCTGGCTGCGCTTGGGCATCTCGGGCAGGGTTTTCTGCGTCGTGATTTCGGCGATTGTTAGAAGTTTTGTCGCGAGAATTGCTGCTTGTCTTGGGCTTGTCACTTCTTCGGGGAGCTTGAATATCGTGCTGAGATTTGGCGGAGGGGTTTTTCGACGAGGCAGGATCGACTTTATGGGTTCGTTGGCCCTCCGTCTTCACACTGGGTATTGTTTTGGTCTCATGGTTTTTGGCACCGTCTTTCCCGCTTCTCGCAGTCTTGTCCCCTTCAGACGTGCGCTTCTTGGCCTTGCCATGATCCTTGGGCTGCGAGACAGGCTTCAGGGTATTGTGTTTGTTCCATAATTTTTCAAGCTCGCTCCCAGAGATCTTCGAACTGTGGTCTTGACGAGGCTGCGCATGCTTCCTTTTCTTCGAGGTGGAGGCGGAAGAATCTTTGACGGAGGATGAATGTGCGGTAGAGTCCCTCTCGGAGACAAGAGAAGTAGCGGAAACCGCCCAACCAGGAACTGCGAACATTTGAACTGGGTTGGGTGTGTGTACAGTAGTCGGTAATACTCAAAGAAAAAGATTGCAACCGGCTAACGAGAATCCGGGTCGGGCAAGTGGGGACGGATCCTGACATCTGTCTCTGTCTTGCGTTCGGTGAGAAGCAGTGGAGTTGGAAGAAGCTAAACCCCAAGGGAGCGAGGGCTGTTGGACCCGTAAGGCCGCGGACTCAAGGGCTTGGGGCCAAGAACAGTTATGTACAGTAAGGGACTAGGTACCTAGAGTACTCCGTAGGTACTGTAAAGACACTAGAGGGAGGCTCCGTAGCTCGTGGGTATAAGGTCCCGCCGGCATGTCTTTGCTCCGTCCCTGAGGTGCGCATGGTTTGGGACTTAGGCCGAGGGGCTTTGGAGGCTTTGTGGCTACTTACCCAAAAGGTAGGTACCTAATTAGTGCTACTTTTTAGTCGGTGATCCCTAAGTTACTCCGTAGAGCATTTGCACCAAGATTTGGAGATATCAAGCGCGGGGTACGCAGCCATTGCAGGTTCTTGACCCGTCGTCGGCCGCTTGAAATATCAGCCATTTCCAGGATGCTGAAGAAAATGTCGAATAAGCCAAAAAGCCACAAGGTCCAAGGCATCTCAAACTTGGAATATGCTGGTATGAAAAACCCCCAACTCATTTGCACTTTGGCGGAGACATTCACTCACGGCAGATGATCTGGCAGTGTGGCATTGTGGATACAGTGATGATAGGGCACAAGATGCTAAACAATAATTTGTGCAATGGGGAGCACTCGGGAGTGAATCCGAGGTCTCCACGTCTGGCATTGACCCACGCTCCATACAGCATGTGTACTGAGTACACATACGCCGTCCTAAGTTGGTACAGCTTGGATTATTCAGGCACCAAGGATTTGTCGACCATCCAAAAGCCCAATTGCTGAATTATCACATAGTTGGAGTCATGAAATAACACATCCTTTTGACGCCAGCCAGCCAGCTGTTGATGAAATTCCTCAGGTATGGAAGTTTGAAAGTTGGAAGATTGGAAGTCGAAATTTGCCCACGAGACCTTGGCCTTGAGGCATGGTGGGAAAGTGGGTGAACCTCCAGGCTGTACGCATTGAGTCTAGCAGCGTTCCAGGGCAATTACCAAGGAACTCTGGTGTGTCTGGGCCCCTCGGCCCCCTCGAAGATGGACTTAGAGCGGCCAAACTTAGTTAAGCCCCCGTGGTCCTCCACCAAGATAGCCCCATCAGCCACTGGTGGTCCAAGCGGACGCAAGAACCAGGATGGTGGGAACATTTGCGCAATACAGTCACGGCTCACGAACCAAGTCGATGCACCTCGCGCATGTTTCCTGACTCGTCATCATCGGTGGAAACGATGCGCACGGGAGAGAGAAGATGCGTGATAGGGAGGTCGCATGTTGTCCACAGGAAGCGACGCACACACACAGTATCTCGGAACAGTACCGCAATTACGCAACGGAATGTACCTACCTACGGAGTAGATAGATATTCTTATCTCGAGAAATGGGTTTCACCAGGTTAGGTAGCTCGCCAATTTCAATTGACCATTCGGATGATGCAGTGCTATGCCTGCGGATAATTCCCATTAACGCGTCACCTATGTAAAGCAAAAGGATCTACGGAGCTACGTATGAAACTCCATATATGCGAGTAGTCGTGTAGGCACGTAGGCGCGAGAGTACGGAGTACCTGATGTGCAGGCCTGGTGGTGTGTGCCATGCTGGTGACACGCTCGTGACTCTGCAAGTTCGTGGCCCCAAACCTTATAAGCTTCCACTTTAAGCAACGCAACCAGTACTGAGATTGTCCGCACAAAGGACCGCATTGGGCTAGTTGAAAATAGCTGGGATCAATAATGATACTGCGGGTTTGGTCTTCCGGACAGCTCAAGGCCAGGATTGTTTTCAAATACCTACTGACATGAAGGTGCTCGTGGTGGACGTGGACGCCGCTCACCGATTCTTACCCTGGTCGCAAGAGTCATCCGTTGCTTCCAACCGTGTGTCGATTGCACGGCAATCCCGTGTTTGTCACACTCTCATCATTGGCCCTATGTACTCCGTATCCAACACTTTATCATTATTGGAGTCAAGGTTTCTGGAACCGTTGAAATGCACCAAGAGTTGCTGTCGCTCGGTTTGTCACGGGCATGGGCATGGGCATGAGCATTAAACGCCGAGAACCCTAAGGATTGATGTGGATCGATGAACGGATGAACGAACGAGGGGGCCAGGGACAAGGGCTAACTAACGGGGACCAAGTGGCAACCTCCGCGTGCATTGACACCTCGGCCAGGCTCCCGAGGTAGTCCAAGGGGGCGCTCGGGCCCTATAGCCTTGTACCCCTAAGCCCCGCGACGTTTCTTGTTCCTGCACCTGAGAGGGGAAGCTTATGGGTTCGGCATATGCCTACGTACCTAGGTACCGTAGGCACCTAAGTAGTACCTTCCATACCTGGTTACACTTGGATGCCGCCTCTGCGTATGGCGAAGCTCCCACTATCATCTTACTTTGTCCGAACTTGATTGGGTTGATTATTACAAATGGTTGGCTTGCAGATGTCAGAATCTCGACCAAGTGTCCTGTTAGATTAGCCCACTAGATTCTGCATTGTACGTAGTATTCAGCAGGGTTCAAACTTAGTAGCTAGAGGTCCAACCCAGCCAAACGCAATGTATCTTGTGTTTCTGACAATGCGCGGCGCTATGCCACGTGCTCCTTCAGGCAACAGGGACCAGTAATTCTACACACGGTTGTGCCTATGTAGGGAGTTAACCCCTGTGGCCCTGTAATGCCACCATTGCTCATAAACCCCAGAGGGAAAAGTCAACAAGTCAACTGCGTTTGTGGCGCTGTCCCCGACTAAGGTTCTTAATATTCCGTTGCCCATTACCAGCTGAGTAATAGGTACATACCTGAACTACAGTATCCATACGCTGTTACGCGCATACCTTGTCGTGCTTGTGCTGTACGCAGGCGGGGCTGAGGGGCAAAGACTTTCTTCTCTGATCACAATGTCAGACCACCCTGGTAAACGGAAGCCCACAGCCAGCCTTGGTGCTCCTTAATTCCCTCCGAGCCAAAGCCCGAGGGCCCTGCATGCAGAAGCCTCCGCGGCCTTCAATATTGCTTGTTTTCTGCTATGATCGTGATCATGAGCATGAGCATGCTCGACTCTTCACAAATCTCCCGCGTCCGCCTGCCCACCAACCCACCAGCCCACCAGCCGTACCTCAATACGGAGTACTGGGCTTGCACGGTTTGCTACCTCCAAGTTAGTACCTCCCGATGCGTCCCAGTGCCCCCCAAAAGCACTGTCGTCGGTGGCGACTTTGATCAACTTTGCATCGGCCATGACCACCATCCCCACATCCATCATTGATCCACCATCCACCGTCCACCGTCCACCCATCCGTCTGTTCTGCAGTCGATCGAGGGCACAACTTGTACGGCGCCTTCGGGCTGTCCTTTGCCCTCAAACCCTTTGACTACTCAAGGCATGCTCAGAACCGAGCCCCGTCATCCCGGGACCATTCTTGAACCCAGCCCGCAGCCATCCTGGCCGTTCTCCACTTCAGCCTCTTGGACCTTATAACCGCCAACTGTTCGAAACCATATCCCGAATACTCATCATCTCGCACCCCCTCAACCTCATGTTCGGCACTCCAGTTCTTCTAGATCGATCTGTTCCAGTCCGTTGTCCGCCTTCTCTAGCGCTTTGAAACCCTCAACTCGTGGTCCTGCTCTGCGACCTCGACCATCAACTCACCAATCAACTCACCAATCGCCAACGCAACTCAACCACGCTGCATATGCAGCTACAAGGTATTCCCACCGTTGACTGGATTTGTGATCTTGTCCCGCTGGCCTGAGTGGGCCCAGCGCTACGAGTAAATACAGCACCATCAACGGCTTCCGGCGAGGCGAACACACCTGCTTCTTCGGACACCTCGCCTTGCACCAAAACCACTTCAGCACCCTGCTGGTCTTCTATATTCAACCCTCGGTTCAAGTCAAGCTAGTTGGGACCATGCTTCTCATTGTCATATAGCCCTACACGTCTGGTTGCCATTTCAACTCAACCTGTCAGAGTCCACCTCGAACATCTAATGGTCACATGCCTATCAACAAGACTGAATGATTGATGCTCCTCCCATGTTGGCTTGATAGCTCCACTCCAGAAGGACCACCGCCTTCCATCATTGATGAGGCTTGTCACAATCGTAATCGAGCCTTTGCTACCCTGACCAAGAGCGTCCGAATCATCACCGCCACGACCTCTATGCCTACAGAAACAGATGACCCGGAATCATCCTCATCGGAAGCAGAATCTGTTCCTGCAGAAGGCCCTGCAGAGCGTCCCGCCCCCTCTGAGAAGCCGAAGCAGGCTGCTACAGCAAAGAGAAGGACAAAAACTGGCTGTCTGAGTGAGTTCCCCCGTCATGCTACTCAAACGAAATAGACTGAAACCATGACCATGTAGCGTGTCGAAGGCGAAGGATCAAGTGCGGAGAGGAGAAACCAGTGTGTACGCTTCCATTCAATCTGCTACATCAAGCTAACCCGTTCAAGACCTGCAAAAATTGTATCAAGTCGAAGCGCGAGTGCGCTGGCTATGTCCAGCCCTTGGTCTATAAGCAAGAGCATCATGCGCCTCCAAACCCAATTCAAGGTCGGACCGATGGCATCTATCTGGCCCAAGATCAGTCTTTCGTCCCTGGGCCGTATCTCAACATGCCAATGCCGCAACACCACTTCATGAATACGCAGCCTCCCTTCCAAACCCATGCACATCCCCAACACTTTCAAGATCACCCTCGATATGTCGGTCCTGTCCCAGTTCAGGACCCTCGCATACAGTATCAGAATATGCCTACAGACCCCAGTTCGATAGCATGGCCCGTCGATCCTAATCAGTTCACAGCTCGGTTGCCTGGAGAAGAAAACATTATGGCCGTACCAACTTTGTACGGCCACACGTATACTTCCGCGGCACCCCTACCAGCCACTATGGCACCGTTTGCCTCATCTGGCCCCTTGTACCCTCAAGCGTCCATGCCCATCGATCATCCAGAACATCTTCACCACCCACAGTACGCAAGAGCGTTCCAAGAGGTTACACAGGACTTCTCCTCGCACCTACAAGCGTCGAATCCAACAACTACAGTCGGTAGGCATTGACTCAATGCACAGTATTCTCGACACTGCACAGAGACTAACTCTGGTAGATCCCACACCCCGACAGTATAGTATCCACGGATTCGTTCAGCATCCAACTTTGTCAAATCCTGTTCAATCCTTTGCGATTCCTCCTCTTAATACAACCCACCTGGGTGTTGAAACAGACGATGATTTCGAGGACCCCGAGGACCCATTTGACGTAGATATGGATGAAACTGACATGTCCTTCAATGACGCGGCCGAATCCCTCCGGAACATGCTCGATCGGTCGGGCAACACCAACTGGCAGCAGTCATCGCAGTCCAACCCTAGGCGACGTCAGCAACAAATGTTAGCGACATATAGGCCAGTACTAAGCTCGTCACCTTTACGAGATGAGAGGAATGAGCGCATCTTTTGCCATTTTGTGGAAATTACGAGTCATTGCATGAGCATCTTTGAGAGACACCAATATTCGCCAATCTCCCTTCCCACCCGAACCTTATGGAATTTCACCATACCTGCCCTGGCCATGTCTCATGCCGCTCTGGCACATTCGATATTGGCTCTGGGGGCACTCCATCTGGCCAAATTGCAGGGACTGCCAGAAGACATTGCCGTGAAGCATTTCACATATGCGGTTCGAAGGGTGGGGAAATTGCTCGGGCTGCCCAAAAGACGACACGAGATCGCCACGCTTGCCACTGTCCTTGTTCTGGGCTTCTATGAAGTTCTGACCGGCGACCATTCCCGCTGGTTTCTTCATCTGGGCGGCGCTACCAGACTGGTCCTGGAACATGACTACGCAGCATTGACGCGAGCGACTCGGCGGATGAGAAGCGGCGCCAAAGCTCGCGTCCACCAACAGACAGCACAATTCGCTCTCACCGAGGAAAATTATGCTCGAGTGGCAGGAATTCCTTTGGCACTGCTCGATGATGTGGACTGGGAGGTTGATGCCCAACTTGTATCCCGTCTGGCAGGGCTGCCCGTTGATTACGACAATCAACATCAGCCGGGGTTCCCATCTCACGGCTTTACCATGGACTTGAGTACCAAGGATGTTGAAGATTTCAAAACCAAGATGGATCTTCGATGGTGGTACTGTAAGCAGGACATCTTTGGCAGCATGATCAGTGGGGATCCACTTCTCATGCCGTTTGAGAACTACATTTACTGCCCTCCAAGGGGTCAGATAGGCCGGGGCAACAATCCTTATGCCACACTCGATCACATGCTGTTGATTATGGCCAGAATTACCGATTTTGGCGGAAAAGATCGAGCTCGCAAGCAGAGGGCAGTCAAAGCACAAGGGGGTCAATGGAGGCCGCCGCCTTGGCTGTTCCCTCAAGGCCCCCCTGGCGGACCACCGGGCGGCCCTCGAGGTGGCCCAGGAAGCAAGATGAGTGGAGGACCACCACGGCCGTCTCATCAATCCCACCCCACAGTCACACAAGGTCCTAAAAGCGCAGTACCGAGTACGTCTGACATGTCCAAGGCCAAGGCTTCGACCGCTCCAAGCGCGAACGAAGGCAGAATTAGACGACAAAGCCGACAAGGTCCTCCGGGAGAGAGTCCTCCAGGTGCTCCGCCCATGTATGGCATGATGCCGACGTCAAGTAACAATGTTGAGATGAACTCGGCATTTAGAGCAATGGATGCATCAATGAAGGACCCTGCATTCCAGACCAAACGAGAAGAGCGACACGCCTCGCCACCAAAGTCTCTTGAGGAGGAGACTGCAAGAGCATTTGCCGAACACGAATCAATCACCAAAGCATTCGATCTATATAGATCATGCCTTGGTCCAGACTTTGATCCACTCCCGCTTTCCGACGTCACTCCACATTCTACACCTTTTGGACCAGCGCTGGTCTACAGAAATCCTGCCATTGCTAATCTCTGGCTGTTCTACAATGTTGGCCGCATCCTCCTGCACCGGTTCCACCCTGAAATGCCGCCAGCTGCCATGGTCTCAGCCGGAGTCACGGCTCACCTGACCAAGGACTACGCTCAAACGGTGGGCAGAATCTGTGCCGGGCTCTACTCCCCGCACCATTATGGCCAAAAAGGGCCTTTGGATCCTTCATTTGCCGGTGCTCTGATGGAAAGCACCTTCCAGCTTCTCTTCGCGGCTGTCCAGTTCCAAGACGCCGGTCAGCGAGGCTGGACCATCACCAAACTTCAGGATGTTGCGCAGAGATGTGGATGGCAGACATCTGGAGCTGTTGCTGCGGCCTGTGAAATTGCCTGGGAAAAAATGGGACAGGCTGGACGAGGGCCACCATACGAGCGCACCTTGGACGTGAATAACAAGGATGTCCGTGTGAGTGGGAAGTTCTCGCGAAACCCTAGCGCCAGCGTCAACAACTTTCGAAAGTCGGACGACGCTGTTACAGATTACGAATTGGAGTTTGTGAATCATGATCGGAACTTGATCGATCGATCTGGGTCGACCAGAACTCACTGGGCAATCGGCTTACTGTCCGTTGAGGAAGATATCAAAAAGATGACGATTGAGGACGAATGAGAACTCTGCGGAACAATTAATACCAGAGGCGACGATGCAAAGATATCTGACATAGTATAAGTAGTGACAAAGAAGCAACAGCGCGAGCAACCTTTGGATGCATCCATCAAACATGGCAAGCACATTGTTCAGGCCTGCAGCTTCCCTTGACTTGACCAAACTTGAAATCCTGATCTCATCGTTTGACGTGGATTCATCAACTCTGCGTCTCTTGATCGTCACTCTTTTCTCTTCCTCCTCGCCAGACAACATCGCCTGCCGTTGCATAATAGTCTTAGATCTAATATGACCCACCAATTCCCACAGGACACAGCATCCTATTTCGACCATCCCAACTCACCACGGCCTGACCCTGATGGCAGCACGCCGATTTCTCCAGGGACGATTCCCTCAAGTCTTGTCAAAAACACTACTCGACCGTCATTGTCTCTTCTTGGCTTCCTTAGCCGCCGCACGAGATCCGACTATGACTCTGTACACAAACGGGTCCATGTGCAGGCTATCGAAGACGATGGTCCAGCGCACCAACTAACTGTCAAAAGTCCTCTCTCGCAGCCAGAATCTCACAATCCGCCTAATGCTATTGATTCTGATACAGACTCGATCGGCGGACGACGGTCGAGTCTAGAAGTGCCATCCTCCCTCGACGCTTCTCATCCAACTGAACAGAGACCTGCCAGATCTGCCTCCAAGACTCACGCATACCCCCCTCGACGGCCACGAATTGGTCATACCTGGAAGCGAACGCAGTCAGGGAGTGTGTGGTTTGAGACTCGGAAGTCGACGATCGAAGGTCTCCCTACTCTGCCATCTTCTAGCTCTCATGCTGCTAATACACCTCCAGATCAGCTCCCGGTACGCCGTGATCAGACTCCGTTGGCACCGCCGAAACCAAGACATGTTTCTCATTCACATGTGTCAGACTCAAGCAACATTCGAGTGGAAACCCCCTTCTCTGAGTCCACCGTGCAGGATGTACCGCAAGAAGAAAAGATGACCAAGAGAAAGGAGAAAAAAGTGACATTCAGTCCCAAGACGATGTTTTCGGCGCCATTTCAGTCAATTCGTCGGCTGAGTAGATATGGACGTCATCAGACCACAAGTCGTTCAGAGGAAGCTGCCGGGGCATCGGCAGGTGCGCCCCAGAGTGACATGTGGATGGCAGATCACTCAAGCTTGTTGAAAAGGAATTATACCTTCCAGGCGCTTCAGCGCGTGAACAGCGTCCTCCAGGATCCGACGACGACGGCGTCTCGGTCGATTTGGCCTGCCTCTTTGAACCCACTGCGATCCCGAGCTCAAACAGGGGCTTCACGAGGTCCGGTTGATGTGCCTACAGCACAAGGTTTGGTGATGCCAAACGCAATGCTAGCAGGCAAGAGCAATGATGCTATATCAATCAAATCATACACGTCAAGCCAAAGAGCCATGTTGATGGGGATGCAACCTAGCAACACTCCTGAAGAGAAAGCAACCTACCGGATCAAAAGGAGTGCAAGTGCTGAGACGGAGGAATATCTCACAGTTGATATCAGCATCCGGGGAGGGACCAGTTATTTACCAAGTGAAGCTCGGCGAATTCACACCCCGCCGCTCCCAGACCATACGCAGGATGGTAGATTGAAAGGTTTCTTTTTTGATTACAACGCACCGAGGAGTCAGACAAGTCTGGAGCCGGTGCAGCGCCGGAACAACAGAACATCCAAGCGCGTGGTTCGATGGAAAGACTGGTATGATTTGAAGCTGGCTGAATTGGATACATCAGACGAGTCGGATCTATCATCATGGCCGCGACAGGTCCAAGGGATAGAGCAGCAGGAACTGGACGAGAACATCCCGGAACATTTCCCAAGCAGCCCACTTTGTCCGAGGAATCCACGGTATTGGCGAGTGGTGCAGGGAAAAGGTAACCAGAGTCGGAGTTGTTGGATGCATGGGACAGGAGAGTACGAGGCTGTGGCCGGAATGAATGGCGCCCTAGAATTAGGACAAGCAATGAACAGCTGAGACGTGGTTGGCTGGGTGGAATGGTCAGTGGTAATAAGCACGGCAACAGGTGAAGAATCTAATTCAGGAATAAATCGAGATGGTACCAATGAACATGGAATAGAGAAACAGCTGTGACGAGAGCTGTTGATGCGGGTCGTTGACGGACCCAGCTCGATAGGAATTAAATTTGAAAAGGAGAAATCAGCTACCAAGTTAGTCCTGTCCAAATCTCTCCTCGTATTTTGAGATATGGTCGACCTTTTCGGCGGAGGACGAGCTTTCATCAAATCGCAACTCGACCCACTCATCGACGAGCTTCTTGGCGAGTTCGAGGCCAATGACCCTCTGACCAAAGCACAGGACCTGAGCGTTGTTGGATAGGACGCTCCGCTCGACGCTGTAGGGGTCATGGGCGGTAACGGCACGAATGCCCTCGACTTTGTTGGCTGAGATGGCGACACCCAGGCCGGTACCACAGATCAAAAGAGCGCGATCAGCCTATAAAGACAGGAAACAGGAATGTTAGTAAGTAGTTGGATCAGGAATAATTGGCAGATGAAGATGAAAATGGTGCAGCGATAATATACATTCTGTATATGGAAACCCTCTCGAAATGGAAACAAAGGACGCAAACATTGAGTAGTACTAAGTAGGTGGTGACATGACATACCTCGCCATTCTTGATCTTCTTAGCTGCATCGACCGCCAGATGCGGATATGCAGTGTCGTCGTCAGCACCATCGACGCCCACGTCCGAGACGCTGGCCACACCCGCGTGTTTTCTAAGTGTCTCCTTAAGTGCTGTCTTGTAGGCATGACCGGCGTTGTCGCTGCCGACGACGATCCGGAGAGGAGATTTGGTCGTAGTTGCATTACTCATTTTGGAGACTGTGGGTGATGAAGTTTAGGTAACAGTGGTCAAATGTAGGTGATTTTGGCGACTCGGTATGAGGTGAATCTTGAATTTTGACTTGATGGATAGATAGATTGATGTGGTTGGGGTTTAAAAGGTGGTAGATGTTTATAAGTAAACCTCAAGGTGGCACTGGTGAGTATGGGGTGCGGTGGTGGTTGTCAGGTTAATAATGAAAAGGTCCAACTGTTGGTGGTTTTTGTCTCTTTCATCCACTATAAGAATCGATCAAATCAACGGGCGGCGGTCAATCGGTCAAGGTCAGGCCGAGTGAAATGGTTAGGTTAGAATGCCACGATGCGAGGAAAAAAAGACCAACCCTTGTACAGAAAGGATGTCGGTGGTTTAGCCCGGCTTATGGCTTCTGTCCTCTGCATGTCCCTGTAACTTGTCTGGCGTCATGTTCTTGTTGTGGGGAATCTGTTCCTGCAAGTACGGAGTATCGTCGTTGACAAGAAACTCCAAACCCGGATTGCCGTTTTAGGGCATACCGCCCGGGTAAAAGTGCAAAGTGGGTGGCAAGAAGGAAGAAATGCTGATGTGGGGGAGGAAAGAAGGGAAAGGGAAGGAAAGGGGAAATCACCGGTGAGGGGTTACTGGAACTTCAGTACGGAGTAGCCAGATGAGTTGCTTGGGGTCCAGACTCCATACCTAAGAGCAGAGAGGTATACATATTTATTGTACTCCGTATGTGTACCATAGGCTGGAAACCTTCATCTCTTTACTAACATTCATTCTAGCTATATTCACATGCAAGTTTATCAATTGTCTAAACTCTGACACCATTCTCCTTTGCATATTCCATTTATGTTCGGTATTGGCCCTTTTTTGTGACACCGATTACTGCAAGCCCGTGAAATTATAAAGACTCTTGTTCGACTGTACGACTCACACCTCAACTACACCATGTCTTCAACACCAGTACCCTATCCAACTTTGCCGTCGAAACTAGTCCTAACATCAACAAAAGCCTACTTCTCACCCGCGCGGACCGTCCAGTACCTTGAATCTATTCTCGACCCTTCGACACAGATCCTGTCACTACTCGAGTCCCACAAGTCACAGATTCTCTTTGTTTTGATCCCTGATCATCTCACCGTCTACCCATGTTCTCAGATACTTGCGTCCAGATATCCTGGACCTGACCGAGCCTCCCTGTCGACCGCCTCGTGGCCTCTGACACTTGGGGCTCAAAACGTTTTCTGGGCCCAGGACTACGGCCCATATACGGGCGAAACGGTGGCGCCAGCGCTTGCCAGCTTGGGCGTGGAAATCGTAGAGCTGAACCACGCCGAACGCCGTCGACTGTTGGGTGAGACGGACGAGACGTCAGCCAAGAAAGCTGCTGCTGCAACGCAGGCAGGACTGATTCCCTTGGTCTGCATCGGTGAGCTCGACAAGCCTAATCTATCCGGACCTCTGAGTCAGAGCGTTGGGGTTGCGTTGGCACAGTTGCGGCCCCAGATAGAGGCCGTCTTGAAAGCCGTCCCAAATCACGCTCCTGTCATTTTCGCCTACGAGCCGGTCTGGGCAATTGGGGCTGCCGAACCTGCCGGCGTGGACTATGTCGGCCCCGTCGTCCAGGCAATCCGCGACGTGGCCCGGTCTGTGGTGTCAGACAGAACCGCCGAGGTCAAGGTCGTCTACGGCGGGAGTGCTGGCCCTGGGCTTTGGAGCGGTAGGTCCAATGGCGGCAACGGCCTGGGCAAGTACGTGGATGGCTTGTTTCTGGGCAGGTTCGCCCATCAGGTCCAAGGAGTCAAAGGCGTTTTGGACGAGGTCGTAGAGAGCTTAAAGCAGGACCACGGTGAAACGCCGGATGATTGAGGTCGGACGGATGGAAGGTCAGACAAACTGACATTCATGTCTACAGCTGGAATCCAGGCCTACGCCAGATGGCCATCATAAATCATCGCATACGCCGTCACTCCTTCTCCGCCCTCTCTCGGCCAGCCCGCGGAATCAATATGCCCCTTTCCGATCGTGATCTCCTCGGCCAAGCGAAAGCCAAAGTGCTCATAAACGCTAGCAGCCTGCTTGGTTGTGGCTTCAAGCCACGCCGGAACTCCTTCATCTCTGGCTCGACTTAAGAATGGCTCGATGACCGCCGCAATTGACCCAGACACTTTGGGAGCCGAGGGATTGCGAGCCAGAAAAGACAGATGGTAAAATGGTCGGATTCGGGAGGGATCGGCTGGTGAGGAAAGATACGTCTTCTTGGAATCCATGACCTTGGCCCGCCACTCAGCCAATAATGGACCTGGTCTCGCTTTGGACTCGATGAAGGGCTTGCCTTGGTATGAAGGACCTTCCCAGAGGGCTATGGCTGACCAGTTACCCGCCTGGACTAACTCAGCTCCTGATTCGGCGCTGTCAATGATCCCTTGAGCAAAATGTTGGTGCCGGCGTGGGGAATCGACCAAGGCTGATGGATATGGCGGAGGGGTATTGTCATTGTTTACAATGAAAGCTGTGGTCAAGGCAGTCGTTGAAAATGCTTCCACAATGATGGAAACGAAATGGTCGAGGTCGTCGTGAGAGTGAGGGTCGATGGGAGATGAGACAGGAATGATGGACGGAGACATGTTTGCGATAGATATAACAGCCAAGACAGACAGGGACTCAAGCGACTAAAGAGACGTCTGCGCTATATGTGATGATTCATCGACGATGGCAGTGTAGGATTATGGAAGGAGAGTTTTGCGGTTAGAAACGTGTGTGGTGTTGACCTGTGTGTATGTTGATCTTAGAGATGAAAGGAAAGAAGTCACTGGAGCCAGGTTGATTCAGACAATCATGAGCCAACTTGTGATGGGCGTAAACCACGTAGAGCAAACCCGGGGTAATGGCCAAGATGTTCTACTAGACGGACCGGTTAGTGTCGGTGGATGACATGAAGATGAAGCCCGTCAGGGGAAGCTGAGTGGCCATGTGATGGACTGGTGGTGGCCGTTAATGGGCGGAGCGGAATCGAGTGAATCCATGAGTCAAAGTTTCAGGGTTACAGTGCGCCTTGTGACCAAAGGCCACCAAATTGCCACACAGGAACACAACACGCACATGGCGTTCTGGTGGGTTGGGAATTATCTTAGGGCCAATCGCCATTCAATCTGAAAAAGGGCAAAGATTATTCAAACGTCATGGTTGGCTAACTGTTGAGCCGCCCGCTTGTAGCCGGAAGAATGTGTGACAACGTGAACATTGCAACGAGGGAACCTGGAATGCGGAATGCGAGGCCAGGTCGGGCCAGGCCAGGCCAGCATCAGGAAGCCAACAATTTGTGGCATTTTTTTTTGTTTCTTTTTGTTATTATTGACGACGCGTGTCGAGTTCGAGTTCGAGTTCGAGTTTTAGTTATCGACCGGCAGGCGCCACACCTCTTCTTAGGTCGTTGCTTCCACTTTACTACGTTGCACAAAAGTCACGTGGTCAGCACTTTATCGACGACATCTCCTATTGTCCATTGCACCTCTCCTCTACACTGATGATTCAAATATCCTCTCAACCCTGTTTTTTTTTTTAGATTTCTATCTCTAGTATCTAGCACGGTCGTACTTCAAGGCTCTCCTTGCATTCATTCTCTGGCGGGCCTCGAGATCCGAATACTCTTACCTTGGCTTGCATCCGCTGGATTCGAGCTGTCTTTCGGTGATTCTAGAACTCCATACTCCATACTCCATACTCCAGCCTCAAAGTGAGACTTAGTCACCCTTGTCAATACCTCCATCGTGAGATGCCTCTTTCCCTTGAGAACGGAGCACTGTTGCTGGTGCTAGGGACTGGACTCACCTTGACTCTGGGTCCTAGGAACCCCATACTTACCTTGACTCACCTGGTATGCCACATTCAATCTTAATGGCGTACATTCACTTCCTCCACTGTAATCTTGATCTGCTGGTTGCCCTGATTGATCTCAATCTTGGTTCGCGATCCTTGGAGCTGTGCACCTTGGCCGGGATGGTACCGAGCAAGCTCATCACCGAGGCGTGCTGATCCCTCATAGCGGCGACTCGGTTCGCGACGTGCAACAGTGCCTTCATCATTTCGAGGGTGGCTATGTGAGTTTGATTGATGCGACGATCGGCCAACAGAGCTGCCCTGGTATGGCGTAAGCTCACCCCCGCGAGATCGACCAAAGCAGCTTGCAATGTCGTTGCTGCTGCGTGAGTTGCTCGAATGTCCCCTCGAAGCGGTCTCAACGTCTCGACGAGATGAAGACGATGCCTGCGAACGTCGATGCTCCGATCCAATCACTGTATGTTCACCCGCTCGGCTTCGGCTGGATCCCACGGTGGAATCATTGGCACGGCTGCGGCTGGATGACACGGGAATATCGTGAGATCGACTGCGGCTGGATTGAACAGTCGAATCAAGCGCCCGGCTACGGCTCGACGATACAGGAGCTTCGTTGGCTCGAGTGCGGCTCGACGAAACTGCGTGCGATGGTGATCGAGACATGTCTGCGGGGAGTTAGTTTAGAGTGTCGAGAGTGGTAAGGACTGGTACCTTGAAGTTAGGTGATTTCAGTTGAGTTTTTGGGTTGAGTTGACTTTTGCTGTTGATCCTCTCCAGATATCAGTATGCGTGCTAGGTTTTTGTTGTGAGCTGACTGAGAAATCTGATATCTTTGAAGCTACTGTTGGAAGGATGGAGAGAAGAAATGATGAGACGAGGATTTCTCGATGCTATATATGCATTCTGAGCGAGAGGACCAAATATCCTGACCTCAACCAACAATGGCTTCGAGATAAAGGCGCAAACAATAGTCCCTCGTTGAAAGCGCCACTCTGGCCAGTCGCACAATGGCAGTTCGACGGACAATCTTCAAAGCAATTGTTCACTGGTCTTTTTCCTCGACTGAAGAGGAATAAATGGTAACGAAAATAGCCATCAAATAGAGCGATTCGTCCCATCTTTTTAATAGGCCAGTCCATACCATTTTACTTCCGTGTTTACAGAATCCTTTGTCAATAGCTCTATTTTCATTGTCATTAAGTGCCTGATATACTTCACGATCTACGTTTCGGTCCACGGTCCACGCACGATGGGACAGATGTGAGAGATTGGCTCTCCTGTTGATTGTCTTGTTCGGACCTGGCTTCGACATGGGTTTTGACACACAACTCATCATCAACAACTTGATGGGTAAGAAATATTCCAAGAAATCTTGAGCAACCACAAAGACAAATTCTGGGCTCCGCAAATGCTGGGTCGTTTCTACCAAGATAGCCTCCAGTCTGGTGTTCCTCCCATCGCCTGAGCCGGTGCTCTCTGTCTCAAGCCAAATTCACCACAGTGTCTGTGCTTGATCGCTACTAGTAGCCCTCATTAGCAGTATCTTCCTGTCAATGTTGGTTTGCCCTCCAAGAATAGATAAAATGGATCATAAAGATCAAAATTAAGTATTCACGCATTCAATGTTGTGTTTGTCTGTGCACCAGTTTGCACAGCCTTGTGGCACATGTGACGTCTCAGACAGTTGTACCCACGTAGTCGTTGTTGTCAGGTCTCGGCGAGTTATGCATAAGGTACCTATGTACTGTTTGTGTGCTATTCGTACGTGGTGTACTTACCTGATGTACAGTAGTATCCATACAACAAAGTTGAGACAAGCCCGTATTTTTGGTGGTGGCTTTGATGGCTTTCAGCTCAGGAAAAGAACACATCTTGATCGAAATCCACAACCTAGATCTCAGTGGATGATCATAACGGAGCCCAGGTTTCAGTAGTGTGTCAGAATTTCAACGAGCTAATTCTATGAGTCGTCGGTAGTGCCGAGGGATGCGGGAAAGTGGGCAATTTTATGGTTGAAATTTTCTTTGCTGGGGATCGACGGGGGTTGCGTAGGCTGTGGGCATCGGATGCCTATGAGTGGCCCAACATTGAATTTTTCAGGGGCACACCACGCCTGAAGATACCTGGAATGGTTACGGAGGTGCCCGGGGTGGGAGGCCAAATAACTCAGGATCCAATGAGAAATTTGGCATGTTGATCCCAGAATATCAGAGGAGCTTCTAGTCTGTCGTCGGTACTGTATGTTTTCCGTACAGTGAAATAGGTGGTGAGTACCGTGACATGCCCCTGGGCACCCTAGATCTCCTTGTCGTGGGGGCTACTATTGTTGCCTCAGGTAGGCATGCGCCTCCAGGTTCGTGCTTGAGTACCTAGGTACCTAGACACCCATGCATTGGCCCGTTGCATGTTACTTACCGTACCATTGGTCATTATTTCAATCTGCTCCATCAATCAGGTGCGTAGCAGCCCTTGATTTCTCCGATTTACGATTTTCGCGTTGTACGCGTTTGCCGGTTCCTGAATTCTCACACTCAAAACATTCACTCTGATTTGGCCGCCTCAATTGCCGCAGTCTGCATAACTGTTCATCCTGGTGGGGTTGGCCAGGGCTTAGGCTAACGTGCTGCATGCGTGTCTTGAATCTTGGTCGTGGAGATCTCGATAACTTCCTTGAAACGTCAGATTCACTGCTCTACCATAAGTCTTTTAGACACCTTTTCCCTCGTGTTTCCTTCTCTCCGTTTTCCCTAGATTCCACTCTTGTTAATACTACTGTCTTAATTCCACCTTGGTCTCATTCCACCTTCGTTGCCCTGGCCGTTACCTATCCTGCTACTTTCCTTGATTCACTACTGTTCATACCTGGCGTCATCCCTCACCCAACTGCTGTTGAGGCAGACTCACATCTACACCAAACAACTCCCTCTCTGGTAGAGGTCCTTACCTGTCGTTTCTACTTTCGCCATTGGATTTTTTACCTACTTCTACTTGTGCATCTCTCTTTATCCACAGCCTCGGTGGTTTCATCCACTTGGTCGTGGCTTCACTTGGCCCTGAACTCAAAGTGACATCACCCCTCCCTCTCTCCCTTGTCAAGCTTTGACCATGTCACAAAAAGGTCACTACAAGCGGTTCTCAAAAGAGGGTTTCGAGCCTCTCACCCATTCTACATCCAAGGACCTGCCAAATCCGAACGATGCCACCATCGATATTCCTCTGACCAAAGTCACTACCCACGGCAGCGCTACCGGTGCGCGTAGACACGACGCTTCATCAGCCATGCATTCAAATCCCAGCCGCGACACCAGTTCCGACCCTATGGACGAGAAACACCCCCACCGTCCTCCTTTCAATACAATGCCTTCTGGCCCAGGTGGTCGAAGAAAAAGACGTCAAGACAGAGATGAGGGAAACAGACGCAAGGACGAAGGAACCCTCAACGCCGTTGGGCGATTCTACAAAAAAGTCTACAATTTCTCCGTCATTACGCGTTACTTCATCTACGTCGCCCCAGTTGCCCTGGCCATTGCCATCCCCATGATCATTGGGGCCACTATCGCCCAAAACGCCACAATTGGTGGTGTTAGACTTGTCTGGTTCTTCGCCTGGATCGAGGTCGTCTGGGTTTCTCTCTGGGTGTCAAAAATTGTCGCACATTTCTTGCCTCGTGTCTTTCAGTTCCTCATTGGTGTTGTCAGCTCTGGCACCCGCAAGTACGCTCTGATTCTGGCCGCCCTAGAGATTCCTCTATCCCTAGTCGGGTGGGCTGTCACGTCGTTGGCCACCTTTACTCCCCTCATGACGCTGAACCCCGACAATCGAGCTGGGGACCAAGAGGGCCTTCAAAACTGGCAGTCTATTGTCCAGAATATTCTCTTTGCCTGCGTCTTCTCCACCCTGGTCTTGCTCGTCGAGAAAATCTTCATCCAGCTCCTGTCCATCAGCTACCACCGCAAACAGTTTGATGACAAGATCAAGGACTCGAAACGCAACATCTTCCTTGTCAGCTTGCTTTACGATGCCTCTCGACAAATGTTCCCGGCATATTGCCGAGAATTTGTTGAAGAGGACTATCTCATTAGCGACATCCTCGATCTTGGCGCTGCTTCAAGTCGGAATAGTTTGATGCCCGGCCATAAACGCTCCGGATCGGCAACTCCTATGAGGTTCTTCCAGAATGTCGCACGTGTGGGTGACAAGGTCACAGCCGCGTTCGGCAATGTCGCTCAGGAGATTACTGGGAAAAAGGTCTTCAACCCAACGGCGTCTCACTCGGTGGTTGTCCAAGCCTTGGAGAAGAAACGTTCCGCCGAAGCCCTTGGCCGACGTCTTTGGATGTCATTCGTCCTTGAAGGTAAAGACGCACTCACTTTGGAAGATTTTCAGGATGTCTTGGGCCCAGACCGTGATGATGATGCTCGCGAAGCCTTTGAAACCTTGGATGTGGATGGCAATGGAGATATCTCTCTCGAGGAGATGATGCTTCGAGTTACAGAGATTGGCCGCGAACGACAAGCTATCGCCAACAGCATGCACGACGTTGATCAGGCGATCAACGTGCTTGATAACCTGCTTTGCACTGTGGTATTCCTTGTCGTCATCTTCATCTTCGTTGCCTGGCTCAATGCCAACTTTACCACTACCTTGGCCACCGCTGGCACAGCACTCCTGTCAATGTCATTTATTTTCGCTGCTACTGCACAGGAAGTTTTGGGTTCTTGCATTTTTCTTTTCGTCAAGCACCCTTTCGATGTGGGCGACCGGGTTGATATCTCCGAGGTCCAGTATGTGGTGGAGAGGATGTCTCTGTTGTACACGGTCTTCCGAAGAGTCAAGGATCAAAAGAAGTCACAAGTCCCCAACATTGTCCTCAATTCAAACTGGATCGACAACGTCTCCCGAAGCAAAGCTATGCGAGAACGTATTGTCCTGTCCGTCAACTTTGACACTACGTTTGAAGACCTGGACCTTCTCAAGAAAGAAATGGTTGCTTTTGTCCGGGACAAGGAGAACTCACGTGACTTCCAACCTGATGTCGACTTGGAGGTTCTTGGCGTGACCGATATGACCAAGATGGACGTTCAGATTGAGATCCGACACAAGTCCAACTGGGCCAACGAAGCCGTTCGAGCTGCGCGTCGATCCAAGTTCATGTGTGCTTTGGTGACGGCTGTTCGGCGTGTTCCCATCTACGGCCCAGGAGCCGGTGGAGCCGGTGCTGGCGAAAAGTCCAACCCCACGTACTCGATTGCCATTACTGAAGACGTGGCCGAGACAAACCGACAAGTCTTTAAAGAGGAAAAGGACAAGGCAAGACTTGTGCCACATCTTCCTCAGAATCAAACCTTGTCTCCGGATGGTCCTTCAGCATCGAAAGATTATTTGAGCACGACTACGTCAGGGGCCGAAGGCCGAGAAGCCTCAGCAATCGACCACCTGGTCAGACGCAATGTTGCCGTGGATCCACAAGACGTCCAGGATGAGGAGCGTGACAACGAATTGAGCCGGCAGCGATCTGATAACGTGGACGAAGTTCGTGACATCCTGCGCCGCCAGTCGACTATGGGTCGTCGTCGAGCACAGAGGCACAGCGGACAAAGCGGGATCCATGTCGACAACGATCAAGGGGGTTCTCGCATGATTCCGACCATCGCAGAACCGTCACCTCCAGAACCAATTAGCCTAACAGGAGCACCACCACGCGTTAGTTATTTCGAAGATTCAGCACATCACCCAGAGCCGACAAGATCGCATCCATCGCAAGGCTGGACCAACGTTGCCCCTCTCAACTACCAGACCAGTCAACAATCGAGCCACCATCCAGGCTCGCCAGCGCCTTCGCAGTCCTCCGGTCCGGCTAGGTACGTACCTGGAAACGCGTTTTCGCAACAAGCATATCAGAACCCGGCGATGCAGCAGCAGTCCCGTGCCCCTGTACCGGGAATGTCTGAGATGAAACGAACTCTACAAGGGCCGAACCGATCACAGTCACCACCATCATGAAGTAATGAACATTCGATTTCATTCTACTCTCCCAGAGGGGGGGTAATTAATAGAGACGTCAATAACAGTTGAAATTATAGACGGAGTTACTTTCAGTAACCCTGATGTCCAATTCCAGGGCCAGGATCAGCATTGTTCAATTGCCCCACGTGGCTGGCGTTACATACAAGAATGATTGATTAGGGGGATTGGAGATGGATATGGGATAGGAGTTTATCCTGAGCTGTTACAAATTGAACCAGCCACGTCCCTTGATGATACAAATGGGTTACTGATTATCTACGATCCCATGTGTCACGAGCAAGCAGGGGTGGGAGGGAGCCAGAGATTGAAGAAGCTAGCTACTTAGTCTACGAGATTCGAAATTGAGTAGTTGCTGATAACCAAGCTGCTCGGCACATGCATGTCACGAGATTCATGCGCGAGGCATTCTCAAGGCGTTCTTCTGATTTCTCTTCCTTGCCTTATCCATGCGTACATGGTTGCATCCCTAGCTCCCCCTTCGTATCCGAAAGGGGTTGATCACTTGGTTTTACAGTAGAACTACACAGTAGATCAAAGTAGAAGAAGTAGTCATAGGAGCAGAAGCATTGGTATAAGAAGAAGAGGAGGAGGAGGAGGAGGAGGAGGTATTTATTGATTCCTGAGATCCATCACAGCCCCCTAAAAAGGTTTAAAGTAAGAGCCATGGGGCCCGAATATGATATTCCCTACAACATCCTCCCAACCTTGGGGTGCCCAAAGCCTGTCAGAACCTGATTTCTGACGGTCCAGTGGGCTGCAAGTGTTGTGGACGGAGGCTAAAAATACATGGAGTTGGAATTATACAGGAGATGCTTTGTAGACCCAACAGCCCAAGAAAAGAATAGACTGGAATAGAAGAAAAAGAACACGTCTGGTTGGTGGTACAGTGGTAGAAGTGGCGAAGTGGCGAGGGGTAGGAACTGCGTTCATGATGGACGCTATCCACATTGTATAGTCGAGAGGGGGGCTTTAATGTTGCAATAAGTTGTCTGTGTTGTGGTGGTGATGGTTTGCTCGTCATCAATTATCATCACGTCGTAGCTTTTGGTCTGTTTTGAGTCCTGAAGTGGTTCGAGGTCCTCTTGGCGGGGAAGAAGAAAGGTGATGGAAGGTGGTCATGGATGCTTTGAGTCGTTTGAGATATGGTAGTCATCAATTCAACTCATCAATACCTCACAAAGACACCCGCGACCAATCTGGAGCGGCCGGCAGATTTGTCGGACCGATCCTTCTTGCGATCGCTGCGTGAGTCCTGTGGCGGCTCGCTTGGACTTGCAGAACCACTGCTGCCCACCCTTGATGTAGATGAGGTCTGGTCTTGTCTTCTCGTCTGGTACGAGGACATGTTGTCCTGTCGACGATCGGGCTGTGTAGAACCCATGTCGGCGAAGCGTGTGTTTGAGCTGCTGCCTGTACGACCGGAGGCACGTGCTTTGCCCTTGGACCGACTGGTGTCGTGAGATAGGTCTCTTGGGGAAGTCGAGTGGCGTGAGGATAGGTTTGGAGACTGAGATGGATTCCACTGATATTGGGCGTTTGAAGGTTCGTTTTCAGAATGTTGGGCAAAGTCCAGGTCCTGGTCAAAGTTCGGATTCTGGTCGTCGTCTTCTTCCTCGTCGCTGGAGCGATAGGTCCAGGGTCCGGATCCGCTGGTGAGAAGAGTACGTCGTCGTCGTGGACGTCGTGGTTCCTTCCCTCGATAGGATCTTGGGTCTTGGTCTTGGTCTGGGGTCCCGGAGGTGGCTCCGTGATCAGAGCCTCGATATGAATTATGGCTGGTGTATGATGGAGATGTAGTATTAGGATCTCTATGTTCCATACCCAGAAGGAAAGTGAAAGGGAGTGTCTTGTAGTTCGGGTTGGAAGATGAAGATGATGAAACAAGGAAATGTGATGAGTACAAGAAAGGACTGGGATGGGGAAATTATATGTCTTTCTGAGTCATTGTCCGGAATGAAGAACCTGTGCTCTGAAATGAGGTCGTGCTGGAGAAAACTCAAAACATATAGATATGGAGAGTGTGTCCTTTTGGTCTGGTCCAGTAAAGCAGTGTCAGGATGTAAGAGCAAACCAATTAAGAGGGTGGGTAGTGGATATGCAAGGCGTTGCTAGGATGAGCCGAAGCATTCACAGGCTGCCGTCGTTGCTAGGATTAGACACGAGTGTGATTGCACGAGGAGAGAGGACCTTTTGATGGCTCGAGGCATGATTAGGTTGGGATGAGATATATAGACGGGGCCAAAATGCATGGCCTACATGCGGCAGAAGTGATGATCGGGCTTAGCCGCAGTGGCTTTGGGACGAGGGTTGACGGGGAGGGATAACGTCTTGAGCTTGAGGAGTCACGACGTCGAGGTGTGGGCCGCATTGAAGGGTGAGTAGATGGTTAGTATGACGCGGAGGGAAGGAGATGAGCAAGGTTGACGAGGGCAAGTGATAGGGTCCCGGAACGATAGTGTTACATCCACCGACCATGTCTGGTCTGGCAGTTTAACTCGCAGCGCTTTGACATGTCTGTCGAATCTTGGGTCGACGACAAAAGGTGTTTTTGGCTCGTGTCATAGTTTGTGAGGTTGTGTCATATCAACACTTGCCAAAGACGGTTGACCAACCTGGTGGAGGTGGATGGGATGTTGCTGTACAAGAAACAAGGCGATTGGCTGAGGCGGAAAATGGAACCTGGTTCAAGCGAGTGGGATGGAGTCATCTTGGAAAAAAGTTGTGGCTTATTTGACGCTGCTCCGGACGGCGTCCTAACTGTAGGAATAGTCAATTGCTTGTCGAAGATCCTTGGAATAGATGGTGCCTTGTCGGCCAGGCGGCCATCGGAAGGGTTCATTGATCGATCTCGTGGGCAACCAACGTCAAGTGCCGTGGAGCCTTGGTCTTAGCCCTATGCCTTACCGATGTGTTTAACTACATGTGGGAAGATATGGGCTGTCTACGGAGCATCGAACGCCCCCCGGATCCTCTAGCCGCTGGGGGTGAATTAGGGGAGTGGAAGAAAAAGGAAGGGGGCTGCCACGAGGGCCACGAGGTATCCGCATCTGCGCAGGGTAAGGGTAAGAGTAAGGGTATCTAGGTAAGGATAGGTGTGTTCGTGTCCCTAAGCCGCCTCAGGCACCACTCATGTGGCTTTCATTCTTACGAATTCTTTAGTTGCCAGGCTCGGTACAGACCGTAGAGCCAACAGGCTTCAGCGAATTGCCCCGGACCCGGGCTTTCGCGATTGCGACTCGCATGAGGCTTAGTGGAGATACTTTCACACCTTACTAAGTCTGGGCGAGGGATATTTTGATGCCTGCGATTTTATTTTCTCGGTGCCTGGCCTGGTCTGAATCTTGTGGCACCGTGTCAGATGACCACGATCAACATCAGGGCAAGGCTCCGACTTTTCACGCCTTGTAGTCTACACCGTTCCATTATTGATCGGGACCGTTTTCAGGCATCATCTTGTTGTCCTGGTTGTTCTGGTAGTTACTAACTCCCGTCAGTACTTGGTGATTGTGATCGTCGTTGACGCTCCACCATTCCACTACGGAGTATGTACCTACCAATATAGTGGAAACAGTATTATGTAAACAAGCTGTCTGCCTGGTTCTTCAGTTCGCCTAGCCACTTGGTTCCCAGGCATACACGCTGCTCCTGTCAATCGAGTCTAGACAATCGACTTTCTATTTACTTCTCAGGCTCCTTCGTACATAGACTCATGAAATTGCATTCTTTGAAACAACCTGGCATGGTCGGGAGCCTGATCTGCAGACTCCAGAGTCATCAAACACGGCCTCCCCGATTGGTACCCAGCCGTGCATGTCCTGCCCTTAACCACCTATGGTTTAGTTGAGCCATAAAGCCTATCGACAAATTCGACCACCAACATGGGGCCGAATTCTGCCTTGCCGAAAATAAGTCGCCTCAACTACTTCGTGGTCCTTTCCTGACATGGCCATTTTTCCTTTTTGAGTCCCTTTCGCCGGCGGCAAACAAACTCCCATAAGCTCGAATGGCTCGTATACCTGGACAGATCAAGAAGGGTACAGTACACACACTCCCGATGGTCACGCTGCCTCTTGACTCGGATCCGACCTGTTCTTGGGTATCTTGCTATCTGGGATGGATTGTTTCCATTTCTCTAGCGCGAGCTTCCCCCACTTCAAGTTCCCTGTTTCCCATCGTCCGTGGGACAAGGTACCGGTATCTCGCCTGCCCCCTTTGGCCTCGTGGTTCTGATACATTAGGATTTGTTGCCATGGAACCCAAACACCTTCCATCTCTGGGATGGTCTCGTCACGAGCACAATGACTGTTTCCAGTTGCGGTAGAGGTTTATTGAAGTAAATTTATTCCATCGCATCTGCGCCGCGTTAAACGTAGTTTAACGTAGTTTCTCCAAGGAGACCATTTGCTCGTGGTGATGTGTGTGACATCCTGCATCCTGTGCTAAAAATACCCAGGACTTTATTCAGACGACTTTTGGCTGCAAACACCCCACATCCAACAGCAAGGATGCAAATATCGGGTGGGAATGTCGATTATGTTGCTGTCCTATGTCGCCCATGTCCACTGTTGCCACCCTCGCTGTACCTTGACTTCTGACCGGTGTTCTCTAGCCTCCTGTCCAGGGAGACAAAGCGCGACGTTGAAAAGAGCCCTCCCAGTGTCTCTCTCGTCGTCCATACATGCACTCATCAATGACCATCCAATGTACCTTTAATGTACCTTTTAAGGACCGTATTTCTGTGCCTCGCTTCCCACCTGTTGCCATAAATATCTATCTCAATGGACTATGTAGGCCGTATTTATTAATAGTTTCGGCTCAAGGTCTTGCTTCCAACGGCGACAATGCTCCGCTTCCTTCACGAGATGGCATGCAACATCATGCTAAATACAGGCTGTGGCTAGATTACTCACTGATCAGTCTTCTGTGCACGTTTGACGACCTTGGTCACGAGAGACTTTTACTCCAGAAGGCAACTTCAAGGTCACGTCTATCTAGTAATCACTGTCCACATGTTCTGTACCGAGGGATTCAACCTTCTTCTACCCTTTCCGCGTCTATTCCAACATCAGAAGTTCTCCATAAAGGCCTTGCGGACGGTCCACATCCGCATTCGTTTGCCATAAATGTACATGGGTATTGTGCTCAACAGACAAGCCACCTGGATACCCCCGATCGCCAGGAATGTGTCCTTTGCTCCTTCGCTTTCCAACCAGTGAGCGAAGAAAAGACTGAATGCGAGGCCGTGAAAAATGTTCTTGCTGAAGTTCAAAGTCACGAGAGCCTCGCCAGCATAGTCTCTATAGCTGTCCACACAGAAAGTAATTGCCGTCGTGCTTCCGAGTGAGCATCCAAATGAGATGACGCCGAAGAAGACGGTGGGCACAATCCATTGGTCACGTTCCTCGGCAGACCATCCAAAACCCATCAGCCCAATCGCTGTCGAAATCGCGATCGGAATCCCCATCACCAGCCGATACTCTGGTTCATAGATTCCCCCATTCCGACGCGCCATCATTCGCACGAGAATGTCGCTTACTTTGCCTGCTATAGCTGTGCCAAGAATCCCGCCGACAAAGGGTGAAATATAGACGAGCCCACACTGAAGAGCCGAGAAGTTGTAAGTGTCTCGATTTCGGTACACGCTGGACACGGACTCAGACAGTACAATCAGCCATCCAACTGAGAGTGAGTAAACAAGTGCCGACCAAAGTACAGCCGGGTATGCAAAAAGCAAAAAAGGCCTCAATGCCACGAGAAACCAGTGTGCCCTCGACAGCCGTCCATTCCATGGCTTCAGCGTCTGAAGATATGTTTTTGGTGGTGATTCTCTCAGGTTTGTAGTGTAGCGAACAATCTTGGTCGCCTCGTTGGATTCGCCATTGAGAATATGATGATTTGGGGCGGAAGGCGTGCCAGCTGAATTCCGGACTGTACTATTAGTCGCTATACTATGAAGACTGGCCCCAGATTCACTAGGTTGCTCGTCTCGAGGAGCTTTGTCAGTCGACTTCGGCCGGCCGTGATGTCCAAGATAATCTTCGGATTTCTCAATGCCCAGGTAGTAAGGAGAATTAAGGTTATGAAGTTCAGGGAGAGATTCATTTTGATTGAAGGTTCCTGATCGTTCTGCCAGCTCAGCAAATGTAGTGTTCATAGGCATCGCAATTGTGGGCACACGCAGTTTGTCGTCACCAGCGCCATCCCACGGCGCTGTGTACGGCTGTGCTGAGTTCATAACAGATGTTATAGATGCCCTCGTGGGGGAATCATCACCAGCGCCAGATGGCGAATTGACGCAATTTAATTTGACGTTGTTGTCATTGGTCAGGGGCTGCTGGACGGTGAGGTCAGAAGTGCCATCGACAGAATGGTTTGATTGGACGGGCACTTGAGCCTCTGATGAGCCATTGAAGTGTATTGGCGGAGGTAGCCTGAGGCCAGTAGGCTTTGGTTGCTTTCGACCTCCGTGCTTGATAGCCCCAGTGGAAATGCTTGTCAAGGTCTCTTGCTGCTGGCGGATAGAGAGCTGCGAATCTTCCGTTGCACCATCAGTAGCAGGTGTGTGCGGCGGTGCATCTTGACGCAAATCGGACGACTGGGGTACAATTTCGCTGCTCAGAGGTGCCTGTGGTCGTGTGTCTGCGACCACACTGTCATTTTCCGCATGAGCTGGCCCGTCATGAAACCTGGCATGTACATCCTGTTTGTGCAACATGAACTGCCGGGAGCTTGAGTTTAGGTCAGCCATAGGAGCTTTCTCCGAGGAAGCCTTGATGCTATGTGTTCGTCCGCGGTCCGAGTGAAACAAGCCTGAAAAGCTTCTTGATGAAGCTGGACGGGGTGTCTTTGGCCGAGGTGTCCTGTCCCAGAAAGTCTCCGGAACAAATAGAAACAAAGCACATAGGCCAAATGCAGCGATAAAGGTGACGATCCAAAAGACCCAACGCCATCCCATGGCGTCTATGACGGCAGCACTGACAAGTGGAACGAGGTTCTTGCCACCAAGAAGTAATAGGGTGTAGATGCCAATGCGGAATGCACGCTCGTGGAGGAAGAAAATCTCAGCAATAGTTGCGGAGGGCAAGCATTCAACTGGGCTAACGGAAAACCCTTGAAAAACCCGTGCGGTGGCTAGCTGAGCATAGGAAGGGGCAAGAGCGCACCAGATGGAAGTCAGAATGAAAAGAAGTGCTGAAAATATGTAGACTGGTCTTTTGCCGTAGAGAATTGCTGTGGGAGAGAAGATGACGCCGCCAACTCCCATGCCCATCATATATAGCCCAGTCGTGAGTGCGACTCGCGAGTAGGATACGTCAAAAGTCGAGGCAACATCATCGAAGCCAGCAGCAAGGACAGGAGTCATTCCGCCGCCGAGCATGCAGTAGAATCCCAGTGACAATAAGGCGAAGTCTCTCCTCCACGCAGGCCAGTTGAGTGGATCATTGAGGCTGTCTTCGGGTTGAGGTTCAAGGATGACGGAGCCACTTCTGTTCTTCTTCTTTGATGTGAATGATGACCGCCTCGGTGTGTAAGGCTGAGGTGGCATGGAAGAATCTATGCGAGTGGGACTACTGTATTCGAGGCCAAGGGGTTCGTTCCGGCGTGGAGAAAGGAGAAGAACTGTTCCAGGGACTTCGACCGTCTCCCGGTCGTTGAGAACGCCAAAACTCCATTTTGGTATGGTCGAAGCGGCGTCTGCTTCGCTCTTGTCGTTCATGGTGCTGTAAGCTGGATCAATCGAGAGGAGCAAAGATGACGGTCACTTCAGAAGTAACCGCAAGAGCTGGTTCTATATGAAATTGTGAAGCCTTGACTGCATATTGACCACAGGCGACTTTAGAACAAAGCCGTAGGAGTCCGTTGATGCTGACTTTGACGAGAGTGATGCGAGCAGCTGAGGTAGTGTGTAGAAAACCAGGATGAGACGACGGTCAACGGGAGGGCGGGATTGATTGACCGCTGAGACGAGCAAAGGAGCAGGTTGTAGAGGAAGAATAGGAATGTGTAATAATGATAAACAAAGGAAGTCGGAGCAGATGGACGTGGAGATGAGGTGATGACTGCGGGTGGAGATGGAGAATTCAAGAGAGCCAAGATGAAGATGGAGATGGGACGTTAGCAGACTTTTGTGGAGATCGATGGGCAACTGCGAGTACAACTACGCAACTGCCAACTTCGCAACTCAGGCGCGGCTTAGGCAGGAAGGTGTGGAAGACAAGATCCTGACAAGCAAAAATTGACGCCCAAGAGCCTCTCCAGCCCAGCTGCTGTAGTTCTTCCAGAAGGCTCCCAAAGACCCAAGAGATTAATATCTCAGGGATTTACTTAGTGCATGGCGATGCATTGCCCCAGATAAAGAGAAAAGACACCACGACTCACTGCTGACTCTGGGTAATACCATGACTCACTCACGTTTCCCACATGGGATTCAGAAGCCCGCTCTCGATTTGAAGTAGAGTTCACGCAATCTGAGGTCAGATAGAGCAATACTGATTTTCGCCTGAATCAGCTGCTGCTTGACGCATGACAACGTCGTCCAGTCACGTTCCTTGTTCACGTTGGTCTACTGTTTTCTATGTGAGGTCCTTGCACCCTTCTCGACCGTCTTTCCCCAACCTAAGTATGCACGTCTCACACAGCCCAGGCCACTCGTTCGTGTTCCTCACCACATACTGAAAATAAGTGCGGTCTCGAATGTAATGTCATGGGATATTTGAATGATGAGCAAACCTGGGGAGATCACACATGACCATAGTCATGTGTGCAACTCTGGCACCTGGACACATCGAAGGCACGTCATGGTGCATGGCCGAAGTGCTTCCGAGAGAGCCGGTAGTCATGGGGTTCATTGCTATGGGAAGTGCTAGAACATCGGCTAGAACAGCTCGCCTAACAGTTAAAGCTCTCCGCCCACTAAGATTCTATTGCCTGCGAGTACCTTATCGCCGTCAGCCTGGGGAAGACGCCCTTAATTAATCCTCTTTATTATTGACCCCGGACGATCCATTAACTCCCTACGAGTACTTGTACTTGGTCTCTAGTATGCGTCTATTGCTTACACCTTAGGCGACCCAGTAAGGTACCTAGGTAGGTACTGTACCTAGGTGCCTCTCCATTGGCCCCTTACGCATATGCCTACTCGTATTCTACGCGTTGTATAAGACGCGTAGACATTGCCAACACATGTTCTCATTATCCTCAAATAGATACAAGCACAGTTCTTGCATTCATCAATCTATCAGATACAAGCTACCAAGTTCTTCCTGCTAGCTCCTGATTTCTTTCTTGCGTCGAGGAGTATCATCTTCCAGGTGTATAGTTATATACTTGCCGCCCTCACACAATTATCGTCATGCATCATCAAAGGTCATCGAGGTTTCCAAACGAGAACAGCGTAGCCATGCCTTGCTCATTCCACGCCAAGCCCCGGTCGCTTTCGATCTTTACCCTTCCAACGCAATGCCACGCCAAATGTCTGGTCCAGAATTTTAATCAGAGCCGCTACCTGTCTCATCCTCGTCTGGCCCCAAATAACCCCATACCGAGCGACGTTTCGTTCTCTTTGGCGCTCCCGTTGGCAACAATTTCCCACACCCGTGGCTTCCAATCGCCAATCACCCCTTTGCCTTCTTTGACCATCACGAGTCCTTGACCAACCTCCGCCACCTGACCAGGCCCTGTGCTGTTGATGCTACCGAACAGATATCTCAGTCGTTTATTTTTGAGTTTCTCCTTGAGAAGTCTGGCGCACAACACCCTCACCTCCTCGCTAACTTCGTCGACAATCGAGGTCATGACGTCTATCGTAAATTCGCAAATTGCCGTGGCTCGTTGTTGGTCCGACTTTGTGTTGAAAACAGACGCAGGTAACGCCAGAGCAGGTTGGGCTACCACATACGCCAATCGCACCAACAACTGAAATTGGTCGTTCTGAGCTTGTTTGATGTTTCCGCCCTCCCCAGCCTTGAGCAGTGCCTGTCTCTGCAAACATATCATCTGGAGCATATATTCAAGGCAGTCTAGCACGTAACTTGGGAGGCTGGTGCTCTCTGCCGGAGTTGCCATTGGGCTTGACGCCACATTCAGATAATGACTGCCGCTGGTAGCGGTCGGTGTGGCTGGTAGACCTGGTATGCCTGACGTGGCGCTCGAGGCCAAATGCGCTGCCATCGACTTGATTTGACCCGAAAACCGATCGAGAAGTTGGGCCATGAATCCAGCCATTGGTTTGGTCTCCGGGGTACAGACCTCAAAACATCGCTGAATGATCAAGTCCAACTGATGCGTGTCGCTCGGAAACACGGTCACCAGAGGACTGGCCACTTTGTTGTGGATTTTCGGTAGCGCTTCAAGGAAGTCGTTTTCAACCTTGTGCCGCACCTCGCCAGCAATCTCAGGCCCAACTGCGCGCAGGAGTTGCCCGAACGTCAACGCATCCCCAGACCCTGCGGTCTTGCCCCCAGAGACTTGGTCCAGAGCTTCGTACAAGCCTTTGGCCGTCTCCTCGCTGTCTTGCCCATCAGAATCCTTCACCGGAGATGTCAGTGAGAAGCGAAGCTGAACGAAAGCCTGAGAGAATTTGTTGAGAGAGCCGAAAAGATCTCGCAATTGCGATCCTTGGTTCGTAGATGACGACAAGAGCAAGGCGTCCAGCTTCTGCGAAATCCATTGTTTTGCTTGAGAAGGAAGCGTCGACGTCTGGCTGGCTGTCGCGCCAGTCAAAAGCCCCAAAAGAAGATCTCCCAGAGACTCTGTGGCTGACAAAAGCTTGGTCTCGCTGAGAATGCTCAGCGCCTGTCGCGGTTCCTGGTGCATGAATTCGTACCATTTCTGTCGGACTTTATAGTGCATCGGTTCGGTCGACATGTCCCTGGAACGTGATAAGACCTCCTTGACCACATTTTGAGCTGGCAAACATCTCTCAAAGCTTGTCTTGGCTATGCCCAAAATTTCTCGAAGCACCGAAAACGTCACACAGCAGCACCCAACCAGATAGCGTAGGAGCGTCGTGGCAAAAGTAGTCTCAGTGACCAGTACCATCCGAGCCACCCATTTTCTCATTAGAACTTCTCCTTGGGTCTTTCGACATAATTTCAATCGGCGCAGGAGATGGCAGAAAGCAAGCAAGGTGTCAAGATCGTCTGGCGACTTTTGTTGCTTTTCGATGCGGTCTGCTAGGACAGAAAACAGGCCAGTCATCGTTTGTTCTGTCATGTTTGGCTCAGACTGAAGGATCGCCTCGAAATCTTCAATGAAGGTGACGCCTGCTTGTTGTAGAGACTCAGCAATTCCATCACTATAAGGAGAGCACGCCGCAACTGCTCGTCCACGATCACCCCGGACCAGGTCATGCTGTAGAAGTTTGATTGACAGATCCTTGACTGGAAACGTGTTGCACAAATCCAGTAGTGCCAGAGTAAGGAGAGGCATGCTCGACTTGAGCGGTCGCCAGCTCATATAGATTTGGCAAATCCGAGCCTGGAGAATGTGGAGGGCACCAATGGCGGAAAATGAGTCGGCGTGGTGGTGGATAGTGGTCACAAGAGACGCCATTAAATTCTCATCCCGCGTGGACGTCAAGATACCGACCACATCCGCAAGGATCGCATGGTCTTCTATTAGTTCGAGCACATATCGTATGAAGCAAAACTGCTCGCAGTTGATCATGCGGAGGCTGGTGAGATTGGCGTCGGCATCTGCGCTTGGGAAACTTGACTCAACTGCGTCGACCACATACTTTCGCAGCCAGATAGACAAACCAGATCTCAATGTCCATGGGAAGAGCAAGAACATGGGTTCTGGGAGGCGATCACGATCTCGGTCCACGCTTCGGAAGGTAGCAAGAAGTCCGAGCTCCTGTCTCAAGAAATCCAGGCTGTTTTCGATCACGTTTTGTTCGTCTTCGCAATCAAATCCGGTGCGGCCAAGGACAGAATTGCGGAGGTTAATCACGTGATCCTCCAGCTTCTGTAATGGTATGTCAAGGAGGAGCTGTAAAGAGTCATTGGGTGTCGAGGGCTCAGCGGTCGCAGATGGCAAAATCGCAGCTGGCAAGGACACAGAGCCATGTCTAGGAAGACCTCGGACCATAAGCCATTGAGCATATTTGGCCACAGGGAATGTCTCCGATCTTGAGAGTTGGGCGACGAGATGTTTCAGAGAGGCCGTATCGACCGTCGTCTTGCCTTCTCGACAAGAAGAAAGGTAGTTGAGAATGAGATTATCCATCGCAAAGCCTGACCGCTGCCATTGTTTGACCAGCCGAGCAACGAGATAGATCCTCGCGGGGGAGGCTCGGAAACGTGTCGTTGCCCACTCGAGACAGGTAAGGACCAGAAGATCAGTCTGGGGGCAAGCTGAGCCCAGACGGTTGCAGAGGGTTGAGATATAGTAAGGAGGGCGTGCAGCGTCTAGAATCTCGACCACGGCAGGTCCTGGTGCACGTTGAGCCGAGATCTCCTGCTTGTTGTGACCCATTGAACGCAGATTGATGAAGTTCAACTGCTTGAGGAGAGTTTTCTCGCGTGCTGACTCAGAATCGAGACATGAATCAATCACGCCGATATATTGAGGCCATTTCTCCGGGAAAAAGAAATCCTTTGGCCGATCTAATAACAGTTGATGTAGAGCCCGGTAAACTTTGTGCTGGACCGAAGAGGCTGCAGAGTCTGTGGCTTTGCGGAGTTTCTCGTACTGGGTGATCATAGCCTCGGCGAGTCTTCGAGCCCTTCGGCGATAGGAGCCAATGTCCTGCTTATAAATGTGAACCATCATTATCCAAAAAGGAACATGCTTGGCTTCTGCCAGGTCGAAAGAGCGCACAATCCAGTCGAGGTAATGATCGCGGTCGAGTAGGCTTTCCAGGTAGAAGCGAGTGACGAGGCGCAAGGCGTAGTCGATGTTTGTGCGCCACTCAGGAAGATCAGTCTGCCCTAGCTGCTGTTCGACAAACTGTTCAACACTGACGGTCCACTCGCGTAACCACTTGGTCTCTGTCCCAATCGTGACGGCAGCAGAAGTGCCCTTTCGTTTGAGAGTTCGGATTTCGTTGGCGCAGACGCACTTGGCGAACCATATGGCCCGGCTGAGAGGAACAGCGCTTTGTAGGCAGAGGTCTAGTAAAATCTGACCTCTGATGCCCTGAGGAATAGTCCGACTGAGCCTCCTGAGCGGAATCTCGGCGTTGGCTAGGTCGGCAATCCAAGACTTGCGCTTGATTTCGGTCAGAGTGACCCTGGGGGGCGGCTTGAAGGTTGAAATGGAACTCATGAGGCCGTGCTGGTTTTTCTGGTCCAGGACCAATGAGAACAAGATAGACAAATTTTCCACCCCTCCCTTGTGCTTGAACGCATTGTAGATGGGGACACGTGCAGTGTTGAGTTCCTTTTCAGTGGGATTTGGTGCTTTGTCAAAGTAACCCTGTTTTACGGTGACATCGTTCATGACATCCTCCTGGTGCTTTCCAGTCCATGGAAAGAATCCAGCAGGCCGCTGCATGACTAGGTGAGGCGCTGAAGAGGGTTCCTTCATGGAATCAGGGGTGGTTGGTACAGGAATTTGGATGCGTGATCGATGAGTAGGTTTGGCATCATCCGACTTGCGGCTGGGAGTGTTGACCCAAGGCCTGGCGGGTAGATCTGGCAGATCATCATTCTCCGAATCATCCGATGTCTCGTCAGGACCGGCTCTGGTAATCTCTGTTTGGAAGTCGGCCATGGAGCCTAAGCGCAAGTTGGAGGATTGCGAGCTAATGGAGCCGTTGGCAGCAACCGCCACGTAGTTTGACATTGACGGAGCATCGTTAATTTCGAGATCGCCATCCACCTTGCGGCGCTTGAATGGCCTCGCATCTGCATCTTGCCGGCGATATATCTGGTGTCTTTGGTCTTGAGATGGGCCTGCACTTCGTGGGGTAGAAGATATGCTTGTCGTCCTACTGTGAGGCAACCGCGGTGGATCTGGTAGACGCTTCGACGGGGGAGGCCGCGGTTCGGCCGGAGGGTTCGAGGTCATGACCTGAACATTTTGGCAGAGGACGAGAGGGCTGGTGAGCTACACAAAGAGATGTGTAGATTGTGGTCTACAGAGGGCGTTGACCGCTTTTCGAGAGGAACCGGTAACTGCGGACGTCAAGGCAGCTGGGTCGCCGTTGGGGAGGGAAACAGCTGGGGAATGTCCCGGAGAAGAGCGTGAAAAGCCGTTGACAGGGATCGCGGATTATGAGCAGCCTCTGGTTATAGAGACAGAGTAAAATGCCGAAATTGGACAACAGAGAGGGTCGTTGAGTAACAGTTAAGACAACAGAAAGAATTAGAAGGTTGAATTTGAGATTGAGATAGGGTCAATGAACAACGGGTGGTCCAGGGTTCCGTGTGATGGACCTGAGAAACGCGGAATTGGCGATGGTGGCCAGTGGCCAGAGGCAGTGGTAGAGTTCGGGTAGGCTAGCAGCTGAGGGAGAAGATCGGGTAACAGTAGTAGACGAAGATAAAGACGTGGTGGCCACACTGGCACACTGGACATGATTGTGGAGGCCGGCGCCAGCCTGAAAGTCCGAGCCGGAAGGGTGCGCAGGGCAATGTGGAATTATGACCAGGTTATTCGTACCCAGGCGACCAGGGTTCCATGAACGCCAGAACTCCAGGTCGGCCATAGGTGCAGGTATGGTTACGGTTGTGGTTGTGGTTGTGGATCTTCGGGTCTCCTCAGTCTGGGACCCGGACACGGCATTTACACCCGCACCCACGGAGGGAAGCAGGGGAGCGGGGCTTGGGACAAGTAGGGCCGAGGACGAAGACAGCCAGGACGCCAAACGCCGAATGAGCAGCGCGTCCGTGCCTCCCCGGAAGTCATTGGATGATGCAGGTCAGGATAAGAAAGGCTTGTGCAAGCAGGTCGATCAGATCACGGGTACTGCATCTGTGTATGGATAAGCGTTGTCAGGTAGGCGGTTTTCAGTTTATTCTTTAGTGCCCCCAGGCGGAACCTGTTGGGCAACCAGACACAAACGTCAGACCAGACAGAGACCAATGCCACGCTCTGATCTGACTCCTCTGGCGGGATCCACTGGTCAGTCCTGTTATCACAGGCGACAATGGCATGAGCACGGATTCGTGCATCTGTAATGATGGTTGATGGGACACTACCAGCATCGAGTTTTGCAGCATGGAAAGTATGTCCATCCATCATGCATCTCTCCCTCCCTAAACCATGTCCACGTTGCTCAGTGGGTGCCCTCCAAAGGAGGATTTGCACTGGGCAAGATGGACAAATACCGGAGTGTGGAAGACATGGCCAACAGATGGCGTCCGGGTGCGCGCCGAGTTGCACCCGCTCGTCATTCCATGTATGTACATAGGTAGGTACCTAATAGATACGTATCTTCTGACTATTCATGCTGCACGTCCAACAACGTCTAAAATTTACGTACTTTGTTCTTCATTGCTTGGGATTTGCAGTATGCACGTAATGACCAAAAGCAGAAGCGAGTTGTGCTGGCAAAAGTCGGCTGGTCGTCATAAGCATGCCAACGCTACTTAGATAAGCACGTATGCCAACAAGAATGCAGTGATGGATGGGTGGACAATCTAGAATGGTGATTGAAGTGGCTCTGCTAGTGATTGGCAGAGGTCAGCCCATTCAAGAGATGGGGTTCTTGTCTATCACGCCTAGCAATTGGCACTGTGGCGCATCCGATATCAACTCGGCACAGACACACGGCGATAGCCATTTTTTTATGGTCTCGGCGGTACCTAACTCTACTAGTAACGTAATTCCCAGATAGGGAGGTAATCTATATCTTCAAGAAATGAATCAAACGGTCATTGATGTGTCAGGCCTGACCTGCGCTCACACACACGGCCGAACGACCAAGTGATCCTTCTAGGCGATGAATTGGGGGTTTAGGGGGGCCGAGGGGCGCTTGGGCTGCGTGGCTGCCCTGTGTTGGAGAGCGGGAGGTACCTAACTTAGGTTGGAGAATTGGTCATGTGGTTTTCGGCAATGGATGCTTGTTTCTATGGCCGGGTTTTTGATGGTCAAGCCAAGCGGTTAGAAATTTACCTAAGGTACCCCCGGAGTGATAATACTACTGTGTGGTACCGACTTGGGAGAATTATTAGATAGGCCCGAGGGACACCCGATGAGTCCGCCCACGTCTCTTGAGAAGCGTCCCTCCAAACAGTCAGCGAGACAGATCATTATACGAAATCCATCCGGTTGATCCAAGTAAAAGTGCCTGAGGCCTTTCTTCTTCCCTAGGTTCCTATGCACGACTTGTTCCAGTCCATTACTAAACAGCCACGGAGTCCGCCAATGAGTTCCGTGTTCCGTCCCACCGCGTATGCGTACACGTAGGTGACTTGGACTTTTTCACCCAAGTGTACGTTACTTTGTTCGTCTGACCGAGGCCATGGAAACATGTATGTGAAGATCGATCTGAGGCTTTCATGATGCTCGATAGTGTCTGGAACCTGTGCATGATGCGCAATCTGGTATCACCATCTGTGAAACACTCCTCCACTAGTTGCAGCCAGACATCGCCTGTCATGCGCAACATGACATTCTTCTTTACGGGTTGCTGAAACTCCGAGTCATTCCCCTCGCACCGGTTGCGGCCATCAGTAGCGACTAGAAAAACCTGCGTGGGACAGGCTTGACAGGTTGAGTCAATCCACCTCTGCTCTTACGGGACGAAAGTGATTCTGCTCCCCACCATCTCTGGATATTATTACCATCAGCATCTCTTGACCTCAATGCGGCCCACTGTACCCGAACTTGTACAGAGTAGAGTTTGGTTTAAGCCACGAGCACACAACGAGACGCTAAGTGGGTTCGGAACGCTCCCATTCTACTCCGTAATTGATTTTCGTGGGGACCTGTTATCGTGCTTTCCGAACCTGGGGAATCTGTGGCTCGACTTTTGGACTACGTATCATTTTCCACTACCAAATGTAATTTGATCCAATATTCTCGTCGTCCAATGTCTGCTGCTCCCCATGATGTGGTCACATCTATAGATGCGACGGGCAATACATCTCCTTTGCCTGTGTCAATCAACAGTGGGAGCTATAGGTAGGACTGTAGACGCGCCAGCATCCGTATTGTATAGACAAGAGGTCGACTCACGGTCGATGGCTTGACACCGCCAGGAACGGGTCGATCGTTGATTGTGCCCAGCAGGGCAATCTTACTGTGGAAACTGGAGACTGCGTGTGACAATCCATCAACTTTGACCTGATCACTTGTTGCAGCTCCTGATAACTTTTTTCTTGGTTCCATTTTGATCATCACCTGCGGCGACCCAACCATTAGTGTCTTTCGACTTCTGCGTCTCCTGGTCCTTCAAGTGCCCAAGATCATTAGTAGCTAGTCCTGCACTGCCCGTCGAGTTGCTCGAGTTATGCAGTAGCAGCGGGTACTGCGTGCAGGTTGAAGGCGAGACACAGAGATGCTGCACATTCTTGACACACGATCCGACCGGGAGTTCGGGACATTCCTCCAGATTCCCTCCTGAGACTTCGCTTCCGATATCACGAACAGATGTGATAAGCCCCGCGTTGCCATGCACTATGAAAGGCTTCAGAGTTGAAGTCGTCATCACTCCTGCGACGTCAGGCCTGGTTGGTAACGGTGTTTGGACCTGGACCTTCCGTGACGCTTTTGAGCGTGGTAGATTCCGGAGCTGATCGTTGTGGGTGAACTTGGCGAGCTTGACTTGGAATAGCCCGTGCAAAGGGGCTTGAGAAAACCCATCTCGGTTATTAAGACTGTCATTCTCAAGACTGCTTGCGTCCACTGTAGTCTCCCGGTATGAGTTTCGTCGTGATTGTTCCCGTGCCTTGAAAAGCTGTATCTCCAGCTCATCGACTGCAAGGGAATGTCGACGACCGGTCGAAAATTTGGACTCACTATGATAATTTGATAGTCCGCCCAAAGCGTCCTGGGACGTTTCCGCATCCCAAAGAATCTCATACACGCCTTTGTCTGAAGTGTAGCGTGTGCACTGCCGTAGTGGCGAGTCTATGGACTGGTCTACTTCGAGGCCTATACCGCCTGATTGAGATGGAATCAACTCTGTACAGACCATGGACGCAATCGATGCGCGGGAGCGCCGTGCATCATTCGTGCCACTTGGCTCCAATCCTGCACGCCACGGACGCACCTCCGGAGCAGCTTTCGGAGACTCTCTGATGGTTTTGATATTGCCATTGCACTCTCTCAAAGTTTCTATGACTGACCAGGGAAACCCACTGCTCGCTTGATTCAGTTTCGGAGGTGGGAAAAAGGTCAGTGACAGACGTCGTGGCTGTCGAGTTGTTGTGGCGCGTCGTAATGTGATCATTGCGGGACTCGTTGCTTGGGTTCGAGGGTACGGTGCCAGATTCTCGTTGACGGAGTTTGTCACAGGAATGACGCTAGCCAGGCCTCTCGTTGCTCCCGCTTTTGGTGGAATCGTCCGCAAGGGCATCGGTGGCTGTGAAACCACACCTGTGAGCAATTCAACTTCGCCTGATTCGAAGCGAGGCTGAAGCAGCGGGACTGAGCGGAATTTGCGCAACGACAACCTCCACTGATTGGACTTCTGGAACCTCCGTCTGCGCCGCCTGGCTGCCGGGATATCCTGATCACTTTGATGGTATGCACGCCCAACGGTGGCTACGGGTCGGACACGAGTGTGGTGTTTTCCGTCTTTCGCAGAGAGAGTAAGATCATCCTCGCCATGGGGTTTGAAAGGGGTGTCCTCGCCGCCGTGAGTCGATACCGGAGGTTTCAATAGCGGTTCATTTTGTCGAAGGCGCTCGGTGCTAGCCGTGTCTTTTGGACTGCGAAAGGATATCGGCATTATGGAAAGCAGGTGGATTATTAAGGATACGTCGACGTTTGCGGTAGCAATAAGCCGTTTGAATTTCAGGTGCGTAGGATGGACATGCGGGAGTGCGAAGGGCGCTGGCCAGGTAGATTAGTCGCTTCGACGTGTAGAGGCTGACCTCCCATGGCACTTACCGGCTTTAGGGAATACAGACGAGAAGAGAGTAGGTGCTTTGCAATGCCCGCACTGCGCCTGCCACCGACACATGTGGGCCGTATGTCCGGTTCTCTTTTCGACAAGGAAGGGAAGCAAGTCTGAATGCCCCTCTGCTGCACGGTCACACCATTCTTCGATTCTCGAATCCCGAAGTTTCTTGAAAGGTCAGACCAACCTCTCTCTTTGGCCATTCAAGAACAGAACTCCAAGCAGGGCCGAGGTGGGTTGAAACGGCAGATACGAGGGTGTAAGGCCACCCTGTAGCCCACCAGTGGTGATCCATACAGCGAAGGGCAGCCGACCACAGCGCAAACATAGCCAGTGCCATAGGGTGTCCACGTTTCAAACAGTTGAGAAATTCCTGTGGTGCGAAGATGACCCACGAGAAGATGTGTCCGTCCCATTCAACAACAGAGCGACATCTGGATATTCTCAGCAAGGATTCAATTTGGTCCTTAAAAAGGGGCCGTAAATCTTGTCCAGCATCCTCGGGTGGGTTTAGACGAGGGTCGTCGAGCGCATTTTCGAGACGATTGAAAGCCTCGAGGATGTCGGCGGAGTGAGGCGGTAACTCGTCAGGCTTTGGAAATCGAAGAAGCTCCTCAATATCTCCCTGAAGCCAGACTTTGGTCTCGGTTATGACGGCGTAGACGCCTCTGACGATCATGAAAATCTCAAAAAATTGCGCGATGGGAGAGTGAGGAGGAAAAACGACCTCTGGCGAGGAATCGCGGGACGACAACTCAAGCTTGACGCTGCTCAGACCTTCCGGTAAACGCTTCGAGGCGAAGGCCCAAATGGTAAGGAACAATGACAGCGAAAAGAGGGCAATGCCATTGTCTTGGGTTGGATTGCTGACGGCGGGGATGTAGCCCGCCAAGGCTGCATTTTGATAGGCGAGGGCGACTTTGGAATACTCGGCGCGGGCTTCAGCGGACTCAGGTTGCAGGGTTGCTTTGTGTAGAGCAGAGGTGGCTATGAGACCATGCAGAAGAAACTCGTGTCGCAGGGCCTCGGCGAAGATGGTGTCACGCCAGACAACGTGAGCGGTTAGCCGGGAGGACATGGTGATGTAGGTCCTGGTGGACCAATGTTGGATGAGTTCAAGATCGAGAAGATCAAAGCGTTTGGCGGTAAAGGGGACAGTGGGAATTGGTGCAGAGGTGGTCGATGGCTGAAGTTTGGGGGGTAACAAGCTAGGCCGTGGTAAGTCGGGGTCCGAAGGCATGTACTCGAGGCTCCTAGGAGTGGTATCATCTATGCCAGCGGGAGTGAGAATGCCGTCGGAGGCATCTTCAAGAAAGGAACAGGTGATGTGTCTCTTGACACACCGCTGGCATTGCGGACTAGTCTCGTCGCACTGGGGACAAGAAAACAACAGTCAGTGGTTTGTCACATCTTTAGAGGTGCAGCAAAAACCACCAGGCGTCCAACAGGAATGATAGTAGGAAAAACAGGCGATCACATTTACTTACCTTGACCCTTCTGGTTTTGCACTGTCGACACCCATGATGGGATTTTGTATGAGATCGACGCGACGGCATTGACGCGATATGGGAGAGTCTTGTCGACGTCTACTGATTAGAAGACATGTTGGCGATGGCAATGACGAGAATGAGGATGAAACACGGATATGATGATCAAAGCCAACGCGGCAAACTTAACTGTACCAAGCCACAGGTCAGAATCAGCCTGGCAAAGAGAGCCTCCTTAGTGACGCCTGGGGTTTGATTTTGGCTTTGATTTTGGCTTTGATTTTGACTTTGGGTGTGCCCGGATGATGAACGCTCGGCCACTACGCAAGCAGTCGAGCGCCCAAGCACACACGCAGCCATACACCCACCCAAGGTTCTGGTGAAGGGCAAGAAAGGCGTTGACTTGTGACAGGGGATGGTGGCTGGTGGCACCTCCTGCACCGGACGCTTAAACTTGGCGGTGGGTGTGGCAACAACCTCCGCAGCTCACAGGACAGGAAAAAGGGCAGCGAAAAGGAATACCGCATTGCAAGGATTTTGCTCCTTCCTAAGCTTATTCCCACCAACTTGTCTCATCTCATCGCTGTAACCTGTCCTTCGTTCACGCCATATCAGTCTGGCCCAGCCTTGCCAATTGTGGCTCTTGATTTTTTTCGTGTCGGATGCCTCGAATACGACGTGGTCCAGAACTTTCAAAAGTTTAAAGGTCCCTCGGCCTCCGTATCGGAGGGTTATTGGAGCGCACTTCCCTGTGGCAGCTCCGCGCAACAACTACCGCCAAAGTCTAGAGCTCCAGGGACCCATCGGCCCCCCCAGACCCTCCCCGGCCTAGACGCCAACGCCGAAGCCTAACTGGGAAATCCAAAGCTGGCAGTCATGTCTGTGTGAAATGTCACAAGCGTTTGCCTCTAGAACGTCTATCGCTATCAAAAGTCTACGTAAAATGCAAATCCGTACTGCTCGCATCCCAATGTCCATGTCCAAATGAATGCCCATTCTGGCCGGAGATGTTGTCTGTTACTGCCTGGTAACTGCCACGTGTGCTGCGTCCCTACGGCCAACGGCGCCAGCCGTTCACTTTTCTACAGTGTGAGGTTCGTTCTGTACGACCCCGTCTTCTGAGGGAGCCTTTTCTTCCTCGGAATTCGAACTTGAATCTTTCGAGCTTTCTGTCTTGTCGTTGAAGAAACCTGGCCGACAGAAAATACCTGGGTGAAAGACGGTCATGGCGACACAAGCAATTGCGACCATCCTGCATACATCCGTCAGTCCTGCTGTAGCCTGACACCTGTCTTGTTAGGTGTAGGAATGTTGGTCCACTCACATGCCGTCTAGGATCAGAAACTCGGTCTCTTTTCTCATCAGTTCGTTGCCCCAGCCTCCTGACATTTCTGGTAACCTATGCCTAAGGTTAGTCATGCTAGACTGGCTTCGCAGAAGATTCAACATATGACAACTTACCGATAGATGCAACGGATAAGAATGGTGGTGTATGCCAGTAAGATAGCATAACAAAACAGGCGAAAGTTGCGAACAATCTTGGGCGACGATCGGTCCTTTTCGTACTCCCCTAGCACATGACTTGACCCCGCCTTGGTGGCCTTTTTGAATCGAATGAAAAAGTCCAGCATGAGGAGTCCACAGACAGACATGGTGGCCACTTGGAACGCGATACCGGCAACGATCAGATTGTTGCCAGCTTCCAGCATTTTGCGGTTCTCGCCATTGTTGCCAGCGGCAGAAGCAACTCCACCTCCAATAGCCTGGAGAATAATTGACCCAAAGTCACATCCGATGAAGATCCAGGGATACAGCCAGGCTTTGAGTCTCGAATGCTCTGCTCCACAGTATCGCACAATGTGCTTGAGCGTCACATAGATGCCCGCGGCAAGGAAACTCGGTGCCAGCACCAGACAACAGATCTGAATCTTGAACCCAGCGTCGCTCCAAGGATTGGCGTGCATCATTACCCGGCCAACATAACCAATGGCTTCTCCAAAGCATCCTATCACAAGCACGGCCATATAGGTCCACGTCTTTTTCCTGATGCCCAAGAATAATTGCGCCACGAAGCAGATTCCGAACAGGGCGACGAAGAATGAGTTGACTCCAAGGTTAGGGTAATAGCCGTACAAGGTCAATTCGACGGGACATCGTTCACTAATCTCCTCACATAGACGCCGTTGTGAACGCTCTGACGACATGGCGATAGGCTGTTTTCGTTTCTCCCAATTTTATGAGATTGCTCAACTGCAGAGCTGGTGAGTTCAAAACACAATACCGGGAGGGGTCCAGTCAGTATGTTTGGACCTAGTGCGCACGTTGAGCGAAACGTAAAAGGGCAAGGGCAAATGAATGAATTAACGAGGATGAAGAGAAAAGGTGAGCAGAAGAACAGTCAGTCGACTTTCGAGACGATGTGGGCCGGGTTTTATCATACACACAACAGAAGATACCTCCACGAGTCGTCAGTCGGTTGCAACCGAGCGATACGTCGGACACGAGACACTCCGTCCCCTAAAGCGGTAGACAAAGTTGCTTCTAAGAGGCCGAGGGGCCACACAGGGGTGGGATACCTGGGCACCACGCGGGCATAGACATAGCTTGTTACTCGCAGGCTTCGATGCCGATGGTAACATCCTATGGGCATGTAAATAGGCGGGGTTTGACCCATAAGCCGAATTCAAACCAACGAAAAGTCGAAGCGACGAAATGATCCCGACTCCTGCAACGTACGGAGTAATTAATCTGCAACGACAAATGGGCAGTGCAAAGGTGGACCTCGCGTAGATAAATCCGCGTATTCGAGCACGCACACAGCTTTACGCGTATAGAATCATATTTGATTCGTCAAGCTTGCTGTAAGCGAGCCTTTAGGAAGACGTCGCTTTGATTTTAGAAGCCACAGGCCGTTGGGCTCGGCGATCTAGGTCACTTTGAGGCATAGTGTACGAGACTTGATCCGATCTCGTGCCCATGTGGTTGGTGGGAGATTATGGCAATGTTAATCTCTATAAAGCAAAGTCCATCAGTGGTCAGAGTACTCCGTAATTGACCAAGAACGTTGAACAACTGTTATGTTTGGGTCCAGTTTATTCGCTGCCTGGATAGCAGATCCACTAGTTGTAATGTGTTCATACTTTATACGAGTGTGACGAGCCACAGAATCTTGGATCTTTTCCTTTACAGTTCTCATTCACTCCCAGTACTAACTTAACTGACACAGATTTCTAGACTTACTCGACTCAAAATTCAGGTATCGACCATTTGTGAGACCCGACTTCACTCATCACAGGATGAATGTTTGACTTTTCCCTTGGAATTGATTCTTCGCATCATCCATCAGGCCAATCAGCCGGGCTAGTTGTACAGATTCTCATATCTTGATCTCCAAAGAGTATCCATTCCCCCTTTCCAAGCTTTTCTTCCACCCCGGACGTTGCTCGACCCTCGCGTACCACTTTTCCATCGCTGGGTAGTCCTTAATATTAACGAAACCATGCTTAACACAGTTGTCCACTGGCCACTTCATAATGAAATCGGCTCGTCCAGGACTTGTGCCCATAAAATAATCTTGCTCGCCAAGTTGATCATTCAAGTATTGGAAGTAGAGTTTCAATTCGGCGCCAGTGTAGCCCTTGTGCAACTGCTTGTAGGCTACATTGAATAGTGGCTTGATGAAAAATGGGAGCACGGTAAGCAGAACGCCGAATATCAACTCAATATTCATCAGGGGGCCAAGAGAGGCCGCTGCGACGTTGCACAATTCCTCATCTCGAAGCCAATCATTGCTTTGACCGTCTCCTTTGAATTTGCCCGCGGTGTCATAGGTATCAATGAGGTATCTTGCGATCGCGAGTGACTCGATAATCACTCTTCCATCTCCTGTCTCGAGCACCGGTGCCTTACCCAGGACATGGACTTGCTTGAGTTCGGCCGGTGCCCGCTGTTTGTTGGGACCCGAGGGCTCTCGTTCATGGAGCTTTAGTGTATACGGGATTTCGAGTTCTTCAAGTAGCCACAGGAGTCGCTGGGATTGGGAGTTCTACAGCGAGAGCACAGCGTCAGCTAAATCACCATCATGTATCGCAGGAGGAAAGATTCACGTTCAGATGATGAAAGGTTGGTTTGAGGTCTGCCATGTGAGGAGTAGGATCCCTCAAAGAGAGATTTACGGTGGGAGCAGAGGATTGGAAAAGACCGTCGCGTGTCGGGGGTACATACGGAGTATGTACACGCTGCATCCACGTGTCTGCACCTCTGATTGGCCGGGTTTGAATGGTTCAATGACATCCCCGCAAAACTAATGCTGTCAGACTCCTCGACATACTCTACAAGGCAACCTGCAACACCTTAACCCGCGTGATTTTGCATTACGTCACGTGATTAGATTCTGTCTGACGACCCGATAACCCCTGCGGAGGAAACTTGTCCTGTACAGGCGCAGGAGGGCGAAATGTTTATTGAGGACATCTCATCCAAGTCTGAAGCCACAACACCAACATCCTATATCAGACGCCTCGTGATGTGTTCATGACATGGAATTTGACCTTTGTCCTCTGATTCGCTTCTATCGATCCCTCCGCTGGCCCTAGACAAATTCCTTTGAGTGTTGCATTGTGTGCGCGCACACACACCGCGAGACTCCCCTCCCTCTTCCCAAGATTCTCCAGCAAACGACACCATGCGTTTAGACGTCAAAAGACAGCTCTTTGCCCGTGAGTCTGCTCATGGCGCGGCTATTGGACTTTGAATTGACATCATGTAGGCTCGGAGAGAGTGAAAGGCATTGATTTCCACAGGTACTTCTTCCCCTTATTCCCCCACCTAAAGCTGAATCTAACCATTCCATAGTACGGAACCATGGGTACTGAGCCTTTCCCTATATGCGCACCAAATCCACTGACTTGACAAGATTCTCACCACTCTATACAATGGCCACGCACATATCTGGTCTTACGAAACACAGTCCATCATCAAGACATTTGAACTCACCGATGTCCCTGTACGGGCCGGCCGATTTATCGAACGAAAAAACTGGATCGTATGCGGTAGTGATGATTTCCAACTACGAGTCGTCAACTGGAACACAAGCGAGAAGGTCAAATCCTTTGAAGCGTAAGCCCTCCAGCACTCTGTTGAGGGCATCTTGTTGATCTGTCACCAGGCACCCCGATTATATCCGAGCCATTGTGGTCCATCCTACCCTCAGCGTTGTTCTTACCGCCTCGGATGACATGACAATACGAATGTTTGATTGGGAAAAAGATTGGCGCTGCGTCCGTGAATTTGTGGGCCATCAACATTATGTCATGGGTCTTTCGATCAATCCCAAAGACACAAATGTGTTTGCATCAGCTTGCTTGGATCGGACCATCAAGGTATGGAGTATCGACAACGCCACAGCAAAGCAGACCATCGAGGCCCACGAAAAGGGTGTCAACCACATCGACTATTACCCCCACAGTGATAAGCCTTACCTGCTAAGCACCTCAGACGACAAGACCGTCAAAATCTGGGATTACACCACCAAAGCTCTCATCGCGACCCTAGAAGGACATACCAGCAACGTCAGCTTTGCTTGCTATCATCCAGAATTACCCGTCATCATCTCTGGCTCCGAAGATGGAACAATCAAACTCTGGCACGCAAACACCTACCGCTTGGAACAGTCACTCAGCTATGGCCTCGAGAGGGCCTGGTGTGTTTCATACCAACGCGGCAAACAGGGCGTGGCTATGGGTTTTGATGATGGTGCAGTTGTTGTCAAGATGGGGCGGGAAGAGCCTGCCGTTTCCATGGATAGCACTGGAAAGTTGGTTTGGGCGCGTCATAATGAAGTTGTCTCTGCGATTGTCAAAGGTGGCGACTCAACACTGAAAGATGGTGCTCCAATTGCTCTCCCAAGCAAAGATATGGGTACTACCGAGATGTAAGTTTCTCGCTAGATTGTCTCTCACTTCTCAATACTGACACCAACAGCTACCCCACCACGCTATTGCATTCACCGAATGGTAGATTCGTCTCCGTTTGTGGAGACGGCGAATTTATCATCGTGAGTAGATTGATGATAACACCAACCTGACATTCTAACCTTCTCAATAGTACACTGCCCTGGCATGGAGAAACCAAGCATTTGGGCAAGCACTTGATTTTGCATGGTAACAACTCTTCCACTCGTTCTATGGGCTGGTTTCTAACACATTGGCTAGGGGCTCACACCAAAACCCGACCGATTATGCCATTCGAGAATCCAGCACGAGTGTTAAGCTGTACAAGAAACTCAAGGAGGGTGGAAGTCTCGACGTAGGCTTCCAAGCCGAGGGACTTTCTGGCGGAGTTCTGCTGGGAGTCAAAGGCCAAGGAGGCATCGGTCTCTTCGACTGGGAGACTGGTAACCTCGTTCGCAGAATCGAAGTTGAACCAAGAGAGGTATGAAAAATTTCAATCCACCGTATCATGTGCAATGGATATTAACATGAGGCAAAGGTCTATTGGAGCGAATCCGGAGAGCTCGTTGCTCTGGCATGTGCCGACACCACATATGTGCTGCGCTTCGATCGAGAAGCGTACCTTGAGGGTCTCAATTCTGGCCAAGCAGATGAGGATGGAGTCGAGGCTGCGTTCTCGGTCGTGTCCGATCTGCAAGAGTCTGTCAAGAGCGGCGAATGGGTTGGAGATGCTTTCCTCTTCACGACGACAACGCGGCTCAGCTATTTGCTCGGCGAACAAGTCGTCCACGTGGCTCAGTTCGACCAGCCGAACTACGTCCTACGCTACCTGCAGAGAGACGAACGAGTATATCTTGCTGATAAGGATGTCAATGTCGTCAGCTACAGCCTGTCTACAGCCCTTCTCTCTTACCAGACCCTGGTGCTCCGGGGAGAACTGGAGGCGGCTCAGGACCTTCTCACAGACATCCCATCAGATCAACTGAACAAGATTGCACGCTTTCTGGAAGCTCAAGGCCACAAGGAATTGGCCTTGGACGTGGCCACAGACCCCGAACATCGATTCGAGCTCGCCTTGGGGCTCAACAATCTTGCCGTCGCGCTTGAAATTGCCCGGGAATCCGACATTCAAGCAAAGTGGTCGGCAGTCGCCGACAAGGCTCTCGAGGCATGGGACATCAAACTTGCCGAGGAGTGCTTTGTCAACGCAAAGGACTTGGGCAGTCTTCTGTTACTCTACACAAGCTCTGGAAACGCCCAAGGTCTTCACCAACTCGCCAAACAAGCCGAAGAAGCAGGGAGCAACAACGTCGCGTTTGCCAGTCTCTGGTCGACGGGTGATATTCCGGCAGCGATCGAATTGCTGAAGCGAACTGACCGACTCAGCGAGGCGGTGCTCTTCAGCCAAACATACAAACCATCTCAAACCAAGGACCTGGTCGTTGAGTGGAAAGAACAACTCGATAAACAGGGCAAAGCTAAGGTCAGCCGGTTGCTTGGTGTTCCCGAGGTCGATGATGACTTGTTTCCTGAATGGGAAGAGTACTTGAAGTTGGAGAGTGACGGGCCGGCAACCGGTGGAGACCTGATTGATGTCAACGGCGGAGATGACACCGCGGTGGACGAGGGAGCTGAAGGCGTAGACGACACCGCTGTTCCTGAGGTCGATGTAAAAGCTTAGGGTTGCAGTAACTTGTGCATGGGGTTGATGAAGAAAGCTACCATAGACTTTGCTGGTGCAACTCGAACCTTGAAAATGGACGAGACGGATGATGGTCTGTTTCTTGAAACTGAAACTGAAGAAGAATGGGCTTCTCCTTGCGTCTCTTTCACCCACCTTTGGACCTTATGTTGCCCTTGACACCAGAAACATGTTTGACTTGATGCCAGTGGTTGACTCTTCCCTCAAGTGAGCGGGGGACTATAAAGTAGAGGGACTCAGGATGCTTCAATCCGCGAAAGTTATGGTCTCCTAGTGCTCGGATCTCAAATTGTTGGTGGGTCAGCTTGTCCTGCACGGCATTGGAGCTGAGTTTGGGTAGACTCAGTTCAGTCGGAACTGCCTCCTCCTCTGTAGCCGTATGATGTTTCGAGTCAAGACCGTGAGAGACACCTAATTCGTACTGCAACTGTGTCACCAAATCTCGGGAAACCACCACCTGTCCAGCTTCAGTGACCTCGATGAATCTGGCTGCGCGATTGACCATAGGCCCTAGGTAATCCATCCTATGGATGACCTCGTTCCATGCGCAGACCGGTTCCCCCCAGTGCGCCGATATGCGTAGCTTGAGCCCTCGGAATAGCACGTGGCCTTGCTCATCAGTGCTAACCTTGCCATGTGCCAGCTTCAGAATGCCCTTGGGCCAGGCTTCGTCGAGTAGTTGCTCCTGGACGTCGAGACAAAACTGCACTGCCATGGTTGCGGTTGGGAATGCGAGCATGAAGCCGTCGCCATTCTGTTTAACTTCGTAGCCTTGATTGATTGCCATGTGTGTTCGAATGGCGGTATCATGAATGTGCATTGCCTGGACCATGGCCTCTGTGTTGGTTTCCCATATCGCTGTTGATTTGACAATATCGGTAAAGACGATGCTTAGATGGCCGGTTGGTGGATCTATGGAGGTCGCCTGTGGTGTGAGGCTCGATGTGGAAGGCTTTGAATTGTCACTATCTGTAGAAGAGTCTGGTTTGTTCTGTTCTGTTTTGTTTCGAAGTGGGCTTGGGTTGGAACGATGGCTCGCTTGATGCTGGAAACGAATAGTAGTGGTTGAGAACCGACTGTTATTTCCAGAGCAGGGGGCGCATGGGAGAGTTCTTGAGCCAAATGTTCTGCTTTTAACAGCGGACGTACACCTAGGCTGTCGTAGAATAACGAGATATCTCGTCTTTGGCTTGTTCTCAAGCAACTTGTACACGCCTGAAAGCGCTGGGCCCCGCTGTGCCAGCATCCGAAAGTCGGCTGGTGGCAGCTAAGATTCTGACTAAAATGGAGGAGGTCTCAGGTTGCGTTGCAGCAGCTAGCCGAGGGCATTCACTGGACTGCGTGACTTGCATACACTTGAGACGCGACCAGTCCTGAAGTGCTCCAAGGGAGTATTCTTGTTTGTCAAATGCTTTGTTAGTATTTCCGGCTTCTGTTCCAATGGCTAGGCTTGTCCTTGTCGTGAAATCGAGGCAGGTACATGCCAAAATTTTAGAATTTAGAGGATCAATCAGGTCTATGGCATTCGTGGTATCTCTTCGTGATGAAGTGAGGAGGTGTCGATGCTCAGATCGCGCCTGCCACTCGCCGATCGATGGTCGCGTAATTGCCACAATAGGCGAACCGCTAACTGCCTTAGGTATTTGGGAAGGCGCCACCGAGCCTATGTATCAAATCCATTTTTTGGAGGCAATAATTTGTTAGTGACGCCATTCTCACCACCAAAGCACACGCCGGAGGAACGAGAGGTGAATACTCATGTCCAGATTGATGTGACATCGATATGAAGATCATAGAAATATCCAAGTGCAGAAACATCGTCAATTTGGGCGATTTGCACCTTGTCATAACCCCAGAAAAGTGAGAGGACTTGAGCTTGGTTCCCAAAATTATATAAATGCTATAACCCAGCTAGTAGAACCTCACGGTGTTCGTTGAGCAAATGTCACAACAGCATCGTGGCCCAGGGCGTATTGTTGATAATATGGTGTAGCTCCCACTTCTCCTTCTTGTCTTCATCATAGAACGACTTGCTAAAAGCTGGTCTTGAAATTCGCTCTCTGTCATCATTGGTAAAAAGATTGTTATCTTCTCCTGCCATGAGATCGATCAGGTGCTGCATGCCAGAAAGTACATGCCATCATCAATCATTATGTCTTGGACAAGACCGTGGGACTCTATGCGATGTGCACGGAAGACAAGACACTTGCCCCCTGCAAAAACATCTAAAAGGCATCTCGAAGGCGGAGCTATATCTCGATAGACTTGGAACAACACTACCCTCGGACAATTTCAGCAGTCGTTTGTTTACACTTGCCCATCCAGATGCTAATAGACGCTGGGCGCGGGGTGCAGCACCATCATCGAGATGTTCTTGCATACAAGAACAGACCATAGTGCGAATTCGGAGCCCTGGAGCCGCACAGTCACATTGTGTTTCAAAGACTGAACAGGTGTGACTCAACCATGTCCGTCCCCGGAGTAATCATTAGGCTGATACAGTGACACTCAACTGCGTTCTCGGAGGCGATATGGACAACTGGCAATGGAGGCGATGGAGGTGATGGACGTGTGGGTGCATCAGAGTTGATAAGCCGTGCTTGCGATTTGCGGGGAGTTCAACCCATTGTCCGCAAGCCAATCAAAGTCAAGGTGAAGTCATCCTCACAATCCGATCTCGGACCCCTCCACATTTCGACTTCGCCGCCAGATTTCCTGCTTATAACCATAACCAAGTATTCCATTGAGTCTCTTCTCGTTGGTCAATTCCAGGCTCAAGTCTCTACTCTGATCACGGAGATCAAATCGTCAAGATGCCTTCCGTGGATGCTCAACCCAGAACTCTTTATGACAAGGTCTTTCAAGACCACGTTGTCAATCGAGAAAAGGACGGCACAGTCCTTCTATACATCGGCACGTGTTCACCGCAAAGTCCTCAAGACCACTTATTAATATGATTTACAGATAGACACTTAGTCCACGAAGTCACCTCACCGCAGGCTTTCGAAGGACTAAAGAATGCGAACCGGAAAGTGCGTCGTCCCGACTGTACCCTCGCTACTACGGATCACAATGTTCCGACAACCCCGCGAAAGAACTTCAAGAATGTTGCCGACTTTGTCAAGGAGGAGGACTCAAGATTACAATGTGTGACCCTCGAGGACAATGTCAAAGACTTTGGCCTCACATACTTTGGCCTCGGTGACAAGAACCAGGGTATTGTCCATGTCATTGGCCCTGAACAGGGCTTCACCCTCCCCGGCACAACCGTCGTCTGTGGCGACAGTCATACCTCGACTCACGGTGCCTTTGGCGCTTTGGCTTTCGGTATTGGGACAAGCGAGGTCGAGCACGTTTTGGCCACTCAGTGCTTGATTACTAAGAAGAGCAAGAATATGCGGATACAGGTCGATGGCAAGCTGGCTCCGGGCGTCAGCAGCAAAGACATCATCCTGCACGCCATCGGTATCATCGGTACTGCTGGTGGCACTGGGGCTGTCATTGAGTTCTGTGGGTCAGCCATCCGCGGGCTGAGTATGGAAGCCCGCATGTCGATATGTAACATGTCGATCGAGGGCGGTGCTCGTGCTGGCATGATTGCACCCGATCAGATCACATTTGACTACCTCAAAGGTCGACCTCTGGCCCCTAAACCAGACAGCAATGAATGGAAGAAGGCCACCAACTACTGGCTGAGCCTTCGCTCCGACGACGGCGCCAAGTATGACAGCGAAGTATTCATTGATGCCAAAGACATTGCACCCACGGTCTCGTGGGGTACTTCACCTCAAGATGTTGTCCCCATCACTGGTGTCGTCCCAGGCCCAGATGACTTTGAAGATCCAAACAAAAAGGCAAGCTGCAAACGTGCCCTTGAATACATGGGCTTAACTGCTGGTACCAAGATGGAGGATATCCAAATCGACAAGGTTTTCATTGGTTCCTGTACCAACTCGAGAATGGAAGATCTCCGTGCCGCAGCCAAGATTGTCCAAGGCAAGAAGATAGCATCAAATGTGACACGTGCAATGGTTGTTCCAGGTTCGGGTAACATCAAGGAACAAGCTGAGCGAGAAGGTCTCGATAAGATATTCCTTGATGCTGGGTTCGAATGGCGAGAAGCCGGCTGCTCAATGTGCTTGGGCATGAACCCTGATATTCTGTCTCCGAGAGAACGATGTGCAAGTACATCGAACCGAAACTTCGAGGGACGACAAGGGGCCCTTGGCCGAACACATCTCGTGTCCCCCGTCATGGCCGCTGCAGCTGCCATTGTCGGCAAGCTGGCTGATGTGCGGAAACTGACCAACACTGCCTCAAACGAGAAGGCATCACCGAAGCTCGACGTGACTGCTGCTTTTGCAGATGTCGACTCCGAAGAGGAACTCGATAGAATCATGGACATCCCAACTGACCAAAACACGACCCCGTCCAACCACACCGGCACTGCAGCCAAGTCAAGTTCGACTGGTCTGCCAAAATTCACCGTTCTCCGGGGCATCGCCGCACCACTTGAAAAGTCCAACGTCGATACCGATGCCATCATCCCCAAACAGTTCCTCAAGACCATCAAGCGTACCGGTCTCGGAGCCGCACTATTCCATCCTCTTCGCTATAACGAAGACGGCAGCGAGAACGAATCATTTATCCTCAACCAAGAGCCCTACCGGAAATCCAAGATCCTTGTGGTGACTGGTCCAAACTTTGGCTGTGGAAGCTCTCGAGAACACGCGCCATGGGCGCTTCTGGACTTTGGCATCAAGTGCGTGATCGCACCCAGCTATGCTGACATCTTCTTCAACAACACATTCAAGAACGGCATGTTGCCTCTCGTCATCTCAGATCAGGCCAAGCTCGAAACAATCGCTGCGGAAGCAAAGGCCGGTCGCGAGATTGAGGTGGACCTGCCGAACCAGGTTGTTCGAGATGCCGATGGCAAAGAGCTTGCCTCTTTTGAGGTTGAAGAGTTCCGCAAGCACTGCTTGGTGGAGGGACTCGACGACATCGGACTCACCATGCAATTGGATGACAAGATTGCCAGTTTTGAGCAAAAGAGGACTCTGGACACCCCTTGGTTGGACGGAAGTGGCTACCTCAAGAAGTGGAGGAAAGGACCCGTCAAGGTCGATGCGGTCCCTGTGCCCAAGACCAACCGGGGTGAGGTCAAGACGGACCCTGTAGAATGGTGATGATAGCTGGCTGGTGTCTGGATGAATGATGGCATCTATCTTTGTAATTGAATGCTTGTCTCGGACGTAATGCTCGGCGATTCAAAGGGCTTTCAGGAAGAATGTCCCTAGCAGCACATGACAGGAAAAGTACGTAGGTAGCCTTGACAATCGGAAAAACTTGTATATTTAATCAGTATTTCATGAATGCTATGGAATAATTATCTTGGTCTTGTAGCTGTGTGAGAGCTCATCCATATGTTCGACAATGGGACAGGCTTAGAATGTCTTTCTTATCCGTGGAAATGGACGTGGGTGTTAGCCACGTTGTTTACTCGTGGATGTGCCTAGGCTGTGATTGTAAGCAATGGCAAGGAAGGCACAGTGTGACATGGCTGACTGTACGTTGCGTCAGCTTCATCGGAAATGTCAGTCGCAAGAAAGGGGATCTTCACTGCCACGGGCATGCTGGTAATACTGTTGTCACAGGTGTCGGTGCTCCGGTGTCAGAAATGATCACCATCCAACCAGGATAGTAGTTAGCTTCAAGCGACATTGTATGTCATGGTGGATGGAAGGGGTAACAGGGACCGAGGTCAGGAATCCCACGTGTATCCTGCACTGGAAATGGGATCGTCATTTTGGCAGCGCATGGCGACAGCATGGTGACAGGGGACCGTGGTCAACGTTTGACCGCTTGTTACTCGGGCATGTCTGGACACTACTCCGTATGGTAGAACTCCCTGACGTAGGAAACTAGGTAGCTGCTGTCCCGCTGAAGGACAATTGGCTCGAGTTGGGCTCAAGCGATGCGATCCAAGTCGATGCATGGCATTGGTCGACGGAGTCGTTGCTGCATCATAGTGCTGGATAGTGCATGAGGGGTCGTCAAGAGAGTCCTTACCATAAGATGTCTTCGACATCATCGAGCATGGAAAGTGAGTCAGCCAAGACCCAAAGGGATAGGTCTCTTCTCAGACTCCAGCTGTCATCACATGTGCCAGTTTGAAAATCCACGATGGGCGCGGTGTGCCTACTCCGAGTGGTCGCCACGTAGCATTGTGAGTCTCGTCAGGTCAGGGGCAAAGCGAGTGGTCGCCGAAAGCAAGGTGATCATTGAATAAAGCCCCGTCCTCTATCATAAAGCTGTTCACTAGCCCATGAGGCACAGGCCGCAGCATGCCCTGATTCCACTTTAAGTGCGGCTCTGGAATGGATTGGGAAGTCGACTGGGCCCGTGCACAAGATATATCGACGGGGTACTTTTTTCGTATGAGAACGTCTGACCCGTGAGGATTCTGCCCATAGTGGCTTTTTGTTGCTGCTGGGGGGGGGGGGGGGGGGGGGGGGCTCTATGACATGTCTGCGGAGATGCCATGGCCGCTCCCACGGCCTAACGGTCAACGGCTGTGAAGGTTGCTACCCGTGCCTTGGTGGGTTAGGTCTTGGTGGCTCAGAGGCCGAAAAACTTTGCTAAGACAGCGTTGGTCCGTTTGTGTCAAGCCAGGTTGGACATGATGTCTGGCAGTGCCCTGGCCATATTATCAAATCGCTCTTTCATCACAGTCTGAGTGAGAGTGCGACTGTGCAGCTTGGTGTGGACAAAATTGAAATTGGAATCTAGGTTGTTGCGGGTCGGAAGCTGCGTGGGTCTGCAAGGTATCGTAACGAGAGTATGAGGACAGGTAGTACTACTCCGTAGCTGTTGACAATTGCAGCTAGTAGTAGTGTACGAGGAGGTGCTCGTAACGTAGTGGAAATTTGCGTACTCAAAGATCGGTTGACTAGCCCGTTACTTTCTCAGGCCGGAAGGATTGAAGTGTCAATACGTCAAAAAAGCACCGGATATTGAGTTCAGTATTTGCAGGGCTGTGGGGGAGACACGCGTACACAGAGTACGCATACGGAGTACTGTGAAAGTTAGTGCCACGAGACCTCGTGGCAGCCACAACGACGACTAGCGGGGGTGTCGCCACGTGAGATTGCCAGGATAAAGCAGCCCCCTCGGCCTGTGGATGTTTGCATCTTCGAAACCAAGAAACGCTCATCCTCCGACGAGCAAGGGGCAAGGTTCGTGAGCAACAATTCCAAAGAGATTCTGTAAGTGTTACTGAATTAAGGGTGAAGGGCCATCAAATCAATGATAGGTGCCAGGGTCATGGGGAGGATCGAAGGCACCACTACTGAACAAGGCCTAGATAAGTTCGACTTTCTATGGAGAGTGATAATACACGGAAGCCAAACGATAGCCAGTATTCGCAGCTCGGCAGGATGGGTCACCACTGGAGTAAGGTAGCCTGGGAGCCTAGGTACATGGGGACCGCCGTCCTTTCTTTTACTTGCCTTGGTGCATGAGCTTTGTCCTGTTCTGTTTAGCGGGCCACCGTCTTACGTATATGCGGATGCATCTGTGTCTGCTTAGAACGTGGAATGGTGCCATGGCAGGACCACCAAGGTCTGACTCGACGGGGCGACCCTGCACTGCACGATGGCATGGATCGCGCAGCAAAACGTGGTCAGTAGCATCATATGAAAACGAAGAGTTTCTGGTCCATTGCGTCTTGGCCCGAGGGGCCGAGGGGAGGAGGCTCCCTCGGAAACCCTCGGGCCCCGAGTACCTCCGTATCACAGCAGGTAGGCTTTCACGGCCAGGGACAGCTGCGTATGCGTGATCCAGCCGAAAGCACCCAGGCACAGTTGGCGGTACTTTAGGTAGGGAGTTTTATGTAGAGATCGACAGAGGACAACAAGCGAGAAGAGCCCAGTCGCTTGTGTGTTTACCAGTCATGTTGGCTCCGGCAATTGGCATATTTGGTGTACGAGCAGTCGTATGGATCTCGCTCATGGGAAATCTTTGATTCCCTCGCTTAACTTGGCCTTTCAGAGCCTGACACTGATTTTCTGGACTGGCAGTGTGAGCTAGGCAGGGTGGCAGCTGGGCGGTAAAAACCCTCGGTCCACAATCCAATCCAGCAAATGCGGAGATGGGCGTTGTTCTTAGTCAATCCCTGCCTCGTTTGCTGCTTTTATTCGTCAGATGCCTTGGCGATGGTCCGCAGACCTGTTACACACAGCCCACGGTGAGGAGCGATTACCTAGGGAATCCAGGCTGCTGCTGCTCCCGGGCCGGACGTGACTTCTGGCAGTGCCTTAGGGGCGCCATCGAGACCTTTTCAACAAATCAATCTTCATCTTCTCCTGGCAGGGTCAATAGTTGGTTTGCCCCAAGGTGCCACTCCCCTTGGCCCCAAATTTCTCGTCTCTCATATACCGAGTACCTGAAAAAAGTAATCTGTGCCCACTGCCCTAGCAAATTGTCCATCAAAGCAGGCGGTACAGTGGATTGCTACGAGAGCCCCTGTCACAGCCTCCGACCCTGGGAGTGGAGTGGATCGAAGGTCAATGGAAGAAATTGTCGAGCTTCGAACAGTGGAAACGAGTCTTCGTTATCAGTCTTCGAGAAGGGCAAGGGGGAAGCGAAAGTGAAGTGGAGCACGAAATGTTCCCCCTCAGAACCAAGACCAGGAGTTGGGGCGGTCGACTTTGACGAGAGTGCTTGTGAGTGCCCACTAACTTAACAGATGGTGATTTGAGGTTCAAGTGGTTCTTGTCATGGTACGCACACCTCCCATGCCTGCCCCTAGAGACTTGGCGACGGTAGCAGGCTCGCAGGTTGCAGGGTGCAGGGTGCCCAAGTCGGGCGTGCTTGTTGGAGCCTCTCGGCCCCACGAGTCTTTGGCTAGGACACCCTAAGGGGGAGCGCCTCGGGCGCCCACGTGGCCATAGTCAAACCCATGCTCGTTTCCATCTGAAAAACGCCACCCGCTTTCCCACGTTTCCGAAATGCTCCTTAGCCTGGTTTTGCTCTTGTGATTTGACTCCTCCCTGGGGCCAAGAGAGGCACCTGACCGCAATCTTGACGAATCCGGTTTTGGTCCCACTGGTCCTTCGCTCGTGGCATTCTTCCACGCCTAAGGCGCCGTCGTTCCTCGGACTTTACACAGCCTATCGGTGCCGCCCAACTCTGGCCTAAGTAAACCTTGACCTTCTTTAAGTAGATTGTTTCACAATTCCATCTCTGCCGTGCTGACTGTAATTTGGATGCGTACGAGCAACCATGACTACTCCGTACGGAGTAGTAGTTTTAGAACCACAACCCAAATCGCCTAGCGACCAGTCAAGAAGGCTCAGAAGTCCTTCTAGTGCTCGTGGTATGGTTCCGTCGTATTCCGTCACCAAGTACAGACAATGATAAGCATGGGCACCAGCGGCACCAGCGGCATCTTTTAAAGTGTCTACGTGATTAGCCAATTATAGAATTTATGACTACCTCCGGTCGCTCATGTGTGCCGAAACCTACAATAGCTGACGGCACGCGATGTTTATAGTAAAGATATCATGACTGAGCCTATGGCATGAGAACCAAACCCAGCAATGCCTAATTTAATACCACATGATAAGCTGATGTGGCCTGCAGCCTGTACATATGCGTGTGCGTACGCGTACGGAGTAGTTGTCAGCAATCACCCTAGGCTTGACGATGCGGATCATGTATTTCCGCATCTCGCGTAGATTTAGTTCCATGGCCTGGGAAAGGAATGCTGTACGAATATTCTTGTCTGGAGTACTACTAGGGAGGACCTACCTACCTGGTAGGTAGTCAAGTTTCAACTGTCTGGCCTGGACCTCTAAAATTAAAGTGCTTGCATGGGCTCCTTGGACATTTTTCCGTGAAATGTGCCAGTGCCAGTGCCAGGAGAGAGTTAAGCACGTTGGGTTGTAGAATTCCCTTTCGCCTGGCTCCGACCCTCAGTCACAAAACCCGATTTATTCAACAGCCCACGCAGTACAAGGCATTGAGTGTAGTACAATGTTGCCGGACGATGCTAGTCGGCGGTCCTCGACTGAAAATCCCCATATTTTTTCGTGTCCTACATAAGCAAGTCAGTAGTAAGTACGAGTAGATACCAGCCAGCTACTCGCCTTGCCTGCTCTGCAATTCTCCTGTCTCTGACCTTCGAATCGACGGTCTTTAGCGCAAAGTATGACGACAGAAACATTCCAAGGCTCAACGAGTGGACCTCACCGCCATATAGCAAGGGGGACTGACATGCTACATACGGAGTACTGTAGATCATCATTACAGTAAGGCAGTCGGGGTTGATGTCAAGCTTCAATGCAGTCCAGTCACAACGACCAGAGACTCAAGTGGGTAGCTGCGGGCGGGGGTACTCAAGCAGCCCCCTTTTAAGCGAACTGTGGAAGATGAATGGAACATCACTTTCCGTGATGAAAATAAGGTGCTTGGGTGTGATAGAGAAGGGGGCCATCTAGTCATCATTTGGAGTAGTGTGATAATTCGAAATCCTTAGCATCAGTCAAATTTGGCCATGATCATCGCTTCCCAAGTGTCTTTCCCGCTCGAAAGAACAGCAAGGACTAGGGCCCCAAATGTCCACTACCTCTGCGGATGTCTACTGGTAGCTGGCCACAGCTGAGGGCCCAATTCCGGTATCAGAGTTCAGACCGTCTCGCAGACTCTGTTGTGTACGAAATGGCTTCTGTTCCTGGCTACCCAATCGTGCAACATGTTTCCCCTGTCAAACCCGAAGAAATGGACAAATCCACGCGGTCTGTGATCAATATAAAGACAAATAAACTTCAACGGTCATCGACGCACGAGCATTTGAGTGTGCCTAGTCTCCTCTAGTAACCAGAGTTGGACGTTGCAATGGGCATGGAATGGACCGTCCGTGGGCTCGTGCTCCTCCTCCATTTGATCTGGAACCTTGAACCTTGGTGGACTTTTATTGGCAGGATCAAACCACCACGATCAAAGGCTTGTTCTATGCGTAATATCATGCCTAACGGAGAATTTAGATCGACTGTGCTGCCAATCCCCGCGAAACAGAGGACTGGGTATACGAACTACTAAACCTAACACCATCGCAAGGGAGTGTTCATTATTGATCCGAGTGTGGATGTTGGCAAGTCCATCTTTAGCCAAAGCGGTTACTGTGATGAACGAGATTTACAGGCTGGCCAATCGCGCGAGACTGGGTGAATTTTCAGACATGCACTTTCCCTGCCTTATCACGACTGTCGCCATCTCATAGGGCCACTGGTCTATCCGAAGGTAGTTTGCAGGCTGAGACTAAAACTGGTTTCTGAGTCGGACTGGAGTAACAACTGTTGTCCTCCCACGCCTCCGTTACTTCTTACTCTACGAGACTCTGGTCCGGTCAGACCAGCCTCACTAGGCCAGGCACTAATGCGGGGTCTTGCATTAGTATCTCGAGGCGAATGTCCATGTGCCAACAGGCATCTTGACGCAGTGGTCTCAATTCGTCGCCGGCATGTTTGGGGAAGGGGAAGGCATTATTGTGTAACCTTGGCAAAGCAGGTTCCAGGACCAGACTGTGACAGGGAGTGTGTTGGTTTTTGATACTTAATACTCAAGTCACGACGCCAATGCCTTTGACGCAGTTGAAACGCAAGGCATTGGCATCAACATGTTCGATGTGTGCAGTGCGAGTCAATGGCTGTGGTGCATTGGTAAGAAGACAACGTAGATATTATCAATCAGTACGTGGTGAAGAATGAAGAATGAAACGATGCTTGAAGCTGTTTGGAGTATCGTGAGTGGTATAATCAGTGCACTGCTTACTTCCTTCCACGACTGAGAAATAAGTAAAGTACTTTACTTGCCTCTGAAGCGTCCAAATCCCTGCAACGTGCCCAGCTTACCAACTCGGTGACACGAGAATACTGTAACTCCCACATGGCCATCCCAGGACCAGGATTCTACATTGTAACAGATTGAACACGCAGATGTCTTGCCGATGTAGCACAGAACCATGTGACTGGAATTCACGGACCCTTTCCACCAGGGCAAGGCACACAGGAAACACGTTGCAGGGGCGTAGTTGTCGGGGATTCTCCCTGTTCAGGATAATAAAGCGTGGTGAATCCCAAGCCCACGGGACCTTGATGCAATTGTCCATCAACCATATGTTTCTCACATTACACTCTTGTATGTACTGTCAGCGCTGGAAATCCTTCCGTCAATTATCCCATTCACCTTGTGGGCAAACGTGGCAGAGTTTTGATCCTATGGATAGGTGGCCGTGTTGGCCCTTGGGGCCATGGAGCCGTGGATTCAGGCACCCCCAATTTGAACCTTGAATCCGTAGTGTTGGATGATCATTGCCTCATCAACAATCGTTGAACTGGTCCCGTGCCTTATGCTACCACCTCATACGCACATCTCCTCCATAATAAGAGTGACATTGGACTGAGCAAGGTGACATGCAAGTGGCTGGCTACCCACCTGCCCTTACATGCGAATACCCAGCCTGTAGGCCACAATCTACCTTGTGAAAGCCCTAACATCCTGTATATGTACCTACCTATATCGTATGTATATACGTATGCGTAAATTACGATCGTAGGATGCTACCAAACCTTGAACTTGGGCATGCCTCACTACCCGTACTTACGGAGTACACATACGGAGTAGGTACTATTATTATTGCGGGTCAGTCACCCAGTGTAGCCATGTCCCAATTCGTGTCACAGAGTGACCAACCCGGAGAGTTTTCTTCTCGAATTTTGCATCCCCCCTGTTCAAAATTTCCAACGCTGGCGCACTAGCTCCCTAGTTCGAACTCTGCACCTCAGACCCCTGCTGGGGCGATGGACCAGGGCTTGTTAGCCTGTACAGTAGGTGTCTCCACACCCTCGTGGTCTGGTACGCATTACCCATAGTGAGCAATCCTGGCCCACGCTGGCCCACGCTGGCCCTAGCCTTCCGATCATCGTGGATTTTCACCGCGCCTGCGCCTGGCTCTGCTTCTGCCGTCTGTCTGCCCTGGCCGCCAACAACCCACACCCACCGTTGACTACTCAAGTGCTCCATGCCCTCTGCAGGCCACATCCTAAAGCCTGTCTTATCCTCACCCGACCTGACGATGCCACTGTCCTGTGCGGAACCCTACCATGTCCAACTGATCACCTCCCACACACCTTTCCAATCTCCTTCATGTTCCGTTTGAGCAATGGTCATATCTACGACTCCATGACTTCGCCAGACCCTCACCTCTCTGCTCATTCTGTCGCTGAACACACTTCTTCACCAGGGCATTCCTCTAACCGCGAGGTGTCCCGCCCGCCTAATCACTCCCACAGCAATTCGACCAGTCTTGTACACACCAAGAGTAGACGTTCTCTGGCGTCGCTAGCCAGGGAAAAGACCTCCAACGCCTTTGCCAATCTCACCGCCATAGCGAGCCCTTCCTCACCTGCTTTGCGGTCTGCCACCTCCTCCAGCAGCCTCTCCAAGCAGCCCTCCTACACTACCTCCCGTCCCAGTCTTTCTCGGTCGCCGACATCCCCAGCCGACCTACCGAACACATCCTTGTCGCAGTCGCGAAGAGTCAGTGGAGTCGCTCAAACTCCCCAAGAGCCACGGAGCAGTACGACGGTTCCTCCAATGCCCACCACGGATAAGAACAATGGAAGGATGCATCAAACTTCGTCAAAGATCCTACGCATGACCGATGATGAGCGGCCCTTCACTCGAGATTTCAAAGATCTGTTTTCGACATTGATCACAAGTCTGCCGCTTACACCGCACAGAGTTCGTTTCACCAGGGTCGAAGAGACATTCTTGTCAGAAGAAGCCATCACCAACCTTGGGTCGCTCAAATTTTCGCAGTCAAATCGAATACCAGATCCCAAGAATCCAACGAGATGGGTCGTCACCACCACTACCACCACATTTTCTATGGCCAAGGAAATGGCACGTTCGGTCTGTCAACGCTTCGTCGACGCTCGCATGATTGAATCTGCCGAATCAAAGACCAACACCACCTTCGTCACAAAAGGGGCCGTGTGGCAACTTACACCTAAGGGCGTCGCCATCCTGCAGAGGTTTTGTGGGCGAAATGGTATCAATGCTAGGCATATTGAGCCTCTACTCAAACGCAGCCCCATGCAGATTGTCGCACTAGAACGAGATGCCACCACTGATAAACTCGTCCAGGACCGTGCTACGGTAGAGATCATCTTCCGACGGTTCATGGGTTTTGAAGGTCCCAATCTCAAAAGCTCAACCTCTCTTTCCGACTCCGACTCGGTCTCGGATTACGCCTCGGGTATGGTTGGAGTCAAGATGGCCAAGGAACGACGCGTGCTTGACAAGAATGTCGCAAACACCTTTACTGGCAAGGCTGCCTCGGACTGGCTTCTCGATTGTTGCACGACAATCGATCGGCGGGAAACATATGAGATGGCCGAATTATTTGTGAAGTGGCAACTCATCCAGCCCGTTGTGGAAGACCGATCCTACGTTCGCATGAACCCCATGGCTACCTATTTCCAACCCACCAAATTTGCCATCTACACTCCCACTGAGCGAGGCCAACGCGTCTGTGGTTGGATCGCACGACCACCCAGCGTCAACAGCGAAGACAGCCGTGATACAAAGGACAAATCACGATCAGTCCGCGATTCCAACGTGAGCAGGCTCAATGTCATCCTTCAGGACGCCGCTCTTCGTCTGTTGTTCCGCGAGTTCCTAAGACAGTCCCTTTGCGAGGAGAATCTGCAGTTCTACTTTGACGTCCACGACTTCACCACCTCATATCGATCACTCGAGCAAGGAGGAAAGCTCGACCGGCCAGACTCTGTAAGAGAGACCTTGGCAGCTGCCTACGGTAAGAGAATCCCATTAACCATTTGACCCATGCTGACTTGTGGAGGACTGTACAATTCTTTCCTGGCCTCTGGTGCTCCTTCCGAACTCAACATCGATCACTCTCTTCGCAACCGCCTCGATAGTCGCATGATCAGGACCAACACAGATGACGACTCGATGCGAGAGAGTTTAGCGGATGTGGTGGAACTCTTTGAACTGGCCCAGGCTGCCGTCTTCAAACTCATGGCCAGTGTAAGTCAAGCTTACCGTGCTCTTGTGGCAACTTTACTCATGCCTGTTGCAGGACTCCGTACCAAAATTCCTACGTGACCCAAAACATGCAAGCGTTCTTCGAGAGCATGATGTCGACTTGATCGGTGGCACCCGTGCCTTATCACCCGCGACCGATCGACTCAGCCGCTCCAACACCGGACGCGGCTGAGAGGACGACTTTGAACCAATTTTTTCATGTGACGACATCAAAGGTGGCCTCACCCAATTGAAACATCGTTCTTTGTGGTGCAGACTGGCCTCCCTGAACATACTAATCAACAAATCTCTCTCCCGAAGACCATGTACAAAAGTGACATTCCTTCTTCGACATGCGGGCGAGGTCTCTACTCCCATACTCATTCGAGATCACACTGCCACATGTCTACAAAGACATTGGCTGAGAGCGGGTCTTAACCTGTCCGGTGATTTAACATTCTTACATGCATCGGTTTTGCATAGCGTGGTCAAGCGGACATCCAGGTCAATTTTTGACCAAATTTTACATTTAAACGGCGCAACCCATCCAGATTTTTTGCATTTGCATTGGAAAGATACCCTCGAGGAGGAAGCGAGACACGGACGGTAGGTGGGCTTCGGGCGGAAAAGGAGAGAAGCATGCATAAAATTCGAGGCCTCTCAAGCGAGGGCTCTTGCAAGCGTCTCACACACGGATCAACGTTGTGGGACTGTTGTAAATATGGTGATGGATATACGAAGAGCAATGTATTTGGCTGTTACTGCTGTCAACACCATGGATGAGCTTTACATAGCTATGCTTGCACCATTGGGGATCGAGCTCCTTGGACATCGACTTGGATTGTATAGTCCCCAAAGTTTTCCAAGTGCAAATATTTCAGATCTTGATCTTTACTCTAGGTAGCCTCAAGAGTCGTTTGCAATCACGACCGAAGAGAGTATGGATTATCAGAACATAGCCAGAAACGCATTATTACTCCCACAAGAAGGAACCCGACACTGCCACTTGCCGAAATTAGGACACGGTCCATTGTCTATGTCTCTGAAATTTTTTCCCTCAATATCGCCCAGAGTCGTTCGGCCACCCATGGTGGATGATTATTGTGGACTAATATCACGGGGTCGCCGAAGGCTGGGTTGCGGATACGAGTTGCACTGACACCCTCACAGTGTGATCCGACAATACCACATGCGCAGGTATCTGCCACCCCGCTTGGCGCATTGATATTGTTAGATCAAGCACAGTCACCTGGAATTGGCCGGGGAGTGGTCTTGAATCAGGAAATTCCTCTGCCAGTGTGCTCGGAAGGGCCGATATCCAACGAGGCGCGTCTCCGACATCGTCTCCTGGTGAACTTCGGACAGCTTTGGGATACTTCTTCGCCAGTGAACTTCTGCTTTTGTTAGTTCTCAGAGCTGCCCATAATACCGGCTGACTGCGACTTTATCCACTCGTGTGGGAACGCTTGCATGATGTTCGGTATTTCCGACCAAAGACTTTGGGCAGCACCAGAAGACAGGGGAGGCGCATATACGCCAAGACTGCGGAATCTTCAGTTTTTCCACCACATAATGTTGTGGATGAACCTCGTTAACCAAAAGATGTGGCTTTACTAATCCCTGCTGACAATTCCAATATTAGGCTCGTCGACTACGATATTGCGCACCGAAAGGCAGATGCTCCTTGGTAAGATCAGGCTTAATATCCTCGATTCTACAAGTCCTCTGCCGTGTGTCCATCATCCCTTGAAGAGTCGTAGTAGAGGCAGCCACCTGTAGTAGTGCCTCCGATGTGGGCTTCCGACGTGGGCCTCCGACTGTCACTAGCAACTCGGCGCGGATCATTATTGATCCGAATCTGCGTTCATGCCTTGCATTTTCAGCACTGTAACTGCAATCCACCGCGTCCTTTGTTTGATCTGCCTTTGAACTGCCTGTGGAATCTTGCAAGCCACGTCGATTTCTTCCACTCTGTCGAGACTCGCTCCACCTCCCTCGATGCCGACGGTGGCTGTGAAATGACATTCGTCTAACCTACGCATCTTGCCTCCCATCCGCCAATTCCCACTCGTCATGGCCTCTGCAGACGCCTTGCAGCTACTGCGATCCTCAATTTCGGCCGCGAAACAACCTGTCCTCACACGGTCTGCAGACATTACTACCGCCCTTGACCAGCAGACCAGCAACTTTGAGGATGCCACGCACCTCTACTTCACTCATCCTACCGCTCAGTGCCTTCCACTCGACCAGAAAACGAGATTCGTCTCCACCAATCCTGACATCGTTCCCGTTGACCTGAGAAGTATCTTCTTCGCCTGGCTCCAAAAAGATGTCGCTGTCCCAGAGTACATCGCCCGCGCCGCGGAGCTTAACAAGCTGTTGCCCGAGGGCCAGAAAGTCCGCAACCTGATCTTCGTCGAGAGGCTAGATCTGCTTACCTGGCTGGAGGGAGCCTCGGATGAGTCCGAGTACATCAAGGCCGTTGAGGGAGTCGATGCCTCTGCATTGGGTGACGCTGCAAGCAGGGCTGCTGATGTTGCTGGCGGCGCTGCTGTGCCTACAGTTGGTGGAGCAGGGGTTGGGGTGACCCAGTTGATTGGAGGGCGACCGATCAAGACAATCGACGCCAGGCTACAGGCCATTTACAATGGCGAGAGGAGGCTCGGTAACCACAACACTGCATTGAGAGGGATTAAGCCCACGGTGAGAGAGGTTTTCACTTGCGACGTTGGATGACGGACTGTGCTAATGATACATTACTCACAGGACTTTTCTGGAGTTCGAAAACATGCAGAAACGTTCCTTGGTCGTCGCAAAGGTATGCCAGCGGCCGGCGGTCGACCAGGCCAGGCGGCCAAGACATCCCAACTTGCTGCTCGTCCTGCGGCTGGAATGACCAAGCAACCGTCTTCGGCTGTGTCTTCTAAACGCTCGGATCCCATCATCCTTCTATCACCATCGGCCTCATCACTCCTACGCATGTCAAATATCAAAACGTTCCTCGACACCGGGCTTTACGTTCCTCCAGACCATCCCACTCTCTCAACACAGACGACAGCCAATTTACTCCACATTACACGGACACTCCACTCATTGAGCGAGAAGCCTTTCCGGTTCATTCTTGTTGACTCTCCTGATCAGTTCAAACCGGATTACTGGTCACGAGTGGTGGCCGTTTTCACGACCGGACAGAGTTGGCAATTTCGAAGCTATAAATGGAGAGAGCCTCAAGAGCTGTTCGGTCACGTTCTAGGGATTTATGTGGGAGAGAAGGGACCACCGATCCCGGCAGAAGTCAAAGGCTGGGGCAGCAGTGTCAAGACGTATGCCGTAGAAAGATGGGACGAAAGAGCTCATGGTGCCAATGTTGAGCCGGATACAAGGACCGGCAGACGGTGGAGGGACAGAGAGACGGTGGAAGAGGTGTGGAGAGCTATTGAAGCACACATGAGAGGGAGGGGAGAGTGGAAACGCTGATCGCGATTGCGGAACCATGATGGATCTTGTGGGCTGTCTAATCCCTGACTGTCACAAATCCTTACCGCCCTGATATTGCACGCCACCACGATAAATCATGTCCCCATTGACTCGATTTGCATCGTCCAATGAACGAGATGCTGTGTCCTTCCACGAATCGTGGGAGAACTGTCCTCTTCGACACGACGATTACGACGCTTAGGTTAATGGTCACCTATTGGATGAGCATCCACACGGCCTCGGTCACGGCTCTCAAGAGGATGGTCGCAACATGCACTTGAAGGCGCTGGCAACGACAACGGCAACACGAGTACTTGCCTGCGGTGCATGGTGATTGATCTCCGTGACCTACAGCGGTCACCTTTTCTAGCGGGCTTTCCCCCACCGCCGTCCCCCCTGGCGGCCTCCCACTTCTCAGCGTCAGGTCTTGGGCGCTTGGGCTGTTCCAAGTTTTCCCGGCAGAACTGGATCTTGATGAATCTCATAAGGAGTTTAAGGTTGAAGAATGCAGTTCCTAACCCATCCAGACATTGGGATAGGGCGTGGCCGGGGCCGATAATCTAGGTAGCCAAGACAAACAGAGATGGTCCTCTGAACCGGACTCACCGGTTCACGATACCCGCGAGGAAGTTGAGGACAGCTTTGCTTAAATTCGACGGCATTCTCCAAGGGAGATGCCGAGCGGCGCATAGGTAGCTTTCGGCAGCGTTCGGCAGCAAGCGAACACCTTGCGAGGCACTAAGTAGATGACGAAGATCCCCTAGAACACGAACATGGCACGACGTCGGTGGGACAAGCGTCTCCACCCTTCAAAGAGAGGGGACCCCTCGGGCTTCGATGACCTCGTGGAAAAGGGGCAACATTCCTACTGTGGTCAACTTGAACTCGATCGTGTTGCAGTAAGGCCCAACAACCAGTACCTCAATTGATCCATGTCTGTCAGGCTGAACCGGCTCTCGCGGTAAGCCTCTGGCGAGATATCTGTGATGGGGATGGCCAGGTCGGTGAACAGCTGTTTTGGTCTAACCGACGTTTTTCCATTCACACAACGGCACATCTTCTGTCCTGAGTGCTTCTCAGCCAAGTTTCGTGTCCAGTCCAATTTCCTAGCGAATTGCTCCTGTTATCGGCACAGTGAGAGATGCTTCACGTATGCTGCATGATGTCTCCTGACAAGTCTGCCTTGGCGAACTTTGCCTACCCCACTTGATGAGATGGCATGGATGGGCTTCAAAAACGAGGAAAAAGACGGAATTCATTCTTCTTCAACAACAGCCCCCGAGATGATTGTCTGTTCTACATGACGCTAGGCTGCGTTGATTCTGAAAAGGGTCTTTCACCGAGAAAGTACCCGGTTCAAAGGGGGCTATGTAGCATGCAAAAGGACGTTTGAAACGCTGTCTTTACGTCGTTCTTCAATTCTGGGGAACAAACCGCTGACTGTAAATGGTAGTGCTCGACTCGTCACCATGAGACCCCTTCTCGAAACGCGCCAATGTCGCCTACGAGTTGGTCTCATCACATTCCTCGTCAAACCTCGATTGGTGCCTCTGCATGAGGCATCCTTGGCCTGAGGGGCCCATCGACCCCCCGATTGCTGCACATGCTTCCTCACCGCGTGGCAATCCCCTGTTCTTGCAGGCAAACCCTGCTAGTTGTCCTGGTGGCTAAACCCACGAGGTCGTCTTCCACTGCCACGTTCTCCCTCCGGCCTCGCTTGGTCAGTTGTGGTCACGCGAATTGCAACTTCGCCTACTCTTGCCCGACAACGCCTGCAGTTTGCTGAATGCTGGATCTTCTACGGTTCAACCATCAATATGCAAGATAACGCGTGGTTCAGGGTCGTTCAAGGCGCCTGCCCATGTCAAACTAGTTTGGTCAAGCCATGGTTCCGGCGTGTATCGTTGAATGAGATTTGCTTGCCCATTCGATCGTTTGTTTCTACCCTTGCACTAGACGACATACTGTACTGCACGTACAGACGAGGTACAGTACCCCAGCCCTCTGAGGATGTCGAAGGAATATCTGAATCTGCCACGAAAGCATGCGGCGTGGTGTCGACAGGGTGTCTTCCATATGTCGCCTAATCAACAAGTGGTTTCCCATCGACACAGGCTCTCTGTTTGTTTTCTTCGTCTCGAGCCCATGTCCTGTCTTGAATATACACAACATCGCGTTGCTTCAGGTGATTGCACTCTGTCGTCGGCTTTTAGATGGCAATAGAGCTACTTTACTCCACGAGGTCGATGTTATCTAGACCTTGGCACATTCAGTGGTGAGTTGGAAATATCATCACAAAAAACCTTGTGTACAAGCAATTACTTCTTGGTGATATAAAGTCTCTGGGCTCCCTCCATCCATGGATCCCATCTCGTCGACACTCGGAATCGCGGCTGGAGTGGCTTCCATCATCACCATCATCGGCAAATCCGTCTGTACACTTAACACTCTCCGGCTCAAATACAAGGATGCAGCATTCAACATCAATCTCCTCACGAATCGACTCTCCATAGTCAAGACTGCTCTGGTGCAGGTGGACCATTTTGTGAACGAAAATCTGGAACATGAACCTCAGCATCTGCAACTCACACTCGATCTCGACGAGTCTCTCAAGTGTTGCGGAACGTTGGTGGAACATATACACGATCAAATCGCCAAGTTCGAATGGGATGATGAGCTATTACGACTTGGCCGCAGGGCGCTCTTCCTGCTCGAGGATCAAACCATCAAAGACCTAATGATGCATTTGGATCATCACATTAATGCTCTTAATCTTTGTCTCATTGCTTTCAATTGGTAATGCGGCTGTTCTCTGATCATGAATATAGGCTAACAACGAGCAAGCCGTACACCAAATGAACAGAAACGATTCCTCAACCGAGAAGAGAGCAGGAGGGTGTTCAAGTTGGCACGAGATGACACGACGTCGTTGATCGAATTTCGCGACTCGATATCGTTTGGTACCTCTGCTAGACGATCGTCCATCGGCTCGCAGTTTTCCAAGACATTCGAATTCGACGGGTTCCTCCTGCGACACAAGATCTACCAAAACACCTTCCGGTCGATGCTCCGACGAGTGGCGAGTCCCACGGAGAATCTAGCTCTAAATATCAAAAGTCGGACCATGTCTGAGACACCACCGATATCTCCCCAGAGTGACTCGAAGACGTCAGCACTGATAGACTCCCAACTAAAGGAAGATGGGCGTAAGATGAAGCGAGAAATCAAGATGCTTGCGATGGGGGATCGGCATGGTCGATCGGCGGTGGTCCGACAGATGCGCATCAAGTTTGGACAGCCGTTTACAGATGCTGAGATCGAGCAACACCGTCAGTCAATTACCCTTCTGACTATTCAGGCATTGATTGCGATTGTCGACTATGTGCAACACTCGACCGGATTCATCAGTCATCTCATCAAAGCCCATGCTCAGATTGTGCGTGACTTCGTGGTACAAGGAGCCCCTGATTGGACGGTGAGCCCTGAGGTGGCAACGAGCATAATGCAAATATGGCAGAATTGGCACGTGAAGCAAGCATATCGCATCATGCAACAGCATGGGCCGACGGCATAGTAAGTCAGTAGCGTCGAAGCATGAGTCTCGAGGGCTAATTTTGGTATTAGTTTTCTCCGGGCTATCGAACGAGTCTGTCACCCGGACTACTTTCCCAGTAATATGGATATCATCCGAGCACCAGAGACAATTGACACAGTCAAAGAGACCGAGCTGACGATCGACAAGGCAACGGTGCGTGTGGTGGAGATCAAAGACCAAAATGCGATGCGCATCATGCCACAGTTCGCCGATGTCCACTTTTGCGTCTTCTCCATTGACCTAACATGCTACAATCGATACCTAGACGACGAGGATAGCACAAACGAACTGTTCGAGCGACTGCAATACCTACGGGCGATATTCCGGTCCAAGTTTTTCCACAGCACTGTTGTCTTGATTGTCTTTACAAATTCATTGGCATTTGCGAAACAAATTGCTGAGTCACCGTTAAAAAGTCATTTTGGCGACTACAGCGGCGGGAACAACGTCGATGCCGCCATGAAATATATCATCGGGCGCTGTAAGCTGATGAATCAACTGGATCGACCATTCTTCTGGCACTGTTACGACTTCGCAGCACGGCAAGGGGACGGTGAACTGATGGCAGACTTTTTCCGACGATCAGCTTCGATCGTAGGGACCATGAAGCGCTTACGGGAGATTGGGCTGGGACCGAAGAGTGACTGGAGATGAAGGAATAACAGACTATAATTGTGTCTAGGTGGTTTGGTTTGGTTTCACCTGTTGTGTGTTTGTTATATTTCTACCAAGGTACCAGACAACAAGAGGAGCAGACAGACTCTCTTGGACTTGAACGAGCGAGGAGCAGAAGACAATCTGTGGCTATTTGAGATGGTAGAAATAGAAGCCAGATTGATATAGTATGTTCAATGACACGTTGATGGACGTCGAATTGGCATAACGCAGAGACCAGCAGGGATGGCGTCATCGGAAAATTGAGGAAGTTGCCCGAGCCGCCATTGTATGTGCGTTTACGGAGTACTGACAAACGACAGACCCCGCGGAGATTTGCAGGTGGTTCGATAGATCCATGAACCGCCACCATGCCTGTACTCCATGCTCCTAGAGCCCAGATATTGTATGCGGACTGAGCTTTCGGTAGTGGTCGACGGTGTACGGTGGAGGAGGGCATTCAATGCGGCCGCTTTAAGTATCAGAGTATGTCGCAGGCACTCCCTCTGGCGGTGTCACTGTCAGGTCGGTGGATAAACAACCTTAATTACTCAACTTTTGTAATTCTCCACCACCTTCCTTCCCATCTTGTGTTCTTTCTTGCGACTTGATCGTTCCTTCCTCGCCAAATCCCACGAGTCACCTGCACCTGCACCTGCACCCGCACCTGCAAACTTCATCTTGATCTCTATCTTCACCTCGCGTTTTCCATCATCGACCTCTTCCGATTCTGTCCTCGTACCGTCGCCTGTGCTGAGGCAAATCTCTGTCATGGCTTCTCTCATAGAGATCCAGTCCGAAGACGTGTTCGATGAGTCCATCAGGGCGGCCTCACCCAACACCCTCTTCGTCCTATACTTCCACACTCCATGGGCTGCACCATGTGCACAAATGAACACCATACTCTCCACCCTCGCATCAACCTATCCCGCCAACGCTCCCATCAAATTCCTCTCCATCAACGCTGAAGATCTTCCCGACATTTCGGAAGCCTACGATGTCACTGCTGTACCGTTCCTCGTTCTCCAGAGAGACAATAAGACATTGGAGACAGTGAGTGGCAGCGATGCGACCAAGGTCCGCGCTGCCGTCGAGAAATACGCTGGTGGAGGTGGTGCTTATGCGTCCAATGGATTACCGCCACCCCTCCAAGCGGCGCCACAACAGCATGCGCATACAAATGGAAATGCTCCAACCACAACCAAAGATCTCAGCTCCTACGCACCTAAGCCCAACGACCCTCTGACTACAGCACAACAAGCGTCTCAAGAATCAAGGAAGGAGCTGAATGAGAGGTTGGCCAAGTTGATCAAGGCTGCGTAAGTTAATACGTGTACAGATTGCAACTCAAGGTCAGCTGCTAACACCGTCGGCTGTGCATAGTCCGGTCATGCTCTTCATGAAGGGAACACCTAGCGCACCTCAATGTGGCTTCAGTAGGCAATTGGTCAGCATTTTGAGAGAGAATCAAGTGAAATATGGGTACGGCGGCATTTCATCTAACCTCGAGTCGCTGACAATATCTGACATTTCAACTAGATTTTTCAACATTCTCGCCGACGATGATGTCCGAGAGGGCCTCAAAGTTTTCTCCGACTGGCCTACCTTCCCTCAGCTTTATACAAACGGTGAACTAATTGGTGGTCTCGATATTGTGAGTCTGGTTTCTGTTTAATGTAATCTCATCTCCGGCTAACCTACTTCCCATTAGGTGAGAGAGGAACTTTCTGCGGACCCGGACTTCTTCAAGCCATATGCCGCGCCGTCTGCAGCCACCGCATGAGTTCTGACGGGAACGAGGATGTGACCAAAGATTTTTGGAGAACGTGATGTGGCAAATGATACAACATGACACTGTGATCGAACCACTTGGGATAGCGAAGAGACAATGTATTGCAGCTTCTTCTAATGAGAAACTCTAAATACCACCCCACGAGCTCGCAAGCATTGCGCTGCAGACGTCGGAATGTTAGTTTGTTATTTAAAGGTAGTTCATGAGATTAGGAAACTTGATCAACCTCATCCTTTAGAAGGAATGCTCTGAGACTCTGCATAGATTCTGACCACCCGTCAATGTTCAAATCTATTGCGATGACTTTGAGGTGATCCTCAGACCATTCGCAGAGGTTGTTTTTATCTTGTCAATCTTATCTGATGGTGAATCTGATAACGTGTAAACCTTGGCCACTTTTGCATATCCCACATCTCACCCCTCATCTGATAAGTGACCCTCTAAGATTGCAATCTCTCTGCAGGAAAATTCATCCAATGTATAGAGAGCTCATGTGTATATGGAGACACTTTGGCTGGCGGGCGGTGCCTGGGGCAAGCAAGTCAAGATTTCCAAGTCCTAGGACAATAACATCACACCCCAAACTCAGGTGCTGGACAAGGCTCTGGGCACCGCCAAAGCCAACCGGCGACGTCTGTTTGCATGATCAAGAGCAAAATGGAGAATGGGTGTATGAAACTAGCTATCATATCCATATCACCACTACATGCCAAGTAGTATTTGGCAATTGACACCCAGTACTCTCTCATCAATTTCAATTTCCGAGCTCCTCCCTCTGGCCGCGGCGCGAGCCTCTCTCTGTTTTTTCATCAATATAGTAGGGGATCTTACGCACGGGATTTTCGACGAGATCGTCGCAATCTATCCCAGAGTCACCATACACGTCCTTGTAGATATGCCATTCTGGTCGGGCAATCTCGCGCGTATGCTCACCCTGCTGAGCCGTGGTGACCTGGGGCATCAAGGACATCATGCTGACGGCTTTGCTGACGAAGTCTTGATGACCCAAGTAAGCGCCGCGGAGCCAGCGTTTGCCGCTGTTGAGGTCGAATGAATTACGTGCGTGTACCACGCGTTGGTTGTCGAAGATGACGCACGTGCCGCTGTCCATCTTCTCACTATACACGTTTTCGACGTGGTTGAGGAGTTTGGAGAAGATGGCACTGGCGCGGATGAATTTCTCTAGTTTGGAGTGCGGTAGCGATGAGTCCAGGTTGCCGACAAATGGCGGTGACCAGTAGACGTGTTCGATCTGAGAAATCAGGTCTTGGTTCCGTGCGTGAAGCACGTTTTGCCGTGGAGTCGGATTGCGTGTCATGATCGTTGGTTTCGTGTCACTGTAGAAGAAGTTGTCGTTGTCATACTCGTATCGCACCGGTACGTCCATTAGTGTTTGTATCATTTCTGGTCCATTGTGCATTCGGGACATGATGTCGATGGCTTTGAGCGTGTCGGCAAAGCGTGACTCGCCACCTTCGCATGTGTTATGCACACAGTGTAGGAATTGGAGGCCCGGTGGATCCTTCATGTATAGAAGATCCATGTGGAATCCTAGATGCTTTGAGGTATAGGCGACGTTCTTGGCTTGCGGTTTAGACTTGACGTCCCAGGTGTTGCCGTAAAAGGTGTTTTGGAGCGGGCCAATGCGGGTGACAATGTTTTGGACTGACTCTTCGGCCTCGGGTACACCGTCGAGAAAAACAAGTCCATCTCGCCAGAGAAGATGAAGGGTTCGGGCCAGAGTTTCGTCATCACTCATGTAGTCGTTGAAGTCGATGCGGACGTTTTCAGCGGTGCGGAAGGTTTTTCGGGTCCACACTTTGCGAGGCCTTTCGTACATTTGCCACGCTGGGTTGCGGAAAGGTTGTAACAGGCGTGAGGTGGTGGCTTGGTCAAAGACCGAAAAGTGATTGGGTTGGACGTCGTTTTCCCATCCGATGATTGTCTTTTCACCGTCGAATGATTTGCTTGCCGTTGCGACGTTGATGTTGGTCGGAATATCCGAGTATTCGTAATTGCGTTGTCGGTCAGATGGGTCTACGCAAATGTCGCATTTGCAGGCCTCGCGAAGGAGAATCGGTGAGACGAGTGGTTCGGTGCTGTCTGCACTGGGAAACAGCTGACCTTTAGCCACCAGCTTCTCCTTATGAGATTGGGTAAGACCTTCGGCTCCATGATCGGATGATGACGAGGAGCGAGGGGGGTTTGGTGCCTGGATGCCGACTTTGAAGTTTTTTGAGTAGTTGTTGGACCGATTGTTGAGGGCTTCGCGGTGCTGATCCTTGGTCCAGATAGAATGGTATCGGAGTTTTGGCTTGACTGCTGCGTCGAGTTGGGATGTTTCATCATTGCCTAATTCCTCCACCACTTGGTCTCCATCTGCTGCTATGCCATCTTGGCTTGACTTTGCAAGTGATGGATTGTCTTCTGGAAAAAGAAATCTGGCTCTCTGGCGCTGTGGCCGTGCTGTAGGTAGAGTGAAGTTGAAAGCTATCCCATCCTGTGTTCTTTTGCGGACCACCAAAGGGTTGCTCCTTGGTATACGTGCCATGGCGACGGAATGAAAGAGACCAGAACGCGCTGATGCTGGTCTTCGAGCGACTCGGCTTCTGGGATTTTATAGTTCTGCCACTCAGGTGATAGGAGAGCTCCTGATTGAGAAACCAAGGAAAGAAAAAATCCCGTTCAAGTGTCCTGACCTAGAATGAATGAAAGTCTACCTGAAAAGGCCACTATAAAGTGAATTGAAAAATCCACCCAAGCAGTAACGGCAATAACTCGACAGAGAGTCTTGTCGACTCGGAATGCGGCAAGCGTTAGGTCGTATACCTAGGTTAGTGGTATGACTAGAAATGCATCGCAAGGCTGAAGTTCAACCTCGGAACTTGACGGTGGACGTTCGGTGTTCATTCTCAGTTCACGTGCGTGTGGTTCTTATTACTCGGCCAACTTTCCTTGGGCATGTGGTGGGATGAAGGCTGTAGCAGTACTTACTCCGTAGTAGTGAGGGCCCAAAGGGGCCTCGGGCCTCTGGCCGTCGCCACTACCTAAAGCCCCTAACGTAACTCAGGTTAGGTCCAGCGCGTATGCCCGAGGGCGCCCAAGACGCCTACACCGCACCGGGTCTCTTCTGCGATCCAGAGAGGCACATGCACCGCAATCGTATACTCAGTACGCACAGGCGATCTCTTGGCGGATGTCATGGAAGGCAGGTGCAAAACAAGGTTACACCTGCTACAGGCGCACTCTTCGCTCTGTGACTCTGCAGGTGCACGTACCTCACCTGCGCACCTGCCCGCCTCAAGTGCTGCTTGTTCGCATTCAAGCTCTTTTGTGGCCTTGTGGTCCGCCCTAGAATTCTGGCCTTTCTCCCACCCCCGTTTTAGGCCTTCGGGCTCCCACGGGGCATCGTCCTCCCCTCTCTGGTCAATCATCACCCCTATGACTAAGTCACCTCCGGTCTTTCACGCCTTGAGAGTCACGACCCAGTCTCCGGCCAGTCACAGCCACTGCATACGTATTTACCTAGTGACCTGGTCCTTATTCCACTCCACCTCTACTTCTGGGTCTCTGGCACGACACAACCCATCATCCCTGCTGAGGTTCATATCCTTCCATCCTCCATTTTCACGTTCCTCTGTCTGCTGCCCACCATAACATCTCCTGTTGGGCTTCCTCACTCCCTCCACTCCCGCATTCCCGTATCTGCCTTTGTCGCATCACCTTTTCACCGCTGACAAAGCCGTTGGGTCGCCATCGCCACGGTTCATCATCACCATCCACAGCCTGCCCCCCACCGATTGCTGCATGCCCACTGCCATCTCGAATCCGTCCTTCAACATCTCGCCTGAATCCTAACCGAATCTTGCTCTTGCAACTCCTCTCGCCCCCTTTCCTCCCACAAACACAGTGTCATGAAAAATGGTTGAATCAGAAACCGGAACTCCCACTTGGAAGTTCACCCAGTGTTTTGGCGACAAGGGCGACGTCGAGGATATCACCGAGGCCGACATCATCTCTACCGTCGAGTTCGATCACACTGGAAACTACTTGGCCACTGGTGACAAGGGTGGACGTGTGGTCCTCTTTGAACGTAATGAAACTGTGAGTACTCTCCTTCAGGTCTTGCTAAATCTCGCTGGTCGCTAACCCCTCTCATAGAAGAAGACCTGTGAATATAAATTCCATACCGAGTTCCAGTCCCACGAACCCGAATTCGACTACCTCAAATCCCTCGAAATCGAAGAAAAGATTAACAAGATTAAGTGGTGCAAGCGACAGAATGCCTCCCATTATCTCCTTTCTACAAACGACAAAACCATCAAACTTTGGAAGGTCTTCGAAAAGTCCCTTAAAGTCGTGGCCGAGAACAATCTTTCTCATGAACTGACCCCTGCTAACTCAGCCGGGGGAGGTGGTGCTCCACGACCAGCAAACCGTTTCAAGAATGCTTCTGAACTCAAACTCCCCCGAATGACCCATCATGATACTGTCGTAGCTGCCGTGCCGAGGAGAACATATGCAAACGCACACGCTTATCATATCAACAGCATCTCCGTCAACAGTGACGGCGAGACCTTCATCAGCAGCGATGATCTTCGCATCAACCTTTGGAATCTCAACATCCAAGACCAGAGTTTCAACATTGTCGACATCAAACCCGCCAACATGGAGGAACTCACCGAAGTCATCACTGCCGCCGAATTTCACCCCCAGAGTTGCAACTGGTTCATGTATGCCAGCTCAAAAGGCACCATCAAGCTGGCAGACATGCGAGAGAGTGCTCTCTGCGACCAACATGCGAAGCGTGAGTTCCGCACCTCTTCTCATCTGACACTCCAAAACTGACTCCTGTCTAGAATTTGAACAAGAGGAAGACCCTGCGTCTCGTTCTTTCTTCTCCGAAATCATTTCCTCCATCTCCGACGTTCGCTTTTCTCACGACGGCAGGTATATCCTATCACGAGACTACCTGACGGTCAAGATATGGGATGTAAACATGGAGAGGCAGCCCGTCAAGACCATCCCCATTCATGAACATCTACGTCCTCGTTTGTGCGATACGTACGAGAACGACAGCATCTTTGATAAGTTTGAAGTCGTCTTCAGTGGGGATGGGAGCAACGTCATGACTGGAAGCTACAACAACAACTTCATGATTTATCCCTCCGACCCTGAGCAAGAGACCGAAGTCGTTCTTCAAGCCGACAAATCAGCCTTCAAGGCTAAGAAAGTGGGAGTGCCCACTCCCATTAACGCAACGAGTCCTAACGGGACCAAGAAGGGTGGATCGAGAGCTGGCAGCCCAGCTGGAGGAAGCACTGGTCAAGGTAGTAGGATGAGGAAAGAGACTGATGCTGATCAGATCGATTTTAACAAGAAGATTCTTCACATGAGCTGGCATCCATTCGAAGACAGTATCGCCATTGCCGCCACCAACAACGTAAGTCCCTCTCCTAAATCCACGACAGGCCTGAAATTCTGACTTTCTTCTAGCTCTTTGTCTTCTCGGCTCTTTAGGTACCTGCACGGCACTCCGCTCCATCCATTGCATTTCTCCCCTTGCAATGATCCGGTGCGTGCCCTCTCTTATTGCGTTCCTCACCATTTCCACGCACATGGCGATCTCGATCCCCTCCACCCGATGTCGACGTCGCCAGCAGCACTCGGTACCACACAGGGCCCTCGGAGTCGTTGTTGCGCCGGGGATTTCAGGCCCTGCTACAGACCAGGCTGCCGTATGCAACGATGCCAGATGATTACAAGATTGAACGTCTCACGGTGTTGGTTTTTTGCACGAATGGAAACATTGTCTTATGGCTTTGACATGGTTGGATTTGCAATGGATGACGCATGAGACTTAGACGGAGCTTGGAGCAACAAGATTAGATGGTCAACAAAGACATGCCCACCAAGGGACGAGACTGAAGAACCACCGATGCGGGCCACATGACTGCATCGCCAGCATGTAGATGAGGGCCGACGGGTAGGATGCATTGGCGGCTGTGCATGGTGCAGTGACGGTATTGGGAGCCGCGCACGGCGCAGGGCAGCAATGCAGCTTCATAACCCCAGCGAGACCAAAAAGCACGTTGAGATTAATCAAAATAAGAGACCAAGATCATCGTGACTAGCATGTATAAGGTCTTCGTAATTAAGCAAAAGGGTATCGTCTAAACTTGATTGTGTCCATATCCATATCGCTCATGACACGTGTTCAGGAGTGCTACCAAAAGACTCTAGGCCGCGCTCCGGGAGAGGATTCTGGTATCGACTTGTCCCATTTGCATTAGGTACAGCAGTAGGGACGCCATCACCAACCACGGTGGTGCGAGGATCACCGGTGCCAGTTTGCTCCACCCCACGTGCTTTCGCTGTGACAGCCTCGAGCTCCTGCCCAGCCTCCTCCAGACTCGACTGAATATGCTTCTGACTGGCCACGACATCGACCTGTTCAGCCCTGATGTCGGCTCTCCGCTTGAGGATCCTCGCTCTCTCCATCTCTAAACTCGACACCATTTCCCTGAGGCGCGACAGTCCCACGCTCAATTTCGGAATCGTCACCGTCTCACGCGGCTGACGCGGTCGGTTGGCTTGTCGAGTATGTGATCGGTGCGATTTAAGGCCGTCCATACCATGGTGTGTCTGGCTAAGCTCGTAGGCCTGGTGCAGTTCATAGTCCGAGTCGGATCCAGCGTCGTCTGAATTTGAGTTGTTGGAGTCCATCTCATAATTGCCGTCGTCGTGCTTGTGCTGCCGACCACCTGATCCTTCGGCTTCTTCGATCATGGTCCGTATTGCGTCTCGATCCCGTCGTGATTGCTCCTTCAGACCCTTCCGCGATAATGTTACCCTCCCAGCGTCCTCGACAAACGAGTCAAACCCTTCCGCGATATCTTCATCTTCGTGCACCAGTCGTGTGTTTTTCTCGCGGTAGATATTGTCGCTGGCGGGGTGGTATGAGCCCACCTGCATACGTCGTGGCTTGAATTCGCCGTCTGAATCATAATCCTCGAGTGAGACAAAGTCGGTCGAAGATTGCCCGCCTCCCGTACTAGCAAGGGCGGCATGTTCCTTGGCCAGACGTGCACGTCGCTCCTTCTTCTCGCGGATCTCGGCAAGACTGGGGATTCGAGAGCTGGATGCGGATTTGCCGAATTTCGATTCGAGATCAAGTGATAGAGCCGTGGACGATGTTTCACGAGCCGGGTCAACTAGGTCGAGAGATGGACTGTCGTCGCGGCTCAATGAGAGGTCACGCGGCGTGGATGGCGTGGAATTTCGGAGTTCGTCTAGATACGCCTTGTTATAGGTCGGGCGACCGATGCTAGAGGACCGGCCTCCCTCATTGCCGTCGTCTTCAAGATCCCGGTCTATCGAGCGATTTTGGAGCGCCTGTGTCGCAGCGTTGGACAGACCCAGTCGTGGCGGTTTGTGAGGCGTTGTTGTACTTGATGGAGTGCTCCCAGACTGCTGTACCGTTGATCTGCCCGTATCGCGATTGGATTCTTGATCATCCCCATCTCCACCAGGGTTGAAAGAAACTCGTAGCTTCGACTTGTTCTTGGGCAAATTGCTGGCAGGACGCCGTACTACGGGGCCAGTATCTGTAAGTGAGGGCTTTGGTCAGCTCAGCCAATCTGTGCGCATCCTAGATGGGAAAAGGACGAAACCGTCAGAGCACAACCAAAGCAACCATGGAAAAACAACAAATGGGTATTGCGAAAAGTGGCAGAATTGCGAGGGTTCAAGGGAATGGAAGCACGAGTTTTCAACATACCTTGATCGCCGTCTTCGTCTCCATCGTCTTCTCTTTCGCGCCGTGAGATGACTTTGGGCTTCCGCCGCCCACCGAAGAGCGTGGCCATAACCTATATGGGTGATTTGCTGATGTAGAGAACAGGTTCTTGAGTCGTAGGACTTGTTGGTTTGTTGTCCCGCATTCAATCTGTCGCACCCTGCCTCGCATAATTTGATCCGAAGTTTTTCCGAGATCTGGTACGGCGGAGCGTGTGATACATCACCACCTCGCCTGATTTAAACACATCATAAGAAAACGAAATCAGACAGAGGATTGGTAGGGCAGGCATGACGCGAGGTCGTGAACCTGGGTTAGTCTGCGTTAGGCATTTCGATGACCTTGATTGATTCTCTTGCTCCCCTTGCACCACCCTCGCAATCTTGGGCATCAGGCAGACTGTCATATCACGTGAAACTGAAACCCCCAAAGTGGACTAGCTTCTGTCAAAATATCTCCTACTCCACACTCAACTGTGTTGCCAGAACCGCAGTGAACAATATAATAACGACAGTCTCTCACCTGAATACGCTCTAATTGTGACCTTTGACACTGCGCAAGCCGTTCTCACCAATATCCTACCGGATTCAAAGATCTCTCGCCGAGTTCACCTTAGTCCAGCCCCGATTCGCCCGTCCTACACCCCGCCGCAGCCTTCTCATCTAACGCGCAAAGATGCCTCAAGCACAACCCGAGCTCAAGAAGGTGAGCCACAACCCATACGACTCCGTCTCTCCTTTGGATTTCACCTCTTCTAGCCTCCTTATAGTCCTGCTTTAAACTTGCTAACACCTTTGTGGAATATAGTATATGGAAAAGCGCCTGTTTGTGCAGCTCAACGGCAATCGAAAGGTTCACGGAGTCTTGCGAGGTTACGATGTGAGTCTTTTGCTCCCCTCTCACGCGTCTCGAAAGCCCACACCTATTTAATCGGAATGGTCTGTCTTGTTCTTCATGTGACTGTAGGCTGACCAGGTGCCAAATTTTTAATCTCTTAGGTTTTCCTCAATATTGTCCTCGATGATGCCCTCGAAGAGAAACCCGGCGGTGAACGCGAGCGGTTAGGCATGGTTGTCATTAGAGGCAATTCCGTTGTCATGCTGGAAGCCTTGGAACGTATGGGAGACGACAGAAGGGGATAGATCCCTTCAGATACACGATTGACGAAGCCTAATCTTGCGCGGGGATTAAATGAGGAGGTTTGACGGTCGTGTGCTCAAACACCAGCTACTGGGCTCCTCATTTTTAAAGAGCTCCAACGTCCTGAGTTGGGATCTCATGCTACACATGTGGTCGACGTATCCTGCTCAGCGCGGGACATGGGGAAGATTTCGATGGTACCTGCGCACGAGTACAGGATAACGGACTGTTGTACACGATTGAAAAGGCTATCTATGGCGTTCGAAGGCCGAATACGCGGCCGACAACGGGCGCTGTCTTTGAATGGCAACAACTCGATCAAAAGCGCTACACAAGGACCGCTGTCAACAGGGACACTAGAGCCTTCAATCCCATGACTTGCTCTATTTATTCTGGGAGCTCGAGTTTGAACTTGAGCTCGGCTTGAATTTCAGCACGACTCGACCGGGTGTGGCAGTCGTGGGCGTTGGCGTCCTCGCCGCAGACTGTGGGACAACAGCAGGAGGTATCAATCTTGGAGGCGGTGGCGGGGTTGGGGTCGCTTTGGTGCCTGCACCTGAAGATTGACCCGATGTACCAAATTTCAGCTTGAGCTTCAAGCCGCCGCTTCCATTCGGTCCTGCTGACGTCGGCGATGGCCCTGGTATGCTTGGTGTTCGTTGCAAGGGCGGCGGAAGAACATTGTACTGCGACTTTTCCAGTGGCGGAGGCAGAGTTTGGTACTGTTTAGGAAAGTTCGAGGCGGTAGACTGCCATTTTGGCACAATCTTCTGTCTCACTTTGTTGCTCTGCTTGAACTTAAGTTTGCCCTGCGATAGAAAACCAGAATTAGCATTTGCGCGCCTGACATGGCTTCGAATCTCCGTTGTGATGATATGAAAACTTACCTTTCCTAGATTCTGTACCTCCCAGTACCGTGGCAGCCGTAGCACTACCTTCATCTCATCCACGGGCTCATAGAGCAATCGACAGAAGTCTAGCAAGGTTTGCAGATCTTCTAGGATAATTTGATCGTAGCAGATGGCATTCCACAGGGCTGCTTTCAATGGCTGAAAGTCGCCGAGTTCTTTCTTCAATGCAGCAACCGCTCCTTCGATGGTCGAACGACGTGCAATCTCCAATTGATGATCCGCAGCATTCGATTCCGAGGCATCCTCAATCACAAGGCCCTCGCCCACAGGCTTCCCCGTGTCGACTTTGATGCCAATGGCCCGTTTGGCAAGCACTTTGCCAAAGCCGTGGTGCAGGCTCTGACGGATCCAAGGCGAAGGGTCGGCGACCATACAGTATAGCAGATATCGCAGAACTGAGGGTTCATCGAGCACGCTGGGTGTCAAGAGGACAGTGTATGCTGTCTGGCGCAGCATTTCATAATTACCAGGTCGGGTATACTGGAGGAAATGAAGTGGCGAATGCAGCCCAATTCCAGCTGCCGCGAGCATGGCTTGACATTCGAGAGCGGTTCGAGAATAGAGGTTCTGGTATGAACTAGTCCACTCATCCATTCGGCGGTAGCGGTCGATTTCTTCCAGAAACTGACGTTCAAAGGCGCGAAGCTCATGCATTTTGTCTTCCATTTCGTAATCCATATCGGCATCGTCATCTGTCTCAATGTTAATGACTGGTCGGGCGATGACGGCGGCTGTGAGAGCCTTCATCAGCCTTGAAATATAGTAAGCATCTGAAAATTCATTCGCCGAATTATCGTTGAACTTCAGCTTGTCCAGCAAGAAATCTTTGACATCCTTTGCCGTGTGTCCCTTGGAGTCACGCACGTTAGCGATGGCTTCGACGATGTCACATTGTATTCGATAGCCTTGCTGGTCTGAAAAATCGTTGGGACGTGTCATTGCAATCCCTTGATCTTTGATGCAGTAAAGCTCCTCAAAGGCCTTTCGCAAGTGGAAAAGGCCCACGTTTTTGGCGTCGCCTTCGTTCTTTGCATGCTTGACTAAACCGTGGGCAGCAAGCGAGCGAACTCCATGAAAGTATCGACGATCCATCAGCGTGCGGATGAATATTGATGATATGAGAGAGGTGGGCGGATAGAGAGAAAGGTGGCGCACTGCCTCGAGTTGGGCAACGACGTCTCGGTCTTGTTGCAGTTGAGAGGCGAACATATAGCCGGGCATTTGGAGATTGATACGACAGATCCATTCAAAATCTGCGTCGAGGCGAATCCATTCATATGATTCCGAGTTCATCCTCTCTTCGTCATCAACACTCCAGTCAGTCATTCTCCAATTCTGGACATCTTCCTCGCTCTGCAAGACGTCACCAAGGCAGTAAACCAACGAGTCACCTTCTTCATCAGCCCCTTCTGCTGCCGCCTTTGTGCTGGCACGAGCTCGCTGTTTCTTGCTCCGCTTCAGGCGCTTGTACTTTGTGTTATAAGGGATGTCAAACTGAGTTGAGGCTTCCTTGATTTCCACAATGTGTTCGTAGGGCGTGCCATCCGCTTCGTGGATCCTTATGGTCATGGGGCCAGTGAAAACAGGCTGTGGTTGAGCAGCGTAAACCGTCTGGTAGTCTTCTCGAGCATCGCGCATGAAAGTCTCGATATCAAGCTCCCTATCAATACTGACTCCTTGCGTCTGCTTAATAAGCATTTCCACTACAAGTTTTTTCTTGTTGAATCTTTGAAAGGCTCCGAACCTTGGACAGCCGGCGCCTTTGACCCACTGCGTGATGAAGTCCTCGACTGAAGAATGATGGAACCGTTCGCAGGTTCTTTGGAAAAGTTCTGTAGATAAGGCGTTGTGAGGAAGATCTCCGGTTCGTGCCCGTGTCATAATCTTTGCCAGGATGCCTGGCATCTTCGAAGCACCGTGAGTCTTCGCAATGCGACGGTCCAGGATGAAGAGCACGACTGGTGATTTTAAGATCAAAAAGTCGTACTCGCTGGGGTCAACGTGCAGTAGTGCACCCATATCGTAGATGGAAGGGCGTTCAATATCAAGTTCGTAGACGCGATCTGCCTGTTGCTTCATGTAATACCGATATTCATTGTTGCCGCAAAGGTCCCTCATGAACAGATTGGCAATATAGTAGGCTGCTCCCAGGATGACCCACGTATCGGGAGGTGTTTCTGCAACAATATTGATCCCGATCCACTGCGAAACGATGGCAAATGCTAGTTGTCTCATTACTTGCTGCGCAGGATCTACAACCTCTTCTGGGTACAGAATCCTTGTACTGCACATGGTGACGCCGGCAAAAATTGAGGTGTCGGTGTGGAGATCCTCCACAAAAACCATGGCGTAAGATCTGACGGGACAGGAAATGTATTTGTTGACGACGAAATCCATGGCTTTGGGCGTTGGGAGACATGTGTTCTTGGCTTCTTCGGCCCGGCCTGGCAGGCAGTATGCGAGCATTTCCACTGCATTTCTTCCCAATTCTTCTATCTCTTGAGCATCGCGAAGGTCGCCTAGGTTGATCTTCTCAAAAGGACCGATGGCAAAGCCCAGTTGCTCCGGAGCAAGCTGTTGAAGACAGGAAAACGACACAGTCTTCTTGGAGGTGTCAGTTTTGTCGACAATGTCATCAGTCAGCTCTCCCGAACAAATGACGACCATCTCAGTGGCTTCGTAGCCCTGGCGAGGGCCACTCTTGTCGGAGCCATCGACATTGTTCCTGCGATTGTTGGCTGGTGATATTTGGTCGATCGCATCACCGACGGTGCGAGGGGATCTGATTGAGATGTCCCAGGTGCATCGACTGTTGAGCAAGTCCACACATGGAAACAACGACGAAGCTCCACCTGATGACAGCCTCTTCCTGGTATAAGCATGAGGCCATCGACCGGTGCCTCGCTTGCCTACCACAAACTGGACCGACTCACGGACATGGGATGATTCAAACTCGATGAAAATGGTCAACGGCGTGAATCTTGCGACGGTGGTATCGGACAAAGCTTGGGTAGCTTCAGGTACGGTGGCGTTTGCGCTTTGGCTATCCTGGATCTTGATGAGATTGGCTGATTGAGTATGGATCTCTGCAATGTTGACAGGTACGATACGAATTTTCTTTGGAAGAGTGATGATGATGTCGGGATCAGGTGGGTTGGCGATTGAGCCAGCAATCTTCTCGGTGAGAAGGTGGTGCTGATTGACGCTACCATTGCAATGGAGGGCAAGCTGATCACATGGATCCTGGTGTCGCACGGAGGAAGGGGGCGTGTTGTTTACCAAGACTTTCTTGATGTTGCATTGTCGACCATGTAATTGAATCTCTCGTAAATCTTGTGTGTCTGGATAGATGGTGATTTCGGTAGTTCCGCTGATTTGTTGATCAAAATTGAAGTCGAGGTCGATCTTTTGATGCGCAACTGTGAACTTTGGCACAATAGGCTCAGCAGCCGGCTTTCCAGATTCGGCGCTGTTCATCATGTGAGCTTTTCTGGAGGATGGGTATCAAGACTCAGGATGGGGCTCTCATCGCGCAAGTCTTCTTAGGCGCAGGTGCATGCAGGACATATCGCTTCCAAAAGGGAATGAGTCCAACGTGACGCGCTAAAGATTGATCTGGATGTAAGTATTCTCGCATATGCTAATTCCGCCCAATGGCAATGTTAGAACAAAGGCGCAAGATGTGATCTGGATGAAAAGAAGTGATGTTATGTTGTCGACATCGAAGTGGTTTCCCAGGTGTAACTTTGAGGAAGAAGTCACGCTGGTCGCTGGTCGTGCTTGCCTGCCTGCCTGCCTGCTCTGTACTGCACGTGACTTTTGCCATCTTTTGCGCATGCTGCATCAATGCTCCGTCGACCAAACCCACTCGGCGACTCACTCAGATTGTCACGGGAAAGTGGACAATGTCTTGGCAACGACGAATGCAGGACTAACGAGAAGCGCTTTCGCTTTCAACAATTTGAACGTCTTCCCTAGAGGCCACTCTCCACTTCGAACTCCTCAAGCTCCTCATTTCTAACCCCCTCTCATACCGAGTTCTCTTGAAGGAAATCTTGTCGACATTATTGCCATGTCACGCCTTCCGACACTTCTTAGACTCATCTGTACGTAAGGACATCAGGACTGCCCCTCGAGGCTTCTCCATCGTCGTCCAATCAACATCCAGGGTTTCCCCTCAACCCCCGGGAGAAGCGGTCAAAATGCCAGGTAAGAAGTGAAGCCTCAACAATCACAAATGGCCTATATCGGGATACTCATATGCATGGATAAACAGCCGATCCTCTCTCCGACGCGGCCATGGCCAATTTGAAGCAGTACAAGTATCAGAGCGTAGATAAATCATACGTTTCGAACTACATCCTACGACACTATGTATGCATTTGGCTTGGCAACACCGTCATGGATGCTTTCACTGACAAGATACAGTGGAATGGAGCTGTCAAGCTGTTGCCGATGTGGCTTGCTCCCAACATGGTCACCTTACTCGGCTTTTTCTGCATCTTGGTCAACCTCCTGTTGCTCCAGATATATATGCCTGATCTCGTAGGGCCTGGCCCGTCATGGTTGTACTACAGTTTCGCCTTGGGTCTATGGCTGTAAGTTGACTTTTGTCTTATGAATGCTGGCTCTTGACTCACTCCTCAGGTATTCCACCATGGACAATATTGATGGCAAGCAAGCCCGCAGGACTGGCACCTCAAGCGGACTAGGCGAGCTTTTCGACCATGGCATCGATTCTTTGAATTGTACACTAGCGAGCATGTGCGAGACTGCTGCTATGGGACTTGGTCCTAGCAAGACGGGAGCTTTCACCGCCATCATCCCAACCCTACCTATGTTCTTCTCCACCTGGGAGACCTATCACACGCACACTCTGTATCTGGGGGCATTCAACGGACCAACCGAAGGCCTTATGCTCGCCTGTACCGCCATGATAATCTCTGGTTACTATGGGCCTCAAGTCTGGGAGTACAAAGTGGCCAAGGTGGTAGGCTATGAGGAGTGGCTCGACGACATCAGGTTTCGAGATCTCTGGGTGCCTATCATTTTGATCGCCTTCTTCACTGCCCATCTCCCGGCATGTGTGTACCACGTGGCCAAGGTCCGACGACAAAACAACCTCCCTCTAGCGCCCGTGTTCCTCGAATGGATTCCCATGATCATCTTCACAGGGTCGTGCGTGGCGTGGATTGGCTCACCCTATTCCTCCATCCTCCCTGAGAATCACCTCCTCATCTTTTGCATCACCACATCATTTGTCTTTGGGCGTCTCACCACCAAGATCATTCTGCATCATTTGACCAAGCAGCCATTCCCGTACTGGACAATCTCAATGCTTCCGTTGGTGGGTGGGGCTATCCTGGCTTGGCTGCCCCTTTTTGGGTTGCAACCCATGTCGCCGGCATTCGAAAGAGCGTATATCTATGCGTACCTCCTGTTTGCGTGTGGGCAATACTTCACTTGGGCAATTAGGGTGATCAATCGAATCTGCGATGTTCTGGACATCAACTGCCTCACCATCAAACAAAAGAAGAGCGATGCGACAGAAGCGTCGACCTGGCCTGGAGAAAAGAGCGCTTCGGCCAACGGTCACATTAGAGAGACAAAGAAGAAGCTATGAAACACACTAGGCGAGCTTGGGAGGAATTGCACAGCGACCGGATGCAGAAAAGAGAGCCTGGTCAACATTACATTGATGACGGCTGCTCGACGTAGCGGTGTTATGAGCATTGGTCTTGGATAGACAAAAAGCGACGATGGAGTTTATCTTTTTTGCTCAAAAGGAGCCTTATCACGACGCCTCGCTTTCAACAGCAATGGCAGCCTATATACAAACATGTTCACAATGGGGACGAGTCAACAGCTGAAGTTCATCATTCCGGCTGTTGATCTTTGAACTTGTCTTTTAGAGTTTGGACGTCAAAGCCGCATGCTTCTGCTCTGAGGACAATGGCCCGCGCCTTGCCCTCGACTGGGGCGTCAATCATTTTTCCATCCATAGCCCACGCGCCTTTCCCTTGCTCTTCGGCCCTCTTTTGTGCAATGGTGATCCTCACCGCCCACTCCACCTCCTTCTGGCTTGGGCTAAAGATGGACTGCGCTGTGGCGACCTGGCTGGGATGAATACATTGTTTCCCATTATAGCCCATGCCCTTGCCTTCCTCGCACTCTCTGACTAGGCTTTCTTGGTCAGCCTCGGACCGGAAAGCCGTGGCAACCAAGTCAATGGTACTGGGAAGGTTGTATGCCCTCGCAGCTGTGGCGATCATCTGTCGGGCGTAGAGGAACTCGGTCAGAGATGGTGTGCGCGTGATACTCATGTCTAGAGCGAAGTCTTCGGCGGCGAAAGTCAGCCCCTGCAGCAGATGGGGAGCAGCACGACAAATCTCATTTAGATTGATCAGAGCTTTGGCACTTTCGATCAATGCAATGACATTTATCTGTCCATTTTGATCCGCAAGTTCCTTTGGCCGTGCATGGGCTAGAACATCGCTGATAAAGGTCATGTCACTGGCGGACTCGACCTTGGGCACGACCAGGGTGGTCAAGTTCTTGGATTTAACCACCTCTTCCAAGTCTGCAAGAGCCAGCCCTGAACCCACGCTGTTGATGCGCACGGCGCGCTCTTTAATACCGTTAGGGATTTCCTGGTCCAAGGCTTTGCGCACAAGTGTTCGGGCTTCGGCTTTTCGACCAGGAGTGACGCTATCTTCGAGGTCGTAGGCAACGCAGTCGACATTCAGACTCCGGGACTTGTCGAGAAATCGTTGTGAGGAGCCAGGCACTGCGAAGAGAAGAAATCTTAGGGTTGTGCTCAATCGAAAGGGTGGTGAACGTTTTAGGGATTTATAAACTCACCGTAGAGCATGGCTCTTCTGATTACATTCTTCGCCGCCATCTCTGCAATGTCTTGGATAAGTACTGCGCTGTGCGCTGTCACTGAATCAGCGGTGGACAAGTTATGCGTATAGGGCGACAGGAATCCAGCTCGTATGCTTGAGACCGAGGTCGATCAGACTAGGTCAACATAGAGACTGTAGGATATGACATGGAATGCACCACATATAGTCCTTTTAAACGCGTGAAGTGAATAGTTCATCGGTATCATTTGACGAGATCTCAGCAACAATCAATGAATCGAGGAATCAATATGCGGGGAAAGCAGGACCGAGTTCGGAGTTGGCGTGGCAGGCACCGTGCGGGGAAACTCGACTCGGCAGTAGATATTCACGCGTAAGCCCGAAGAGAGAAAATATTACTGGAACAAATCTCGTTGATCAAAGAAGCCGGCGCGTTAATAACAGTTACCCAAGTTGTATTATACAGTCATAAGTTCCTAACCAATTCCAACTCATCTCGATGGATCAACGACTCCTACTGTTGCTCCACTCCAGGGGCTTTCGTAGGTTTCAAGGTCACTTGCGATGAAGTCTGCATTCTGCTCAAGCGTGGTCTGGTACCGCATCCCATTCATGACTGCCACCAAGGTTCTTCCGATCAAGGGTATGTACTTGACCCAGGAGTCTCTCCATGACGGTGGAGTCGTGGCACTGGCGACCAGCTTCCCACTACCCACCGTTGTAGGAATATCAAAGTTTGAGGACTCGGGGATCATTGTGCTTGGACATAGCATCGACCAGTCGAGCGTGTTTGGAGTCAGCGATTTCAGGAGGTGCACGTTCTGACGATGCTCGCGATAAATCGGGATACTGCCCAGTCTTAGTATTCCCACAGACCTGCTCAACGGCATCAAGAAGACTTTGGATCAGGAACCTACTAATCAGAGAGCATCGACTGCGATCCAGGGTAGTACAAGACTCCCAGTCCACCCAAGAACCAAGCTCTGAGAGGTTTGTGTCTGTCTGACCCGGCCTGTTGAACCGCATGGACCACAGCTTGAAAGATCTTTGGCAGTTCGCTGGTACCCCAGGGTGCCATCGCAGCTAGCCCTGCAGTGTTGACCACGGCGTCACATCCTGTGTCTAAGATTGCCTTCTTGATTGCGAGTTCATCCTTGGCATCACCCTGAACTACGTTGATCTGGTGATATACTGTCGGTGGCAGGAGAGATTCGAGTTTGTTTGACGACCGCACGTACGCCACCACCCCATGGTTGTGAGTGAGTAGCGCTGGGATCAGACGAACCCCCAAATTGCCCGTGGCTCCGATGAGAAGGACCTTCATAGCTGAGAGTAAATTAGTTGCATGGGTCGAAAGACTAGATGCTGAGTGCCCAGTGCACAGAGTTCAGACGGTGGTACAAGTATTTGCTCGAAATCATGATGCCTGTTGATCCAAAAGTTGGCCAGTACCGAGTTATGCCGCCTGCGGAGTACCATTGTCCCGTGCCTCGAGCTCTACCCTGGAGTACATGTCTGGGGGAACCACTCAGAACTCGTGCAACTCACTCAGCGCTGAAACTCTCGATCGATTTACGCCCGGAAGTGATTTATAATGATGCAGTCTTCCAGGCAGTCAGAATTATACCAGTGACGTGATTCCTGTTGCGGCGATGTTGTCGGGGAGGAAGGTGCAATACTTAAGTATTGCAATGACTTGAGGAAGGAACAAAGTACACGTGCATAGTACCTGTCTTAGCTAATACGACTTCAATATCAAACAGCATGCCCTCTTCCTCCTCCTCTTCATCCCCTTCTCCGTGGGCTGACCAGCCGTTTGAGCTGATACCAACCCTTGAGTTTTCCAACAATGTGCGTCATGACATCCTTCTCTTAGAGGAAAATACTCGACTCAAAGCCATCCTCACAGACATCACACGCCGCCAACTATGTTGCAACACAAATGGCCCTGGCCCACAATGGCATCCTTCGGGGATTGAACTCCATCTCGCTCCAGGCGACTCATATTCCAGCCAACGATGTGATTACGGTTCGTGACTTCTTGACATACTGTCAATGTTGGTGCGAATCCATGCATCACCATCACGACGCCGAAGAAGCTGTCTTCTTCCCAGTCATCGAGTCGATATCTGGAGTTCAGGGACTCATGCAAGCTAATGTCGAGCAACATCGGGCTTTCTCGCCGGGATTCGACCGCTTTCATGAATACTGCCGAAGATGCCCTCCCACCGAATATGACGGAGGTACGATGACAAAACTAATACAAGGCTTTGCCGAACCCTTGACAAGACACCTGCATGACGAGGTCGAGACTCTGCGGGCTCTTGACCAGTATGACAGCAAACAAGTTAAGCAGGCATACCAACAGTTAGAGAAATCCCTGATGGCTACGGACAATGTGAGAGGCTCTATCAGCTCATTGACAGACAGACAGAAATCATCAAGATCACTGACTTGTTCATGCACTTAGCATCGGATCGCTCCTCTTGTATTTGGGACCGCGGACCGGACCTTTGAAGGCAGCATCCACAACTTCCCCCGTGTACCATTCTTTGTTCCTTGTGTCATTCACTACTGGTATGGCAGACGACATCGTGGCGCTTGGCGCTTCAATCCTTGCACGATATGGAGGGATCCACGAGATTTGGCCTTTACCAGTGCACCCACAGCAGCTTGAAGGAGACACTATGCTTGTAACGCTGTCTATGGGCATGCAGTTGGTTCCGCTATTCACACGTTCCCTGGTTATACCCTGACGGGCTCTGGCTCAGACGGCTGCACGTGTTGATACCCTTACCATGGAGAAGGCATCTCAATGACGATCTATGCGATACGACCGTAGCAAATACAATAAACGGACAATCAGACAGGTCTTTAGCCCTGTTCCAGAAATGACTCCTATGCGATCTGACTTGAATTTCTCCACTGGCAAGCCACCTCTTCTAAGTCCCGTTTCGGCGAGGTAAGCAACAGAGGCAGCCACCCTGTGAGGCTGTAGAGTGTGGAAGCAACCCAATCCAACCTATGTGCCATGTACCTTTCCCACCTGAAAAAAAAACATCATTCTCTGTTTCTTTCTTGTGCTGTGTGCGGCCAATGTTGAAAAGACACCCATCAATGCGACAACTTCGGTTTTCATCCCTTTCGTAGCTCATCAAGGAAAAACACGCTCGATTCTCGGTGGTCAATGCAGCTGATCGAAGGAAGGATCCCTCACACTGCCACCTGCGTCTCCCAGGCCTGCAACTGGCCGATTGTACGACCATCCTGCAAATTGCTGCTGCATTGTCTGGGAAAGCATGGGTCCCTCCACGAACGAGTCCTTGGGCACCTCGGACGTGAACTCCTTGTCGAAATTGGCCGTGTCTCTCGCGTCCACCTGCGGTCCACGTTAGCAACATCCGGCTGGCTGGTCGGCAACGGCGACAACTTACCACATTGGGCTTGAAACTCGGCTCATACTTCCTCTGTAGGAGCTTCCTCCAGTCGATTCCAGCAAAGAAGTGATGCGCCTTGATCTCGGCTGCACCACCCGCGCCTAGTCTTCGCTCAGGGTTGCGGTCTAGTAGCTTCTGTAGCAGGTCTTTGGCGGCCGCAGGAACAATCTCGGGTCCGGGGAAATGCAGGGGTTCTTGAAGGATCTTGCGGTACATCTCATTCGTGTTCTCGTCATAGAATGGCGGTAGACCCGTGAGCATTTCGTACAGCAAAACACCTAGCGTCCACCAATCGACCGTCTTGGTGTAGCCATGGCCGAGGAGGAGTTCTGGTGCAAGGTACTCTGGCGTGCCACAGAATGTGTTTGTCCGATCTTCATCCTTCATGTCCAGCTTGCATAGCCCAAAGTCGCATAGAGCAATGTGTCCGGTGTAGTCGAGCAAAATGTTCTCGGGCTTCAAGTCACGGTAGATGACCTTGAAGCCGTGCAAGCATTCCAAGGCGCAGAGCAGCTCTGCCGTGTAGAACCTCGACCGATTGATGTCGAATCGCTGCTCTTTCTGAAGATGATGGAAAAGCTCTCCTCCATTGACAAAGGCCAAGACAAAGTAGAGTTTATCCGGCGACTGGAAGGAGAATTTGAGAGGCGTGATGAAGGGATTGTTGATTTGGGCGAGGACCGACCTTTCGGCCAGGGTGTGCGCCACTTCGGATCGAGAGATGATGTGAGCCTTTCTGATGGTCTTGAGGGCGTATATCCGACCTGTGTCTTTTTTCAGGACCTGCATCACCTTGCCAAAGCTACCGCGCCCAACCACTTTCAGCAACTCAAAATCGTCCATTGTGAGGCTGCCCTTCCTAGTCTCGACGTAATTAACGCCCACTTTGATGGTACCGGTTCCGAACTGGACGTCCAGCCATTCCGTTCCGAGTTGTCCTGCCTGTTTCTCCGAGTGAAAATTGGCCTCGTCCTTTTCGTTTTCTTTCTTGCTCTTTTTTGGGTCCGGGACGAAGGTACGAGCCTCCTCGAACCTCGGGGTAACCCTGGCTCCACCAAGAAAGATATCCTCACTTCTCCCCGCACCTGGTCTGGCTGCTGGGTTACGCAGATACAGTTGCACACTTAGTTCACATACCCGTGAAACATCGAACTTGAAAGAGGTATTGTCACCAGCCCACAAGGGATTCTCGGGAGTGCCGGAAACGGCGTCGACAAAGACCTGTAATTTGTCGAAGTCCAGAAGAGCATAAGGGAGATATTTGCTGTTGTACCTGCCGTGGATGGTGGGGGCAGAGTTGATGCCTCCATGGGTGGAAACGGGACGATTCGACTGGGCGTATGATCCTGCTATCGACCCAGCAGCATATGAGGAACTTGGTCTCACCGATCCGGACACACCTGGCGAGCCATAATGGCTGCTAAAGACTGATTGATATTGTTGTGGCAATGAAAACGCTCTCCCCTCGTGCAATGTCACGATTAAGATACCCGGTTTCGTTTGCTGGACGGGCGGTGAGGCCAAGCTCTCGGAGGCGGCTGTATCATTGTTAGAACTGAATATTTGTCCAAGATTCGAGGTGTCTCGGCTCACCAATGCCATTATTTGATGATACACTAACATTGCTGGGGGTTGTGGTCAGGTCGGGCGTGTCGGCGGAGTTGGCTGGATGCTCCTCGCCTTTAATGGTCGAGGTCGAGGTCGAGCGGCCAAAGCCACTTGTCAGAGGAGCCAAATGAGTTTCCTTGAGTTCTATAGTTGCGTTAGTTATTTCCCAAGGTCAGGCCGCCAGGATTTGAAATCGGCCTACTCTTGGTCAACTTCCACGACATAGCTGAGGCTGGAAGTGATAAAAGATCGAAGGGTCGGGGGGAGCGAGTAACGGAGGGTCGGTGAGATTGGGGGAGGGTAAGAAGAAGGAGGTAATATAATTCCTAAGGAGTGACTTGATTGTTGGAGGACGAAGTTGATTGACCGTCTGTCTCGTGGGTTGGGATCGAAAAGGCGCAGCCAGAAGTGCAGGTGCTGGGCGCGGGTGCACAAGCCTCAATAGGTGGGGTTGAAATGTGTCGGGCGGAGAGTAAATGGCAGTCTAAGCTCGACGTAGTGCGGAGAATGGGGGGTCATGAAGGTTATAAAGGATGATCGAGGGTAATAAGAGGGGTGCGATTCGAGATTTGTGCAACAGACGGAGAGGATAGTCGAGGAAATAAAAGGGAGAATGATATGAGACTGGAAGTAGATAGATAGGGCAGCTTTGTCACCTAAAGGAAGTGAGTGTTTGGAGATTGGAGTTTCAGGGGTGGGACTCTGCTGGCTCAAACAACAAAACAGAAAATGAATCTCTAGCCCAGTACGATGAGAGCGGTCTACGTAGTAATGTTATCTAGGTTGTCTTGGTAGTGATTTCTCAGTCACCCTCAGCAAAACAAGAAAGTGTTTGGCGGGGGACATCGTTCGAGATCTTTAAAAGATATCAAGCTGAGTACACCCTAAGGGTCACTGCGTCGAGCATGAAACTTTAGGTACCTACCTAGGTACCTGTATGTACGGACATACTGTAGGAATAGCACTCCTACAAAGTGAGAGTTACAGGCCTCAAATGGCTGCCCAGGCACGCCTGGACGTTGCATTAGCACGCTTACCTTAAGTAGGGAATTGGTGAGCCAGAAGAGGGAGAGGGAAGGAACAAGAGGACCTTCGGGGCACCTGGGCAGACCGCCCCGAGGTCCCAGGCACCTAGGTTGGAAACCAGCCGCCACTTCCTGTGTCACTCTGTGACCATCTCACCTACCTACCATTGAGTGGACGTACAACTGCAGGTGTCCCCACTAAGCAATAACTGAGATGACGAAGCCATGTGAGGATTCATGACTCTGGCATTGCACGCCACCAACGCCTCCCTCCAGCCCGCCACCCACTCAGCCACAAGACAAACGCCGAGCCCTACCCCACCCTCTTTCCATCCGCGCTACACCCGAGTTGAGATCGGTCCAGCCCAAAATGGCTAGTCACGCCAAGACTTTCTGGAAGTCAAGGCCAGACGTCCGTTCAAGTAGGGACAACATCATCCTACCACCTGCGACTTTGCTGAACACCCATCAATCGACTGTCGGATACAGTAGACCGATCAGGGCATCAGCGAGACGCATTTGTTATACACTCGACGACCCAGATCTCGACGCCGACTGGGAAGAGCTTTTGTCCGCTGATGACTGTCCGTCAGCCCCACCTGCCGACTTAACAACCTGCGACGCGACAATCTCCGATGAGAACGCGATACACATCCCTACACAGTCGGATCTAGAGGAAAATGCAACCGTTGAGCGCAGCATGGGCGTGATCAGGAAAAATGCCGCCTCGAGGGGTGGTGATGGAGGCACGAAATACCATTGTGATGTGTGCTCCATTGACATAACCTCGACTGTCCGTATATCATGCGCCTCATCAGCCTGTCGTGATTACGACCTATGTGTACCCTGCTTTGCCCGCGGAGAACATACAAAGTCCCACGACCCAAGGACCCACGAATACCATGTGGTCGAGCAAAATTCCATTCCCATTTACACCGAAGACTGGGGTGCCGACGAGGAGTTGTTGCTACTGGAAGGTTCCGAAAGATATGGTCTCGGTTCATGGTCCGATGTAGCCGAACACATTGGAGGCTACAGAGAGCGGGATGAAGTGCGCGACCACTACATCGACACTTACATCAACAGTTCTTTGTTTCCCCTCCCTGAACTGGCAGACCCTGCCGATACAGCTTTGTTTGAACGGATACCAAAAGACGAGTTTCAAGCTCGCAAGAAACGTCGCATTGAAGAACGTAAAGAAATTGCCAAGTCGGCACCTCCAGCAACACCCAAGCAGAAACCTACTGCATCCGTCCCGGCATGTCACGAAGTTCAGGGATTCATGCCGGGCCGATTGGAGTTTGAGACAGAATTTGCCAACGATGCCGAAGAAGCTGTTCAGCACATGTCATTTGAGCCAGGCGACGGCTTGGATCCTGTGACTGGCCTGATGGACGAAGAAACCACTTTGAAAATGACCGTCTTTGACATCTACAACTCCCGCTTGAAGGCACGGACTGATCGGAAGAAGATTATATTCGAGCACAACCTTCTTGAATATAAAAAGAATCAATTGCTTGACAAGAAGCGAACGAAGGAAGAAAAGGACTTGCTACACAAAGCCAAGCCGTTCGGGAGGATGATGGGTCAAGAAGATTTCGAGGCCTTGAATCGGGATCTCCTTCTGGAACACAATTTGCGCATCGCCATCTCACAATTGCAGGAGTGGAAGCAGATGGGAATTAGCGACCTCAAAGGTGGAGAAAAGTACGAGGCGGATAAGCAAGCCCGCGTACAGAGAAATCAGCCTCAAGGACAATTTGATCGCATGCCACAGATCCCTAAGAAGGGGAGCCAAATTCAGCAAGCGGAGCTACCGACGGAAGCATCCAGATTGACCACTCCCGAATTACCATTACGCTTCCAACGCAAACCCAAGACAGTCCCACAGTTCACCGACAGTGCTCCACCAGTGGAGAATGATTTCGACAAGCTGTTTGCAGAAGCCAACGGTACAGACAACTCTAGTGGACCCAAACCCAAGGTGCGTTATGTCGTACAGCCGCTCACGGGTACCACTCCATGGAAATTGGAAAATGACAAATCACTTGCACCCGATCTACAACTTCTCAGCGAAGAGGAGATTCAGTTGTGCAACACGCTGCATATCCGGCCGAAGCCATATTTGGCTCTCAAGGAAGGCCTCCTGAAAGAAGCCATGAAACAAGGTGGACACATGAAGAAGAAGGAGGCTAGAGGAGTCTGCAGGGTAAGTCAAGTGACGAATATATTCACGACTGGTGGACTAACGCAAGGCTGCAGATTGATGTCAACAAAGCGAATCGTCTATTTGATTTTATGATTCATAGCGGCTGGATCGCGAAGGCTTGAGTTAGGGTGCATTGTACAAAACAGCATTATATCATTGAATCCACCACTGTTAGGTGTCCAACGCCAACCTAGGCTTTTGCCTGCAACGTCCTCAGATGGTCGAGTCTTTTACGAGACAAGCACATGAGGTGATGTGTGTCAGGACTCATGCCCTCGATCACGAGCCACGAGTCACGTGCGGTGGACTTTTGCTGAGTCAGTGCGGAGGGTCATGGCCGTAGACCTTGCACTGTATCATTGTAGACCATCACCAGAGTTTCAAGTCCCACCACACGGTTCGATGTGACGCACATCCATGATGATGGCAAAACGTGTAGGACGCGGTTGATTTAGAGTAAGAGATGCGGACACAAAAGGGTGGTAAAATTGGGGTACAAGGTCCACATGGTGCTTGTTTTTGTGTTTAAGGATCCAAGTGCCCGTGGAGAGATAGCCAACGGACTGTCGGTCCATAGAGGCCTCACATCTTGGTATGATTACGATTGTGGACGCTCTTTCTCAAGCGAGTCGCGTCAACAGAGTGGCGGTGTCAGTTCAAAGCCATTGTCACTGTTCTTCCCTGCCCCAGTAACCATCAAGCCACAGGATCATGGGGAATCTGTCCAACTGACGCATAGGTCAGAAGCGAGACCGCGCATATGCCAAATGGCGTCATACAAGCGCCAACCTGACAATCTTCATGGCCCCAAAGACAACAGCATAGTTTTGTCAAGGCCCAGGGACGCACTAAATGAGCACCATCGGGCTTTGGAATGATAGCGATGAGTGCGATGGTCGCGGGATCTGGCTGGGGCTACTCGATTAGCCTCGATCAAGTGGACGACGATCCCTGTCAACCGTGTTTCTCTCACCATGTCCGTACGTCATTCTGGCATCGAAACTTGATTCCAGCCAACATGATCGACCACCATGAAGCAGCTTATATATTATGATGCGTGCATCTATATGTTTGATGAAGCTATCTCCAACTCCAAGAAAAGGAATACGCGTCCCTTTGATAGAAATTTCATTGAGCAAATCCCAAGTTCTCTTGATCCACCAATCACATCACAACCATGCCTCTTTTTGGACACAAGAAGTCTGCCCCTGTCGAAAGCCAGCCTGCAGAGACCCGGGAGCCACGACAGACACGTTCGAGTCGAGGAGGCTTGATGCGTCGACGAAGCTCCTCCGTCTCATCGTCGGATGTGGAATCTCCTCACAAGTCACGGGGAATTTTTGGTGGCCGTCGTCGATCAACGTCGATGGAAGAACACCGCGGCAGTCATGACACCCGACGATCGTCCAACCGATTGTCCCATGGTTCCACCCGCAATTCTGGAGGACTATTCAATCGTCACTCGGAAGACCAATCCATCTCTGGCGCTCGTGAACGTGTTCTTTCCGCGGAGCGAGCAGAGCAAGAAGCCGACCGAGCAGCTTTGCAGGCCAGAACCGCAGTAAGAGAGGCAAGGGAGCATGTCAAGAACCTGGAGCGGGAGGCAGCTGAAGAGTAGGTTATTGCCATGATCGATCCACCGCGTGACTGGTCGCTGACATTTGCATCCGCAGAGCTCGTCTTGCCAAGATCAAACAGAATCACGCCCGAGACATTTCGAAGCGAGCCAAACCTCTTGGACGTGAGTTATGAGAGATGCGTGAAGATTATTTTGGAAATATTGACATGCCTGCAGGCTACTTTTGAGACATGCAATAGCCTCTTGAAGCCGAAGTCAACAGCGGTAAAAGTTGGTTCGTCTGTGGAATCTTTGGCTGGATCGACTGCCATTCCCTTGTAACACCATTTCTTGATGATTTATGCAAAGTGATTTGGTTAGATTCAGCGAGCGAGTATACTAGCAACCCCTTTTCCAATTGAAAGCAGTTAGACAGCAGATGAGCAGATGCTTCGAGTTTTTCCCGCGGGTTCCAGTAGTTGAGCATCGATATTTCCCTCCATTCATTCTTACTTTTCCGGGCTTACTTCTCGACGCTCACACTTACTGCTAGAATTCAACATGTTTGCTGCTCTCGTGATTTGTTGAGGAAAAGTCAACGAACAACAACAATATACGAAAGAAATCATGCATTCAGCCATGGAAATTTGTGTTTGCTGAAACTGGCAAGCACGTTGGAGAAGGTGTCATGCATATTACTTCGTACTTGCCTTGGAGAAATATCAATGGCCACCATGGATTTCATTGGTTAACCTCACCCCACCAGCAGGCTTCTATTACCTAAATCAAGGCCTGCCATTGGTGGATTCGGCAAGATCGCCCAATCAAGAATTTTGGCAGTCGCGGCTACCTGTCCGGCGCCTTTGACGCGTTGATGCCTCCGATAAGACTTCCCAAAAAGACCCGATTCTTTTTGCCCAAAATCCAGGTGGTGTGCACAGTACATTTCTAAGAAACTTGATCTTTTGTTCATCGGCGTCGGGTTTTTGGAAGATTGTCTTCATCCATCAATTGCAGTCGTCTCTTTCCACTCTTGCCCACCATTCCTCTACTCATCACCGGCGTTGATGCTATAACCTTCCCCTTCTCTCCAAGATGGCTGCCGCTCGGCCAGTCTGGCCACGCACCTCCTTACCTACTCGTCGACTGCTCCATCACTTTGGGTCCGTCAGGAGAGTCTATAACAATCATAACAATGTGCCCGGCCAGATCACTCAGCAAAGGGCTGAGCCCACCAATGCAACGCCTGGTGAACCTAGGCGCCCGCCTAGACCGCCCAAGCCCTCGCCCTTCGACACTGCGTTAAACCGCTTTAGTAGGCGACACATAGGTCCGTCGCCTGAAGAGGAGGAAGAGATGGTCGCGGCGCTCGATCCACCGGCTAAGGATCTCGACGATTTCGTGAGCCAGTCCTTGCCGGCAGACATTCGTGCCTCGAATCCCTTGCATCTGACCGACCGGTGGAACCGACCTAATGAATATGGCGTTCATGAGGGGGGTATTCAGAAGGAGCTTCATAACTTTGCCAGCTCCAATAATTTAGGTGTCTCCTTCATTGGTCAGGGCTATTACGGCACTTTCACACCTACAGTGATTCAGAGGAACGTCCTGGAGAGTCCCGCATGGTACACAAGCTATACCCCATATCAAGCTGAAATCAGTCAGGGACGCCTCGAGTCACTCCTCAACTTCCAAACCCTTGTTACAGACTTGACCGGCCTCTCAATTGCGAATGCATCAGTCCTTGACGAGGGGACCGCCGCTGCCGAGGCCATGACCCTGTCCTTAAACGCACTACCCACCTCACGTCTCAAGAAGGAGGGCAAAGTGTTTGTCGTTTCATCCTCAGTCCATCCCCAAACCCAGGCTGTCTTGGCCTCAAGAGCTTCTGGTTTTGGAATCAACCTCATTTTTGGCGATGTCATCGCAGACGATTACAAGCTGGTCAAAGAACAAGGTGACAACCTCATTGGTGTCTTGGCCCAGTATCCAGATACTTACGGAGGGGTACACGACTTCCAAGATCTCTCCGATCTCATCCATCAGAATGGCGGCACTTTCTGTGTTGCAACCGACTTGCTGGCGTTGACCATGTTGAAGTCTCCCGGCGAATTCGGTGCTGATGTCGCTTTTGGGAGCGCCCAAAGATTCGGTGTACCTCTGGGTTATGGGGGTCCGCATGCCGCCTTCTTCGCATGCAACGAGAAGCATAAGCGCAAAATTCCCGGTCGGCTTGTCGGTGTGTCAAAGGATCGACTCGGAAATCGTGCTCTCCGCCTAGCCCTCCAAACTCGCGAACAGCACATTCGACGAGAAAAGGCCACCAGCAACATCTGCACTGCACAAGCTCTTCTGGCAAATATGAGTGCTTTCTATGCAATCTATCATGGGCCTCAAGGCTTGAAACGGATCGCCGAGCGCATCATAGCCATGACAAAATTTGCGCAGCTACTTCTGCAAAAGCATGGCTTCGATATCTTGACCGAAGGAAGAAACGACCAGGGATTCGTCCTATTCGATACCCTGGTTGTGGAACTCTCCCCCACCAAGGCGAAAAAAGTACAACAAGCCGCTGAAAATATGCGTGTACATCTGCGAAATATTGGCTACGATGAGGGAAGCCATAAAATCAAAGTGGGCTTCTCAGTCGATGAAACAACAACTACTCGTTCTTTAGGCCAGCTACTGGGGGTTTTCGGGATCTCTATCGACGATTTTTTGGAAGCCTCAGCAGATGATGCAATCGCAGCCAAGGTCAACGCCCCGGGCATTCCTCATAATCTATTGAGACAAACGCAATATCTTACACATCCTGTCTTCAACTCACACCATTCCGAGACCGAACTGTTGAGATATATCCACCACCTTCAGTCCAAGGATCTCTCACTTGTTCACTCCATGATCCCTCTCGGCTCATGCACCATGAAACTCAACGGCACGACTGAGATGTTGCCGGTATCGTACCCCGGCTTCTCCAACCTTCATCCCTTTACCCAATTGCACAATGCCACTGGTTATAAAAAACTAGTGAAGAGGCTCTCCTACTCATTAGCGAGCATCACAGGAATGAATACGGTCAGTTTACAGCCAAATTCTGGTGCCCAAGGAGAGTTTGCGGGTTTGCGGGTGATCAAGAAATATCATGACGACCAGGGAGATGGCAAGACAAGAAACATTTGTTTGATCCCCGTCTCAGCGCACGGTACGAATCCGGCGTCAGCGGCTATGGCAGGGTTGAAAGTAGTCCCCTTGAAATGTGACACCAAGACAGGCAACCTGGATCTGAATGACCTGGAAGAAAAGTGCGAAAAGTACAAGGACGAGCTTGCTGCGATCATGGTGACGTACCCGAGCACCTTTGGAGTGTTTGAGCCAGCCATCAAACAGGTGTGTGAGACGGTCCACAAATATGGCGGCCAAGTCTACATGGATGGCGCGAATCTCAATGCACAGATTGGACTCTGCAATCCTGGGGAAATCGGGGCCGATGTGTGTCATCTGAATTTGCACAAAACGTTCTGTATTCCCCACGGGGGTGGAGGACCTGGAGTGGGACCGATTGCGGTCAAGGAACATCTGAAGAAGTACCTTCCTTCGCATCCCCATACCGATCCCCATTCAGGGCGAGACCCCAAAGATGCGGAAACGAAGGCGATTTCTCCAGTCAGCTCGGCACCGTGGGGCAGCGCCTCGATTCTACCCATCAGCTATGCGTATATCCAGCTCATGGGCTCGGAAGGCCTGACACACGGGACCAAAGCGGCCCTTCTCAATGCCAACTACCTCATGTCACGACTCCGTCCACACTATCCAATTGTTTATACCAACGAAAATGGGCGGTGTGCGCATGAGTTCATCCTGGATGCGCGGGGGTTCAAGGAAACGAGTGGCATCGAGGCAATTGACATTGCCAAACGTCTTCAAGATTACGGGTTCCATGCACCAACCATGAGCTGGCCTGTTGCCAACACTCTGATGATTGAACCAACCGAGTCTGAGTCCAAGGAAGAACTGGATCGGTTCGCTGATGCGCTGATCTCGATCCGGCAAGAAATTAGGGAGATTGAAGAGGGCCGGGTCCCGCAAGAAAACAATGTGCTGAAGAATGCCCCTCATCCGCAGGCAGATCTTCTCCGGGCGGAATGGGATCGGCCCTACAGCCGGGAGCAAGCCGCATACCCACTCGCCTGGCTCAAGGAAAAGAAATTCTGGCCTAGTGTTGCACGTGTGGATGATGCATACGGTGACACCAATCTCTTCTGCACATGTACACCCGTCGAAGGGTTCGAACAAGAGGGAATTACAGGACTCCAGGCTCCCAATCCTACGTGATACCCACTTTTGCTAGGACCGTGACGGTGATCGATTGGAGTTCAACATTTCCGATGATCAAGAAGTTGCGGCGGGGCTTCAGGCTGTCAAGGAGTGAGGTGGAATTCGTTTACGGCGCCAGATGGCTATGCTCGAGGGCTCCAATACCCCGCGTTTTCAACAGGAGGAATCTTTCGAAGCAATGATTTGCAAATGAAATTTGGATAAATACAAATTTCAATAGATGATATTTGACTGCAAGGTCATAAGGCGGGTGAAGGCCTCTCGTCATTTGCAAACAATTATATCAACGGGAGCTTTCTGGCTCTTTCCCATCTACGCTTTCCTGTGTGAAACGCAGAAACAACTTCTGCAGGGCATTGCGATCCACCGTTTCCCATGGCTCATGTTCTCATTTATGTTCTTTCAGACGTTGACGGCATTAGATTCGTTTAGCACCAGTCCTCCATTCGCCGGCGTCCTCGACTCCACGTGCGACATTCTTGGTGCCGTTCTCGAGGCCTGTTGCCGCATTATTGAGGCCGTCGCCGAGCGGACGCCCAGCTGAACCTGTGGCACCGGTGATGGTGTCTCCAATGCCTCGACCGGCGGCGCCTGCAACACCTCCTACCGTTCGCGTCACTCCACCTACGGTATTCTAGGCGATGCAGCTTAGTTTTGTTTCCGTGAGTTCGGATGCAGACAGACACTCGGAGAAAAAAAAGAAGATCAATATCATTGAACACGTACCCCAAGTGTTGAAGTGACAAACTTGGCTGCACCTGTGACCCCTGTGTCTGAGGATGAAGTGTTGATGGGCATTTCGTGCGTTTTCGTGCGTGGTTTGGTTGCTAAAAGTCGATGTTGGTCACAATTTAGAGGGCTTCGGAGGCGTAGAATCCGTTCGAGCAGCGTCTGTCGGTATGAATGTTTCCTCAAGTGTCGGAATTTATTGCACTTTGCAATATATATGAGAACAACGAAGTCGTGGTCATGTTTGACCAACTTCATGTTGGTCGTTCGTTGCCTTGGACTTCAAGGGTCTCCAATGACGTCAATCAGATCCAATTTTGCGATATAACTATCAGGTCTTGTGTTGACATCCCAGTCTTTTATCTAGGATGTTCCTAGTGTTTTCGACCAATAACGCCTATGAACAATCGCCTGATTTCAGGTTTTGCCTGGGTTTGCACCTTGTGGTATAGCGGTATGTGAGTCACGTGAGTCACGTGAGTCTGCTGGGAAGCAACGAAGGAAGCAAGAACGAACAGCAATATCAGGCAGGCAGGCAGGCATGTACTGAGACATGGAAGGAATGGCCAATACAAGCCTAATTGGGCAGGTACGTCTCTATGCTGCTCAAATCCTTCCTTTACTGAGATCAATTCTCAGTGCCCAACAAGGCTATCTACACCATGTAAGAAGTCTTACCCCCTCAATGAGTGTCTTATTACTACAGTATATGCCGAGATGGTCCCCGAGTACCTATCTTGAGTCATCCTCTTCTATCTCATAACCCATGAACCAGGCGTTGAATGGACTCAAGGAATTGACCGTTTGCTCATCGCCTTATTGGCAACCTTGGGTTCATCTTTCAGCCCTACGAAACTCCCGATTGGTTTCCATTCCAGCATCAATTTTAGAACACCGACCGGCAAGTCCCACTATCTGTAAGCTATGAGCCACGAGACAAGTGCCGATGGGTCTCTGGCTCTCATCACAGCCTCTATTGCGGCAGTTGAGACCAGAGGCACAGTACTGTGTGGTCCAGTTGGCTGGGTTTGCGGGACTCGGAACCGACCTTACCTCCCCAAATCTCCGTGCCTTGGCTGGCATATGAATGTCTCTTCTCGTCTGTGTATGTAAGCTGATCAAGCGAACCGAGCGGGTCGGTAGTTCGGTCGGTCGGCCGGCAGATCGATGGGGCGTTTTGCAACTTGCATTTCAAGATCCGAACATCTTACGCGGGCTACCTACATTGCAGCAACACCTTCCCAATGTATATAAGTGCCGTATGCATCATATCTACTGTGCATTAGCCAGGGGGCTCACCGGCGTTTAATATCTGCTCTGGTCGGTCTACATCATGGATGAATAAACTTATCACTACCGAGACTATAGGAATTTCTAGACTTCATATTGCCATAGTGCGCTCCCCTTGGCATGCTCTTCATAGGTTGAAAAGGTACTGTTGTTTTGGCCTGCTTGCCTGACTAAGTTCTCGAAACGCGAGAGGATTTGCTCGCGACGTCGGTCAAGGCTCTATACGGTTGAATGTGATTATGTACACGATCGCAAGTCGTTCAAATTATAGACTAGCTACATTTCAAGCCTATGGATCCCTGAGTGGGCTTCCAAACCTCAACAAGTCTGCCTTCTGTTCGAAAAGACCTTCAACAAAACGATCCATGACGGATTCCTGGTAGAGGAAACGCTTAAGGATCTTTTGAGCTTCTCTCCAAGTCCTGAGCCCCAGCAGCTGAGTCATGTCGACAAACCGGGTAGAATGCCACACGGGGTCTGATACAGGACGTTTGCCAGCCTCGTCCGAGACTTGTTCCGCGCAGGCTCCGATGAAGAACAACCAGAGAAGTGATTCATGGTGCGAAATGCCGTGAGGTTTGGAAGGAAACGTCGGATTCAATCCTCGCTTGGACATATGGTCGAGCAGAATCTCTATTTGTGGCTGTAAATGTTGCACTGGGATGAACAACAACCACTTGGCTCGCGTGCCGTTGAATCCCATGATGAAACAATGACTACATGCCACGGCCAGCGTGATACATGCTTGTAATTGTCTGCGTACAGTCCGTGAAATCCGTGTCTCGGGTCCGATGGACTCGGTTAGATCGCAATACAATGACATGGACCACGAACACAGCGCTGCATGTCGCTTGTGTAGCCATTCCAGGATTTCGTCGGCAGATTCTTCCTGGGTTTCTTCATATAATTTCTCCGCGAATGTTGCAGCGGCCAAGTATTCACGGTGCATGTTGATGTAATGCGAGAGTTGGTCCGAGAGGTCGTCGTTGGCAATGAGAAATGCTTCGTCCCATCGCTGGAAATGGAGATCGAAATCATGGACATGAGGTATCCACTGCGCAAACCCCGGTTGGGACCTGAAATCGCCGGGGTCGAATAAGGAATGATGGTAATAAGGGCGAGTCAGGGTGAATTTGGCGTTGATGTAGTCGCCACTGATGATATAGGTGCGGGCCAGATGGCTGAGTTTGGAAAGACCGCCCAAGTCATCGACAAACATTCGCACCGCGACGCCGTGTTGCAAGTTCTGGGCCATTTCGCCTGAAAAGAAGCCGACGCAGCAGATGGCCCAGATACACATGAGCACAGCTTCTGAGGGGCCTCGACTAGACAGTAAGTCCTCTCGAAGTAACGTCAGACTCCGGTTCTGGTGCATGAGAGCCATGGGCCACAGTCGCGTATAGTCTCTGGGATCCACGAAATGCGCTCTCATGGTTATCACAGCTGCATACCAGCCGTGCATGCATTTATCGTCTCCAGAGAAGTCTTTGATGTGCTGCTGTACCCGCTGAGTCGTTAGTTGTAGCTTCAGTGCGCTTCGTGATGGTGTATATGCTGTACTCATAAATATATCCTGGAGGCCATGGTAGGCGAGTCGTTGTAGCAGTCCGCATGGCTTGATGTACGCTGACGGCTTGGCTGGGTCGAGATGGCATTGTATGAGCTGGTATCGAAATTCGTCCTCGTACTCGTCGCTGTCGTTTTCTTCCTCGGGAGGTACCGTCAAGTCGTCCTTGCTCGTTGGCTCTGGCGAGCTGCTCAAGCTTCCCATGTTGCATTGCTGACGAGCCTTGATGGGTCCCGAACCTAGTTGCCAACACATGGTTTGCATTGCTGGCGCTCTCTTTGCATGGGATTTTGTACTAGACGTAGAAGAGGATTTCTCTCTTGACATTGATGCTGAACCTTCAGGGCTGTTGCTGTTGCTGCTACCACCAACAGATGGACTGTCGCCATGACTATCTGTGAACGACCTCGGCGGTGTACTGCTTTTGTTTCGCTTTGCCCATCGATAGTACTTGTTGGTCACATGTGAGCTGATTGAAAACGCCTCTTCAGCGTTCCGGACGTTGAGATTAGAGGCATTCTTAACGACGAAATGGAATGAGCCTTTGTAAGGTGCCACTGAAGGCTGTTGGTCCTGCATTTTCGGTCTCATGATCGACTGATTCCCAAGGATGTGGAGTTGACTCGTGGTTCGAGGTCATGTATACGGGGTAGTGTGTCGATCAGCCTTATATGTTCTAAAGCCCAGACGGTTTAACACGACCTGCATTAGCATTCCGCAGTGTAAGGATATAGTCCATAGGCATGATTGGGGTACTTTCCGGTGTGGCCATGGACGGCGTTCTCTATTAACGGGATAGTCCAAGATGGACACGGCATGGCTGTGCCTAACTGAGGCTTGGACGCCGTATCAGCAATGCATGTCCATGATTGATGAGTACATATTACCAAAGCAAAGACTCGGGGCGGCCAAATTTAGCTTCTATTGTCACAACGGACCGGCCAATGTTACGTTGTAGGCAAACTTCCAGATGGTGGGCGGGTGACCGCCCGTGCGTTAACGCATTGCTATGGAGTAAACTGTTATACCAACGGGCCCTATATGCCCGTGACACCTAAGGGTGCCCAGTCTTTAAAGCTGCTGGCATGGGTGCATGGGTAAAAGTCTAAGTACTTGGTTTGGCCCGTCACATCTGGGATCATCAAGCTCTCAACCCAAGCCAGAAATGGAACTTGCCTCCCTTGGCGGTACTCAGCTATCCTCCCTTGTAAGACGTGATTTGGTGAGAAAGTCTTGGATCATCCTCAACGGCATGTTAAACTAGATACCTAGTACTTCACTTGCTTTCTCTAAAGACAAAGGAACACGGAAGACAGTGTACAAACATGGCAAAGTCAATAAAGATAGAGGAGAGCAGACTAAAGGAGCGGTTGCCGTTCATCGGATAGTACCCATGGTTTGATTCCCAGGAGAGTCGCCGAATTGATTGACAATGCTTGGGTAGAGGGATTACATGAAACCCTTTGCTTGTGTAAGCGCGCCTTCAAAGAACCAAGCTTCTCAGACGAACTTCATCGGTTGTCATTCCCGCACTTCTACTTTTGGAAGAACTCGTTTATGACTTATAGCTGAGTCACCGAACGCCGCTGTGGCTTGTCTGTATACTCAATGCGTACATGCTATATATTTTGGTCGTGACTAGGGCTATCGGAGCAAGGCATACCGTATTGCTAGCTCTCGCCAATCTTGGGCGCCGCAGCAATGAGCCAATCTCTGGCAACACTGGGATTTCCCCTCGACTCCTCCAAAGCCTGTATGCACCAGTTGAGATCATAGAGCCCTTCAGCCGCCAGCATCTCAGCAACCGCCCTTTTATTCTGGCTCGCTTCGTCAACACAGAAAGACAGTCCACTTGTATCGTCCTGTGCCAACTGCTTCATGATAGGCTGTAGCAATGGCAACCCGTCTTTGGCAGTAATGACGCGATCCTTACCAGTGACATTCTGGTATCCTGTCTTACAGAGTTCGGCATTGGTACACCACTTCTTGCCGCAGCCACCAATCAGCTGCTGGAGTAGTCGTCTTTCGACTCTTCTTCTGAGCAGTTTGCCGGCTGGGTCATAGGTACTAACGTATAACGGGCCAAAACATTCATTGCAGAGGCCCAAATGCTCCGTCAAAGCTTTCGGATCCTGATCATAAATGATTCTCCGACCACATAATTTGTTACTGCACAGACGGGGTGCCCCTTTGACCAAAAACTCACGACCATGGAAACTAAGGTGTATCTTCATGTCTCTTTGCCTGACAATTTTAGAGCATATGTGACATTCGGTTGTTCTGGCACCGTCAGAAACCTCATGCGGCGTGAGTTCAGCTAGGATAACCTCGGGGTCTCTGAACGAAGGATCGTCGGGGCCTTGTTGTGGGACGATCAAATGGCAGTAACAGCATAGGATCTCTTTCCCAGGACAATCTGTGGTCTTGTGATGTGCAAGCGTCGGTGTGTCGAATGCGTCAAAGTCGCAGAGCGAACACCGGATATGATTAGATGGGTGGAAGATCGAATTATGCTTCTTTTGGGATTGCGCATCATCTCCATATTCATTGTCATGTGGGCAATGCCAGTGGTTTCTCCAGGTGTCCGAGTTTTTAAGGAAGACGTTTGAACATTTTTCGCAGACAATGTTGTTCCGGTAGCAAAATGCCTCATGGAGATGGAGCGTCCGTTTTGGGACAATTTGGCGGCAGTTTTTGCATATGACTTCGTCTGATGTTATTGTAGCTTCCGAATCTGCTTCCGTCGTGGTACTGACATGGTCTCCGCCACTGCTAACCTGGATCGAGTAAGGTACTGCCGCTGCTCCAGTATCTGACTCTGTCTCAGGGTCTGACCAGGCGTGGACTGTGATGTTAAGAAGTTCTGCATCCTTCAGGTCTGTGCTGGTGTGTGCCAGTTTGAGTTTCTTGGAAGGTCGTTCGCTGAGATCACCATAGACAAAATAGTCTAAACGAGGTTGCGCTCGGTGGCGAGAGGACAAAGGAGCCACTAGGACATCTAGTGAAGGATGGCTGTTATCTGATGAAAGAGTCACCACCAAGTCCTGACCATGATCCCAGGTTTTGAGTTGGTAGTCGATATAGCTGCCTGGAAGAACATGGCCTTGCACCTCTTGCCCGACCTCGAGCGAGCCCCCAGAAGAATTGCCTTCGATTAACGAACGTGTTTGCTTGATCTTGGCAAGCTTCTGGTTCATCGTCTCACGAGCCTGTTCTTCTGTTAGAGGTTCGATGTCCACCTCGAGATCCGTATCCACAATGCAGATGCCGTCGCCTGATGGTTCGAGCTTATCTACCAGAAACCGAAACTTTTCCTGGTGCAGGCCTGGGACGAGCAGGACCTCGCCATTGGTAAGAGTTGTGAAATTGTCACGGAGGTGGCGTTCAAGGAGGCTTTTCCAGTCTTCAGGGTCATAGCCTGCCTCCAGTGGCCGGAGTTTGACATATGTACCCTTTGGTAATTGTTTGGCGTGGACAGTGATGGCATCGACCGTATCCGCCATCGCAACGTCACCGGCCGGGGTGCCTTGACGACTGGAAATTGAAGGTGTTTCGGATTTGGTGGTCAGACCAAGGGCTTCCTTCAAGCCCGGACTGAGCCCGATCTGATTCTCTTCTGCCGAGAATTCGCGAATTCCTGCATAGACAGCCCTGCCATTGCGAGGGTTGACCAAGCGAAATGTGAGGGGATGGGGCAGTTGGGGTTGTCGCTCTTGGGCGGCCTGGCGAGCTTGACGCTCTGCGGCGAAAGTATAGGGGTTAAAGGGATCGAAGGTGGAGGTGTAATTATTTCTCGATCGTCCGTTCTCGATGGACACAACCGGTGCGGCAGCCAGAAGTTGTTCAAGGGCGGACTGGGGGAGTGTGATCTTATCGCCTGTCAATCGGCGGCTTGATTCTGTGACTTGTAACTGGGCGGACCATTTCAAAGACTCTGGCGACGAAGTCATGTTGACAACAAGTGCCAGTGGATAGGTAGAGAGGTGGGCCTTGCGAATGAAGGCCGCCCTCGGGTTGGGATGATGTTTGCCATGTTAAGAGGAATTACAAGGCGCAGGCAAGGCGACGGAGACGCAAGATTCGAGAAGCGTCGACCCAAAGCCTTACAAATTAGGTACGAGTCGCGCTAGCAAGGCTGTCATAAGTGCTTAACCAGTAGATTAGTGAGCTAACCTCATTCAGTCATTTAATATCACGCCGCCCCAAGAACACATGGCACGTGGTCTTCAAGGGTGTGTCTTCCTTGTTCTTTGGATTGATGATACATCGAAAGGCCCTTTATGGCTGTGGGTTAAGGCTTCATCTCATTTGGTCATCTCACCAGACCAGAAACCATAAGCCAGCTTGTCAATGGTGAAAAGCTACATCAAACGTGCCACGAGTGACGGGACGACTGATTATGTAAAGGTCAAGACGGCATAGTCATCCACGTGCATCAGCGTTGATTGGCTTTCACGAACCTCCAGGCGGGTTGCGCGGATGGCGTTGTTGTTATGATTGGACGAGTACAGGAGCAAAGACTCCATGAGCCAGCAACAGGCGTATCTGGTAACCACTCTGTCTGTTCTCTTGGGCTGATCCAGGCCAAATATCTGTTTCATGTCTCGCCAAAGCTCAAATCTATCCTTCTTCACACGATCACTTGATGAAAGTCAATATCTTTCCACCATACTAGCTCTCTGATCCAAACACCGTTCTCAAGATGACTGACACCACTTACCGGAAGGGCTCTTTGGGTCTAGGGTTTTTAAATCCATTCAGATCCTCCAGCCGACCTGGTAGTCGGTCGAGTTCACGGGCAAATTCAATCTCTGACTTTGTCATTGACGATGCTAGACGTGACTCAAAGTCTGCCCTTTCTTCGACTACAAAGCTGAGAAAAGGGTCAGCACCTGTCAAGCAGGACCCCAAGCAGCCTCCAAGTCGAGGCTCTCGTCATACTTCTCTTGCATCTACGCGCAATACCACTGAGTGGGACGTGGACAAGAACACCGGTGAGCGGAAAGACTACACGGATATGATCCATAGCTTGGCTCATCGAGATTCGGCCGAATCCCTTGTCGAGAAGACCCAGGCCCTCTTTTCGGGAATCCCAGAGCAGCCAGCCGCCGAGTTCTTTGCAAGACTCCCCGTCAAAGTATGGGGCCAAGTCGTGCAAATTCTAGACATGCCAGACACCGCGAGCCTAGCAATCTCGTGCAAGCCGTTCAGAAATCTCCTCGGAGTCGATATCTGGAAGGAGCTCTCCACTCAAGGCAACATTGTTCAAAAGACCGATTTCCTCAAGCGGCTAGATGAGACAATGCCTAGTCATCTGCTATGCTTTCAGTGCATCAAGTATCACCTTCGAACACAGAAAGGCAAGGAGAACCTGCGTCCCGCCAATGTGTCGAACCCCATCTTTGACTGTCCCAACGCATACAGCCTGGACAACAAAATGTCCCGAGCTCGAATCACAGTTGGTCGGACGCTGCCCTTCCCATTTACCCAGCTTGCTGTACGAGGGCATAAATACAGCCCCGAACACGGCATCCCTCTAACCAACCTGTCTCGGCGGTGGAAGGACCGGGACGGTGAGTGGACACACACGACACAATATACAATTGTCAACAACCACCTCCTTATGCGCGTGGTGAGCTGGGCCTTTGCCACGGCAGATCTCCCAGCGGCGGGACTTCGAAAACTATTCTACGCACACGCCGACAATTTCTCCCCCTATTTCTCCGTCTGCGCACACTGGAGAGACGGCAACCTGATGCCGTCGGTCAAATGCGCCATGAGCCATCTGTACAAGGCACCCGAGGGCAGTGGTGTCGCTGGTGTTGCGTCCAAGGTCAATTACCGACTCCATCGTCCCAACCCAGTCATCACGTTGTGTTCCGAATGCAAGCCCATGCGCAGATGTCCTGCTTGTCCGTCTGAGTACCTGATCGAGATGAGAATGCAAGAGGACAAGACAGATCCAACCCAATTGTTCAAACATGCGATAGTGGTGACACGATGGAGTGATCTAGGCGACGCATCCTCGCCTCAGAACCCTGAATGGGCCTCGGTCATTGGAGAAGGCGAGTTTGACTCTTTCACGGCGATTGGCAAAAGGGCCATTTCTGGGGTATTCGAGTCACAATTCACTGTGGAGCAGATTCCGCCGCAGAGGATCGTGTCGATGAATCCGAATTTGGAGAACCTCGGCGAAGCAGGTCACAATTGGTACTGAGCTGACAGCGGGACAACGCTGGCCAGGGAGCACTGACTAGAAGTCTCACAACGGAGTAATCTTGAGGCTGGCTGTGACCAGAAACCTCATATATCTACTTCTGAAAAGGCCAACAGCTACCAATCCAGACCTTTGAGATTGCTTTTGTCACATCCAAGCATGACCTCACAGAGACTTCTTTCTCTCGATGCCTGTTGGCTTGCTCCCCCAACAGGCATCCCTGCTCGTCGAGCTCCCATCGACTCCAAACCACTGGCCGGCCGGGCAGCCTGTAACTGCACCCCAGCCTTCTCTTCCCTTTGCACATGATCCCTCAAGGTCCGCAACACCATCTGCTGAAAGGCAAAGACTCCTTCCTCGTGGAACGGGTGAAGTGGACCAGATTCGAAGATTCCGCGAGCAATGTTTCGCTGGACATTTTCACACAGAGCAAAATCCTCATCTACGACCTTCTGATAAAATTTGGTCATGCGAGCATGCGCTTCAGGTGTTGCATTTGGAGTTTTGAGCCTGTAAACGTCATACTCCTGGCGGGTGGTGGTCGGCGAGGTGGGAATGCTCCGCATCAGATGCATGAATCCCGTTCCTGGGTTGGGAGAGAAATGACCTGTAGGAAACACATGGGTGGCTGATCGACCAGCGAACCGAGTGGAGTCGAAAGGCGAATTGGCCAGGACCGATGCTTTAGGCTCGCTAAAGTGTGAGATGTATGTGTGCGATGTTGCAGGGTTGACATAGTATGTGTCGAGCACGGTGCTTTTGGCCACGTCTGGATGAGCGGTCAAGCAATGATAGCACTGATGAGAGTCAGATATTGTGGTGAGAGAGTCTATTACAGTAAAAAGAGGCTTTCTTTCGGCGATGCATACCTCGTTATAATTGTCCTGCATGAGCTTCCAATTGAAATTGCCCTCCTTGGTCCAGGTGAAGTCGTACTCGACGGCATCCCAATCAACGCCAGAATGTTTCAACACATTCTGTTGATCTAAATGACCATACTGGTGCTCCCACGAGACGTCAGGCACGGGGTTTGCATCGAGATTGGCATACACAAAGCCGTTCCGGTCGATGTGAACATGGACAGGAAACAGACGGATAGTCGACGGATCAAAGAAAGGGGTCGAGTCTGGAGTGAATCGAGGGGCCTTTGCCAATTTTCCAGTTAGATCATAGGACCAACCATGATATTTGCACGAGAAGATCCTGGCGTTTCCTGAACTCTCTCTCACAATAGGAAAAGCACGGTGTCTATGCATCATCACATCAACAAGAAGCCAGAGATACTTATCACCAAGGGAAACAGTACCTGCATATATTATGAAACCCAACGATAGAACCATCCTTTGTCTTGACAATGACAAAATTGAACCCTGCCATGTCATACTGGACGTAGTCACCGACATTGGCATACCGGGCCTTGTGGGAGACCAGAAACCACTGTCTCGAGAAGATGGCACGCTTCTCTAATTGAAAGATGGCAGGAGAATGGTAGAATTCGTCTGGGAGAGATGCTTGCACGTCGGTGGGTATGTGCTTTTGAGAGAGCCCGTCAATATGGAGTTGGTGGACTTCATGGACTTGCGAGGTCAACTCGGTCGTAGTGGTTGTGCCAGGCATAGTTGATGACAGTTCTGAGGATAGTGTGATAGCACTTTTGTTATGAGGTGCTAAAGGAGTATTGTAGCATTTGTATCCATACCACGACGGTCACAGCCTACAGGTACTGGAAAATACACGGCAGAGCAGTACAGTTTGAGGCGACCACGCTCAGTCGGGTTCTCTTGTCCATTGATATGGAGAAATACTCATTGTCCATTGTGTAAGAGATGTTGACAATCTCCTGCCTCCTGCCATCCTTGGTTGTAGAGATAAGTCCAAGGTGTACTCCGTAAAGTGAGGTGTGCTAATAGATAAACTTCTCCAGCGGCCTGCCTGCATAGGCATCGCGATCCGGGCGAGTCCCCCAAGGCGGGGAAAACGAGGGCGGCCGAGGGGCCCGAGGGGCCTACAAAACGTAAGCCACCAGCCAAGTATTAGAGTACTTGTCCTAGATTAAAAGGGGGACCAATTGATGTTTGGCTTGGTCAGGTTGAGGAATGAACAGGATGTATCCTATTGGTACAAGTGTGTACAATAGGTAGGTTCGTAGTGTGCATCATTGGCCCTCTATCATAGTTCTCATACATTTTTTGCAAGTTGAAACACTCCCGAATCTCGCTCCAAGTATAACGTAGAATTTCAACGCCAGAATTATTTCCCTCTCTCAGAGTCGCCCCTCTTTTCCTTCTAGGCTGTCAGGCTGAAGCTGAGTCTAAATGAGGTGGTGACCGACCATGTTCAAACACGTGTTGCCATTGGGCACAAATCAAAAACAGATCAAGTCATTGCCATCTTGATCTTCGATGCGTAGGGATCGTAAGGGCCACAGAGTCCATGCAAATTTGTGGACCTCTTTGCGTGGCCGGAAAAGTTGCATGTGCAGCATGTGGCCAACCTGTAATCCAACTTGAGAGGGTTGTTGGATTCAGCTGGGCCAGGCTGAGAGATGGCTCTGGTTTCAGTCTGTTCATGTCGCGCCATAGCTTACCATTGAGAGGCTACTGACCAATGTCTGATGGACTTCAGCAAGACCTCCAACGGAATTGAACCCTAGGATTTTATCAGATTTCCAGGGTTTTGGTCAACGCTTCCAACTGTTCCAGGACCGCACGGCGACTGGTTCCGCCAGTAGCATCCTTCAGCTCCACTGAGCGCTCGTAATCAAACACGCTGAGCACATCGTCGCCGAATCTCTTGTCAACACCTTGGAATTGCTCAATGGTGAGTTCATCCATGCCTTTGTTCTCATCTTCGGCCAGAGCGACCATTCGGCCAGCCAGATGGTGAGTTTCTCGGAAGGGTACACCTAGATTCAGGTTAGTCGACAATGAAAAGATAGACACTAATAAGCTGCATACCCTTGCGAACCAAATACTCGGCAAGATCTGTCGCCAACATATCTGGGCTTAGAGCTGCACGCATCTTCTCTGGATAGACAGTGGCTGTGGCCAGTGACCGCGCTGCAATCTGGAGACCATCCTTCAAGGTCTTGACTGTGTCCAACATGGGCTGCAAACTCTCTTGCAAGTCTTTGTTGTAGGTGGATGGGATTCCCTTGATGCTCATCATCAGGCCAGTCATGGCGCCGAAGATCCTGCCGGACTTGCCGCGAAGGAGCTCGAGCGAGTCGCTGTTCTTCTTCTGAGGCATCAGCGAGCTACCAGTGGTGTATGCATCCGCCAGCTTGATGTAGCCAAACTCTAGAGAGCTGTAAATGATGAGATCTTCCGACCACCGTGACAAGTGGCTGCCAATGGTTGAAGCACACTGAAGCACCTCGACGACAAAGTCACGATCGCCGACCGCCGACATGCTGTTCATGATGAGACCATCAAAGCCTAGCTCTTTGGCCAGCTGGATTCGATCGATGCCGAAAGCGTTTCCTGCCACGGCACCACAGCCGAGGGGCAGTTTGTTGATATTCTTCTTGGTGAATCGCAAACGCTCGAGGTCGGATTGGAATGCAGTAGCATAGCTCAAGAGCCACTGGCTCCATCGGACCGGCTGTGCTCTCTGCAGGTGAGTGTAGCTCGGCATAAGATAGTCAATGTCCTGCTTGGCGCGGTGGGCAATGACCTTGAGAAGGTCGACAAGGTATCCCTCGATCAAGATCAGCTCGTCACGGAGCCACATGCGCATATCGGTGGCCACCTGGTCGTTGCGGCTTCGACCTGTATGTAGCTTTCCAGCAATGTTTGTTCCAATGACTTCCCCCAGGCGGCGCTCATTGGCAGTGTGAATATCTAAATTTGTTGTCAGCAGCAATTACTTGGGATGACAGGGCCAAAGCCACTCGTTGCTTTGGTACGGGACCACGCTCTCCACGCTCTCCACGCTCTCTGCAACACTCACCTTCATCTCCCTCAGCAGGCTCGAATTTACCCTCCTCCCACTCCTTGAGAACTATTTTCAGTCCCTCTTCCAGCTTCACAAACTCTTCTTGTGTGAGAATGCCGGTTTTGACATTGGCCCGGGCGTAGGCGATGGAGCCTTTGATATCCTGGGCGTAGAAGACGCGATCTACCGATAAACTCTCGTTGTACTGGTTCATGAGAGGGTCAATCTCTCCCGTGAATCTACCACCCCATAATCGAATAGGGTTGCTGTTCTTGGCGGGTTGAGCCATGATGGATGGAGATGATAGTCGGATGATGGCAAATATGTGGGGACTTGGAGTGGATGGTATGGGTACAAAAAAATGTCACCAAAGACTCCCTGGGGCGATCTATCCGTTAGTTGGACGAGAGATGCGGTAGAGGTGCCAGAATCTGGAAACAATATGAAGCTGGAAGCTCGACACCAATTCTATAGATAAAAGATATGGTTTTGTTGTGCGAATCTCTGGCGTGACTCGTGATGGGAAAAACTTTTGGAGAATCAGAGGAAGTCGCTAAGGTACAAGAAGAAAGCCTTGGCGGCAGGGATCATGTATCACGTGATCATATCACCACCATCAATGTCGACTATCATTGATGAGCGATCACTCCTGCCAACACTTTTGCCATCAACGTCGATTATCATTGACGAGGGAGAAGTCCGAAAATCATTAATATTCAAGACTATTAATGAGGGAGAACAATGATTTCTTATGACTAGCGAGCAGACCATGATGGATAGAGAGCCTTGAGAGCCTTCCAAAAACCTTGGGAGCCGCTGACAAAATTCCTCTCCAGTAGAGGGGCGGTCCGACTCATGAGCAGGCCGAGGGGCTCTCAACCAGCCTAGATCATATACCTATAGCCCTTTTGCAATCTCCTGGCGGCAGCAAGGTCGATACCTTCGATCTCAGCGGTTCTTTGAAGCTTCTTCAAGTCACGTCCAGTGATCTCGGCATCCTCGTTCTCCATCCTCGCCAACCGTGCATTCTGTCGTTCTAACTTGATTCGAAGAAGAAGGCCCATCGCTGCACTGACCACCTGCAGGCCAATACAGATTCCCAATGCAAGATGATAGTGAGGCCTATCTTGTGTACGATAGGTAAATGGAGTCCAGATACTGGCAGAGTTTCCGATTGAATTGATGAATGCGTATGCCGCAGCACGCTTGGCGGGTGGTCGTGGTATAGCCCCTGCAATCCATGCATAACATGTTCCATTCATGGCAAAGATGAAATTCATGAGGAATAGAGAAAAGTATCTCGGTCCAAAGGAATTGGTGGTCATGAAGATGACCCATCCGACGATGGTGATGGGAATGGGATACATATAGAACCAGAATCGATTGCCCCACCTATCTGATAGGATTGAGTGGAGCATCGAGTAAAAGACCATAAAGATATAAGGAGGGGCGCAGAGGAGTAGAGAGATGGTTCTGTTGTAGCCGAGAGTCGCCGTTAACGTCGGGAAGAAGTTTTGAAACCCAGCCGCACCGACAATTGACATGTAGGCAATAGCTAGTATATAGGTCTTAGAATCGGTTAGTGCAAGTTTAAGTCCTCGGACTTGAGACATGGCGCCGGCCTCGTCAACATCAGCCTCAGCTGCCTCGATGGCTAGTCGACGGTTGGCCACGCGCTTCATTTCTGGAGATAGAGCCTTCCAGGTGTTAGGAAAGTCGGGGAGAATGAGTGCCAATGCTATACCAATAGCAATGGTCACGACGCCCTCAATAATGTAAAGCCACTGCCTAAAAACAGACAATCAGATCGTGTCGTGGTTAGGTGTAGAATTCGGGTTGTGGTTTAGGGTTATCGAACATGGGTGGTATTCACTCACCAAGCAGAGATACCACGCTTTCCTGCGAGGCCACTCAAGATACCCGCAGCAATCAGATTTCCAAAGGCGCCACTCACAAGAGAACCAGCATAGAATATGGACATTCTCAAGTTCAGCTCTTTCTTGGAATACCACTTGGAGAGGTAGAAAAGCACGCCGGGAAAGAAGGGTGCCTCGACAATACCCAGCATAAAGCGACAAGCCACTATGCCTGAAAAGTTTGTAACCAGACAGGTGAGAGCGGATACGAGGCCCCATGCACAAGTAAAAAATCCAAGATAGAGCGAGGGTCGGCCGATATGGTTCATCAACATGTTTGATGGAATTTGAGCAAGGATGTATGAGACGAATAGAATCGAAAGACCTTGATGAGAGAGGTTCAGCACCAAGAAACACAACGGCTAGATATTTCTCGACCTACCAAGTTGATATTGATCTCCAACCAATCCCAAATCCTCTTCAAGACCTTGCAAACGAGCGGCAGCATAGTTGTTGCTATATGAACGGGTGGTTTATGTCAGTGGTGTTCGCTTCAAGTCGTTCAATATGGGAGACGGTGGTAGATGAAAGGAAACAGCGAGCCATACCGATCAATGTAATTCATGAGGTATACCGTCACCATAAGTGGCATGATTCTAATGTCAATCTTGCGCACAAGCTTTTTCTCAAGCTCTTTCTCCTCTGGAGTGAGCTCTCCAAAGTGCATGGCTTCCTCGTGAGATAGATTGCCCTTGTCCCCGAGGACCTCATGGTCAAGAACTTTGTCCGCATGGACAACTTTCTCGTCAGACATTGTGAATAGTTGATACTATAGAACTTCCCGGCTGCACAGGCAAGATTCCTTGGGTGATTGGGACGAGATCAAGAGGAAGAAGGAGAGACCAGAGACCCGAATGGCAGAAGGATCGCCCTCATCTTATATGAAAATGCCACCGAGTCCATCCTCCCCTGGTCAACAGCCGCTGGGCCATTGAATGAATGCTGGTCACCCCCATACAGAGGTATTGCGGGGAGTGTCACTGGACCAATGGCTGCTTGTAGTAAAGCTGTAAAGGTCGAAGCTAGGTCCAAGAATTCTCGGCTGACGCATAAGAGCTTGATCACATTGCCACCTGGTGTGAGAGTATTGTTTGCACTGCTCTCGGTGTTGATTCTGCCGAAGATGATTGCCGTTTGTGAAGAGCATTGGCAACCTAGACTCCAGTGTCTAAGGACTCCCTCCAGGAGCAAAGAGTATTCGAGAAGCGGGGTTAGCTTGAAAATTGGATAGAAGACCTTTTCCAAGAGTGCCACTGACGCCTTAGGCATGCCTCAAACGCCTTGGTAGTCAGCCAATACATCGAAGCCGACGCCTTTTGCGAATAGGCATTGAGGCCAAGACTTTATTGATCTCCCGCTGTGCATAACTCGGTGAGGCGAAGCAGTAACATCCGATTACCTTTTACGAAAAAGCAGTGGCCTTTGTGACCACCGGCGTCTGTGTCAGTTGATGGCAAGGAGGCACGGGAGGGCACCGGTGAAAAACGCCGTGTCGGATCCGTTGTTGAAGTACCCAAGGATGTTTGTTTAACAGTTCTGGGTAAGCCCCCGCAAGCCCCGGTAAGCCCCCGCAAGCTTTACTGGGTTTCCGCCTTGAACAAGCAGAATATCCCCCACACCCTCTTCTGGTTTAGACTGTGGGGTGACTCCATCTTTTCGCTGGGAAGAACCTGGGAGAAAGACCAAAAAGAGTCTGTAAAGGCAGATAAAGACCGAGGCATGGTTTTCACCTCCACTGTCCATGGCCTACTGTGTCCCTGTCGGCCATACCTTTAACCCCATCTTTGCCAACTAGTCGTTAGCTGCCTCCCAGATTTGCTGCACCCCATTATGGCCGCCCTCGGCCCAGCGACATGCCCCCTGACTAGCACCATATCTTTCATATGCAGCCACAATATTAAGAAAGCCATGGCATGGGGGTATTCGACGGCCATGAACCCGTCCAAGACCGAATCAATAGTGCCTAGGTTACCCTTCACATGCGCGATGCAACCCTGTTGCTTTAAGCGAACCTCATGTGCGTTGCGTTTCCTTCAAAAGTACGGACAAATTGAGCTGGGTGTCTAGGAACAGTAAATATCGACTGACTCGTTTACCCAGTCATTCTCTAATAATCAGGTCCTGATGCAAAAGCGGAGATCAAGTACTCGGTACAAGGGCTAGGACATAGTTTCCATAGCCTTTGGAATATGATTAGCCTTCTGTTTCAGCCTATTGATCCAACAATGCCATTGGCTAATATCCACTTCTCTGAGAGCAAACTGGATCGGCTGGAAGAAGGGATTGGCGAGCAGTCCCTTGTGCACACGATCGGTTTGTGGACAAGATATGAGAATCGCACCTGGCTGTTATCTGCAAGCCAAAGCTGCACCCCCATGCACCCGACAGCAAGGGCCACTACAATCGACTCAACGTGCAGGCCAATTGGGCGCCAGTCATGGGTATTGTTTTGAAGCCCGAGTTTCCAATAACACACGTGCGGAGTATTCGGATGGCCCCTTGCGCAAAGAACTATACCGAGTGGTCGAGGTCGGGAGCAACCCTTTTACCCGGTCTTGACTGGGGAAGGTGGAGGAGTAGACCTTGGTCGCCTGAGACGCATATCCAGCACGTGGGTCAGAGTTGTGTTCGCTCAAGGCATGAACGCCGATGCAGATCATAGCGGCCATTGACGAGATGGCTAAACATTGGGACTCAGGAGATCATACTTGACACACATTTCAACACTTTCGGCGCTGGCCTGGAAAAATCTTCTGGCCTCGAGGCCCACCCAGATCTTGAGTAAGGAGAAGTCGCCTTCTTTGAAGCTTTTCAGCACGGCGCTAGGGTCTGAGGATCCTAGCTGTCGTAGGATGGGTAACGAACTCTTGAAGAGATCAAGATCTGGGTTGAGAGTCCTGCCGATGCCTTCGAGCAGGAGGATGGAAAGGACAACATTGACAAAGTCTCCTTCCATACGCACATGATGCGTCCGCACCATGCCAAGGACGTCTGAAAGGACGTCTCCGATCTTGATGTTGCCGAGGGCAAAAGTCTGGCCCTTGACGGACAGGACCAGATGCTGCATCTTGAGCGCAAAGACCTCGCTATCAATGACAGCATCGGGCTGTCGGCAACGCTCAATCATCAAATGACCAGCCTTGTAGCCATCAAACTCGGCAATTGCTCTGAACAGGTCCAGGAAATTGGTGCGGTTTTTGGCATTGAGTTCGGTTACGAGTCCAGTGTCGATGAAAATCAACTGTGGCCGGTAGCCATCCCTGTCAATGTCGCTCAGAGCTTGAAGCCATGCGTCTTTGTCACCAGTATGAGGCCGCAGTCGTGACAAGACTGCTTCGGATGCATCAATGTCTGAAGCTGACCAGGGCTGGGTGGGGTCCTGTCGAGATACATAAGGCAGTTGGACGTCGGGCTTTGATGGCCGATAAAAATTGACCATGATATTGCCGGGGTGGAGATCAGCATGAACAAAATTGTCAATCAAGAGCATGTGCAAAAAGGCGTCCAAGCCCTCGTCTGCAATTTCATTTTGGAAGACACCTCCACCAGACTTGAGGAAGGCGGCAAGGGGAATTCCCTGAGCAAACTCCTCGACGAGAAGAGTGCGAGTGGTGAAGTCGGTATATGGAAAAGGGAACCATGCGGTAGTGCGTTTCTGAAAGTGCTTGCGCAGAATGGAGAGATTTGCAGCCTCGATTCTCAGATCGAGCTGCAATCGCATCATTTCGCCAAAGTTGGCCACCTCGTTAGGTAGGTCCAACCATTCGAGAGTGGGGATTGCATTAATGATGGAAGCAAAAACACCCATGATCTTGAGATCACGCCGAACGATCCTCTCCACTTTGGGATGGAGGACTTTGACGGCAACGTAGGCTGACGGAACTCTCTGAGGACTAGATTTGACCAACGCATCGACGTTTCGTCTAATCTTGTTACCTAGGCGGTTCTTGTCTGTAGTGTCTAGATCGCTGTCTTCGGATTTGGCGAGGTCGGGCTTGAGCCTCGCCTTGTAGACTTGTGCAATGGCACCCACGCCAAGTGGCTTTTCGTCGAACTCGATGAAGATTTGGTCAAAAGACCGGCCGCCAAATGCTTCAGTAATGACCCTTTTGGTGTGGCGAAGCGAATGGGCGGGAGCATTGGAGTGTAGCTCAGACATGACTCGACACATTTCCGCGGGGAAGATGTCGGACCTTGAGGCAGCCCATTGGCCGAGTTTGATAAAGGCAGGGCCAGCTCTTTCCATGGACTTGACGAGGAAACCATACCACCAGATGGTGGTGACCCGCTCATTGTCGCGGGCTTTGTCGCGAGGCCCAATCAAGGCCACAGGAGCAGTGAGGATGACAGGAACGAAGATGAGAGCGAGATGGAGGAAGCGGAATCCGGTAGCCAGGGGCTCTAAGATGTATTGCTCTAGGAAGTACACGACTGACTTGTATATGCGGCGGAGACCACGGACATTCTCTGGGACCTTTTTACTGAGCTCTTGACGAGAAGCCTCGAGCATTTGCATTTCACCTGTTTTGCCATCTTGAGTCTCTTCCTCGGAAAGCTGAACGAAGGCAACTGGAGTTAAGGCAGCAGCTGCAAGCAGGACATGGCGGTGCGGCCGCTGGCGGGCATCTTTGAGGCTGTATTTATGCGACCATCGGGAAAAGCATTGTTGGTGGCGGGGGACGTGAGAGGAAGAGGTCAAACGAGAAAAGGCAGTCCCCCGTCGGCCTGTGAGTCGGCCGAGGAGAAAGAATGGGCGCATCAGGAGTCTAATGTTCGACAGTGGGCCGGGCCTGGCAGTAGAGTAGAAAGGCCATGAAGAGAATTGGTAGGGTTGAGGATTGAGGGTGGATGTTAGTCTAATGTCTGAATGCAAAGTGACATCGAATGTCGCAGATGCAGATGTACGTTGCTGATGTGTTGGGAAGGCACCCACTGAATCTTGCACGCGTCAAAGGCAAGAACGACCACCCGGAGCAAAATAGGAAATGACGTCGACTCCAGCCAAGCTTACGGTACATCGCGCAATTTTACTCACGTGATATTCGCCATCATGATGAGGGTTTATCACTCACTCACTCCCTCCAACAACACATCATGCCCTGCAGCTGGATGCGTCTGCTTATAACATGGTCTCACACAATGATTCAACTCGTTGAGAACTTTCTTCTCACCATTTCGTCGGCCAAGTATTCTCATTGGCAAGATATTCCAGCAAACGAAATACCTTACAAAGATTACCATGTTCGCGTTCAACATCGCGATGAATAATGTCGACTCCGTCCAGCAGGGCACTTACGCATATATCTGTAGGTCATAAGCATTCATATCAGTGCAGTCCTGAATCTGGAGCAATGCTGTTTCTACGGAGTACGCGTTCACTTGATTTCCATCCCAGGTGGGTTTGGTTGCAGCTGTCAGAAGTTTTTGACATTGGCCTGCCACCTTAGCGTGAAGACCCAGCCTGCCACAGCACGCCGACCTGTCTTAATCGGTCTGTCTGCCAGGCGATGGGCAATTTCCTGGAGATTATCCCAATCATTGTCGACCTCTTGATCATGGCCTTCTCATCGTCTGAGAGTACAGCGTGATGTCTCTCGCGTGGCGAGGTTCTTCTGACCTCCTGGCTGGACTCCACATCGGAGCTCATCCCCTACACACGGTTGATGATACAAAATGATGAGATCCCGACCTACAAAAAGTCCTATGTGGCTATCTCCAGTTGTAAGTTGACTCGGCTGAAATTCACGCGTTTGCCCTCGTCCCGTGAATCGGGAGGTTGTTCAAGATGCGCTCACTATTGCTGGTGGCAGAAGTTCTTGCCCTCACATCCTTGACTAATGCCGCCCTTGGTGATGATTCCCGAGAAGAATGTGATGTCTCTACACTGACTTTCGTGGATTGGGACAAGGCCATTTTTGTCTCGGCTACCTCAGCCGTGAATGGCGACGCTCGATGTAAAGACAAAGGGCTGTGTGCTACAGTACCCTGGATTGGTCCGCCCTCGACACCAACTCCCACGGAATCCAAGGGACCCAAGGAACATACCGATGAGCATGGCTGGAAGGGCGATCCCCTGGTGACTGTAACCCTGACTCAGACGGAGAAGCAAAACGCGCCACACGGGACAGACACACCAACCTGGAGCGACTGGGACCAGCAAACATCGCCAACTCCATCCTCAGCCACCGGGGACTGGGAGGACTGGTCTATAGATGGCGGATGGAACTCGCCTCCTCCAGGGACAGGCACTCCATCAGCTTCACCATCTAACTCTTGGAACGCCCCAGGCGGAGGACCTCATGATGGTTGGCACTCCCTGATACCTTCGTCTTCTCAAACCAGTGCAGTCCCTCCACATCCCACAGGCTGGAACAACCCTCCATTGAATTCAGTGACGAGTGGAGACGATCAATATCCATCTGGGTCTTGGAAACCTGCTCCGACTGATTCAGAGCCCAACGACAGCAGATCCCATGGCTGGGCTGGAGTGACTTCAAGAACCTCGATCGTCGGTACAACCGTCGATCCCACAGTCATTGAGCCTACCTCGTCTAGTACGAGTACTAGTCATGATGTTGCTATTCCCACCACATCTCTCTCTAGCACCGGTATGTTACCGACATCTGCTTCCACCACGACTGTGCAAACGATTGGCCCTACCGATATTGAAACCACAACCACCGCCGTTTCTACCACTGAACAGACCATTGACCCGACTGATGTCGAAACCACAACAACTAGTAGCACTACCACTGCGCAGACGATTGACCCTACTGACATTGACACCACAACTAGTGGTGTCACCACGTCTTCTCAACCAGTCGAACCCACAGACATTGAGACTACCACCATTGCCACAACAACAGAAACAACAACTATAGTCGAACCGACTACCACCATTGCCGCAACAACAGAAACAACGACCACAGTTCAACCGACTACAACCACCACCACGCCGGAAACATTGACTACTACAACTCCGACTACGACAACCACAACGACAGTGCAAATAGACCCAACGACAACGGAAGAAACAACCGTCTCTACCCAAACTACGACATCGACAACCACTACCACTACCACCACAATGACAACAACATCAACATCAACATCAGCTAGTGCGACGGCAACAACTCCTGCATTGGCGATCCGAAACGTCGGCTATTATGTCAACTGGGCCATCTACGCACGCGGTTTCCAAGTGCAGGATCTACAGACACAACACCTGACTCACGTGCTGTACGCTTTCGCAAATGTCAACCCCACGACTGGAGAGGTCTATCTCAGTGACACATGGGCCGACACAGACCGACCATCAGCGGGAGATGACACATCTGCAGCGGGCACCAACTTGTTTGGAAACCTCAAGCAGCTATATCTCCGGAAGAAGCAGAATCGAAACCTGAAGACGCTCCTCTCGATCGGAGGTTGGACCTTCTCTCCTAACTTTGCAGTGCCGGCCAGCACGGCCGAGGGACGACAAGCGTTTGCGAATAGTGCAGTTAACCTCGTGCAGAATCTCGGCTTCGACGGTATAGACATTGACTGGGAATACCCCTCGAACCCTGCCCAAGCTGCTGACTTTGTCCTGTTGCTACGTGCCGTCCGCGAGGCGCTCGATGCATCAACGACACGCAACAATCAACGAAAATTCCTTATCACAGTAGCCGTCTCTGCAGGACCTTCCAACTACGGACGACTAGACATGGCTGGAATGGACGAATACCTCGACTTCTGGAACCTGATGGCCTACGACTATGTCGTGGCCAGCGACACCATCACAGCCCACCAAGCTAATCTATTTGAATCACTCTCAATCCCTAACTCTACCCCAGCCAACACCGACGGCGCCGTCACCGCTTACTTAGCCAACGGCGTCGCGCCTACAAAACTCGTCCTTGGAATGCCGTTGTACGGCCACTCATATGTAGGGTCTACCGGTCTAGGCACACCATGCACAGTCGATTCCCAGGGCTCATGGGAAGCCGGGATTTGGGACTACAAGGTCCTTCCCAGAGCTGGAGCCAGCGAATTCTACGACAATGAAGTTGGTGCCGCGTATAGCTTCGACGCCGACTCGGGCAATTTCGTCACCTACGACACTGTCACCAGCGTGGAGCGAAAGGCCGAGTATGTGGCTGATCGAGGCTTGGGCGGTGGCATGTATTGGGAAACCAGCGCCGATAAGCCTCTTGGTCAAGGCTCGTTGATTGAGACTTTTGCCAATGCTTTCAGTGGACTCGAGTATGATGAGAATGAGCTATCGTATCCGGAAAGCAGGTATGATAATTTGAGAAACCAGATGAATTAGGATAGGGGTTGAATTTGCATGAGATTTGAATTGGTGCGAAGGCGTTATAGGCTAGTTGTTAGACTTGAATCTATTCTTTTCTATCACTTATCTTGGGATTTTGTCCTTGTGCATAAAAAAAGGCCGGCTGGTGGGGAGGATGATACACGACATGTAGGCTGGTACATGATATACGGAGTAGGGTATACTTAGAGTAGGTAACTAAAAGTAGCCAAGCACGCCAAGTTTAGGCGTCCGCCCTCCTTTTAGGATGCCTAAAATGACTGTCTTTAGGCATGCATCTGTACTGTTGGACCCCACGCCTCCCGGTACCCTCTCAAGCTTGTTAGGCGTGGCTGCCGCCAGATCTTGGGGGCTGAACGCCACCGATTCATCTGATTGTATAGGACCTGCATGGAATCCAAGTTTGCAGTACTTTAGCCTTTCGTGGCTACAAAGCATCTCTCTATATCTAATTGTCAACAGTCGATACAAAGTTCTCAATATATGTACATACTACGGAGTATGTTGTAACACTTAGAATAACGTGAACAAGTCTGAAAAGTAAACACATTTCACGCTGTACTGGCGTGACTGTATACCCACTCGTACTTCACAACCGCCTTTCATCGACTTTCTTGCCAAGCTTTTAGACAAGCTCCATTCAAAGACATGTTTGTCTTTTTTTCATTTCATGTCTTGCCAGTCATCACAAGACTCTCTTTAGACTCTCTCGTGTATCATGATCTGATCTGATCTGCCATAACCTACAGTCCATCCTGCGAGGCTCCTCAAACATACGGAGTCTGCCTGCCCAGCCGTGCCAGCTCAACAGGCTACCTATCTATCTACCCTGGAACCTTGTGCCTTGGACCTCGTATTCGTCCGCCTCCCATCCCAGTCCATACTGAAGTATGTACAGGGAACAGTCCTTGGTCTTTCAGGTCTGCCAGGTGTGCTAGGTCTCCCAGTGGTTCTTTCTTGACCCCCAAATCTCCGAGCTCGTGCAGATTGCCAAACCAGGGCAATTCAAGTCAAGTGTCTTTCCTTCATATGCACCATAGGGATAGGCCAAAATCTGGTTGTCTGCAGCGGGCCAAACCCATCGTCGGCCGTTCGACATGGTAGGTTCATGCTTGTTGATATTCTTGGCTGAAGCCAATCAATACATTCCAGGACAAATGGAAAAGTCTTGGAGTTGGTTCAATTTGCTACATGATCGCCACGATGAAACAGCCATGGCTGTCGTTGAGTTTAAGATGCGCCTTGAGGTGAGTCTGATCCATGATCCAGCCTCTTTTGCTGGTATGGGTTTCTACTTGTTGGTTGATTATGAGTACTTTACCCATATATAACTATCTACCATGCCTGTTCACCCTCGCGAGCAAGGTACCAACTGTTGCTGTTTGCATTCCTTCTCGACCAAACCAACGCCTAATCTTGAACCATACATCTCATCGAACATCCTGCTTCAAACCTCTGATATCCTCATTTCTCTGATTCATCTCTCACTTCAACTCGTTCTACACTTGATCCCTCCGCCCAGCAAATCCACCTCATCCTCCCATCACAAAATCATGCCATCTATTCTTCAAATCCTCTTTCCCTCCCTCATTGGAATCTCCATTCTCCCTCATCTCATATCCGCCCAACAACCAAACGGACCCTGCGTCCAAGCCTGCCCACCCAAGTCCTCAGCCTGCGATGGCGACGAGACCGGAACTGCCCTTGACCAATGCACATGCGCGTCCTTCAGCCTGACCAACGACTTCCTCATCGAGTGTGTGAAGGAGTGTCCCGAAGACGAACAGATCATCTTTGCCAACAAACTACCAGATCTCTGCAACGCTGCGCTTTTCCCGAACCTCGACTTGTCTGCCTCACCGACTTTGTCTTCGTCGACTAGGAATACCGCCTCTACCGCCTCGGGTCCACAAGGGACTGGGTCTTCGATGAACGCTGCTACAACTTCATCTCGTTCGAGCACTGCTTCAACGGGTCCGGGAGCCGCTTCGGCTAGTGAGACTGGTAATATCGCTGCTCAATTTGTTCCTGCGGCAGCAGCTGGATATTTGGTCTATGCCGCTGGAGTGGCAGCTTTGCTGTTAGCTTGGGGACTTGAATTATCAATCGCCGCCCAAATCCCACTTTTTGAATACACGACACTTCAGCCTACCAGCAACATCTTTTGCATCTTCCTGTCTTTTCCCCCCTTCCACGGTGCTTAGTCATCTAGCCTGGTCCAAGATTACTAGTAGAAGGCAGCTGGGTCGAAAGAGATGTGACGGATCTAAAGTTCAATCCTTATCCTTGCTCTGCAAAAAACAAATAGGACAATGTAAGCATGACACTGATAGTATGTTATTTGTTTTTAATGGTCTAAAGAATGTGCACTATCCGGGTATTAAAACACGCTTTCTAAACAATGACGGCTCATGGGCTGGTCCTGGCCTATCCACCACACATGCCTTCCACAATATGCTTGTCACATCATTGCGAAGCCGCCATGGCGGCCTTCCTTAGTGCTGCCGCGCCAGATATGGCCACTCCGTCAATTATGACAACGTTGTCTTCTAGAACTGAGTTGCTTTCCTTGATGTAGCGATGTCGAGCTCGCCAAACCCAGTATATACCAGGGAACAGGATCGTCGCCCCGACAATCAAACAACTCCAGTTCATGTAGTCGATGGTCGCTATTGTCACCGGCACGTATAACGGACACAGGTACATGGTGATGATGAGAAGTGACCAGCAGACCGAAATGATGTTGACCGCGTACCCCCATCGTCCCAGGTCAAAGTATGGTCGTGGGGGAAGAATTTTGCGGCCACGGATCAGGACGATGATGACTGGAGTGACATAGCCAACTTGGAGTGTCACGCCGCCGCCGGAGATGATGGATTCGAATGCAAGGTCGTTTCCGAGGAGGATGAGGCCTGTAGTGGATGATTAGCGGGTGTGATTAGTGACCACCTTGGGGAAAGCAATGCTTGTGCCAAGCAGCACTTACCGATAACAAGGTCAATGCATAGGATGGCAACCATAGTCCGCAATGGAATATGGAATCTGGTGCTGATATGGGCAAAGTATTCCGAATAAGGAAATGCCTTGTCACGAGCCATACTCCAGGCAAGACGAGACCCGGCGTTGTTGGTGCCGACAATGATGAAGAAGTTCAACCCCATCATGATGACAGCACAGAATATCCCCCCACCGTAGACTGATCCAGTCACATCCATGAACCAGTTCAAATATGGTTGAGCTTCTGTCAAGGACCAAAAGAGCATGTCAGTTTCAAGGGTCATGACTGAAAGAAGAGAAAGATGGTGGTGACGGACCTGACATGTAATCTTCCCAGTTGCCTGCTGTCCACAACAGGAGCAGTGCGGCCAGCCAGCTAGTGACAGAGCAAAACAGCATGGACCAGACCATGACGCGTGGAGCTTCCTTGGAAGCATCTCTCATCTCCTCCACTAGATGCATCATACCATCGGTGCCGTAGAGACCATACATCGGCGAGTAGAACGACATGATGAATACCCAGCCGTTGCTGGTGTAGCCCGAGTTGTTGATAAACTTGGTAAAGATGAAGCTTGCATCATGTTTCGGGGCCATGATACCAAAGACAATGGCCCAGGCCAGACCACCAGCGATGGTGAAGACTGCACCGAACAGATTCATAGCAGGAAGCCACCTGTGAAATGGTTAGAAAACCAATGGATGAGAAAGGGGCTCGAGCCTTGTGAAGCGAGCATTCAGCCACCAGATTGGGACAAGAGGGACTCACGTTTGTCGCAGGTTGATCAAAATTGGCGCGATGAGGAAACCACTGTAGATGAGCCATGTCATCCATGGCTATGAGCAAAGTGATCAGCACGACGACCCACAAATGGACACACGGAGACATAGTCCATAACGATACTAACCTGCCAGACAATATCAGGATGGGTGACTTCAACAAATGCTGCCACGATGGCAGCACTGTTGACAGCACAACTAGAACCGGTAGAGATTTCACCAACAAGGACGGCCCAGCCGACGAGATACGAAAGAACAGGGCGATATTTGCCGGTGGCGACAGCTTGGGTGTAGTACTGTTGACCTCCGGCGGTGGGCCAGATGCTGCAATATTCCGCTAAGGACATCATCAAGAGGGTTTGACCAACGGCAACAAAGAGACTGAATATTGGATTGGTGTTAGCGAGCATTCTCATTATGATAGAATACTATTGAGGGCGACTCACGTGCCCCATATCAAGCAAAAAGGTCCGCCGATGTCAAAGATGGTCGAGTATAAAACGACTAGGCATGACCAGCTGCAACTGATCATAATCTGGTAGGCACAGACTGCAGAAACATCGTTAGCACGAAGGGAGTCGCGACGCTTGATGCTCCCCAGTTGGGATAGGTTGCACATACGAGTCCAGAAGTTATAGACACGCTTGAGTTCGGGCTTTTTGCCCATGGACATGAGAAGAGCATCGTCGCTGCTGACTGACTTGGCGTCTTCGAGGGAGATGGTGGGGTCCAAGTCATCAGAGACGACCTTGAGGTCCTCGTTGCCCATGGCGAGTGGTGTGATGGATGGATGAGTTTTATCGATGTGGAATGAGAAGAGGATCTCTAGTGAAGAGTCGAATGGAGGATTGGTGGACTCAGGGACAACGAGCACTTAACAACTTCTGGCCTCAGTACCTCGGGGGTTCGAGTGATGTCGCGTACAAGGCTGTCGTCAGTGCCTCCTGTATTATTTCATCTTGAGGAAGATGCCGAATGACGGCCGGGATAGATTGTCCTGATTCTGATGGGTTTTTGCAAGGGTATGAAGTACTCTTATCTACCCCTCTCTCGATTCGATAGAGAAGGATGCATCAGTGTTGAACACAAACCTTGGACCCCTAGCCTAAGCCTCAGCTCATTGTCCAACGTGTCGACAACCCCGTCAAACGCGTCGTCAATCAAAGCAAGGTGCTTGGTTCGCTGAGAGGGAGGAGGTGGCGGAAGGTCGACACCAAACCCTTCTCGGCGGGGTGCCACTTTGTTCTTATCTTGAGGAAAGTCGCTTAAGCTCTCGCTTGAAGCCGGGGAAGCCAAGGTTTACATGGCGCATGGATCGGGAAGCCATTCATTGGCCTGTTTGCAGGACTGAGGAACACGGCCAGGCCTCATACGGAGGGTGGATGGAGAAGAATCTCGGATGGCACTCTAGAACGTGTGTGTTGTACATTTTGATAGATAATATACCTATCCTTGGACAAGTCTCAAGACTCGAATAGGCGAAATGTGTTGCTGATGCATTTGTGGTCGAGGGTGAGGGTGAGGGTGATGGTGATGATGAGGGTTTGAGATTTCTGATCTTATCAATCTGAGCACCTGTCAAGGAGATGTCAGTGCGTTGGTGACTAGTCGCAGGCAATTGATGCCCGAGTGGTGAGTTGGTGCCTATAAGGTCTATGCTCTGGACGGTTTGGGCGAAGGGGTGTCGTTGGCTAGGCGTCCTCGTTAGGGGCGAGCTGCAACCATTGGACCCCAGTAGCCCTCCCGTTGCACGGACTTGACCACCAACTTTTAACTGGACGGAACCAGTGCCCATGACCTCGTGAAGGCGTTTTGGCTGAAGGCTGCCCCTCGGCCGCTCTATCGATCTCACTCAAGCTATCACCTCGGCGTGGCCCAACTTCAGAACAGATAACAAGAATATAGGCCTATAAACCCTCATAGCCCAGAAAATATATCTAGAAAACCTTGGCGATCAGGATTTCAAACTTCTCGGGATATTACTGCCATCCGAGAGTTACTGGGATGCAATCTGATATGATCATCTCCATTCTCCAGCCATATCTAGCAATTCGTTCCCTTCTGATCGGCACAAGAATACTTTTACACACTAAAGGTGGAGTTTGTGTCCACTCGCCTGGGCCATCGTAACCATCATCGCGGCCTGCGGCTAAGAAGGTACTTAGACCTTCGACTCTCTCTACCAACCTGCTTCTCTTGGATTTGTTTTCTTTTATTTCACCAGAACCCCGCATTATCAACACTAAGGGATCCTGTTCGTTCGCTAGAAACACGAGTCTCGTCCCGAGCCAAGTGCTTGGGTTCCATGCCGCCTATCTCCACGTTTCGCCTCGCGTTTGACCAGTTCAGGAAGGAGAATTGAGACGCCGCCAAAGTCATTTGCAACGTCAGCGCCCGATAAACCACTCGGCCAAGTATATAAGAAACCTGCAGTCCCATTACAGGCCAAATCTTATCATGTAATGTCGGCCAATTGACCTGGTAGATGTGTGTGAGAGTCTTATATCGTGCCCGACATCAGTATCGGTCACTAACGTCATCCAGGACAGCAACATTATACGTCCCCATCAAGCAGAGACCAACATTCAAACATTACATTTCAACTCATTCTAGAGCTATGGCACCAATCGCTGTGGAGGACGTCGTCAACACGACGGCCCCTGTGTCCAAAGCCATTCCCACCGTCACCAACGGAGCCGAGTCCGACCACAAGCCCACAATCGCTCGATATGATGCCAACGACCCAGCAACCACCACCGAGCTTTTGGTGTCTATCTTGGAGCGGGACGGTGGCGTTATTGTCGAGAACATCATAAGCCAAGAACTGGCCTCACAAATCAGATCCGAATTAAAACCATTCTTTGACACGGACAAGGTCGATGCCTCAGGCTTCTTTCCTCACACCACCCAGCGGGCCACGGGGCTGCTGGCGAGGTCCCCTGGTTGCGTCGATCTTGCCATGAACAAGACGTACATCGATGTCGCCAACACCATGCTGTCGTCAACATTTTCTTATTGGACAGGGCAGAAACAGGAAACCGTCACCAGCAAACCCATCATTTCATCAACCGTGGGCTTCCGAGTAAACCCCGGTGGGAGACAGCAAGGCCTTCATCGTGATGACAGGTGAGAATGCCGGCGCCGCGCAAACAGGTGGGCTCACGTGCTGATTTCTCCCACAGTGACTATCATACCAGGAATTGCGATATGCCCATGATGCTAGGCTGCGTGACGGCCTTGACCAAGACGACTAAGGAGAACGGCGCCACCATTTGTATACCAGGCTCACACCTGTGGGGACCTGAACGATGTCCCTACGACCACGAAGCGGTCCCCGCCGAGCTGGAGCCTGGCTCAGCCCTGATCTTTGTCGGTAATTTGTATCACGCCGGCGGTGGTAACATCACAAAGTATGATATCTTACTCTTTCCCGGCCCCAAATGGCACTTGTCACTGACTCCAGATCCAGAGACCAGTCCCGCGAGACCGTGGGTATTTTCCTATGCAAATCATTCTACCGACCCGCCGAAAACCAGTTTATCATGGTTGGTCCTGAGAAAGCCAAAAATCTGCCCCCTCAAGCGCAAAGACTACTCGGGTATGGCATCAGTTTGCCATCGCTGGGGTTTGTCGAGTATCAGGATCCCATGCGCTACCTATTTGGAGTCGAAGATGAGGAGACCGTCGACATGTGAACTTGGCTGAAGCGCAAGTGCGACCGAAAGTGGTGAACATCAACACCAAGGGCATGGCGACCACGAGATGATATATGTAAAGGAGTGAAGGCGCAGGGAACCTTGCAGTAGACAGAGATGTCTCTCCATGACGTATGTTCGACTCGTTGACTCCAGGGATGGTCACGAGGCATTTGTATTATACCATGACAGCCCAGTCCGCCGAAGCCAAAATTGTACAAATGGCGCAAGGCTGAAGACTCGGATGCATGCAATCAAGACTCGCTCGCAAGTGCCGGAGCATCGAGCACTCGTAGTATAGATGGCTTCCGAGACACACATAGGCACATGCTAAGTGTAAAAGAATGCGATCATATGACCAAAAAGGTAAAACCTCGGTCAGCCTCTTGACGACCAAACTGTAACCAATCAACAACAGTGTCTGGCGAAGTCTGCCAGAAGTGTTTTAGAAAGCGCAACGAAGGCTCACAATTGGAGAAGCCGGTGGACTTCATGGCGGTTTGCACGCGGGACTCGACAAATTGCTGAAGATCCGGGCTGGCTCTACTCTCGGTGCCTATGATGAAGAGAGGCCAGACAAAGTCGTGCTGAAAGGCATTGCATTCCTGGATCTGGTCGATTGAGTGCACGGTGTGCTGGACGAGTTCCTGGCGAGCTGGTCCGGAGTCCTCGACATTCAGCAGGGCCTGGAAGCTGTACAGCAGACCAGAGTAGTGAAAGATCTCAATCAACTGTGCTAGGTCGTTGCGTAACGAGGTTGCGCCAGAGTTCAGCTGCACCAAGTGGCTGTAGTGCAGGGAGCTGGCTCGCGCATACTCGAAGCGATCCCGTAGGAAGTTGGCGTCGCGCAGGTGGTGCGAGATCTGGGCACTGTCGGGGTCATCATGGAGGCAGCGCTCGGTATGTGTCACCTCCTGAATGATCTCAAGCCAGTCAGAAAAGATGTTGCGATCGGAGTCGGAGACAATTGAGGAAGGGATGCTGTCGCCCTGGTGAAAGGTCGTGGACGAGGCAAACACGTCATAGACGAAGGCTTCCTTGATCAGAAAGCGGAGGCTGGGATCGAGAGGAAGCGTGGGTGGGTTGGTAGTTGTCCAGCGCCGGGTAATGGTCCTCACTGCCTTCCAGTGCACAGTCCAGAGCTCATTGTCGGACCTGATCATTTCCATATTACATAGGATGAGAATAGTGGCAAGGGTGCCGCTGACATGCTCGTTACGCTCGTCCAACGAATCTTCCTCGAGATCTTTGCGCAGATCTTGGGCCAACAGCCGTAGACTCCAGTCCCGGTAGTAGTCAGACCTTCGACTCTGCTTCTTGGTAGCAGTGAAATGCTCGGCGGCGAGAGCTAGAATTGCGAGTAATAGCGAGAGAGATCTGGTGGTCAGAGGGAGCATGACGGTGCGCCAGCCGTTGGTTGGACCATCTATCCAAGGCATGACAGAGGCAACTTGTGTGTCGTAATGCTGTAGCAGCTCCTGGACGCCAGGGTCCTGTAATAACGAAGGAAGATGCTCATGCCCAGGCATCGCTTCCAGGACGGTCGAGTCTAGAGGCGTCGTGGTGGCATCAGGGGTTGGCAAAGCCTCAGAGAGCGAGGATGTAGAGGTTGATTCCATTTTAGTCAGTCGATCACCCAAAGAAGTAGCCGAGTTGGTACGGTCGAGGCTACCCTTGAGGCCCTTGTCTGAATCTTCGGTCGAGACAGGCTCCAGGACTGGCAGGGTTTTGCCAGTGAGTTTGCCCCTGCTGGCTACGCCCTGGCCCCATTGAATCCGTAAGCCATAACCGGGACATGACAGGGACTTGAGATCACATTTCTTGCAGGTGGGCAAGGATCGATCGCATTTGATCCTGCGTCGATTGCAAATGCGGCAGTCTATTTCACGCTTAGTGTAGATTCTTGCGTCAATCATGACTCTAAGAGTCTTTTGCATCAGGACGACGAGGTAGCCTCGTAGGTGGTACTTACCTTTGGCAGCGCGGGGTTCATTTGGATCAAGCGATGAGAGCCGGAGACTCATGATGGCTGATCTGTTGGATGGGCTCACCAGGTGGCAGAGGGGCAGTGGAGACGATGGATTGGAATCGAGAGACCAGATGAGTCTTCTAAGAGAAACATGCTGTTGATGCGTCAACGGTGTCAGTGAAGTCTGAAGGTCGTTTTCAGATAGGAAGACAGATAAACAAACCTTGACTCTGGGCTTTGCCCACTTGTGGTACTCTGCCAGCTGATGGTGTGGTACCGTGCGGTGGCCGATGACTGATTGCTGATCAGTGATTGATGCAGCCATTCACATTCAAACCATATTGAGTCTTGGCATCTGTCATGGGCCTGAATGGGAGGGACGGGTCAACAGCGGGGCTTAGAGGCCACTGAGGCTTGAGGGCCGAAGGGGCCCCCGAGACGCGCCTTAGGGTGCGCCTTAGGGAGTTCTAGCAGGTATGGTCCGTGCGCCCCTCGGGCGTCATATGGTTGGCTGATGCCTGTCTTTGGCTCCAAGCTTCACATGAATTGAACCTTGTCCTTCTGCTTCGGCCGAGGGGGCTTCTTATAAGGCGCTACCCAGCCTAAACATAGATGGTTTAGATTGATATTGATTCTTTACATACATTGGTATTCCCACACAAGTCCCTTGTTTCTCATCAAAGTCCAAGTACCCTCCATGGTACATCATGTACATAGACTTTGGTACTCGCTCTCGCTGAACAAGAATACATTCAACCGAAACGGTCGACTTCCTCGTATTACCCCCCCCCCCCCCCCTCATCCCAGACGTCTTAGGTCTTTCTCCCCTACCTTCTTGCAACTCGCAAAAGTGCGATTCAAAACAAACACCAACCATGCTGAGCGCAGCCTTTCAAGTCGTGAGACTCTTGATCATCTCTCTTGTACAAGTGTGACCCAGGTTTCCTCTGCTTCCGATGTCCAACTCTGGAAACCGCCAAGATAAATGGACCATGCAGGCAAATGTCTAGAGAGATATCTGCGAGCGGCGCCTCTTCCTACCGCCATGTCCATTTTCCAGTATCATTTTATAAGCCGCCAAGCCCGCAGCCATCATTTCAACACGAGGTTGTGAGTGATGGAGCCGCCCCGAGCCCCCGTCTTCGTGTTCCATCCGACTTCAAAACCCCCCGGGTACTCCGTCAAACAAGCACACCTTGGCTGGTTGGATATCGAACAAAGGAAAAATTCAGCTCAAATCATAATCATGCACAATTCAGCACAGAACAAAACGTTGCTCATCGATAAGTACGTATGGCGTACAACAAGGAAATTGACTTTCAAATGTGGACGATTCCCCTTCAAAACATGCCACCATCTTGATGCACCCCAAGAGATGTCGCACTTCGGTTGGGGAAGACGGGCAGAGCAGGACTTCGAAGCCTCTCATGTCCAAACTCGGCTAGCAAGGCCTGGTTTCGTGCCTTCGCCGCTATGCTGCCTCCTTCGCTGCTGGTCTTCCTCAACCGATTTCGCGGCCGTACGTGCAAGGCCGGCGACTGTGTCTCGGCCAACGGAGGTCGATCGCTACTCTCAGGCATCGGCGACGACGGCAGCCGAGGGCTAGATACCACCTCGCTCTTCTCCGACATCGTGTTGCCACGACGTCGAGGATTCATCATTGGCACCGGTGGTGTCGCAATCTGCCCAGGTCGCGGGCTGACTGGGAGTCCCACCAATGGGACAGACGACGTGCTAGAAATGAACACCGGGTCTGAGATCATGCCTTTGGTAACAGACTTCTTGCGCGCACCCAAAGGTGCTGCTCGACCGTCTGTTGCGGACTGCACCGAAATCACTGGAGAAGGAAGTGCAGAGTTCGTTGCCGAGCCCGGCCCTGCATGCCCTCCCAAGAGACCTGCGGGTAGCGGGCTGATAGGGGAATGTGGAAAAGGTGGGCGCGGTGAGGGCCTCGGGACACCTATAGCGGCTGGTCCACTTCCTAACGCAGGTGACCTGGCCATGGTCGGCGTCCCTGACCGACTGTCTAATAGACTGTTCGGCTCCAACCGCTGTTGGTTGTTATTGTTGTTGTTGTTGTTGTTGTTGTTGTTGTTGTTGTTGTTGTTGTTGTTGTTGTTGTTGTTGTTGTTGTTGTTGTTGTTGTTGTTGTTGTTGTT